TTTAATTTTAGATTTGAATTTCTTTAAAGGAATTCTCTCTTCAACAGAATTTTAACACTTATTTTTCATATCATTTAAATCGTCCCATATTTCTACAAGAACAATACTAGGAAAAAAAGTTTGTAGCTTCATTAAAATATTGCAGAGCTATTGTACAAGTGGGAGAATTGAGTGTTATTAAGGGTGTGCATAAAAAATGTATTTTAAATTTTACCGGGTATCCCATTTTGTAGGGTATATCGGTTATTTTTTAAGATAGAAAGTTGAGATTTACGCAACTCTGTGCTACTTTTTTTGTGAAATTAAAGATGCCGTCGACAAAATTGTTATGGCTCTCTTGGTTGTTGAGATACAGGGTGAATATTGAAGGATGGAATTGAGGTGGCTTTTACTTGATGAAAATCAATTTATCAAAATAAATAAGAACTAAGTAAAAGTTTTTTTATGGTGGTATAGATACGTGGATGATATTTTTGCTTGCTTTGTTGGAACGGACAGACAATTGAATTCTTTTTTAAATTACATTAATTCATTACATAATCGTATAAAATTCACTATCGAGATTGAACAGGATAACTCTATTAACTTTTTAGACTTAACTATTACGAAAGCGCAAAACAAATCAGATTTTTCAATATATCATAAACCTTCACACACGGACACAGTCATACATAACAGCTCAAATCACCCTTATACACACAAAATGGCTGCATTTAACTCTTTTATACACAGACTTCTTAATACGCCACCCTCAACAGAAAATTACAACAAAGAACTTAACATCATTAAACAAACTGCACTGAACAACGGCTACAATCCGTCCATTATAGATAATATTATAAATAAAAAACAAATACAGACAACAGTAAACTATATTTATCCGAAACCTAATACAGAACACGAACAATTTAAAACAATTACAAACATAGGAGAACCTACTGAAAAAAATTCAAAACATTTGTCAAAATGTGGTTTAAAGCTTTCAGAACTAACAAGACAATAGGAAAATATTTAAAAAACAATAAAACGAAATGTCCAAAATCCCAAAGATCAGGTGTCTATAGGTTGAAATGTGGATCTTGTCCTAAAATTTATATTGGACAAAGAGGTAGATCCTTGAAGAAACGCATTAACGAACATAAAAGAGCGTTTAAAAACAATAATTTAGATTCTAATTATGCTACACACTTAAACACAGAAAAACACATTTTTGACGACAATTTTGATATTTTACATACACCCACAAAAAGTAGAAAATTAAATTTATTGGAAGCCATGGAGATTAACAAAATGAGACATTCAAATGTATTGCTTAACGATCAATTAGATTTAAATACCTCTCCTTTATTGAACTTAAATTCTCAAAACAACATTAATTAAGGTTTTATGGTCATTTTTCGGTATATATAGTAGCAGGTAGTTTGTAAATATGTATGTTGTCGAAACAATTGTCATGTCATAATATATATTTTCGTGAAAATCTGAACTTTTAGTTCTTATTTATTTTGAATATTGAAGGGTTTAAAAAACGTTCTTATAGGATTTTTCCATAGTGGCGTCGTTTGTTTTTTACGTACTTTAACCGTTTATTAGTTACGAAGCCAACATATATTTTTTACCAAATGCAATATCCCGTGTAATATTTTTCACATTAATTGAAAATCATTTAAGAATTTCAGGAATTAGTATAAAGTTATTTTAGAAATTAAGCTCAAAATTTATTTTTTTCATATTTTATTTTATTTGCAGCAGTAGGCTATGAATTTATGAAACACAACATCCAAATAAACAATTATTAACATATAAGAAACTCAATACTATAAAATTCAATTATTTAAATGTGTTTTATACGTTATGAACTACTATTTGAAATAATTTTCAACTTATTATGGTCCATCATTACATTAATTAATAAGTAATAACAATATATCTAAAGAATAATAATCAACATGATATTATACCTAAAAATGTTCTCATGGCCTTCTTGATTGTTGAGATACGGGGTGAAATCCAGAACTATCGACTTTGGTACTTTTAAATTATTGAAAAGTTTAAAAAACGTTGTTATAGGACTTTTTTAGTAAAATCCAGCGGCGTAGTTTGTTTTTCAAATGGAACACAAAAATCTAAGCTTTTCAGAAATATGTATTAGTATAAAGTTGTTTTGAAAATTAAGCTCAAAATTTAATTATTAATTGTTACAATTATTAACATACAAGGAACTCAATTCTTTAAAATTTATTAATTTAAATGTGTTTATACGTTATGAACTACTATTTGTAATAATTTCTATCTATAGACTGTTAATGTAATATTATACCTAAAACTGTTGTTCAAATCGGAGACCATTTTCTCGAATGCAAAATTCGCCCATTGTTTTATTTTTTAAGTGTCATTTATAAGAATTATTGGTCTCCTTCGTAGAGTTTCGAGAGTTAAGTTCTGCTGCAGACTCGTATCGTGTTTTATATACTTTTTTTGCATATATCCCCATAAAAAAAAATCTAAAACTGAAAGATCCGGAGATCCGTTGATACCTATCCATTTTTGGAGGAAATTGTCACCTAAAAATGGTCTTAGTCTAAGAGTTATGACTTGAGCACCAACTTGCTGAAGATATATATCATTATAATATACTAAGGAAATATCTTATACTTACTTATACCTTCGTGCTATAAGACTTCCTTCATAAATTCGGTCGGTTATTCGCTGTCCCAAAATAAAACAGGATACCCAAGTCTCTCAAAAGAATAGTTGTTTCGAATTTGTTGTAAATACCAATGGCATCGCCAGAGTCCGAATGTTGAACACTTGTATGGATGGTATTTGTATTTTTTAAAAATTCCTTTGGGTAGTCGACTTTGGTACCCTTGGTATTGCTTGTGCTATGTGTTTGCAAGATAATGGCGGCGTTACTTCTATGTAACCCAATACATTTGATTCTCTTTGCTTATTATGGTCCTTGAAATAATTTTTGGACCTGGTTGAATAAGAGATCTGGAAACTATCTGAAAACGGTTGTCGTCTCTCTCGATATCTAATATTAACAAAACACATTTCTATAATGTAAAAGTTATACATACTGACTATATATTTACCAGTGGTAATACAATTCCGGAGGTCCTTGGGTATTTTCATTGCATTGTATAAAACATACCAACATATCATATGTTCCAGAATTTTCATACACTGCCATTATTATAGAAATAATGAATGAAATTAACACAAAAAAAGACAAATGGATAGGTAACAAAAACATAATTAAAAACTAACAGTTTCGTAAGTTTTAGACACATTTGCTTTTTTGTTTTTAATTGATAAGTCATAGCCGACTAACAATCTAACTTAGTATTATCATATTATAGTGTTTATCATATTAATAAGACATTATTTTTTAGAAACTAAGTAATGAGTCTCTTGTATAGTAATAACTGCTTAGGTATATCTCATTTTTAGTTCATTTATTATGGCCTACTGCTACAAATAAAGTAAAGAATGAAAAATATTTAATTTTGAGCTTAGTTTTCAAAACAGCTTTATAATAGTATATATTTTTGAAAAGCTTCAATGATTTCCAATTAATGTAAAAAATAATATATAGGGTGTTCCATTAAAAAAAAACGTATGTTTTCTTCAGCTAAAAAACGGTTAGAGCAAAATGGTGCCTCAAGTCATAATTTTGGACTTTTAAGACCAGTTTTAGATGACAGCTTCCCTCAAAAATTGATAGGTACCAACAGACCTTTAAGATTGTCTCCACTATATCCGGATTTTTTAGTTTTAGATTTCTTTTTTTTTTTTGGAGATATATGCAAAATAAAGTATATAAAACACGAAACGAATATGTAGCAGAACTTCAAGAGTTTACTTTCAAAATTGTACGATGGAGACCAATAATTCTTTTAAGTCCCATTAAAAAATTGAGAAAAATATGCGAGTTTGGCATTTGAAAAAATGGTCTCCAATTTGAACAACAGTTTTAGGCATAATATAAAGTTAGAATTCTGTATATATAATGTAATTTCGCACTAATTAATGTAATAGTGGGCTATAATAAGTTCAACATTATTACAAATAGTAGTTCGTAACGTAAAAAACACATTTAAATAATTGAATATTAATGTATTGAGGTTCTTGTATATTAATAATTGTTTACTTGGATGTTGTTTTTAATAGATTAATCATGCTGCTACAAGTAAAATAAAATACAAAGAAAAATAAATTTTGATCTTAATTTTCAAAACAATTTTATACTAATATATATTTCTGAAAAGATTAAATTGTTGTGTTCCATAAAAATATATATGTTTTCATCATAACCATTAAACGATTAGAGCAAGTAAAAACAAACTACGCCACTGGTTTCTAATGAAAAAATCTTATAAGAACGTTTCTTAAACTCTTAAATAACTCACATGGCAACGGAGTTATTTACCGGGGTGGTCTCAAAATCGATAGCTTTGGATTTCACCCTGTAGCTCAAAACCGAAAAGAACCATGATAATTTTGTTGAGAGCATCTTTAATTTCACAAAAAAGTAGCACACTGTCGCGTGAACCGCGACTCTCTATCATTAAAAATAAATTACTGTACTTTATATTTATCTTCCGGAACTGATAAAAGTCATCAATATTTTTGACACAAAACCATATTTTTAATATCGTGAACAAAGCACTAGAGTAATAAATTTGCATTAGAATATTTTGATTTGTTTTTAGTTTTGGCTCGAAATTCAAAATATTGAAAATTTATTCTCGAAACATACAGAGATCTAATTTACACACAAGTGTTGAGAATATTTTGAAACATTTTGGTAATTATTAGTGTAATGTATGTGGTTCCTTCACCTTTTACACTGTTAGCTGCATAAATAATGTTACGGTTTCACGAGTCGAATGCAGTAAAACATTGTTAAAGAGCTCAGGAACAACTTTATTTCATAAAACTCAAAAAAAAAAACAAAAATCATGGTATGTTAATGGTTAATTTGCAATTTCCAGTTGACGGCTGTGAACCACTACTTGGACTTGTCAATAGTTTACGGAAACAGCGACCAAGTTAACCAACAAGTCCGCCTCTTCCAAGGCGGCCGCCTAATCACCGAACAGAGAAACGGCCAAGAGTGGCTCCCCAGGAACCAAAACGCCTCCGGTGCTTGCACGCTGTTGTCTCCCAACGAACCCTGCTACATGGCAGGTAAAAATTCACCGCCACATTCTTCAGCCGCGCGTCATCCTATCGAATTGCAGGCGACGTCCGAGTAAACCAAAATCCTCAGCTCACCGTCCTCCAGACGATTCTCCTGAGAGAGCACAACAGAATCGCGGACACTTTGGCCCAACTGAATCCCCACTGGGACGACGAGACCACATTCCAGGAAGCCAGGAAAATCAACATTGCCCAACACCAGTGGATCTCGTACAACGAGTGGTTGCCAATCTTCATCGGTTTGGAGAATAGCTTGAAGAACAGGATCATCTACAAAACCAAAGACTGGGTTAATGATTACGATGAGAGTGTGAATCCTTCGATTTTAAACGAACACGCTACTGCAGCCTTCAGGTTCTTCCATACGCTCATCGCTGGTCAGCTCGAGTAAGTTAATTCACTCTCGATAAGTTTAAAAGGTCCTATCGTTTACGTTTGGTCCGCCAGCTTGGTGAGCGAGAAGAGAAACAGCTACGGCAGCGTTAGATTGAGCGACTGGTTCAACCGTCCGGCTGTTTTAGAACAGGGTAACAATTTCGATCAGCTCACCAGAGGGTTGGCAACCCAACCAGAACTAGCCCCTGACGCCTACCACGACAGCGAGGTATAACATATTCGATATTTTATTTGTCAAATGATTAGTCGGTACCTACTATATTCAGGTGTGAATGTTGAAATTGAACAAAGATATAATACACAAAATAAAATTTCGACCTCATATCTAACTAAAGCTCTTTTAGACATGGTAAGTGTGTCATACTCTTTTGGGGCGTTAGGGATTAGCATATCCTTTACAGCCACGCAGGTATCTCTCCCCACATAGCTATCTAAAAAGGCTTTTCTCTGATTGAACTTCATTTTGCTATATCATTTGGTGCCTTTGGAAATCTAAGAATAATTCGGATCTTGTTTTGTTTATGCTTATTCTTTATAGTCGCTTCCAATCCCTGCTTGATAGATAAAGGCAACACTTGAAATTAAACGTAAAATGGAACTAGTCAGATTGGATTATTTTGTAAAAAATATTTAATGAAATGAATACTTCCAGCTTCTAAGAACGGAATCACATTTGTACTCGTGTTGCAGATCACCCTTAACTGGTTGAGACAGCCCGGTCAGCCTCTAGGTCAAGATTTGAAGGCTATATGCGTGCAGAGAAACCGGGACCATGGACTCGCGTCTTACAACGACTACAGACACTTTTGTGGATTAAGGAAGGCCAGGTCTTTCCACGACTTCTTGGATGTTATTTCTGGCGAGGTAATGATTAGATCAATAATTACGAATTTTGGAATAATAAAACCAAATTTGAAATTTCTACATTAGAGCAGGCTGTGGTTTCCGATTATTATAATTCTGTCACGAATACTATTGCTTTTCTAATTATATTATGTATTCAATTTATTTTTGCAAGTTTTTTTTCCAAGTTCGATATAAAAGAACGCGCTAAATTTTATTAAATTACATTATATTGAAGAGACAATTGAAAATAGATTTGTGTTTGAAAAGTTGGTAAACAACTCTAAAAGAAATTGAAAAATCTATTAATGTGAATGATTTGACACCTGGGAAATTTTTTGCAACATTGTGAGGAAACACTGCGACATAATATTCTATACAGGGGTTTTTTAATAAGTGTCAGAGCATTTCCTCAACTATTTTTAAAAACTCATTCTATATAAACAAGATGTTCGAAATTTGAAGAAAAGTAGAAACCAAAAGGAAAAATTCAAAAATGTTTAATAAGTTTTACTAATAATTTTTGGTATTGAATTAAAATTGGAAAATAGGCAAAATCTAATTTCAAATACAAAAAAGGTTTTTATTTTTTCACGCCAAGACAGTGCGCTTTACGAAAGAAAAAAAAACAAATGAGACGAATTTTTTTAGTATTTTTGTTTTTATAAAAAAAAAATAAAATCCTTGGTTGCTAAAAATATGTGAAATAGGGAACTATTAAAACTATTAAACTTCAGTTAACTTCTGATCTATAAATGTGGTACGCATAATATGCCCGTCTTTGAAACATTCATTAATTACATAAATTTGGATGATAGGGTGTTCAAAAACCGACAGAGTTAGGCGGCCTAAACAAGTACCATAAAAAATTGAACATTCTTTTATATTTTCATAATGTGGGCATGACGCCCAACTAACAAGTAGTTTGTAGTACAAATTATTAAATAGTTACAGAGGCATTGCAAGTAATGATACCACGAAACCTAACCCAAAGTCTAACCTAACATAAGCATTAATTCTAACAAACAAACAAGAGAATAGGAAAAGACTGGAATAATTACAGTTAATGGTACAAAAACGTTCTTGGTGCGGGGTGAAAAGATAGAATGTGTAATGGGGAACCAAGAAATTTAGTCTATGTTATTACAGTCAGAGCAATCAAACCAGTTATTTGAAATTTTAATTAATATCATTAAGAAATGGTAATCATGATGATCACTAAGAGACACATAACCAAATCTATTTAATAAGATGTATGCTAAAAATCCTTGTATAGGATATGCTTTGTCCAAATTATACTTCAAAAACTTACGCTGGATTCTTTACATGCTATTAATATGACAATTTTATATAGAAGACCAAACCATTCATGCATACTCCAACCTAGATCTGACGTATGAGATATAATAATTTAATCACTTTTGTATTTTTAAAATCTGTGGTGAAACTAGGGCCCTCTAGGAGCAACGTCCAAATAAGTTCCAAATTCATATTTGCCATGTCGAGAAGCCTAAAAACTGCATATTTTTATTAAATTCAAACTAAAATTTAAACCTCACCATTTAAACTATATCTTTTTGTTTTATATGTAAGTTTTTTGTTTTTTGTTTAACATGATGAATTTGGAAATAAAAATGTAACAAAATGTTGTCAAGATAAAATGATAACATTGGACACACCACACTACAAAAGTCCATTATAACAGTTAGCAGCGCCTACAAAAGTTATGTGAAATTTTCTGCAAATTTCTTTCTCAGAACGTTCAAAAACTCGCTTCGCTCTACGAGCATCCTGACGACGTCGATTTGACAGTGGGCGGTTCCCTAGAAACGATAGTTCCCGGTACTTTGGCGGGACCTACGTTCTTGTGCATCCTGACCGAACAATTCTACAGGACGAGAGTCGGGGATAGATTCTGGTTCGAAAATGCAGGCGAACAAGGTAAGTTGCTCGTCACTTGCAGGTTTCGCTCTCTAGCAAATAAGTTTTAGGATTCACTTTACCGCAACTGAACGCTATTCGGAAGAGCACCATTTCCCGTGTCTTGTGCGACAACGGCCGTGACATCAAGGCCATGCAACCTCGTGGGTTCGAAAGGATATCACACACGTAAGTCGAAATTAACCACTATTTATAGTGGTTCTTCTTTTATTAACGATAGTTCGAATAAATACCAATTTAATGCTAAGAAAAATCAAATTCTTTTTGGTTAACGCTCTTGGTTCTGAAAAGAAATTGGTTGGGTAGATAGGGCTGAAAAAAAAGAACTTTTACTAGGTTTTTAATCGCACTATGACTGACGTAATTGAAAGCCTAATTTCTTACCTTGCGCTAGATAACGGTCTCTGACATAACCTAAAAAAAATCTAAAACAAAAAGCAAAGATATTCTTTTTTTACCTGATTAGATAGTCCAATAAGGACCCTATAATTTAATGAAAACTGCATCTCAATATCCTTAGCCAAACCTAAAATATCGATGTAAGATTCAAGACACTTCCACTAATTATCAACAATTCACTAAATTAAATGCTAATGTATTATTGAACACGCAAAAATTTCGGTTTTCTGAACATTTTTTGTACACTTTGCTTATTTTTAAAGATTTTGAAATTCTCGCTGTGTGTGGAATTTGATTGGTTGGGTTATAAAACGAAACGGTCGCTTCCTATTGGTTGTATAGAATCTGACGACTCGAAACCATAATACAACAATCACACATCGCCGTACGCATGACGTCGGAGCTAAAAATTTTAATTTTACGCGGTGTACTTATAGGATATGATACTTGTTTAGAGTGCAATCTACTAAAGTTTGTTAATTATAATTGTTTAGAGTAAAAAGTATGTTGCTATTAGATTTGGAGAGACCAGTTATGCAAAAACATATGAAAAAATCTTTACGTTCTGCTTATAACCTAATGGAATTATGATGGAATTTGATAAACAGCATTTGCACTTATCAAGCTAAGATGTTTGGAGTAGGTATTTAAAATGAAGTTTTGATATTACAATAAAGGATTAGCTTTCATTTTATATATAACGTTTTTGATTGTCCTTTTATTTATTTCTATACCATTTCTTACAAAACCATTATCGATAAAATGGTTTCTCAGATGTGGAACATCAGCAAACCCATAAACCTTCTGGTTACTAGTTGGATTAATAAACCATGTTTTAGCTGTATTGATTCCCAGTTCTTTATGCAACCCTCTATTCCTCCACCCAAGTCCCTTACTACGGCCACCACTGGAAAACCGACACTTTCCACGTATTTGATTATTTCAAAAAGCTCGCTTTTAGTTATAGCACAGTCGTAGTAAAAGAAATGGGTTGCTTTCGATTTTCAACCAGGCCTCTTAGCATTGCTACTTGAACATAGTTGTTTGGTTTCATTTTTGTGTTATTTGATTTGTTATACATGCACCATTCATTCACCTTCATTTCATCAAATGAAAAACCACACAACTTTTTTGAGTTGGGCAAATCTTTTTTTTTGACAACCATAAATACCTAAAAAAAAATATTTTGTATATTGGAACGTGCACCAGCTGAATGTATTATAATTGCTTTTCAAATATCTTCAATCGTCCACGTTATCCGCTAATGCGGAAGTTTTAATTTTTTGACTTGTGCCGGGGTCAAAATATTCAGAAAATCTGGTTCTAATTTGTCAGCCTTTCAACTTCTTTTTTTAAGTTGGCAATAATGTTAATAAACTATCTCATATCTTTTTTTGAATTAACAATTTCCGTTTGCGGAACAGCGTTAGAAATATCAGTATCGCCCAAATCCTGATCTGATGATGATACTTCTGTTACTGGTATGACTACCACCACCATCACCAACATCCCTATAACTACACAAGGTCGCATCAAAATATGTAAGTTAGTAAGCAAAACAATATTAAATAGGCACATTTTTTGGAAGTATTTGTTTGCAAAAGATTTTTTGGTTGGAATTTACATGTTGGAACACTCTACCTGCTTTCTAAAAGAGACTCAACTCATTTTGTTCTATTTCTTCTATCAATCCAGCTCTTTGGAGCCAATTTCCCTTTGACATCCCTCGATCTTTGCAATGGAAAATTAATAAATGGCACTAGGTCTGTTTTAAATAATCAGCGATTTGCGGCGGTTTAGCCCAAAAGTTCGAAACGTAGATTTCGTTCGTAAGAAAATTCGTCGAAATGTCTAGAAAAAACTCTGACAGTTTTAAACATCCAAACCACAAAAAAGCACAAGAAATTCTACGAAGACGAAAAAAACAGAATACAAACAATGATATTTGGTGAAGAATCCCGCCAAATCAAGCTCCGCGTGACATCAGTGACAGTGACGGCTCCGCCTACATATGCAATGTCAAATCTTTGTCATGAGTCGAAACAAGATAGTGCAGCAAAAATGTTTTGTTTTTCAATCTTGTTTTTTTTACACTCCCTTTCTAGGACTACTTAAACTTTTGGGACTAAGCTATTATAATTTTAATACTTTTTTACAATCGAATGGCACGAAATTAGCCGTTTTCAAATATTTAGTTTTATCACCCATTTTTTTATTAAAACATTTAGTCACTAAAATTAGTAATAATAATGATAATAATAATAATAATATATAGCATAATTATAATATAATTTGCAAGATTATTCGTATGTTGGGTACACAGGGTCGATTCAAAATTAACAAAAGACTATATGTCCAAAGCTAACAGTTATAAACACCTGCGCAATAAAAACCCTACCAAAGAGAATTACTTTTATGATGGATAAAAACATCATTACAATTACAGCATTCGATTACGAAATTGGGGTTCACATCACTCCACCAACGACAATTCAGGAAACATACAACCCAATTAGAAATAAATATTCTCCCGTCACTGAATAAGATTCTCTTTGAAAAGAAAAGGTCGCTTTCAACTTGTCCTTGAAAACAAGCACAGAACATGAAACGCGATTCCGTATGTCCAGTTTTGGGCGTGTGTACAAATTTTGACTTATATGGATAAAACGTATTTATATCAAGCACCTCACTAGCAGCAGCTCTTAATACTTTACCTTAAGGAATAAAGAAGACAATTCTGAAATTTTTGAATTTTACAATTTTCTTCAGTAAGTGTTCCAACGGCACGTTTTTTTTTTAGATTATTTTGGACAGATCCAGTATTTTAAAATTTGGTTAGTTAGAAGACGCCCGAAACACTACACGCACAATCTCTTATTATTTCTAATGGTCAAAGTAACTAAGAAATCATTTTTAACAGAAATTGTAATTTCCCATTTGTAATTGCTACTACTCGTTTCCTATGGAAACCCGTTGAGACCGTATGAATATGTAATGAACAAATTAAATAATTCAACAAAAATAGTTTACCGAACGTGTTGCATACTTTACCTTTTCTACGACCGTTAGTCTTTGGGTACATTTTCGAAAAACAACGCAAATACATTCACTGACATGACCGTCAGAATTGATAAACGTCAAATTCAATATTTGCGAAAACATCCGTTTGCTCCCAAATCAGTGTGGTAAAATCCCGGAAATGTCCGAAATGGCTCGGATCCGTGGGAAACAAAACTGACATGGAAAAGTGACGCTTGCCGCACGCTAGATCGGTGTGTAATTAGGTATTTTACAGACGGGAGTAGAAAAAATATATTACATATTACACGAATTATCCGTAAAACAAAAAGTGATAAACTGCATATTATTAAAAATAAGGTTTACGAAATTTAAGAGGATTTTTTGCTAAAAATATAAATTCTGCGTTTGTTAGTTTTTTTGAAGGAGTTTTAAGTCGTTTATAAAATTTACTATCTGCATTTTCTAGTTAACTCATAAATGACTAGGTTGTCTATAAATCCATAAGTAATTTCTAAATAAATTTAAAAAAAACGAGTTCCTTTTCTCATATTCTAGATTACAAAAGAGATACCGTGGCCCTTATCTGTTAGTTTTGGAAACATAGTCAACGTCTTTTAGTAACTTTAAGCTCGGTACTTTTTGAAGCGACCCTGTAGGTCGAAACAAATCTCCTAAAGAAAGGCACTTTTTTTAGTAAAGTTCTTCATTAAAAATTTTCCCATTTGATATTGGTATTGATAACAATTTTATTAAATAAATAGTATAGCGACCATAAACAAACTGTTAAATTAAAAAAAAATTGAAGTATTTAATTATTTTTCAGGAACGCTGTGGTTTCTTGTGACGCGTTGCCACGAGTAGATCTGTCGTTGTGGAAAGACATAGGAGCGGGCGCTCAAAGCTTGGGTGCTGGAGATTTCGGCTCATCGAAATATTTCTACGGCAAAAAATAATTTTCTGCGCGATATTCGCAGCATCACGAAGCATTCGTAAGTTAGACAGATCGAGTGGGGGCTGGCGGTAGCGCCGCTGGATTAAGCCAGTGCCTCGACGCAAATGTAAATACTTATATTAAAGATTAAAGTTAAATCGGTCCCTATGTGCTCCTTTATTAACACGTATATCCGCGTATATGTTATCTCTTTGTTATTCTTATAACGCATTATATATTTATTTTAAGTTTTATTTTAATATTTATTAGAATCTCTATTTCCGAACGTGCTATTTCGAATTAATGTTGTAAATGTAAAGTAGTACCGTACGGCTGTATATATGTTGTGCATACGAGAATTAGAATAAACACATAAAAGAAAATTCTGTTTCGTTTTCAATATACACCTTCTAAAGAACTTAGCATGATAGACGCCAACCGCTATAAATAAAACTCCATTTAATTCAGACCAAAAAAAGTTAATTTTCAGTACTGATACGTTCATCACAATATCGAAAACAATAATATTACTCCGGATTTCCAAAGGAGCGGAGTACTTGAGGAGAGTGAGAGGAATAATTAAATATTTTATAGATAGTTAGCTAGATTATATGTGGAAATGTAACCTACTGGTAGAAATGAACTGGAATATAAATATACATAAAATAAAGGTCTGGATCATTTTCATTATACCCCTTTCAAAGACGTTTTTCCAAATATCTAGGGCGCCCTGTAGGATGAACGCCAACCGCTATAAATAAAACTGTATTCAAGTCACAAGCTGTTTTTAGACAAAAAAAGTTAATTCTCAGTACTGATACGTCTATCACAATATCGAAAATAAGGATAATATTGCTCCGCATTTCCAGAGCAACAGGGATGAAATGCTTGAGGAGAGCGAAAGGAATAACCCGAAGGGACAAAATTAGAAGTGTAAGAGATATAAGACATGAGTTAAAAGGTTCAAAAGAGTTCATAGAAAAGAAATAACGGGGCTGGTGAGGTCATTTACAAAGATTGGGCAGCACTGTACCGGTTAAAAGAGTTTGGCAGAGTAAAATGCAAGGAAAAACGAAAAGAAGAAGACCGAGAGAAACGTGGGACAGCATATTGGAAAAGATTTTGAGAAAGAGGGGAAGAACATGGGTAGAAGAAAAAAATTTTGCACTGAGTGGAAAACACTGGAAACTTTTTATAGATAGTTAGCTAGATTGCATGTAAAAATGTCACCCTGTCATTCTACGGGTAGAAATGGACTGGATTATAAATTATAAAGAAAAATCTGGGTTGTTATATACCGGATTCAAAGAAGTTTTTAGTCCAAAAAAGTTAATTCTCAGTACGACAATAAGGATAATATCGCTTCGGATTTCCAGAGTTTTGAATCAAGAAAAATGATTTTCGAAAAAGAATATTTCCTGACACTCTCGCCCCATCAGTTTCAATTGGTTTCGCCATGGACGAAAACTCTCTGCCAAATTTCAAGTTGACAGCTACAAATTGTTGCAAATTGGCAAAAACTCATAAACTTCGGTATAATCGAGGATAACATACAAATGAGATAGCGTACTATTATTTATGTGAAAATAGGCAAAAATTGCTGAATTCTCTTTATGAAAAATTTCTATTAAATATGTCGCAAGTTACATTAATAATACGTAAAACGCAATATAATGAACTGAATATTATTACGAATGAAGTTTATTGAATTTAACAGGATTTTTCGATTAGATGAACTTTCGAAAGAATATTTTATCGTTTATCAAGTTTGCTTTCTTCATTTGCCAGTTAACAATTAACCGACTAAATTTTAAATAAATTCATAAGTAAACATTTTGTGCATCCGCCATAACGTCAAGAAAATAATTTGGCGCCACCGTATATATTAGGCTTGTTCACTTGATAGTAACACCCTGATTAGTATACTAATTTGTTTGAACAATTACATCTATAAATAACAGGCGTTTATTTCAAATTAATAAAGTAAAATATCGTCATAACAGCCAAAAAAGACATAGAAAGCACCTAGAAATACTTCTGAAAACTAGCACATTTTCAATGGATATGTAACTATGCCCGTAAGATACTCTTCTACAATATATCAATTAGCACGTCGGTTGATTTTTAAAAAATATAATATCCTCCAGCCTCTCTGGAACTAATGCATGTGCTTAGGAAATCTAAATATATGTTCTAGTGAAATATTGTCAATGGGCCCTCATTCTTGGTAAATAAATGCCTGTCTTCAAATATAAATAAAATTGCTTATCTTTATGTAAACGCCAGTAGCAGCTAAAATTTTAAGAGTTATTCTCTTCTAACGAATCACTGTTGAAGAATATAAATAATTGGGTATAATCTTTAATAATAAACGTACATTCGAAGTTTCCAAAGTTCTCCAAAAAGTTTAAGTTAAAAAAATTATCTGGGAAGCACTGGTTCTGAGTCATTTAAAGTACTATAATTTTGTCTATGGATACTGTTTGGATGTTTTGACTACACATAAATACCAAAGTGTCCAGAACTCATTGCAATCTTCCACATTGAAAATGATTAAATGTAGTCGTTAAATAGTCGAGTACAATTATATTTTGCTGGTTTTCTTTACAAACTACTAATAGTCCGTCATAGTTATTGGAAAAATGGACATTGCTTTCAATGGACTGTCAGTATGAAATACTCAAAATTAGGAAACTCGTTCTTGTATACATCTGCTAGACTGTTTAATCCATATCGTCAAATTATCATTAAGCGTATTTTTTCGTGTTTGTAATGTAATATTGGCATATCAAAGTCTTGTTACATGCTCAGCTAAGGTAATTTCACAGCTGTCTTAGCTTAAAATAAAGGCGGTTTTATTTATTAATTTTATTTAATGTTACACTAGCTGGTATTTTGAATTTTTTATGCATTGTGGAGAGAGTTGCTTCTATAATACTCCCCATGAGCAATGACAACCCTTATTACCTTATGACTTCACAATCTCCAGGTGTGAGATATGCTTTAATCCAATTCAAGTCATACATTCTAGAAAACGCTAAACAAAGGATTCAAGTGGGACCTAGAAGGAATTTTACAACAGCCTTATTTACGAATGTAATCAATGTAGTTGAAGTTTTCAGATGAAAGTGATATGTGCCTATTTCTGAACGCTAGTATAGTCTGGCTCTTCATCATGCTTTACCTGCCGACAGCAATAAAACTCTGGTCCGGTGGGCATTAAACCACACATAATAACATAATTTTTTTTGTTTATTTAGGTGGGTGTAATCTTATTAAATTACAGTAAGAAAAACGCAATGGCATTAAATATAAACAATAAATTCATAGCTAGGAATATCTATGCATGATTATATTTTTATTATGAAAGTCTAAATCTAATTCTGTTTCACTATCAAAGTCAGTCGCCATTGAGATTTATTATACTAGGTGGTCAATCTTCAAAACTGCTCAGCAACGGCAACATCGCGAGCACCGTAAAAAAAAAAGGTTGCCTGTAAAAAGGGATCGGCGCTGCCGACACTTAAGAGAGACCGCGGGACGCTGGGTCTCGACTTTACAACCCGTGCTAGCAAACGTTAAGCTTCGTTATTCATTTTCATATGTTTTTTCCCTTTTTTTTTGTTAGTTGTAAAAGTTTGTTAAGTTGTAAAAGTTAAAAAAATAAAGTTATCGAAAAATACAGTCCACTCAATCGAATAAGAATCAGCGCAGCAAATAACGTGGACCTACCTTAAAACCCACCATTAGGGTTTATTTTGTTTTGTATAGAAATGTAAGAGTCCTCAATTTTTATAATGTGCTCTACTGAAGTCTTCCAGCTGTCAATTGGTATGGTATTAATTACATTTTTTTTTTCAAATTTATAACACTGGGACTTAAAGTAGGAATAACATTTTCTGCCCTGACCTTTGATTTTACTTCTCTATGCTCTATGGGGTTAAACATGCAATTATATGGAGGAAGACGTAAAACAGACGGTTGTGGTTAGCTTGTGATATCCATGAAAATAATACTTTTATTGGTAATATTTTCTAAAAAATTATTTTGAAATCAATTTTCAAAAAGTTCGGCACTTGTATCCTAATGATAAGCGAAACTACAATCCTTAATATTCTTTACAGACGGCAAGCAGTTTGGGACAAATCCGTCTTCTGACCCAAAGGGTATTATGGTGATGCGTTTTCCTTTATTTCAAGTGTGTAATGTGTGATTCCATTACTACTACTTACTGTTTTACGGCACTTAAATTACAAACAACTCTATGGAGGGTGACAGAGGTTATATTGGTTTCATCTTCTTCTAGCTTTTTTTCAATTTATCCAAGGTAGGAACAACAAAATAGAAGACCAGATAATAGGGAAAATAGGTGAAGATCAAGCCGGTTTCACGGCAGGGAAGTCATGCGTTGATCAGATATATACGGTAAGGCAGACTATCGAAAAGAAAAAAGCTAAAAACAGAGACATCCATTTAGCATTCATAGATATAAGAAAAGCTTATGACTCTATACCCAGACAACAACTTTGGAAAGCAATGGAAGATATTGGGATAGAAAGAGAACTAATAAAAGCCGTAGATACAATGTACAAGAACAACGAGTTGTCGGTTAAAATAGGTAATAGGTACACAAATCGATTCACAACACCAAAGGGCCTACTACAAGGATGCCCTACATCAACAACGTTGTTTAAAATCTATCTTGAGAGGACGCTAACACAATGGAAAAGAAAATGTCAAGGTATGGGAGTCCCAGTACGCGACGACCACTTATACACCCTAAGCTTTGCCGACGACCAGGTGGTCATAGCCCAGGATGAAGACGACTTGAGTTACATGCTCAGAAAGCTGAAAGAGGAATATGAGAAGGTAGCTTTGGAAATAAACTTCGAAAAGACAGAATATCTAACAACAAAAGAAGGGGAAATCGAAGATTTAGAAATAGATGAAAACACAACCGTAAAAGCAACAGACAAATTTAAATACTTAGGGTGTATAATAACAAAAGATGGATCAACAGAAGAAGAAATCAAATCTAGACTAGGTCAGGGTAGAACATGTATAAAACAACTGAACTCCATTATATGGAACAAGAAATTAACAAAGAAAACAAAAACAACAATATTTAAGACAATAGTAGAAAGTATAATTACATACGGAGCAGAAACCTGGCTATTGAACAAAAAGAACAAATCTAAAGTAACCGCCGTCGAAATGGAATATTGGAGAAGGTGTTGCCAACGAACACGCATGGATAGAATACGTAACGCAGAAATCAAGAGGCAAATGAATGTAGAAAAAGACTTATTAACTACAATAGCAGAAAAACAGCTTAAATGGTATGGTCATGTCAGACGAAGTGACGATAGACGGTGGATAAAGAAAATCACAGAGTGGAGCCCTATGGGACGTAGAAAGAGAGGAAGACCCAGAAGATCGTGGAGGGATGAAATAGATGAAGCCATGGAGGAAAGGGGGTTGGAAGACGGAGATTGGAATGACAAAGATGAATGGAGAGTCTGGTTGAGAGAGGGAAAACGGCGCGAGCTGTAACAAACCCCATATATATATATATATATATATATATATATATATATATATATATATATATATATATATATATATATATATATATATATATATATATATATATATATATATATATATATATATATATATATATATATATATATATATATATATATATATATATATATATATATATATATATATATATATATATATATATATATATATATATATATATATATATATATATATATATATATATATATATATATATATATATATATATATATATATATATATATATATATATATATATATATATGTATATATATATATATATATATATATATATATATATATATATATATATATATATATATATATATATATATATATATATATATATATATATATATATATATATATATATATATATATATATATATATATATATATATATATATATATATATATAGGAACAACTTCGCTTTGATAAAGACATTATATTTTCCTTCTTATTAGGTTCTGATGACTAATATCTATGCGGTGAGTTTGAAAATCACAAAGTTTATTCTTTTTTTATCTACAATATTGGCGTTTTTGTAAATAGATAGGTTTCTTTTAAAGCTTCTTATTGAATGTATCCTCTACTGATTAAAGTTTTATTTTTCACAACCCGTTTTGCATCACGTGACAAATAATTTTGTCGCGATATTGTTATATTCTCGTAAAATAACTTTTTCGAAATGCACAATAAAAACGGTTATTCAACACTGCCACAAATGGTCAACACTCAAGAAAAATATCAGAAATAAAGAAATATACCTGGCCCACCCCTGCCTTGGCACTCAAGTCAGAATATTTTTTTTGTTAATGACTTTGCCCAATAACAATAGGTATAATACGATCAAAAATATAGTGACCTTAGCAGGACGGTGGTAAAACCCATCCCAACAGATGTTTATTCTGCATTAAGTAGGTCTAGGTAGGCAAGAGGTAGCTAAAATATCAGTACAAAGCTGATCTAACTGTGAAAAACAAGTAATAAACGAAGAAAATAAAAAAAATAATAAAAAAAAAGAAAATATTTTGATCATTAAACTAGGTGACGACAGTAGCGATAGTGACGATTTTTAAAGTGATACTTTATTATTATTGTATTTAATATTTTATATATTAATAATGATACGATGTAGAAATGCAATGAAATAGAAAAAAAAAGATTGAAATTATACTTATATCCCGCTTGTTAGTGTAGGTAGATAAATTCCTAGGACGGTCCTGGAATGGTTACGGGGTCTGCTCGGCAGGGTGTTCTATAAGGTACTAAGGTTTTGGAGTAATAAATAGTAGGCACAGTTAATCAAGGAGTCGATTGTAAAAGCACTATATTTCTGGTCGAAGTATAACAACATCGTTAAAGTTTTATTGGGTGGGATCCGTCCAAAGCCAACACCATAAAGACTGAGACAGACTATACCTGCTGCACCAGTTTACATGTTTGTTAAGAACAATTTAAGTGCCGCTTAACTCGGCCACGAACCGGCACTGCCTAACAATCGAATACCTCCTCATTCCTCTCTAATTAATCGAAACGGCAATGAATTGCATTTGATCGTTTAGTCGTCGGTAGAGAATGCTATCATGAACGTCACGTTATAATCAAAGAGATTAAATTGTTTGTTTGGCCACAATGAGTATCGGAGCCGATACAATTTGCATGTCAAAGCGCAAGTGTTTTTTCAGAAATTTATCAATTAAGTAGCTCAACTCCTTATCGGGACATATTCCATTAGAATAAAAATCACGTACGCTAACGAATTCGGGCTTTTTGTCTTGTTTTGCGTTTAAAAGTCATTGACTTTTTCGATGCCTAACCAGTTCTGCTGTATCCGAAAAAGCTAGCGGCGAGTGTTTTGGGCGTAGATCATTAATAGGTGCTTCTCAACCTCGTGTCTGTCGCCTGGTTCTTGAAAAATTGCCAAAAATATCACCGGTAAGTTTTAATTTTACAAAAAACACCTTACATCACCCAAATTGTTTTTCTATTTTGCGTTGAGGCTATTGTCATCTCGTTAATACAGCAATGGGACTCACTGGGTGAGCTAAGCTTAAGCGGTGAAGTATTTAGAATAAATTATATTAAAAAAATGAAACACATGTTTTTTGTCTTTTAAGTGTTTCGTATTTCACTTTTTTATTAGAAAAAAATTAATCAAAAATTCTACAATAGATTTATTGATACTACATTTTCTGGGAAAAAATCTAAGTTACTAGAAATGGGTCTCAACTTTAATTTAAAGTATTTCTGTCTCCACAAACAAATAAATAAATAAATCAACATAACAGTTAGAAGGTTGTTTGGGGTATAAGCGGCAATAACGACCCTAATTTAAACAAACACAACAAATTTCATAAAATCTCAGGCTACAACTAACAATTAAATTGAAAATGAATTAAAAATAAAACTTCTTAAAATAACATAGTATTTACAGAAGTAGATAAAGGGATACCCATTTATTCCTTAGAATATATTTCAAAAACCAAACATTTTCTTGAACCAGACTTTTGCCAACATGTACAATATGAACCCACTGAGTTACATCAAGAACAAATTAAAGCATTAATTCAGTAGTCTTTAATAACAAAGAGAATCATCTACAAACAATTACTATGCCAATTAAGCCTGTAGATTCTTTTGTAACAGCTGACCTATACCCAAGATTATTAAAAAATTTTAGATCCTCACACTTCCTTCAAACCTAAATTTGTTATTAAAAATTCGTTCGAACTAGTCCACAAGGTTAAATCCCCCATAATTATCTTCTATTTTCTTTAGAGATAATATTCTTTCTCAGAAACATACTAGCCCCTTCATGAAACAAGATTTAATAGATCGTTAAGAACAATATTATTTTGAATTTAATAACCAAATTTACTTTTCTAAAGAAATAATTATGGAAAACTGACTTAGACCACTACTTGCAGAAATTTTCATGAATAATTCATAAAATATACATGAGCATTCTCCGATTAAACGTTTTTTTTTTGGTGGTATAGATACGTAGATGATGTTTTTGCCTGTTTCACTGGAACTGAAAGACAACATACCTTTTTGGATCATTTTAGCTCATTACTAGTCGCATAAAATTCACCATCTAGACGGAACAAAATAATTTTTGGAATTCTCGTTTGACTATAACTAAATCACAAATCACCCTTCCACACGTTCTTTAATAGAAAGTTTTGAAAAAACATTATATATTATCAAATAGCTGTTTACAACAATGGTTGCGATTCCTGTTTGATAGATAAGATCATAACTAAAAACCAGTTTTTAAATAACTTTGAACTCTGTTTACACCTTATTAAATACCGATTCTAAAGTTTTTAGGCCATACAATACAGGTCAAGAAAGTTTCTGAAGGTCCTAAGTTTGAATGTAATTTTGATTTTTACATAGTGCCTAAAAAAAACAGAAATTATTCTTATTGGAAGTTATGGAGAATAACAAAAGGATATATTCGAATTTATTATGTTTATGGGAGTAGATTGTAATGTTTTGTATTTGATAAAGGCACTGCTTAAGGCCTACAGGCTGATAACGCGTTTTTAAAAGAATAATTAGAATTCACGATATGTATTTTATTTCGTTACTAGGATGTCACTAGAACCACTCAAAAAAGTCCCAAAATTTATCCTAATTCATCTTCTAAATAAAAAAAAACCAGGTCGCACAATGAGTATAATAGCTGTTTTATCCTTACGGCCAAAATAAGAAACACGACTCTTTTTTTCGTACATATTATTGGTTTTCCGTATATGTTTATGTATAAGCTAAGTATATTTATATTTAGCTTTCTAACAAGTTGGCTTTGATTTTATGAAATAAAATTACGTCTTAAAAGACAAACTATATTAATGTTGTTTTTTGTTAAAAAGTTAAATACAATTTGGCGCATTTATTAATACACATTAGCCTCTGAAACTGTTTTACTATTTTTCCCACAAAGAATATACGCTTCTGATATATGGCACTTCTCTAAGTGAGTGAAAATTTATCATTTTAAATCCCAATTCACATTTAATAGTTATCACAAACGATGCGTAAGAGGTTGTTCTGCTGTTAAAAAAGAAGAAATATATTACTTCCTTTTTAACAGCAGAATTTTGACTCATTTAGAGAAATGCGATATATTTTTAAAAGCAGAACAACCTCTCACGCATCGTTTGTGAGTTTCATTTTGGACGTACTGCCATCTTTTAAAACACATAAATATGTTAATAATTCGATTATTATTATTTTTAGGCCAATATTGTTTTAGAACCCGTATGTTCTATGGAAGGTTTGGCCGATATAGAGATACTGGTCATTTGATTTTTTAAAATGTAGCTTACTGATTTATTTAGAAATCAGATGTTCACATATTTTTCTGTATTTGTCATCTTAATCGACTTACGAATCGGTTTCCACTTCAAAGCATCCACAATGGCACTACTGGCTTCTGGTAACTCATCGGTGTTGCCAACCCTGTACGAGTATTACACCGCAGGAGGCATAACCTCCGGCCTGTCGGCCGACAAGAGCTACTTCACCTTGAACGAAAAAAATATCACCCTGTATAGCGGAGCTATGCACTACTTTCGCACGCCGAAAAAGCTGTGGCGCGACCGACTTAGAAAGTTAAGGGCTGCCGGTCTGAATTCGGTTGAGACTTACGTGCCATGGAATTTACACGAACCCTCACCAGGTATTTTATATTTTTATAATAATAGTTAAGGAGAAGAACCACCACTAGATTGTATCAACCCCAGATTATAAAAAGCACCAAAAGAAAGAAGCTTAGACCTAAAATTTTTACTTTTCTTTTCAGGTATGCAACTTAAATTAAAGAAATATAATTATAATAAAAACGAAACAAACGTGATTATATTTTTAACAAAACAGTATAAAGTAACTTTGCCAAGTTAAACCTTCACGAAACTACTTTAAATAGGGAACCCGAAACAAAATCCTTTTGGTTTTATATCATCGAATTATTATCATGAGAAAACATATTAACTCGGTATATCTAATGCTTGGAACGGTGGTATATAATAACAATAATAATAATAATAATAATAATAATAATAATAATAATAATAATAATAATAATTAATAATAATTCTTTCGAAATAATCCTCATAAAATGCATCAAGCGAAAGTCAAAGCTTACACGCCCTTAAATCTAGCCGAGGAAAACTATATTCCATTCCCACTAAGAACAGTGGAAGACAAAATGGCCACTTGGAATGCAAAGGAGCTCCATGGCCGATTTAGACACGACACAAATCAGGAAAATATTGACTCAGAAGCATCTCTACAGTGGATTAAAACAGTGACCGATGCCGAAAGTGCAATGAGAATCAAAAAACTATAGAGCACATACTATCCGCGTGCCCAAGATTTGCACCAACAAAATATTTGGAAACACACAACAAGGCTGCTGCAATTATATACCTGGAAATCCTTAAATCCATAGAAATCACTCCTCCAAACGAACGAAACGTATAAACCTCCCCCTGTGCTTGAAAAGGGATAGATAAGAATCTACTGGGATAAAGCTATTATTACAGACAAAACAACACCACATAACAGACCAGATATAACAGTAATAAATAAACAAAGAAACTCAGCAATGCTAATAGACATATCTATACCCAACGTCCATACTAAAGATATAGAAAAAGTAGAGAAATATACTCACTTTAAAAGGGAAATCCTGGAGATGTGGAGCCTCGATGAAGTAAAAATCGTACCAGTCATCATGTCATCCACAGGCTTGATGCCAAAAATTTGAAAGGAAGCATTCAACAAATTGGCATTCCATGGAATACTTACAAACTGATGCAGAATTCCGGCATACTGGATGCCACGCATATCGTCCAATCATTCTTCGAGGAATAACAAGTTTTGCAGTCCTGCCTAGGGGTCGACTGTAGAGTATACTCCGGTTCACAACCAAAAGAAAATAATAATAATAATAATAATAAGACTCAGGGAATGCACCCGAATGCATCGAATGAACGAACGAGCTCAGGACGATCTTCTAGATGCATACGAAGGAAGCGAGTCTAAGCAATCTCTCACAACAACGTTTTAGAGATTTTGCGGCATATATGAGAAGATCAGGGTAGTTCACGACCCCACAGCTTCCTCGAAATTAACTGCTAATCCTCCTCATGAAGAAGAAAAGGAGCCTGAAACAACCGATATCCCTATTATCCCTCTGACGTCCGACGATGACCTAATGGACCGAACCGGTATCAATATCAAGTTTCATCATAAGGCAGAAAATATTGCATGCGTAAACGCTGAACTTCCACAAGATATTTTGGCACTTAACAAATCGAAGAAAATCGAACGCCAATAAAATCTACCTGGCTAGACAACGGACGTCTCGTTCACAGAGTTTGTTAGATTTCCTCTCCACTAACAGACATTTTACGGAAAAAGTGAGAAAAGATGCTGTAAAACTTCGGCAGCAACACCACACACCGTATAAAATCATTGGGTGTTATGAAGAACAGTTTAATGAAAAAGGCTAGAAGAGGTATCAGAGATAACCACATTTTCAGAATAAAACTATTGAGTCTATTCCAGGACCCTGTACCCAATATGAACGAACCGCCAGTATCACAAGTAGAGAATTTCTGAGAGAAATCTATGAGACAGCGACACCATTACAAGCAAACACTACCGCACTGATCAACTTCAGAAAGTATTGTCAAAACATGTACCTACATTGACATGACAGCACACGAGTTTCAAAGGAGGAAGAGAAAAAAGCCCTTGCAGTTGTCAGAAATCATTCTGCACCGGGCTCAGATGGGATTAACAACTTATATTGAAAGAAATTCTCCAGCACCCATCAACATCTAGCTATAATTTTATGGTTTGTTGAAGGGAGAACAGAACAACTTTAATACCGAAAAAGGGCAAAACATGAAGTCTGGAATGAGAATTTAATGATAGAGAGATGCATTACACAAGATTCGATTCAATACAAACATAAGCCTTTGATACAACCTCACAAACACTTATAATACATCTGTTAGAAATGTTTGAAGTCCCCGTTCCTCTAATTCGTTGCATACAACACTCAATGCCGCTTTGGTGAACAAGATTTTCCTTATAAATTGGAAAGAGTAAGTTCTCGGCAGACCCTATAAGTTTTAGGAAGGGTGTATTCCAAGGCGATTCTCTAAACGCATTGCTCTTCTGCATTTCGTGGCTTTCTCTCTCCGTGTCCGTTTGCAAGACTCGTGGCCATCATTATCGACCACCGGAAAATAGAACGCATAAAGTCATTCACCTTTTTTACATGAATGACTCGATGCTCTACGCTACTAGTCAAAGAGACCTACAACAGTCTGTAAAGGTGGTCCAAAAATGTTCCAGAGACATAGATATGAAGAAGCGAGCAACTGTCTGACGAAGCAATACTGCACCACCTTGTAGACAACAAACCATATATGTATCTCGGAGTCAACCAACACCAAACATAAGACACCTAGAATGTGAAAACAAGTCTAAGAAGTAGGTATAGGCAGTGCAAACGGAAGTTATGGCAATCGGATGGCATCAATAAAGTGACCGCTACGAATATGCTTGCAGTGCCGGTGCTTCTAAGACTAGATCAGGAAGACAAAGGTCTGGAGTGTCTGCAGGATAGACTTGTCTTGGGCGTTGCCTGCAAAATTGCCAATACTGTTGACCCACTTTTAAGACTCGTAGGGGATGTCGAAGCATTCCTCTTTAGAAGAAGTTCTGAAATCCCAGATTAAGAAAGCAGGATAACAAAGGCTCCAAGAAAACCACGTTAGTAAGCCGCATGGATTGTTCTACAGGCATCTCCAGACTCTGGACCTACCCAGGAGAATCACTTTCGGATTTCCAAGATCTGCTGGCCTTATGTCTGAGACTGAAGGATATCTGCTTGGCCGTTAACACCCCCGCAAATAGTAGGTCATTTCTGTAACTTCGCTGACATTAGCTGCAGGACCCGAGATGCTTATGCAGTTTCGAGCTATATCTACCGGCATAACGAGGCTCTTCAGATGCTTTACTATTACTTGAGGCATTCCCACGGTATCGATGAAACACCGGTGCTCCCATACGTTCCAGGTGATATTGAAAAAGTAGTGAAAAACAATAACTGGACATAGTTCTGTTGGATAAGCGAAGTAACTCGATGTTTGTTCCAGCAGAAACCAACATCGAAATCAAAGAAATGGAAAAGTGATCGAAATATGTAGAGTTTATTGGCAAGTTGCGCAGGTTATATGCCGAATGCACAGTTCATTTTGTGGTCCCAATCTTTGGCGTATTGGGGGAACGAGAGACACATTAGTGAAGCAATTAAAGAGAATACCGACATATACCTTAAAGGAGGAGGAAATAAACTACATTTTGGACATCGGTGTACTCCTCCCCAACAACATAACGAAAAATTACACAGAAAAAATAAATAAATACTTACCGTTGGCCGATGAAATTAAGAAGATGTGGAAGATGGATAAAGTAGAGGTGGTTCTAATAATAATCTGAGCCGCAGGCGAAGTCCCAAAAATTCTGTAGGAAGGCTTGAAGAGATTAAATCTAGAACCTAAACTTTACTTGGAAATTCAAAAATGAGTTATATTAGAGACGTGCAGTATTGTGAGGAGAATCCTTCGAATACAGGAGTAAAGGCAATGCCATCAGAAAGCTCACCAACAGCAAACTGATGTGACAGCTTGAAGCACCAGGAAACCTATGAAATTAATATAATAATAACAATAATAATAATAACGGTCTTTTTTAAGATTACATGGCCGAAGCCTGGTCTTGCAGCAACTCACAAGTAATCCTTATGTAAATACAATCTACACATTTCAAGTAAAAGTCAGCATAAAACCGTAATAATAACTAAAACTTAAATTTACACTTGATTTTGGCAATTTAGTTATTTTGCTCGGGAAAAAGTCAATGCCTTTTTAAATAAAAGCTAAAAGGTTTGCATGGATCGGGAAATTTTGAACTAAGAACCTGATATAAGGAGTTGATCAAAATTACAGCATTATATGTAAAAGAACATCGAAATTTTACGGTTCTATCTAACGGCATAGTAAGCGTCGCTCGGTGTCTCAAATTCAGGTCATGACTTGATTTCCTAAATACTAATTTGTCATCCAAATATTTAGGAATGCTGGAATAGTGTACGCGGTGTTTGTTATTTGGTTTTTAAAAATAAAGAAGAACTTCAAATCTTGTAAATTGTTTATTTATATTTTTATTTTAGTCTTTTATATTAAGTGTATTATATTATGTAAGTATTAGAAAAAGATCATCAAGAGACTAGTTATTATAACAATAACGAAATTTTTCGAGCGAGACTCATAAAGCAGTTTTTCTGGCCCCATTTCGTCGTATGTTACTGCTTACTTTTGAGAGTAGTTGTAATTGAAATTGAAAAAAAGAATTGTTATCATTTACTTTTATGCTACCTGGTCAGTTACCAAAGGATACTGTGACTGCCGGTACCCACCAATCCAATTTTACTGGATTTACAGTCTTCATAGTTGCTGTCCTATAACCTGTGAAGTAAAAAAGATAAGTGATCATCAAACTTCAAAAATCTCTAAGTTTTTGCTAGAACAAATTTGAAATAATTGTCAGAGAATCTCTCGTTGAAATTTTTAAAATTAATCACCAGCTTTAAATGTTTTATAAAATACTTCACGATCACTAAATATATGCACGTAGTCAGCATGCAGCGTATAAACGCTTGGAAGAGTCAAAAGTCAAAAAACATCTGTCATCACAACACCATGTGATTTCTAATCTCTCTATATATCTCTAGATTTTTTTACTTTAGAATTGGAGTGTTATGTGTGGTATAGCTTCCCTAATTAAAATAATGCATTTGATATTCATCTTCTTTAAGTTTTGGTATTGTCTTTAAAAAGTTTTCTAGAAAAAAAAAGCTGGAAGTTGGGAATGATCCCAAATATTAACGATGCATCAGAATATGACAAACCAATACCCATAGCGAAAACTATTTTTACCCACTGCAATATGGAATTGATTAAAAAGAAAAACTGCAGTAGATCTCTCAAAATTTCGAAATTTTAGGAAACTTCGATTTCGGTCACGGCGGAAGCGACATGGAAGATTTTCTCGACATCGCCGGGTTCTTAAAAACGGCTCAAGAAGAAGACTTACTCGCCATAGTCAGACCGGGACCGTACATCTGCGCCGAATTCGAGTTCGGTGGTTTCCCCAGCTGGTTGCTCAGCGGCGTCAACGGCGAAGTCAAGTTCAGAACGTCGCAGAACACATATATGGATGCAGTCAAGAGGTGTCCCACCGAAATATCCAGAAGAAAAGCCCCAATTACTGCGAAACTTTCCTTTTAGATTCTTCAACGCTTTGTTGCCGATCCTAGCAGCTCTACAGTTCGTAAACGGTGGCCCGATCGTGATGATCCAAGTGGAAAACGAGTATGGGAGTACTGCTTCAGATTCGTTCCAGCCGGATCAGGAATACCTGAGAGAGCTGCGTAAATTATTCGTAAAAAACAATATCAACTCGTTGCTAGTGACGGCGGATGGTGTGGCAACATTTGGCAGCAGCGGAAGTTTGCCCGACTACTTCTTATTAACTGCCAATTTTGAGGGTAGGAAACGCATACTCGCTGCGCAGTAACGTCAATTTTTTGCTCGTAGGTGGCCCCTACGACTCGTTTCAAGCGCTCCAAAGGCTGCAACCCGACAGACCGAAAATGGCAATGGAATTTTACCCCGGTTGGTTTGATCACTGGGCCGAGGACCATCAAACCAGATCCGCGTCAACTTTCATAAGTAATTTGGAGCAGATAATTCAGTACCCGGGTTCGTTTAATCTTTACATGATGCACGGAGGTACCAGCTACGGGTTCATGAACGGAGCTAATCTTAATAACGCTGCGACCGACAACAGCGGTTTCCAACCAGGTTAGATCCGGTCTCGCCTTAAATGCCGCCTAAATTTCAATATTCCAGATACGACCAGCTACGATTACGACGGCCCACTCACCGAAGCAGGAGATTACAGCGTTAAATATGACTTGTTGAGAGACCTCTTGGTGAGATCGGCGAACCCCAAAACAAAAATTCCCGACCAGCCGGAATTGGTACCCAGGGTAGCGTACTCCGCTATTTCGGTCGAGGACTATATCCCACTGAAAGCGCTCGTAGACGACGAAGCTCCGAAATTTGAATTCGAGAGGCCCGTCGCCATGGAAACGCTACCCATCAACAACGGTTCGGGTCAGAGCTACGGATACATCGTCTACAGAAAAGAGAACGTCGATCTGAAAGCTGGATCGATTTTGCAAATTCAAGGGCACGTCTGCGATACAGTATTAGTTAGTAGAAGCGACATCTGCACCTTTGGGGAACTAAAAGTTTAATTTTTAGTTATTGGTGAACGGCAAGCTTATCAACCCTACGCTAAAGGAGTCTCAAGATCTTAACGGGTTCGGGTTCTGGCGCCAAGATGGATCGAAAGTGACCCTGAGCGATGTGTCTCTGAGCAGCGCAACCGTAGACTTGGTGGTGGAGAATTGGGGAAGGGTGGGCTACGGGAAATTACCCCAGTACAACCAACGCAAAGGCTTGTGGCAGGGCGATGTGTTGATTGATGGAAATGTGATTACCGATTGGATACTTGCGCCTCTAGAGTTTAAAAAGTCTTGGACCAATCAGCTGGCGACGTGGAAGCCGGTCAGCGGTTATACGGGACCCGGACTATACAGAGGTGATGGAATTGATTATTTTAAAATCATCTCCCGAGTGCATTATTTATGAAGTTGTTTGCTTTTTTAGCTTACCTAAATGTCGAAGAGAGCCCTAGAGACACGTATATAGACATAAGAAATTGGAAAAAGGGTATAGTAATAGTAAACGGATTTGTCTTGGGAAGGTATGCCAGGATCGGTCCCCAGCAATGCCTGTATTTGCCAGCGCCGCTCATAAAAGCAGGACGGAACGAGATTGTGATCTTCGAGCATTACGAAGCGTCCGATGAGGTCGGGTTTTCTACAGACCAGATTTACCAATCGCTGTGATAGCATTTATTTTATTTTTTGAATAAATCGTTTTGGATTCGAAGTCAGTGTTTTCCTTGCATACGAAAATAATTCACCCGCTTAATACCAAACAAATCACTAACCAAAAAATTGTATAGATTAAAATACAAGTTTAAAGTCATTATTTCATTTCATTTCATTTTTAAACCTAACCACTAAAACCAATGGTGTCAATTGCGGTTGTCTGCATGTTCATTCTCTTTGTCCACTTGAGTCTGCAACAGCGCCTAAAAAAACGATTTCGAAAATAATTATATGAATATATTTTCATAGAAAATTGAATTCTTTATAGAACAAATTCTGATTGATCAGATGAGCGGTTTCCAAGAAATCATCGTTAATAAGTTTTATTTTATTTAACTTTTCTATTTTGGAATTTCGTAACTAATAAACAACTAAATATTCAAATAAGAAAAATATCGGTTTTTAAAGAAAATTTGATGCACTACAAGCAAGGTTTCTTAAAATTTTTGCAATGCAATCACTAAAAATAATTTTAATAATAACAATTGTGTTGCTTCAATATTGAAAATTATATGCTGATATCATCAACAAGGACAACGGTTTTATAGCTGACAAAGTAGTAAATTTTTTGTTTCTATATTCTTATCAGTATACATTTATTTTAAAGTATAGGGTGTTTCAGTTTTCAGACTTGCGAAGTATCTCATTTTAAATATAGAAACTGCTTTGTGCTACAAAATTTTACTAGTGTGTTTCTGTTTTGAGAGACATTTTGAATATTCAGATGTGTGTAGATGGATTTTGAAGATATTGCATTTTGAATGATCGCATTGTTCTCCACCATTACAATTAATTAACTGAATATATTACAGGGTGTTCTATCGTTACTTGTAAAACAATAAACCAGGCACTAAATTCCACGGAAAAATTCATATTAAGGAACCGTTAACTTTTCTAGAAGTTATCAAACAAGGAATTAAGCGCTCTCTGCTTTGGTTATTGAAAATGGTGATTGTCTTTCTAATAATTTCCGCAAAAGGTGCCGTTGTTAATCTGGCAACGTCATTCCGCTTAACAACCTGTTGCCTTTCAATGACGTCGATGTTTATTTACCGGTTTGTTTGTCAGCGTTCGTTTTCGATAACTTAATCTGTATTTTGATAAATAGGACGATGGTAATCTGGACGTTAAAATTGTGATAAAGAAGCGTTTAAGGCTCAACAATTAAATATTGATAAAAATGTTAGTCCCTTTGCAAACCATTGAAGAACCTGGGGAACTACAGGCCATTCCCACCAACCTTCCCTTAAGTTAGAATAACTAGAGAACAACAAAATTTTAGGCACAGGTTAGGGAAGATCTAAGCTTGAGTTTGTTGGACCGTTCGTATTTCGGCTTTCCCCAGTGGAACATGACGGCAGAATCAAAGTTTTAATCTCATTTTTTTGTAAACACGCATAATATTTGATTTAAGATTTAGATTTAAGAAAGAGTTTTGCTTTCTTTCTTTTGTGGTTTTACTATACAGTAATAAAGTGATAAAAATACACAAAATATTTCGATATATTTGGAAGAAAAATAATGCGGAAAGGAATTGCTAAAACATTGATTAAAAAATATGTCATATATACTTTTAATTGATGTCCCTTGTCAATTTTTTGGGCATCCCTCAACAGAATCTGGTTCTTATAAGTAAAACTACTCAAAAATAATGAAGTCACTCGGAGCTATTAAAACTTCAAAAAAAAAATATGTGCCGCAAAAGACGTTATGTGTGTTATTATCAGGATTAGACAGAAAAAGAAGCTAAGCAGCTTTTACCAAAATGTTCCATATTTCTCTAGAGTTTTTTCTGTGCTCAAATGGTAGGATAATAATACAACGCTGGTATTAGACGCTATTTATCTTTAACTGTATCTTCTGGTAAACAATTCTATGAACTTTTTGCATAGTTACGTTACCAAAATTAGAGAATAATTTTCAAAAATTCCCACCTTTTGCAAACGAAAGTCTCACCTAACGGTGACTTGTTGACGAACATATCGATCAACTTTCGCAGATAACACAAGTGTTTACAAAAATTTGATTGCATTCGGTTCGCGATAAGCTCATATAAAACGAGTCAACGGTCGAAAGAGTTCGTTCAACTACGATGGCGAAGGTGGCGATACTGGTCATGATAGCTCTGCAAGTTTTGGCGGGAATCCATTCGGAAGACCTGCCCAAGAACTACGAGTACTATGCGGGTGACGGGATCGTGTCCGGTTTGAACGCGGACCAGAGGTATTTCCTACTCAATGGCAAAAACATCACCATATTTAGCGGGGCTTTTCACTATTTCCGCGTGCACAAATCCTCTTGGAGGGACAGGCTGCGGAAAATGAGGGCGGCAGGTTTGAACACGGTCGAAACGTACGTCGCATGGAATCTGCACGAATATAAATCCGGTAAGCGCGGGATCAATTCAAGCTGATTTTCACAAAGAATCAATAAGCGTAATTTAGATTTTGGCAAAATTTTATTGTAATATGTTTATATAACATGTTTCCGGAATAATTTGATTTTAAGATCACTTCCGATAATTACATCTTTAATTTTTTAATTATATGCAACAAAAACTAGTTAAATTGAATAAAACGCGATGACCTCGAAGTGCAGTAGGCAAGTTTTATTTGTTTTATTGTTGGCAGCGTGGTTTCTAGTGATAAGGGGCTGATTTGGCCCTAACCAAATAAAAATTAAACAGGGACTTTTTAAAATTTATTGATAAAAATGTTCGCCTCAGTCTTCAGTTTAATTTCGATGATTTCCTTATACAGAGCTACTAAAAAACTACTTTTTCGTCCCTATAATTCTTCTCATACTTTGCATAGTTACCAAACTAAACTAACTAACTAAATAAAAATTAAGCAGAGATTTTTAAAAATTTATTGATAAAAATATTCGCCTCTGTCTTCAGTTTAATTTCGATGATTTCCTGAGACAGAGCGATTTACATGACTACTTTTTCGTCCCTATAATTGTTCTCATACTTTGCATAGTTACCTAACTAAATAAAAATTAAACAGGAACGTTTTAAAATTTATTGATAAAAATGCTGGCAAAATAAATAAGAACTAAAAGTTTAAATTTTCACGAAATTATTATTATTTTCACATGACAATTGTTTGGACAACACCGTGTGTTTATCACATTTGATAAAGACACGGTGTTGTGTGAGACAAAGCGACTAAAAAACTAATTTTTCGTCCCTATAATTGTTTTCATACTTTGCTTGCACTAAACTAACTAACTAAATAAAAATTAAATAGGGACTTTTTAAATCAGATATGGCTAGAAATATTTGAAATACTGTCTAGGGCTTTAACAAACTGCTCCATCAAGCGAAGTTTGATATGAAGAGGAGGCACTAAAACTTTTTGGGGTAAACTACCCAAATACACTTTTGCTACTTATCTTAAAAGCTGTAAAGATATAGGTTTTCTTATTACTGAGTCTTTCAGGGACAGGGTTTGTCCAGTAGCTTTGAAAAAGGCAGTTGTAACAACACAGCCACATGCGAGCATTCTTAAGTAACATCACAATCTAAATATGCTCTACAGGAATAGATATTATAATTAAGCAATACATATTTGAAACAAAATGATGCGTTTAGTTGGTTCCAAGTGACTAGGAAGGTGGTTAATTTAATTAAACGACACTTTAGTGAAGAGTTTATTTGGCACGAGCGGAGCGAGTGTATAATTAGGAATTTTATAGAAGGGAGTACTAAAATACTGTATTAGGCAGCACAAAGTGTTAACGATAATCATGATCCATGACACCAGCTTAAATTAATGTTCAAATATTCTCCATAACAAAAGTGCATGTCAAGACACCAAGACCCTTGAAAAGTTCAACTGGAAGGGCACTAACAATAATGTTTGAAGGATGGTCATTTAAGTTGTTAATTTATTTTCTTTTTGAGTGCTATCTTGGCTTTGGTTTACAGCTTACAGTTCAGAAAAAATCAAGATTACATTTTTCCAATAATGAGCTTTTTTGAAATATCTGCTCTTTAATGTGTCTTGCGAATGATTTTAATCTTCGTTCGCTTCATCTTCATCAAATGATTTACCAAATTTCAGTTTATTATTTGACAAATTCTTGGACAAATTGACTCGTAGTTTAGATAATATTATGATGATTATTTTTGGTCGTAAAATGGTCCTAAAATGACCCTAATAAAACCTAGTCTTGCCTGAAATGGACAAATTTAAGACAAATGGCTGATACATTAATTTGTTCTTCAACATTTTAGGTGTATTTGACTTCGGCAATGGAGGTTCGGATTTCGAAGAGTTCCTCGACATCGCTGAGTTTTTGAAAATAGCGCAGGAAGAGGATTTGTTCGCGCTAGTGAGAGCCGGCCCTTATATCTGTTCCGAATGGGAATTTGGTGGTAAGTGCTACGTAACAACGAAAAACCAAATTCTAGTTCAAGAAAATTCTTGTCGGTCTCTTGAAGTAGATAGGAAATTTTAAAAATATTTTGTGCATTCTTATATAAGTGCAGTTTTATAAAAGACTATTTTAGAAAATATTAAATAAAATAGTGTTGGGATATTTTATTCAAATTCTCTGTAGTGAAGTTTGATTCTCCAGGCAATTTAGAATATTCATCGTAAAATTAGTTTGATGCTTAATTGTGAAAAAAAAATTATAGATTCAATAAAATTATATCTTCTAACCCACCAGTTAGCAATCTATTCAGATAAAGCACCTGAATTAACCTAATTTATTATTATTTTGTCATGCAATAATTGAAAAAATTGAAAAATATATATCTGACTGTTGAGAGACAGCAATCATTATGACATTAAAAAGAAAATTTCATTTGTTGCGTTGCATATTTTTTAATGTCTTCTTATACAAATTAATTTGAAACCTTTCTTTGGCGCTTATCTAAGGGAAGAATTATCCTATCCAATGACTACGAGAAAGTTCATTGTGCTCTCAAATAAGATAAAGTAGGAGAAAAAATAGGGAACAGATCTTCTTGTTGATACTACAGAGCAGTTTGCAAATATAACAGGCAGGACAAAAAAGAAAAAAAAAGAAAACTTGATGACGCAGCAGTCCTGCATCTTCTTTCAGGATTGCCGAGTTGGTTACTGCGAGAAGAAGGCATAAAATTAAGAACAAGCGACCCCGTGTACCTGGAGTACGTTTCCAGATACTTCTCCGAACTCGTGCCCATTTTGGCGAAACTCCAGTTCACCAACGGAGGCCCAATAATCGCGCTGCAAGTCGAAAACGAATACGGAAACACTGGGAATAGCGATCCCGATTATTTACACGCTCTCAAGGATGTAAGCCCGTTTAATTAATTAAATTGATATGTTCTAAGTGAGATTTTACGCCCAGCTTTACATCAGCAACGGCATCAAAGAACTACTGTACACGTCTGATCCGGCGAGTGCTGGAACTAGAGGAGCGCTAGCCAACGAACTGCTGATGACAGCCAATTTTAATAATGATCCGTCTTGGAATTTGAACACTTTGGATTCGCTGCAGAGCAACAAACCGACCATGGCGATGGAGTACTGGTCAGGTAATTTCATTAGTAGTCTTTATTTTTAGTTATTGTTGAGGATTCTATTTGCACAACAATGGTGCACAACTGAGGAATTTAATCTTATCTAAAATTTGACTGAAAACTTTGAGAGGAAGATAATTTACCAGGTACTTAATTTTGGAGAAGGCAAAAAAATGTTTTAGATAACATTCTACTTTTGTGGGTTTGCAGACCACAGAAGAATAATAATAACTTTTAATAAATATTTTTGCTCTTGCTGTAATTCCCACATTCCTACATAAACGAAAAGAATGTCCACCTAGCGACGTTGATGCTATTTTGGTGGTTTTGATTAGTTTGGATTAAAAGGAGTGCGAATTGAATAGCATTTAAATATCTTGCTTCGTTGCTGAGTTGTATTTCTTTGATAAAAGTAGATAAAAATGAGGGACTATTAAAACAAGTCAAATAAGTAAAGTATTCTACTTAACTAACTTTGGAAAAGTTACTTACTTAGTACGTCATCATACTTTTCTTCATGACGGTACGGTATATTGTGTAATTTGCCAGAGGGTTCAAAAATATTATTTAGTTCTCCACATCATGGTCTCCTGAAATGTAGATCCACATTAAACGTCTATTTCTTGACCTGCCTAGACCGTAAGTTGCTATTGGGAAATCTTGAATTATATGGCTTGGTTGAAATCATTTATTACTGGGAGATCTCACAGAGTTTGCCTGGAGGCTAATGGAAGCCGGATTCTTTCGGATTCAATCATCATAGTGATTGCCGGGACAGTATTCAAATTCTTTCCTTTTTCTAGTATATCAAGGACTCCTCTAGCTTGGTAAACTTTCTCGATAACTCTGATATCATAGTACAGAGCAATGGAAAATGAATGAACTCCCACTGAACCATGATAAGTATCTTCTCATATGCTTCAGAAATTAATAATCTCAAGATCTTTACAAAATCAATAAACAAACCATCTCTCGGAAATCATTGAGTTCTTTAATTCTCTTCGTTTTTTAAGAGAGGTTTTTTAGCTAACTTTTAAAGCATAATGAGTTGTGGTCTCATATTCTGGGGGAATGCTCCAGTCAAGCTCTGAAGAAGCCAACAGGATGATTGGCGAAACGTCAGCAATTTCGACTAAGCAAAAACCGACGCAGGAGGAATCCGGAAGTTTTATAAAAAGCATTACAGTAGCCTGTGGAAGTTTCTAATAAAAATTAGTAGGGTCCTTCAAGATATTTATTTAGATAGTTAGTAGGATCTTAGTTTTGATGAGATATTAAACCAAACTAAATTGAAAGCTACCTGGGCATACAAATAATTAAGATTTTTTTCTTCCTACATACCTTACCTCCTACTACAGGGTGGTTCGATCATGTGACCGAAGACCATCATACGGTGGACATCAACACTTACAAAAGTGTCTACGAAGGTATCCTCTCGCATCCCGCTTCCGCTAATATATACATGTTCGTCGGCAGTACCAATTTCGGCTTCACCAATGGTGCCAATTCGTTGTACGGGGGTACGGACAATTCTGGACTCCAGCCCGATACGTCAAGGTAAGTCCATATCGAGAGTCAAAGGTGTTTCCATTAGAATAATGAATGAAAAACCCAGTTTTATGGTGGATTAGCGGTTTTTTTTTTGAAACGTGGATTTAGTGAAAGTATTTCCATTCAATATTAGTAATTGCCAAAAATTTACCAAATATTAGCAGTACAGTGTATCTAAAATTCGTTGTCACTGTGGGATATCTCAGTTATGAGTAAAATTAGAGGCTTGCGGGACATGGTGCTACTTTTTTGTGAAAATAAAGATGCCGTCAATATAATTTGCTTACCCCCTTGCGTTTCTGGGCTGAGGTGATTTTGAAAACTGGGGATTTTTTTACTCAAAACCCAATGGAGTTGCTAGTTCCTTCAAATTTTTTTTATTTTTTCAAATATGACATTAAGTTGTGCATTTTTGAATCAATGTATAATTTTACATCATTGCATCGCATCCGCATATATATATTTTTTTCACGTATCCGTTCACGTATGAAATCCTGCATCCGATTATACCATTGTCCTCAATATTATTGTTGTCAAAGAAAATGTAGAAATATTGAAAAATATGACAAACGAAGACAACCCGATAAATGCATATTTGGTAGGCTGAAAACCAACCGAAATAATTTTGGATTTTTGACATTGTTGGCATTCCAAAATCTACGGTTTAAGATATTTTAAAAAAGCACAAGTTAAACCTTATAAATTTAAGGGCAAAATAGTCATGACTGATCCCAGGCAACGAACATGTTGTATATCCTCAGGAGCAACAAGACATATTCAGCTTTAGTACTTCGTGTTTTATTTCAGGAAGTAATATAAAATTTGGTATATACGAAGGTAGCCTCACAGTAAATAGATTTCAGGGAAGAAGTGCCATTAGCTAAACAGTATATTTTGTCAATAGTACGGAGCTCCCGAGCATTATTCTCAAGTCATTGAGCAGTTTCTTTAGCTGTAAATTTAAATTTACAATTAGACTTTTTTTTTCAAGGTATGCAATTTTTAAATCAATATAAAGTTAAACTAATTTTGGGAGAGGAAAATAGATAAACCGGTTAAGGATACTTCTTGAATAAACTTTTTAAGTGAGGATAATAATTTAGTACTAGATAATCATTGACATTAATGAACTAGAACTAATTGTTAAATATCACGAAATTTTCAAAACAATCCTGCAATAGCCAAGAAATGTAATGGGATAAGAAAATCTTGTTTACGGCAAAAAGGTAGCACCAAGAACTGAAACCCGAAACCGAAAACTCATAACCGAGATATCCCGCAATGACAACGAATTTCGGACGCACTGTACAGTAAAATAGGGGACAAGCGATGTACTTTGCAATAATAGGAGTTAGTCCAATGTTTTGGTTAGTTGAGCAGGATTGGACAACATTGTTGGTTCAAAATGCATTGACTAAGCAAACTAAATAAATAAAGAAGAAACTGATTATTATGGAATAAAATTTGTCATAAAATTAATGGAAATATAAAAACGATCGTATGGCATTGGGGAAACGGACGTTAATAAAAATTTAAAAAAAAATCTATTTAGTAAATCGCCCAAGAGATTATGCTGTAAAATATTTTTGATAATCTGAAATGGCCACCAGAAGACCTAATTGCAATCTTGAATTTTAAAACCCATTTCCTCCAATTTTTCTTACATTAATGATACTTATAGTGAACACGGCTTTAAAGCTGAGACAAGTTCAAATCTTTTTTGTTACATGCTTTTTATCTCTAAAAGGAAAGTGGTAGGAGGTGCCCCAATATTTACAGAAATGAAGTGGCTTAATGGATTTTAATAAATTTGCGGTAGTTAGAAACTACTTTTCATAAGCTATGAAACGTGTTAGAGTGAGTTGGCGATTAAATACAATGATATGAATTGTTTTATCATTAAATAGTGAAACAAGAGCCCAACAACCTATTGAAAACCGCATCTCAATATCTGTATCCTAACCTAAAATATGAATGAAAGATTTTAAACTTAAATTGAATTTTGGTACGGGTACGTATTGATATTGAAATAAAAATTTGTTGTTTATCTTAGTTTATATAAGTTTTTTTACACTACCATAGACATGGTTACTACGTTGTGATATCCTTATATGTTTCCAAACATTGGGTATTATCACTTTTTTTTAGAAAAAAATAAGTTTAGTAACCAATATTGTTAAAGACTAAGTTTATTAATCACTGACGTTTTAACTAGTAAGTAGAAAATCATAAAAAAATTGATCATCTTCTTTGGCAAAAATTATTCACTCTAAATTATCGAGAATGTCATAAAACAATTTTTGACAAGTTTGACAAATCGGAAAATATACCCATGAAATTTTTAAGAATATCCGTTTCACAAATTCCAAAGCTGGGACACCCGATATATCATATTTGAAACCAGTTTTGTATTCGTATATGTACTACTACTACTGCATATACTACCATTTTAACTCAAAAGATTAACAAAATATCTTTCTCTTTGTCGATAGTTACGATTACGACTCCCCGATTTCCGAAAGCGGAGAAATCACGGACAAATGGACGGCGACGAAAGAGCTCATCGAGAAATACAATCCGGTGAAAACCGCGTTGCCCGAGTTGCCTGAAACTCGGGAACGGGCGGTTTACGATGATATCAAAATCGAACAGCAAATCCTCCTATCGGAGATCATTAATGAGTTCCCGAATAAAATCGAAAGCGAAAAGGTCGTACCCATGGAACTTTTAGACATCAACGACGGATCAGGTGAGCATCGTCCTTCCGATAATGGGCAGATTTAGATGTAGCTTCGTGGCAGGTCAAAGTTACGGATACATCGTGTACCGAAAAACAAACATCGATCTTAAAGCTGGAGCTACGCTGACTATAAAGGGCTACGTGAGAGATCACGTGCTCATCTTAGTGGACGGCGAGTTGATATCGCCGGTACTTTCCAGCAAAAGCGACTTGGACAAGTTCGGGTACTGGAGATTACGCGATTCTTCGATCGAGCTCACCAAACAAGACTTGCTAGGCGCTACTTTAGACTTAGTGGTTGAAAACAACGCTAGAAACAACTACGGCAGTCTCGATCAGTTCCAACAGTTTAAGGGCCTAACCGAGGACGTGCTGGTAGACGACCAAGTCGTTTCCAACTGGCAGATCGTGCCGCTGGAGTTCAAAAAGTCTTGGAACCAACAACTCTCCGGATGGCACCCCATCAAAACTAAGGACGCCACACCCGCTCTATATAGGGTAATTTAATCAGCAGAATAAATTTGTATTTATTTTCAATATCGGACATTTCCAGGTTAGCTTTAATGTCACAGACCCGAAAGACACGTACGTTAACGTTCAAGATTGGAACAAAGGTTTCGTCATTATTAACGGTTTGGTCCTCGGCAGAGTATTTGCTGTAGGTCCTCAGCAAGCGTTGTATCTGCCTGCCGGACTTCTCCGGGAAGGCGTCAACGAACTTATCATTTTCGAACACTTTTCAGCTCCAGACGTCGTCAAGTTCTCGAAAGACCCCATCTGGGGTGTCGGAACCAACATCCATTAAGCTGTGATATTACTTGTGATGTTTGAACTAAATAATATAGGATGTCTAGTAGTTTCTTTTAAATGGGCTCGTTGCGTGTCTCTAGGGGATTTTGTCTTTGGACTTTCTCGGAAATACAAAACTTTTATAGGTTTTTTTTTCTACATTTTATCCTGAAACAAATACACTGGGTCGACGAATCTTGTCATATTCTAGAAAGTTTAGGTTGATCAACAAGCGGACTCAGACAATCCTTAAAATTTTCAATAATCTAGTCTCTTTGACATATCACAACGCAACACAAACACATATACGAGGTGTGTTCAAAAAGTGAGGTGACTTTTGTTATTGGGCGGGCTACATACATTTGATCTTCGATCATTTTTTTTCTTATGTTGGAACACATGTCCATAACATATGTTCATAGTTTCAGCCAGTTCGCACGTTTACTTTTTTTGTGAGACAGAAGTGTGTGCTCGACGATTTTCTGCTGTCAAAAAAATGGAACAAAAAATGTTTATAAGTGGTACAAGCTGTTTCAAAATGAAGACGCCGATCAAGAACCTCGCTCTGGACGCCCCAGCACGTCGATGACTAATGAAAGCGTTGAAGAAGTAAAACAAATGGTGCTGAAAAATTGTCGCATCACTTTTAGAGAAGTGGCTGAAAACGTCGGCATCCGAAGTTGGGCATTTGACCATAAAACGCGTAGAAACAAAATTTGTTCCGAAACTGCTTCACTTTGAACAAAAGGATCGTCGAAGCGGCATCATTCAAGAGCTGTTAAACGACGTCAATAATGATCCTGACATACTCAAAAAGACCATAAAGAATCGTGGATATATGGTTGTGATGTTAAAAGCAAATCCCAGTCGTCCCGATGGAAAAATCCAGAGTAGCCAAAACCGAGAAGGTTTTGCTTACTGCTTTCTTTGATTATCGTGGTGTAGTACATCAAGAGTTCTTACCACAAAATCGAACGGCCAATACACAGTATTACCTTGAAGTTATGCGAATTGTGGGAAAACAATTCATGGATCTTGCATCACAATAATGCACCTGCTCAGTCATCGTTGCTTGCGCCTAACTTTTTGACCAAAAACAAAATCACCATCATGCCTCTGCTACCATATTCCTGTGCCCAAAACTCAAGAAATCCATGAAAGGAAGGAGGTTTGGAACGATTGAGGAAGTAAAGAAAAAATCGCTGGAAGAACTCAAGGCTCAAGTATTTACCAGAAGTGCTTCGAGGATTGGAAAAAATGTTGGCACAATTGTATTATATCTGGGAGGGATTATTTTGAAGGGGACAACATTAAAAGTAGCCTTACTTTTTAAATACACCTCATATATATTAGTACAAAAGAAATGGTACCCGAGATCTCTTAAAGTTTTAAGGGTCGAAAGGTTAGACAAACAGGTGAATACCTGGGCAAATTATCATACTTATTCATACGCCGATCTACCTGTCCTTTTTTCGAGGGTACATTTTGTTTGTGTTGATCATTGGTGTTGTGCTAATTTAAATGAATGGAAGTGAATTTTTTGCATTTAGTAAAAACATTTATAATGGAAATGTTTGGATTATTTTTGCTATTCCCTACTCTAAAAGACACAATTGAGTCTTTATCAAGAGCGTCATTTTAAAACTTCAGCTTCTTTAAACACTGTCGCACACTTGAGTCGTTTCTGGTACTTCAGTCACGAATTTGGGAAGTGTTTCTTCCGTTACGAGCTTCATTATTGTTATCACGTAGAGGTACTTGTTAAATGTCCATTCAGTAAACAATAATCTATAATATATGTTTGCATTATTTTTCTACTCCCTACTCTAAAAGACACAATTATGTACTTATCAGGTCCGTGCAAAATGTCACTTTAAAACTTCAGCTTCATTAAACACTGTCGCCCACTTTGGCCGTTTCCGGAAGTTTAGTCCTGGATTTGGGAATTGTTTCTTGTTCTTAGGAGCTTGCAGTGGTTTCGACGTCCACTTTACTATTGTTATTATATCACAGGAAACAAAATCACGCATTTAGTAAACCATAAACACTGCTTCAAATGTTTCCGAAAAACAAAACCACTTTTCTTCCACCATTTTCTTGAAAGATTTCGCATTCAAACTTTGCCATAAAAAGTATAACAAAAACAACATTACACCAAGGTCAAGGACAAATCTGGCACCGGAATCTATAAATGATTTTACGCACCAAAAAAATATTATTCACAATAATTCAATTTAGCAGATTGTTTGTTTTGTTTGGTTGATCTGATTCCGAAATTCCAAGATAAATTCTAAGCGCATGTTGCAACAAAACTTTGGTTATGCCGAACAGTTTTAATACAATTTTACTGAACCAAATGATGCTGATAATATTCCTATTAAAAAGTTCGCCATTATACTGCAAAGAAAGCATGCTTAATGTGCTTCAGGGATCTCTTTGAAACGGTAAATTAATAATAATTACTTTATTGTAATGTAAAATCACTAAAGACAAAGTTGAAACTTTCCGTCCTATTTTAATTTTTTTTCTAATCTAATTGAACCTTGTGGAAACCTTATAAGGTTGATAAGCAAATAGGCGTATACGAATTTGTAATTTGAAGACAAAAGATAAAAACACACTCTACAAAACTGATGAAACGATCTTACAAATCTCCTTATTAAATTTAAAACTACTTTGTAAGGTACTTGGCGCTTTGACTTTGGAAATTCCCAGCATTAATTTGTGCACTGTTTTTCCAAAAAATAGCAAGTAATATTTTTTAGGGTTTAATTCTCAGAAACATCCAACAAGCGTCTTAGATTCTCGCTTAGCTTATTGTTGATATCTTAAACTAGCTTTCATTTACATACTAATATATAAGAGTAAAGATAAGTGATACAAGGATAGATGCTTGAGGAGCGCTATTACAAACTATCATTGGTATGTACTCTCGGCATTTACAATTTGACAAAATAACTCCCCATGATAGACAGACCTTACTCCCAAACCCCAGATATTTTAAAATAGCCAAAAGTAACTGGTGGTTCAGCATCTTAAATGCCTTAGAATCCAAAGGACAGCGGTCTGCAGCTTCTAAGTTGTAGTCACTTTAAGGCGACCAGCGGTACAGCGAAATCCTAACGTCATAAGTTTAATCGTTTTTGAGGATTTAATATTCTTTCCAAGATCTTTGATATAGTTGGTAGGATGATAATTGGCTGCTTTCCATAAATTAAAAAATGCACGAATTTTTATACAACTATGTACTAGATGTAGAAATATTGGTAAAATATAGTTGCAGAGCATTCCTATATTATCGTTCAGACTGAGGTGACTTTTACATTTTACGTTTAACATAAATTAAATTAGAACAAAAAATGTTCAGATTTTCATAGTTTTTAATGCTTTGTGACAGTTATTTCCTATCTAATCCTAATCTCTTCAACAACAACTCTGACTTTTATGATGACGGTTTTGTTGAAAGAGTCGCCTAGTTAGGGTTGGGAGAGAAATTTAAACAAAAGGTGTTAATGAACTTACAGCACTAATGCATTAACTCCTTTAACTTCGAATTTTATTGGTATAATGGCCGTGCCTTTTTATTTTTTATAAATCTTTGTTATTTAATTGTGTAAACTTATCCTCTAATAGATGATTTCTTCTATCGGTTTGTAATCTTTTTTTTTTTAAGAAACTTCTACAGGCTACTACTAAAACTTCTGGATTCCTCCCGCGTCGGTTTTTGCTGGGTCGAACTTGCTGACGTTTCGCCAATCATCCTGCTGGCTTCTTCAGAGCTTGACTGAAACTGGTTCGCATTTTACTCTGTACCTGCTTTTGTATTGTTTGAGGGACCTAAATGAGGGGCATAAACACCGTCTCGAATGACTGATTCCCATATTGATGACAGGTAGAAACCCGAGTCGCGGTTAAGATTGTTAGGTTGCTTATAGATTTCTGTATTCAGAAATTTGAAAAACTAACGTCAACACTAGGGAAACCATCAAACTCTTCTCAACTACCAAACACTATGATAAATGTATCATCGCACCAACTTTCGCATTATCCCAAAAGTGGAAATCATTTGACATGTCGAGTCTATCCTAAACAAAGTACTATCTCAAATAGCTAATGAAATTCGATTTGAAACAGCAAAAATCCGTAAAAAATTAAAACCCCCTAAATCTAATCTAAATCTCTAAAATCTAATCCCGACATCGTAATCCTAAAATCAGATAAAGGAAATGCTACGATGGTCATGAACACAAATGAATGTGAGGAACAGATTCAAGATATACTTACAGACGGATAATATCGTCAACTTAAAAAAGATCCTACGTCATCTATGGAACGCATCCTTAAATCTGTCATTAAGGCTTCTTCTCTATCAGACAAATCTGTCACCGCTCATGACTCTAAAATTTCTCGCCTCTACGGACTCCCAAACATTCACAAACCTGGATTACCCCTTCGACATCATTGGTTCTCCAACATATTCTCTTTGAAATGTATTTTTAAGTTTTGAGAGTATATTAAGATTTCTTGAGAAATGTTAATAATTTTACTGCTACTATAATTTCTCTACGAAGTTCTTTTCTAACATTACAAAAATAAACAAACTAACTAAAACTAACCAACCAAAAATTTTGTCTTCACCCAAAGAAACGAAAACATCATTTCATTTCATTTTTCTTTCAGGCCATCGAATGACATGTGTGTCGCGACTGAGAAAATTAGAGAAGCATTTAAAATTTCTCTATTAGGTCCACTTACCAAACAGACCCACGTGAATATTGGCACAAAACTGACCTCATTACTGTTGATATTAAAAAGAGCATTATTGATTAAAATATTACAAATCCTTTTTGATTTGCAAAAATGCATCAGATTTAAACAAACTAAATGAGGGGAGTTTCATTCTAATATAAAACCGAAAATTTGGGGTAAAAACTGGTAAAATATGAATTAAATCACAGTTCGGTATCAGTTTGGCTCTGTCTGCAGTCAATTCCTTTTGAATAACGTCAAGTGTATTTCCTTGATAATCCAAGACGCGAAATCCTTATCAGATACCATTGATGAGCGATATCTTCCTATATTTGTGCCTATAAAACACAGAAAACCGTACTACGATCGGTACTTATCGCCGAGAACAATGAGATCTTGTTTACTGTTGCCGTTGGTCATTTGCGTCGTAGCAAATTCGCGACTCCCCACGAACTACGAATACTACGGCAAGGATGAAATTCTATCGGGCTTAAGTGCTGCTCAGAGGCACTTCTTGCTAAATGGAGAAAACATCACTTTGTTCAGCGGAACGTTTCACTACTTTCGCGTTCACAGGACCCAATGGAGGGACAGGCTGCGCAAAATGAGGGCCGCTGGACTCAATGCGATCGAAACGTACGTTCCATGGAACTTGCATGAGTACCAATCGGGTGAGTGCGTCATGTTTCATGGAGTTTACAATATTAATTCTCACTCCTCCGGTCACTAAAGATGTTTAAAGTCGTCTACGTGCACCGAAAGTTGAACTGGCTGTCTATAGTTTTATAGTTTGTGTGTTAGTTGGGAATTTGGGTATTTCTTTCTATATTGGATATTGAGAAACGCAGCAGACTTCGACGAGACCATGACTTCATTTTTAAATCACAGTCACCCCTAGTTCTTAAGGAATTCAGTACATTGGGGTTCTCTAGTCACGCTAACTCGCTACTACTTCGCTTCATAGTTTGCAAATCCGAAAATAAAAAGAATATCCGTAGAAGACGTAAATAAATGAATCGAGAGGGACAAATTTTTGAGCAGTGATTGGCGTTTAAAAGAAAAGTTATTAATTCTATTTAGTTCTCTTAATTATATCTTTACTAAGAAGAAAATTGTTGTCAACAATAATTGCTTTAGCAATAGTCTCCATATTAATTATATCTTTTTCCATGATGCCTGGACATTGCTAATGCTATTTTTTAGCCACGGATGATATGAAACATTGGTAGTTTTTTTTTCAATTTAATTGAATTAAATGTCATTGTTTCATTCGCGGACTTAAAAGAAAGAATTTTCAAATTTTCCCAAATGATACTACCCCTTCCCACTCCATATTTTTAAAGGGATATCTCAAGGTTCCAGAGAGTCGAATAAGTTTTATCCCACTTCGCTATTTTTTGTTGTGAATGTATATATGTATCAGTTCATCACAAACTGTCTAGATTAGGTTATGACTAGTTGAGAGTCTAACTCGGGCAAGACTTTCCACAGAAATTATATTAGATTAGTTTGAACTGTTGTCAAAAAAGGAGTGATTATGCCAAAACGTTTTGTGTAAATTAGAACTTTAAATCTCTGATACGCGCCATTTGCATTATTTAGAATTTTTAAAGATAACCTTTGATCGCCGATTTAATTTGTCTAAAATGTTTTAAATGCCTTTAAAAAGATAGCAATTAAGTTTTTATGCAAAATATCAGGAATACAAATCTCTGATAAGAGTTACCGGCATTAATTAGAATCTCTTAAGATAAAAACCGATTGTGGTCGCCGATTTAATGTGTCTAGGACGCTTTAAAAAACTTTCAATGGAAATTGTTTTCTCGAGTTAACTCAATAAATTGATGGTCGTTTCGCAATGTTTTGTTACAGTTTCAGAGAAGAAGAATAGGTGTTTACAATGAAGCTTTATTGAATTAAAAATTAAAAAAAAAAAACAAACGGAACACTACTTCATTTGTATGCTTTTTACAGGAGTTTATGATTTTGGTGACGGAGGTTCGGACTTTGAAGAGTTCCTTGATGTCGAGGAATTTCTGAGAACTGTACAAGAAGAGGATTTGTTCGCAATCGTCAGACCTGGACCATATATATGCGCGGAGTGGGAATTCGGAGGTATGTAATTTTCTCTAAAATCGATCGATAAAATCGAATTTTTTGAAAGTATTTCCAGAAAATTTTTCCAGATCTCGGTAACGGCATTGGCACAATTTTTTTTTTCTGTTCTCCATTCTCCGTTTCTCCGTTCTCTGTTCCAGGGTTTTTCGACGCTAACTTCCAAACGGTTTGCACTACACACTTCAAATTTTGCTCCTTTTTAACCGTCCACGGGGTGCATAAGATATGTAAAAATGGCTGCGTCCAATTTTCGGCGATCTTTTTTTTTTCGATTTTCGACTTCTTTTTGGAGGTTGCTATGAAACCCGATAAGTGTCCGAAATTTGAAGCTATCGACTTCAAATTTGGCAGACGAATAGCGCTTGGTCCCCTAACGGAACATATTGAAATTGGAGGGGTTGGGGGCCGGGAAGTATTTAAAAAAAATTAAAAACCGCGTTTGCAAGGGTCCAAGAGAAAAATCATTTCTCCAAAACGATTAAGCGGCCGAAAAATTCTTGAATGTGAAGATGCAGTAGATTCGGCTCCATAAAACATTATTTTTATATATTTTTCCAGGGTGAGCCGCAAATTCAAAAAAAAACTGAAAAATGGGACCCACTGTTATGGAAAATTGGCTATAACTTCAGATGTCAGTTCGTTTTACATAGCGATATAGACCGCATAAACAGCTAAAACTTTTGTTTTTAAGGTTTTCACCTGTTGTACACGGTGTTCAAGGTATTAAGTGCTATACTCAAAAATTAACAGGCGTCTTAAATTTGCAGCTATCGACTTCAGATTTGGCAGAAGGGTAGAAGTCCACGCCCGCATTTCATCCTTTGAATAAGGACTTACTCAAACCTCACAAAGTATTTTTTGTAATTGAAATTTTTTTTAGTATATTTTGAATTCCAGGAAAAAATTATTAACCTGATCGGCAAAATTTGTGAACAGGAAATTTGAGAGATCGGGGACCATAACTTTTATTCCAGCCATTTTTTCCATTATATACAGGATTTTTCAATTACAGACAAAAATCTAAAGGAATCTGAAAATCGTTCTTTTCGCGATTAAATTATTAGCTGTAAATCAAAATTTGTGAAAAATATGGCCAATTGGTTTAAACAGTGTTATAGGCCACATTGAGAGCTACAATTTTTGGATTTACGATTTTCGTCATTTCATCACATAAGCTAATCGAGATATTTGAAAAAATTCAAATGAAAATCACCATTTCTCGCCCTCAATCCAGGCGCGATGACGTCATTCACCATTACTACGTACTGCATGGTTTCAGAAAACAAGTATTTTCTTGAAAACCACCTACTCTATTGGAAAAAATCATATATCATAACGTGGAGAGATCCAGGGCTCTAACCTATATTTCGAACATTGTTTGAATTATATACAGGGTGTATCGTTTATGGGCAAAAAAACTAAAACATTCTAAAAATTTCCGTTTTTGTAGATAAACGAAAAACCGTTAAAGATGCGATAATGTAATTTGAACAGTATCGTAAACTGTGTCGAGAGAGAGTTTCAGGTTTCGTCAAATATACAGGGCGCGCGATATATTTGAAAAGATATCATTCGACAACGCTATTATTTATACAAATTTAAATATTTAACAAAGGTTGCCGTAACTTTTAAGTTCGGCGGGACTTGAACGACACCTTATACAGGGTGTATGCACAATAAAATTACATCGATTTTGCGAGAGTTTCATGGTGGTCCGCAGGAGCACGGTAGAAAAACAATGCGTCCCTCTAGGACAAAAGACCGCGAAAAGTCTTCTTTTTAAAATAAACAGCTGCTACGCTCTGCTACGCTGCGCTGCCCAACGATGATATTTCGAAAGCAATCTTGTTCCTACTCCCCACTCCAAAGGAGCGTACGGAAGTGTCACCTTAAGATATGAGTTTCGTTATTCGTTTGTCGTTTCCGGTATTTCATGCACATTATGTTGGCGATCGGATGTTTTCAGTGCATTTTGGATGACGTATTGAAGTGACATTTTCTTGTATATCTGATAAGTGTATAATTGGGTATTTTAGAGTAGGAAATAGAGAAACAATTGTTTTTTAACAATGTCCACCATTGCGCTTTGATTTTATCATTTGGCACGACAGAATCCCCATAAACGATTTTGAATTATTCTTTACATAGTCCAGCAATACAGATTTAAAGCTGTACAGCAGTTTTATAAAATATAAAATATATACTTACTTTTCGAGAGCTTAAACTAAGTATTATTTCAAGATTAAAATTGACGCGTTGCTGTATATAATTTTCAATTCAAAAACTAAGTTTTTTTTTAAGTTTATTTTACAACATAGAAAAATATATATTAATGCACTTTTAGACTTTCTCAATGTATTTATTTAGCTCGTAGAGCAGGAGTTTACTTTCTCAAAAATACATAATAATTAATTAAAGAAAAAGTAAAGAGTTATCTGCTTATAGGTACCAATCGAGACCTATTTGGCTTCAATTGATTGCTATTGATGGTACAGAAAAAACTGCACAATTCTTAGATGAAAAAATTGCGATATGTACGTTTTTGTACAACTGTTAAATTATGACAATCCAAGATGTCAGACTTATTTTAAAAAATCCGATTCAATGTCACATCCAGCATACCGTAAATACCAGACAAAAAATTTGCAGGCTCACGAGGATGCGTGAAGTATGCTTTTATCCATTTGAACGTGATTGAAATTATATGTTATTAAAACTCACAATGATAATTATTATTCACAGTTCTACAACACTTCAAGCAGTACATTTAATATTATATGGCTTATTAATATATAAACTGTTTTATATATAAATATCTGAAACTAAAAAGTAACATCATTATTCTTCAAGTTTCCATCATGCATATACATAATCAATTTCGCTAACGATTGTGAAAAAAAAATATTATACACCGAAATAAGGTATACATAAATTTTGTATGTAAAAGATCATCGTGAATCTTTGATATTCCGATACGTTATCTGTTGATTCTTGTTAGGCATAAATTTGATACAATCAGAAATTGGAATTGGAATTTGGAACGATTTGAAGTGACTTCAGCAGTGACTATATTACCAGCACAGGCAAGCCACCAACAGTTATATAATTCTTACAAAAGAAAACCATTTAGTATTTGTGTATACGAGGGCAGCTACTTACCGATAAAAGTAGACAACACAACACACAATACATACATAAAAAAATCACAGACATAACATGTAACTAAAATATTCTATATCGCACAAGATAGCTTAGCTAGCTAGACATTGAAACTGAAAATATTTGCGGCTACTTTCAAGTGCGGTTTAATCTTCAACTAGGTGCATCGATACCTATCGAAAGGTTTTGGCTAGCTTACTTAAATTTTATTTTTCATTTTGACTTAAACTATTAGTTCGTCACGTTTCAGGCTTGCCGAGTTGGTTACTGCGGGAGAAGGGCATGAAAGTGAGAACGAGCGACGGTGCGTTTTTAAAATATGTGTCCAGATACTTCTCCAAAGTGATACCCATACTGGAAAAACACCAATTCACCAACGGCGGTCCGATTATCGCCTTCCAAGTGGAAAACGAATATGGCGCTACTCTAAATTACGACAAAGCTTACTTGCGGGCCATTAAAGAGGTATAGCTACGACCTTCTAAACTTTCCGGGGTCTATTTTCCAAGCGAATTCCTCAGATGTTTATAGACCACGGCATAAAGGAGCTGATGTTCACTGCAGACAGCCCATTGCTCGGCCTGCTCGGCGGTTTGCCGGGAGACCTTTTGGTGACCGGAAACTTCAACGCATATCCTGAATTTAACCTGCAAGTTCTGCGGTTATATCAAATGAACAAACCACTGATGGTCGCGGAATACTGGTCAGGTAAACCAAAAAGTCACCAGCCGGGACAGATCTTTCAGAACCGCTACATTCTTAGGTTGGTACGATCATGTAACTGAAGATCACCGAACCACCGACACCGAAACGTACTCGAACGTGTTGGAAAGGATCATATCGTTTCCTGCGTCGGTCAACATCTACATGTTCGTAGGCGGTACAAACTTCGGGTTCACTCACGGTTCGAATTTCGTATCGACTGGTTCGAATAACTCCGGATTACAGCCGGAAACTACCAGGTGCAATTGGAGGTATAAAATTTTGCTTCCATCACTGAATTACTTTGTTGAAGTTATGATTACGATTCACCCATATCCGAAAACGGTGATCTAACTGAAAAATTCAACGCGACAAAGGCGCTCATCGAGAAGTACAGCCCGATCAAAACACTCCTTCCAGATATACCCGAGTCCCCCAAACGCGTGAAGTACGAAGACATTAAGGTCTAACACGTGGTTTGTAAAACACCAAACTTCTATTATAGACTATTACTTTTAGATAGAAGAGCAACTTCTGCTATCGACAGTCATCGATGAGTTCCCTAATAAGATAGCCAGCGAAGATATTGTACCAATGGAGTTGCTGGATATCAACAACAGCTCAGGCACGTAATTTTGGCGAGATTTTATCGATTTTCGAAATGTGGTGGTTTTTAGGTCAAAGTTACGGCTACATTGTCTACAGGAAATCGAACATTGACCTCAAAGCGGGCGCGGTCTTAAAAATTAAGGGTTACGTCAGAGATCACGCGCTGGTATTGGTGAATGGGGTTCTGTTGAACCGGATGCTGTCTAGTAGACGAGATATTGACGGGTTCGGGTGGGAATTTTTCAGTTCAAGCAATTTTGCAAGGTCTAATTGCAAATTTATCTTCTAGGTACTGGAGGTTGCACAACTCATCGTTGACACTAACGGAAAAAGACTTGACCAATGCAACGGTCGACTTGGTAATTGAGAACAATTCTAGAAACAATTTCGGCCAGCTCGATCAGTTCGAACAGTACAAGGGCTTGACTGAGGAGGTACTTATAGACGAAGAAGTCATCAAGAATTGGCAAATCGTACCTTTGGAATTCAAACGATCCTGGAACGAGCAATTATCTGGATGGAAACCGATTTCCAACAGACGTGCGCCTGCCTTGTACAGGGTAATAAATGTCCGGAGCAGTGACTGATGCATTTCTTTTTTTTTTTTTTCATAATTCCAGGCGACTTTCAATGCGACGTTGCCTTTAAGTGACACCTACATCAACGTCCAGGAATGGAGGAAAGGAATAATCATCATTAACGGTTTCGTTTTGGGGAGATACGTCACCGTTGGTCCACAGTTGGCTTTGTATTTGCCGGGCGGACTTTTGCGGGACGGGGAAAACGAACTGATCGTCTTCGAGCATTTCAGTGCGCCACTGTCCGTGAAATTTTCGGACCAGCCGCTTTGGGGCTTGGGGAATTATATCCATTAGCTATTGTTATTTTTATTTATTTATAATAAACCGCAACGAACAAATATTATGTAGTCTCATTTCAGCCCAATTCCTTAACCAACAAGCTACCAAAAGAAATACATATGAAAAATATGGTGTGATCTTCATATAAAGGCCTTCGATAGGATAAAACTACTTTACAAAGTAAAAATGAACTTACCATATACCTTTTTTGAACTACTGAAATCTTACCTGACAGAAAGACACTTTCAAGTGAAATCCAAGGAATCACGAGCACACTTGGTACCGATGAAAGCTGGGGTACCGCAAGGCAGCGTGCTTGGGTCAATTGAATACCTGCTATTCACAGTCGACTTCCCAACATCCGGTACCACCACCCTAACTACATTCACAGACGATACAGCGTTCCTAGCATCACATAAAAATGCTGGAACCGTTTTTGCCTCGACAAAGTCAACAAATGGATGATGACCGGGCGCATCAAAGCTAATCAATCCAAATCTATTCATGTGACATTCACTCTCAGGCGAGATACTCGCCCTTATGTTACAAAAAGAAGTTGTGAAATACCTTGACATCTATTTAGACAGGAGACTAAGTTGGGGTCAACACATATAGCGAACTAATTTACAGAAAAATGTACTGTGATGCGCCTCTTATCCCAACCATCCCTCACGAACAAGGTGTTTGGTGTACCAAACCCTAATAAACCCCATATGGTCTTATGGTATACAACTCTGGGGATCAGCAAGCAACTCAAATATCATAAAAATACAGCGTTTTCAATCTAAACTACTTAGATCAGCTGTAAATGTTCACTGGCATATTCCCAACTATGCACTTCACAGAGAACTTCAAGTCCCAACAATCACTGAAGAATGCCAAATTATCAGAGATATTATTTTAGCCACACCAGTTGTAAACATGTAACAAATGGATCTATAAATTTGAAATTGTCAATAGTACGCAAAGTTCGCAATTAATTTCGTCGGACAGAAAAGAGTGTATTAGTAGTTCAAAATTAGAGCCATGAGGTACCCCAGGTATTGCAAAAAACTGCGCTGAGAGCAACCTATGGGGGAAATAAGACTTAGAATAAGAACAAGAGGTTCAAGTGTGGTGCACTAAATCCCAGCAAATGCATCAAAAAAACCAATGACCCCAATTTAAGTTTAAGAGCTTTTGCGAATGTTGGAAAATTAAAATGTCAGCGATGCACTTTTTTCATGAAAGCCTTGTAAACTGAGTTGATCTGAGATAATACCCTGTTGGGATTTTATGATCTCAGAAGGGCGTTCGATCATAATACATTTCTCACTGTTAGAAAAAATATTTTCTTGTTTCGGTGATTCTTTCGATTGCTCAAAATATTTTTAGCAATAGGGATGGATTCACTTCAACATGTTGCTCCTAAAGATAATATTTGCCATTTTCCTTACTTGCTAAATGTGTGCAATATTTTAACTGGAGCACCACAGATTTCGATCTTGGGTCTAATATTATTTACAGCTTTCGCAGATTATGTTTCGTCTTTAATGTCAGACAGAAAATGATTTTGCTACTCAAACCCACCGAAACCCTATATATTGCCTAACTGACCAAATATCGAATTAATTCAGACATTTTGCAAATATTGACTTAGGAATGCGATATGGCGTCTGCTTCTGGAGTTCATCAAACCTTGCTATTGTGTCTGTAGAAATTATTTACTGTATCGTGTTTATTTGCAAATCTTCTAGATTCCTCCAGCGTCGGATGTTTCAGTTTAAAAAAGCCAACATTATGATTGGCGAGACGTCAGCAAGTTTGCTTTATAAACAACGGCCGCAGGAGGAAACCAGAAGATTTGTAAATAGTATTAGAATCTGTGGAAGTCGGAAAAATCTACTTACAAATTTCAAAAAAGGTCTAAATTTTTGTTAGTTATTTTTCTTTCTTGTTAGTATTAAGAAATTTGATATTTTCTATGCAATATGCTATTGTTCAATAGCAATAAATTCATTATATTGTAGACTGTTCAAGTTAAGAATAAGATGATAATCGATATTAAGGAGTATTTATTGATTAAAAGATCTAACAGTACCTTTTTCTTTTAGATTTTGGAACATTTTGTTGTGGTGAACTATAAAATATACTGGAACGATAAAATTCAATATTTGAGCATTTTTGAACGTGAATTTAAAAATGCGAACACTACTGTTATCACATTTAATATTGTTAATAATAAAGTTCTTAACATCTTAGTTTTTGAAAATAGGAAACTTTAATAGAGTATTAGTGAAAGTTTTCCAGAATTATAAATATCATCGTGAAACCTGACAACATTGCTGTTAGCATTTTTTAATTCCGCATGTTCAAAAACCTCGAACATTCCGAAAAGAGATATTTATTGGTTGAGAGCCCCCGTATTTTCAAAATCATCGTCATTATTTTAATGGCCTCGATTTCCGACAAATGGGTCGCGACCTTATGGCACTGACCTCATTTCAAATGTCGATTCGGAGAATCTGCTAAAATGTATTAACTAGAGTAAATTTCTAACGCGATGACGAGTGTTTTGCCTAGTGTTTACGAGTTTTACGCGAGCGGGGGCGTATCTACTGGGCTTGACGCTAGCAAACCCTATTTCACCCTCAACAGTAGAAACATTACTATATACAGCGGTTCGCTGCACTATTTTAGGGTACCTAGGGACTATTGGAGGGATCGGCTAAGAAAAATTAGAGCCGCTGGTAAGTTTTTTCGTAAAACTAATGAAATTCGCGTTGCCTTTTATATTAAAGGGTATTTCGAAATCAAACGGGCCAGGAAGACGCAGATTTTGCAAGCGGCTCTCACATTCCTCCATAGGGCACCTACTACGGTCCCAATTTTCTCTGTGTTTGTACGTCTGGGACCCTTCTAATTATTTCAACAATATTGTGATGACATTTATTTGCCGTAACTTTGGTCTTCTTAACAACTACTGTAAGGTAAGACCTACTACGTGTAACAGTCTGAACAGTAAGAATTCTGCGATTCCAGTACAACCGGAATAGATTCTAGCATTAGTTGAGAATAGAGCCTTCTGTTGCTGCAGAAATTAGGGCTAAAGTAGGAATTTTTTTTAATATTTGTGCATTAAAAGTATCAAAAACTGCAGCTTAAGTAAAAATCAGTGTCAGTCAGATCTATTTTTACACTTAGTTTTTAATTATTAAATTTGATTTATCAGTATTAAATTGGAATGACTTGTCGAATCGGCATTGAAGATCGTTGGAGATTAATCAACTAGAAACGCTGAACGTGAGATAAATAACATTGTAGATTCAGGTGTTTTTTGTTATTTTAATCCAGATTTTCAACGGATATGGATTAGCGATGCTTCTCCTAATGCATCATCCGCTTTGACAGTATAAATTGTTGTGCCAACTTGGACAAAGCTGGCGATAGGAATTTTTCATCTCGATGAAGGAATAATTTTAAAATAGACGTAGTTATACCGTCGTAGTCATAATTGCACTATAATCTTAAATTAAATGAAACAACCTTTTCCTCTATCACAGCAAATGAATGTAAAATGCTTTAGGTGTATACAAGGACACGAATGTTTCTTTTTTCTTGAGTTTATTTTAAAAGAAGGGAGTCGAAAAATATTTTTATGATACTTGGCATCTACTTGAAACTCTATGCCTCAAGCAAATTAAATACTAAAAGTAATAGATACTACTGCTGAAAAGAATATATAACTTAAATATGACACCAATCTTTCTTAATACCAGAGAGAAATAACATGTAAATTTGCAACGCCAGGCATCATTAAAGATGGTTGAAAACTTAAAAGTTACATCGTAAAGTTCAAATAAATTGCAATGATAGGTTTCCATATATTATTTTTATTTATAATGCAACTTGTAAGTTTTGGTTATCAGGTTCCGAGTTGTCAGATGAACTATTGTCGTTGGAGTCCATAGAAATAATTAGAGTCGCTACAGTGTTTTATAGCATGTTCTCAGCTTCATACATTCTTTCCTCTATTTCAATCACATGTTCGATGCACTTACTCTATTTTTCACAAATTTACAATCTCCAGTAGCTCCTTTTTTTATTATATTTTTCTGTAATTGCTGGTTGGCTTGGTTAGTGTAAATTATTGAAAATCAATCAGTGCAATATTATTTAATGAAAAAAAAAGGAATACTAGGAGTTAATAAATATAATTACATTTTCAAATTCAGATTTCTTTTAAGAACCGAATATATCGTCTGGAATTTTGAATGGATTACTGTAATCTGCATTTCACTCTTTTATACACAGACTTCTTACTACGCCATTAAACAAAATGCACTGAACAACGGCTACAATCCGTCCATTATCGATAAAATTATAAATAAAAAACAAATCCAGACAACAGTAAACTCTAGTTATCCGAAACCTAATACAGAACACGAACAATTTGAAACAATTACATACATAGGAGAACCTAGTGAAAAAGTTTCAAAACATTTGTCAAAATGTGGCTTACAAATAGCTTTCAGAACTAACAGCACAATAAGAAAATTTTAAAAAAACAATAAAACAAAGTGTCCAAAATCTCAAAAATCAGGTGTTTACAGGTTGAAATGCGGATCATATCCTAAAATTTATATTGGACAAACAGATAGATTCTGCAAAAAACGCATTAACGAACATAAACGAGCGTTTAAAAACAATAGTCTAGATTCTAACTATGCTACACATTTAAACACAGAAAAACACATTTGTGACGAAAATTTATCCAATCTGTGGAGAATAATAAAATGAGACATTCAAATGTATTGCTTAACGATCAGTTAGTTTTAAATACCTCTCCATTACTAAGTTTAAATATAGTAGCAGGTAGTTTGTAAATATTACATTTCATAAATACACAGTGTTGTCGAAACAATTGTCATGTGAATATATATAATTTCGTGAAAATCTGAACTTTTAGTTTTTATTTATTCTATTTTCACTTTAGTATAAAGTATAGGAATTGGAGAATTGCCCAACAAAAATTTTAACGGAGGGTCTTTGTACGATGTCGCCTGTGATTTTGACGATGTACTGATTGATTTTGGAGATTTTGGATTTGGAACCAGCGATTCTGTGTGAGGTTCGTCTTGATGTACTTCCCAATATTTTAGAAGTTGAGGTGATTGGACCTTTTTTATTTTCATCCAACGCATCCATTTCGTTCTGGAACAGCTGGGTTTAAAGGAAAAATGCCGGTCGCCCGAAACCCTGAAAGCACAATTTCCACCGAGGCTGTTTTTCCCCATGCCTGCCCGACTGCCTCACCTATTTGAAGCCGAGTAATTCGTCCGCCAGTATGATATAATATTCATTGTCTAGATTCGCGCTTCGGTTTATGTTTAAATGACTTAAAAAATAAGCGATCTAGAGGTTGCAATTATTATTTGGTATTTATCAAATCAAGAGAATTTCTATGGGATGAGTGTCCATCTAAAATTAAAAGTGTTATTACTGCGAGTGTTTTGAGTACAAAGTGTTCTTTAAGCCATGACAAAAAAAGTACGACGATTTTTGATTCACGAAAGGTTTTGATCCGGAAAGAAGACCGTCCCCAAATTCCTTTTTTCTCTTGCTCCCTTATAGCTACAAGAAGAAATGATTGCCACGTTCTCGTCCCTTTCACTAGATATGATAGTGTGCACGTTTTTGGCGCATTTGTTTGTTGAATATGTTTCCAGGCTTTTCAAACATATTAAATTCCGTAAACACGGAAGTTAATATTTCAAAAAACTTGTTTGCTTCATCTCTCTTCATGTTTTCACATCTGGCAGGAGACAAACCTTGAGATTTTCTAACGCTTAACTGTTTGTTTCTACGCAAAAAAGATTCCAACCAATCATAACCGACCATTTCTGTAATTCTATTAAATCGGTGGGGAATTCCTAGTTTCTCGGCGAACTCGTATGCCAGAGATCTAATTGTGCCGCGTTCAGGAGTAAATCCAACGCCAGTTTGTCTTCTCCTTCGAAGGAATTCTCCTGTAAGGAGAGCTTTCTTGAGTCCATTGTCGTCTCTGAGGTGAACCGGGCTTTCTTTTATCGGCATATCTAAGTGATTGAAAATTATGATGACGCTAATTAACTATCCGTAAATTTAGGATAGACTCCCTGGGACAATTCTCCTTTTATTCGGTAGAGATATCTTGGGCTTTTGTCCTGTTAATAAGATATAGATGCCCCAGGCGCTACTTTTGATGTCGTTTGTAAACAACAGCAGACACTATTCAGCTGATACATAAATATAAACAGAAGTAAACCTTATTCACTGAAGCACCTTATGAGTAATTTTTATTAAAACTTACTTTAAATTTCGTAAAAAACCAAAACAGGTACCGAGCGAGAGGAACGCGACTACATATTATTATAATATGACCAAAAATATAGCGCATCCCAACCGATGATTATTCTGCCTGAGATAGGCCGTAACGAATATTCGTAGACTTGAAATTTTTATTTACAACGTAAATGGACCTTTTCAAATTTGATTAAGCATTGCGGGGTATTTCCAAATAAGTAGAAGCATTTATTTTATCATCATATTACGGAGGTATTTGACTGTTCCTTCCAGTGAGTACGTATTTGTGTACCTGATTCTCGGGCTTTGTCCATGCGACGCTGTTTTCACTGGTTAAAAATGGTTAGTACCTGTACTCTATTTATCTTACAGGTAAGTTCGAAAATGATCATTTTTGTCTTGTGTGCATGTCGATTAACAACATTCTTCTTCTTTTATTTTTGTGTCTTTTACATAATTCCTCCATTTGGAAACAACAACAGTCTTTTTTAAGAATATAGATTTTATTCTCGGTAGATAAATATTCGTCATAAGAATACAGATAAATATTTATTAGAATTTTACAATGAAACTTTTTTTGAAAATTTTTAACACTTTAAAATGTGGACACCGTGAAATGAAGCAGATGTTCGCCTGTTAGAAGAAGACAACGCAGCATTTGAAGACGAAGTGGAGATGGTAGTCGAACCTAATGATAATTTAGAAGACGAACTACCTCAGCAAATGAAAAATCGGTTTCATTTATTTTCAGATGCCAAACAAATTGTTTTGAGTGTTTACAATTTTATAATAAAATCAGAAGGCGAAGTAGGAGCAGCAATAAAAACAAGTGACGTGACCAAAGTTCCGAAGTCATACTATAAGAAAAATTGTTGCAAATAGGATGCTCAGGAGGAAAGTGAGAGTTTTTAAAGAGCAACACGCAGATCTAATACGACGTTTTAACCCTGGAAGAACTGCATAAAAAAGTACTGACAGACTTAAACATTAGTGGTGCCAAAGAGTCGTTGCGTACTTTTTTGAAAAAAATGGATTTTTAGTTCCAAAGAATTAATAAATGTCAAGTGGTAATGGAATCTCGAAGAATTTTGCAATGGAGGGTGGATTATTTAAATGCAATTGAAAAATTTCGAGAGCAAAATAGGGCCATAGTATATTTAGACGAAATGTGGTTCGACACTCACTACACAGTAAAAAAAGGGTGGTGTGATAACAGTAACACTAGTCGTGCCGGAAAACGCATAATATTTCTTCTAGATTTGATCTGAGTTGAAAGCGCATATAAGGAGAAATAACACTGCACCAAATTTTAGTGATAGTTCCATAAACGTAATTGGGGAAGCCTTAACTAGTACAAAGCTGGTCCAACTGTGAAAAACGATCAATAAAACAAGAAGATATTTATCGAGAACGATTAATGGCGGAGTTGTTCATTGACGATTTTTTAAGTGACTGATACTTAATTATTATTATATTTAATATTTTGTATATTAATAATGATACTATTTAGAAATGTAATGAATGAACGAAATAAATTGTTACTTTGTACTAATTTTTTTATGCACATGTTTCAAAACTTGCTCGGCGAAAAAGATTGAAAACAAACTAATATCCGGCTTGATAGTCTAGGTAGAAAAATTCCTAGGACGATCCTGCAATGGCTCGACAGGGTGTTCTATAAGGGGCGGCGGTTTTGAAGTAATAAACAGTAGGCAAACGAACGTGCCAGTGTAATAGTATCTCCCTCTGATGAGGAGAAGCGAAACCAACGCGGAATTACATTATTAACGACTTTTCAGTTTAATTCAAAATTGCATTTCTGTGTTTTATTCTTTTGCTCATAAAAATTACATCAATTATGGGTGAAATTTATTTTATTTAGAAAAGGAACTTTGTATCGACATCAACGTTTTGACTAATTTACTCTATGCTAGCACTTTTCTCGAAATTCCATAACTGATTTTTAAATGAATTTGTTCCATATTTTAGCCGTTTACTGTATAATGACGGCTCTGCTCTTTGATGCCATGTTTTCAATTTGTCCGAGTTAGGTCTCAACGCAGTGGAAACGTACGTTCCGTGGAACCTACACGAACCTCAAGATGGCCGTTACGACTTCGGAAGCGGCGGTTCCGACATGCAGGATTTCCTCCATGTGGCCGAGTTCCTGCGGACCGCGCAAGAGGAAGACTTGCTGGCAATAGTGAGACCGGGACCGTACATCTGCGCAGAATTCGAGTTCGGAGGCTTTCCTAGTTGGTTACTTCGGCACGGAGGCATCCAATTAAGAACATCCGAACGTACCTACATGAAATTAGTCTCCAGATACTTCAACGTGCTCCTCCCGATTCTGGCTGCGCTTCAGTTCACCAGGGGAGGTCCGATTATAGCGTTTCAAGTAGAAAACGAGTACGGGAGTACCGAAAAGGTGGGAATCTTCACGCCGGACAGACGGTACTTAAGGAAGCTGCGACGGTTATACTTGGAGCACGGCATCGTGGAGCTGCTGGTGACCAGCGATAGTCCGAGCTCCCGAGGAAGTATTGGGACTATACCCGACCTATTTTTGCAAACCGCTAATTTCGGACGCAATCCCGAAATCGATTTCGTTGCTTTGAAGTTACTGCAGCCTAACAAGCCTGTCATGGCGATGGAGTTTTGGACAGGTATGTATTCGGATACATTCTTTCATACATTTTAGGCCACCCTATTCAGATAGGGTGGCCTAAAATTAGAACGAAGTAATACGTGTTATGTGGTGTATTTTATACCAAAAATCTCTGTGAAATATTTTAGCAAGCGGAAAGTTTTTGCTGTGGGTCTGGGGAATTCAAAAAATTTATCATTACATTAAATTCAGACAATTAAATTAAAATTAAATTTAATTCAAATTGGCAATATTATAAGAGTAAGATCTTTAAAAAGTCACTTTCCGTTCTGAGGTACATTCGCTTGTTAAATAGATACGGAGGACGCATGATGATATAATAAAAACATGCCATATGTAACTTAAATCCTGAAATCTGAAAGCAATTTGAAATAAGGTGACGACCTCGTACAATGCATGAGTTTTTGTACACGGCTTTTATCCACTGGGTCTGACATTAATCCAAGGAGTTACCCAGAGGCCTTTTAGTTTCTAGTGATAAGGAATGTCTTTGGGAGTAAACAAGTTTTAATGCACCATAGACTTTCCTAAACTTATAAGTAAGTTTATTGTCTAAAAAAAGGCACAAGCTTTTATACGAATTAAAAAATTCCAATGGCAAGTCATCAACTTTTATTAACAACTACAAGTAATTATTGGAACAATTATAAAAGTTGGAAATGTTGGAACTAATACATTCAGTGGCGGCTCGTGGGAAAAATTTTAAGGTATCCCGCAATTTTTGCAAAAAAAAATTACCTCAAGCAAAGACATGCACTGTAACAGATCATTCTGAATTTCTTCGGAAGGGCCATTAAATATAGAAGATTTTTTTAGGTGCCCACTTAATTCAGCTGAAAAATTAATAAGTCCACGAAATATACCGAGATTCTCGGAAGTTTCACTCTCATCATGTCCCCAGAGAGCAAATCCAAAGATCCGCAAAATTAAATAAAACTAATATTTTTCGATAAAATTCTTTGACACAAGAATCTAATTAAGCTTTAATATTGGTTGACCCTAATACGGCAAATTCCGTACAATTATGAATGTGGCTTTTAGAATTTTCGTGTCCTTTTATTTTCTAACTCAAATGCTCTAAATCGGTGACCCTTATTTTAGTACAAGCTTTATTGCCACCAAAAAGTAAACAGGGAAAACAATATAGAGCAGTTTTTTGTTACATCCACAATTCCATTCATTTTTTTCGATGGCCGGCTTTTAATTCTAACTTTTTTTAGTATGAATATTTAAATGATCTCTTCACATTATATTAAAGACTAGCTGCATACTTCACAGTGAATATAAGTTGTCACTCTATTATTATAGGGGTCCCATGATACTAGCTCGAGGTATTCCGGATTTAATGCCGATGCTGTTTGTTTCGTGAATAAGCACTTACTGAGTTTGATCAGAAAAGATTGGTTTCAGTAGATTTTGAGCAATATCATTCAGCCGGATAAATGTTAACATATTGACCATATCAAAAGTCCTACTAAAACATCAGCAAGGGCTCTTAAGACTAAATATTGGTCAAAATCTTTTCGGGAAATATTTCATTTTTGTTCGCATAATTTCTTAATTGAAGTTCCATTACTTTTTCCAGAATTGAGAATGTGGGTAGAATACTGCTGAACGAAGATGCTCAAATTCATTTGGATTATTAATTTTTTGAAGGGGAATAATTTCGGCTTGTTTCCAGATGAGAGGGAAGTAAGAAGATAAGATATATTTATTAATATATAGTTATATTAATTTTATCTATTTCAGAAGCTTTGGTTTTAATATTCTTATTTATGTTAAAAATATCACCCTCTGTCGCCAAAGCAAAATTAAAATGATTAGTAATATTTTCTAAAATACTGCTATTATAATTGGGGCGGTATTGAGGAGCAAAATAAATATTCAGAGCGACTTTAAACTTAAACGTTTTCGCTCGCAGATGCTGCAGCTTTCTCTCTTTGATTGTAGTGAGGAGTTCTTTATGTTTATCCATGAGCTGCAGGATGTCTATGTTTGTCTTATGTTCCGTTCAAGATATTCGCAACATTCGTCTGTAGGCGTACATTTCCAACGCATCATTTGTCTATTCTGTGGCCGCATCCATGGTCCAACTCTCGCATCCGTACGGAAGAACAGGTAAGATATAACAGCGAAGTATTCTGGTTCGGAGTTCCAGGCTGAGTGTTCCAGAAGTGTTGTTCAGAGTTTTTCACACTTGCTCAATTCTTGAAGTGATTTCGAGTTTTGGGTCGCAATGTTGGGTGACGACCGTACCCAGGTATCTTAGAGATGACACTAGTTCAATGATCTCTCCATGGAACCTTAGGGTGGCGTATCTTTAGGTTTTTGAGAATATCAATAGTTTCATCTTGGACGCATCCATATGAAGGCCCAATTCCACAATAATGTTCATAAGAGATTGAAGTTCTGGCTATTACTACGACATCATCTGCGTAACGAAGATTGTGTTGGAAAGTTGTCCTCGAGGGCTTCCTTGAATATTGCCTCAGAGTAGGGGTTAAATAATAGTAGGGGAGACAATACACATCCTTGACGCACACTTCTTCTTATTGCTATTTCTTCTGACGTGGACCCTTCGATTTGGACTATTGCTGGTGCCGGTAAAATCCAGTTATGATCTAAATGTTGTGCATCCATCCCGGTTGATTTTAGGATGTTAATCATTTTTTGATGTGCCACACTCAAAATCTTATATATTATTTAATATATCGGTATTCATATCTGTAATCTCAGTCAGTCCGAGGGTATTTTTCCGATTGTGCACATTCGGTTGAATATTGTGGTAATGATATTAAGACCAACCCTGTCTTCGACAGCTGCAAGTTTAATGGTTTTCGCGTGCACGTTGTCGGAATTGTAGAAACCAATAGTTCTTCCGTTTTTTTCAAGTTTAGTTGCATGTTTAACCTCTTCTTTGGCAATTTCAGGACCTGTTTCATTGCTTTCGTCTGGATCTGGGGACGAGTCTGGTCTCATGTCATTAAAATGATTTTCGGTGTATTCTTTTCACCTATAAGAATTTCGTTGTTGGAACCTTTTAATACTCTTTCGTGACGCCCTGCTGCCTACCGGTGAGCTCGTTGATATTCTTGTGTGTAGAGATCGTGTTTCTTCTGAAGGGTTTCTATTTTCACGCTTCCCTGCATTTCGTATGAATAAACCTGGTAATTTCGGCATATTTAAAATCATTTTTGTGTTTCTATTCTCTTAGTTCTCAAGTTTTTGGCTAATTTCTACTGTATTTTCGTTATGTCAATGCGTTTTTGTCGTGGGACCGGTTTGTATTTGACAAAGAGGCATATTTTAATGTCCATCACAACTGGGTTGTGGTCACTATGGATATCTGCTCCAACCTTTGCATTAAAATCTTCAAGAATCACTTCAATGTCACTATTTTTTGTTAATTACATGGTTCCATCGAGATTGACAGAAGTCTTCAACCATGTCATCTGTTTTATCGTTTTTTGGTGCGTACACCTGAATAATATTCATCATATGATGAGAGATGTGAGCTTCAGTAGCATGACTCGATCTACGAGCAGGATAAAGTCCACAACAGATTTTTCCAAGTCGGACGTGATGATGATGGCCACCCCCATAACGGTGATCGGGATCGATCCGATATTTTGATTTCCAGTCTATCCACCTCTGCATCAACGGCAACTTCCCCGGCCATATATAAACTGCCTAAATTCCACTTGGCAATTCGCGTTGTTTTGTTATATATTTGATGTTTCTTTATGTATGAAGGGGGGGATCCTTAGCACCTTCTCCCCACTTTGTACTAGTCATTTAGATGGTTTCGAATAGGGGGTAAATAATGTATAGTGGAAATACTAAAAGGATGTCGAACTTCCATTGTCTTTATTTTAAACTTACACAACGTTTCGGGCAGTTGTATCACTACCCGTTATCAAGTGTAAACTAAACTTAATTCTAAGGCTACAAGGCTTATATACTAGGCGACGACGCTCATCCATGACGAAATCGGGTGTAGTCAAGCGTGAAGTTGTTCAACTAGATCGCCAGCATTGGTGCGCCTTATTCAAGGTTGCCAAATTGTTGGTATATCCACGCTTGTGTTGCTGTTCATTGTTTCTAATGAAAACTGCTTCTTTAAGTTTGCGCTTTCTCTGTGAATAACCCGCGCTCTGGACCATTGGATGTTGTGTTGTTTGGTCCACACATGTTCTGCGATACCTGATTTTTGCGTTTCACCCTTCATTATATGTTTCTTATGTTCTTTAATTCTTGTTTTTAGAGGTCGTTTGGTTTCGCCGATATATGACTCTCCGCATTCACAGGGTATCAGGTAGATACACTCTTTCTCTTGAGTCGACGTTTCAGGCTTTGTTTTTGTGAGTACACTTCTTAATGTTGATCCAGATTTAAATACAGTTTTGAGTTGATATTGCTTAGCTATTCGCCTAATCTTTTCTCATATTTTTATCACGTATGGAATTGTCAAGAGGGAAAGAGTATCTACCTCACATGGTTCCGGTGTTGTTTCCCGCTTACAGTTTGTTAGATTTTTCGGAGTAACCATTCTGAAGCAAATCCTTTTCAATTCGGCATCGAGAGATGCTTGGTCGCTACATATTATGATTGCTCTTTTGCACAGTGTTTTAATTAATCCTAGTTTGGTTGCTTCAGAATGGTTAGACTCAAAACGTCTAGAAACGGTAGACAGCCGTTCTTTTTTTTCTCAATAGTAAATTTAATTGATGTTCGCAAAGAATTAAGATGATTGAGAAAAGAGTCTAGCTGTCTATCGGTTCCACTCCAGATAATGAAGGTGTCGTCAACATATCGAAGCCAGATCTTAGGTTTAATAGTTGCAGTGTTTATGGCATGACTTTCGAATCACTCCATGATATGTTCGCTATCACTGGAGAGAGAGAAGAACCCATCGGCAGGCTTTCATCTTGTGCGTAAAACTTTTCCTTGACTTGAAAGTAAGAATTATGCAGACTACACCTCAGAAGCTCCAACACTCCCTTAAGTGGCAGCGAAGTTCTCTCTGACAGGGTTGTATCATTCCTTGGTCTAGCCTCGACAATACTTAACGACTCCTCCAAGGGCACATTGGTATATAGACTTTCAACGTCAAAGCTAATAAACTTGTCTGAAGGATCTAGTTTCACGTCTAATATATAGTGAGGCAGTTTCAGTTGCGCTTTTCGCGTCCAAAGTAACACCGTTGAGAAGTTGCTCTTCATATGCTTTGGTAGTAAAGGAACTGCTGCTTTTTCCCAAGTGCTCGACACTATGTCTAGGAGTCGTTCCTGTATTTGCCATCCGGGTAGGCGCCCAATGGAAGACTAGCAACCCCATATAGAAAAATTACGTTAAATTCCCAATTAAAGATATCGCACATTTTAAACAAAATATTATATATAGAAAAAATAGGTTTAGATTATCCACGAAAGCAAGCAATTCTCTGTTCTACAAAAGTTGGTATGTAGTTCTACTCGATTCTCAAGGAAGCCCTGCGAAAACTGTATTTTTGAAACCTTCGTTGCTGCGTGGAACACTCAAATATTTTTCTTATATCCTTAAATACATCTGAGACGGTCTTACGGATTCAGGATGGTTCGATCATTGGTCGGAGGATCATCATCGGAGAAGCAACTCCGATTTCTACAGCACGTACGAGAAGATTTTGAAATACCCCGCCTCTGTCAATATGTATATGTTTCACGGCGGTACCAGTTTTGGATTTCTCAACGGCGCGAACCTGGCCAATAGTCGCAACGACAATAGCGGGTACGTTGCAGATCTTCTGCGTTGACAGTTAAAATTGAACAAGCTGGTATCAACCTAGGTTTCAACCTGATACTACGTCTTACGACTACGACGCGCCCCTGTCTGAAAGCGGCGATTATACTGCAAAATACGCTATGGTCAAATCGCTTTTGGCCAAATACAACCCGATCAAAACCAGGACACCTAGAACCCCTACCATTAGCGACAAAAAAGAATACCCATCGACGAAGATTGTTGAACGACTCGCGTTTGACGACATCGTACGCCAGTCGGGTTCCTATTTTAGCGAGAACGTGGTACCTATGGAGATGTTGCCCATCAATAACTCATCGGGTCAGAGTTACGGATATATCGTTTACAGGAAGACAGGTGTAGGTAATTTATATATTTTATGAAACACTTGAAAATTTCAAATATGGTACCCGATTTTTGCAGATGTTCCTGCAAACTCCATCATAACCATCGGCGGAAGAATATGTGACACGGCCTTAGTATTGATAAACGGAATCCTGATATCCAGACCGCTGCAAAATTCTATCGATCTCAACGGATTCGGCTTCTGGAGATGGAAAAACTCCAAATTATTACTCGGTAAACTCTATTTTTTAAACCCACAGGGCCACTGAACTCTTGAAGTATGTGATTTGTTTCAGCACCCCGGAATTTTTCGCACGCCAGAATAGACATAGTGGTCGAGAATTGGGGGAGAAACAATTTTGGTTACGTCGATCAGTTCAACCAATACAAAGGACTATGGCAAGGTGGCGTATTTTTAAACGACCGGGAACTGCTGGGCTGGGAGATCGTGCCTTTGGAATTTAAAAAACAATGGAATGCGAATCTTAAAGGTAAACGAATATCCAGCGGTCCTGAGTATGTGTAAATCGTTCGGGTTCGTCAAACGCGATTGAATGAGTTTTCTAATACGGTATGGTAAAACGGTAAAAAATAATTGTTGCTTTATTGCTAACTTCTCCGAAATCGAAAACAACCAACACTTCTTACATAATGAAGCTATCACATAGAAGAGAAAAAAAATCGTACTATTTTAATGTTTGCAATATGATCTAGAACTGCAAACACACTGGGCATAGGTATTTTAAAAATTTTATTTATTCTTTTTAATGATTCATGTGTTTTTTGTTGGTACAGAATTTATTTGGGATTATAGGGGATACGTTCCTAGGTGACAAAATAGAAAAAAAAAACAAATATATAAAGAAATCAATTTAAATGAAGTTTTTGAACATTTTGAGTACTTATCTTAAGCCTTAGGCAAATTTTCTCTTGTTTGGCAGTTGTCAAAAACTCCTATTCAGTCTGATACGCAGAAGTCGCGTCAGCAATTTGCCTCTTAAAAATTAAACTTCGTTCTATAGACGTGCGAGTATCAATGTCCCTAAAGAAATCGCAAAGCTCATATTCCATTCTTAAATCTTCACCAAGATTTTTAAAATTAAATGTCACGTTTCCAGTGTTTGTTGAAACCTCTTTTTCAATGGGCTGTAAATTTAATATTTCCTTCATGTCGATTTCAGTCAAATGCTCATCTTGATCCATCATCTTCACTTGATTCTATCTGTTCGAATCCATCTCGAAGTTTGTACTTGCGCAGATTCTTCGCAGTCAGTCAGACCACAGTTTTTTCCCGCATGACTTCAATGTGTGTGGCCTCAGTTTTTCCAATGATTTTTTTATGTTGAAGTGGATCAGGGCTCCGGGTTCGCCAAAACAAGGGAACACACACTTGGAAATTACACTAATACAAATTAAGCGAGTACAATCGGCATTAAAATCGATCTATCGATCGAAATTTAAAAATATACTTTATTCATTGAGTAATAAAACGGCTTATGTCAAAATAATTTGACAACATACAACAACAAAGTTGTGATAATATCTATTTTACTTTTTTAATAAAATTTCCAATTTTGGTCAATTCCCCTTACAATTGGGAACACAGCATAGTTTACCATATATAAAAAAAGGTAGTAACTACAATGTAAATATCATACTATAAAAAAAAACTGAAAATAGTAACACAAATATTTTACGAATATTACTTCTTTAAATTTATTTTAGTATTTTTATAAATAAAAATGGATATTGCAAAAAAAACTTGAATTGATTGGACTATAGTGTAAAAAATTAAGACTTTTTATAAGAAAAAATTGATAAAGTTTTGAAATTTTGGATTTGAACTCCCAGTGGGAACCCAAATACAAATTGACACAGCTGCATCTGCTATACTTTTTGTAGCTGTGTGATAGGAACTGAAGAAATGAAATTGAAGCTGCTCTTAAGTCGTAACCATTGAATATTGTGCGAATGCAACAAAAGTGGGTAGTAATCTAGATAAAATAACTGTGTCACTCGGTTGACCAACTAGGTTATCAAATAAGATGATCCTAATGTTTTGTATAAGGCAATTGTAAATTTCCCCCCAGTGTGCGTTTCTTGTATTTATTAAGTTTCTAGCCATTTCTTATCAATGTTTGCGATCGTTCATCATCATCACTATCGAATTTTGTAAGTCTTACGTAAATACCAGCACTCCCCTTAAAATCTCCTTGAACATCTCTCAAAAACCGAACGTCTATTTAATTCAAAATATTTTATTAAATATTAATGTTTCACTTCTCTAATTACCTAACTTATCTTGTGCATCTATCATTTTCAGGGTGGCATTCTGTATATCGGAAGTGGACTACGGGACCGTGCCTTTACAGAACCACGGTTAACATAACAGACGCTCCCCGAGACACTTTCGTAGACATGCAAAAATGGACCAAAGGAATAGTGATAGTGAACAACTTTGTACTCGGCAGGTACTGTCGCATAGGACCGCAACAGACTTTATACTTACCAGCACCTTTTTTGAAAATGGGAAACAACGATATCGTCATCTTCGAGCATTATCTTCCACACGATGAAGTAGATTTTTCCGATCATCCTGTGTACGTCACGAGAGACGCGACGAGAAATTTTTTTTGATAGAGCCATCGATGTTGAACAATTTGTGCGTAAACCGTAAACTTGACTTTTTCCATTCGGGTCACATTTGCTTCAGTGTCGAAAATATAATAAACACTTAAAAAAAGGGTTTTCTAGTTTGAATGGATTTTCAATATCTTTGTGGGTTTCTTAAGATTTGTACGAGAGAATAATTTTGTGGGCAACAAGTTAGAACGCTGCCAATATAACTTCTATTCACTCCAATAAATTTAATTAAAAACAAAGTCTATAGAGAAATAAAAAAATCAGATAGGAAATGCTATTTACAAAATTTTTAACTGATTTCCATATTGGTGACAAGTAAAGACCTGGGTCGTGGTTAAGATTGCTAGGTTACTTATAGATTTCTATAGACTCTCGGATTTTAATTTTATCAAATAAAATTTTATGTCCGGTTTCGTGATTGTGTTCGGCAACTAATGATGAGTTTATTTTTATTATATTAAGACTCTTTCATGTTCTTTAAGCCTAGTTAAATATTTTTCGTCCGGTCTCTCCAATGTATTCTTTGCCGCATATACACGTAATGCTGTAAACTCCTGCATCTCAAATGGAATTTTGTCGTTGAGGAATGTTGAGAAATAAACATCGTATCGGATGACTGATTCCCATATTGGTGACAGGTAAAGACCTGACTCGAGGTTAAGATTGTTGGGTTGCTTATAGATCTTTATAAATTTTCGGATTTTTCGTTGGTAGAAGAATTAATTACATGTAGGAATTTTAATTTCATATCATAAAATTTGATGTCCGATTTCATAACTCTGTTCGGCAACTGCTGTTGAGTTTACTTGTCGTAGTCTTAAGGCTTTTTCATGTTCTTTGATCCTAGTTGATATTTTTCGTCCGATCTCTCCTCTCTCCAGGCATCTCAAACTTAATTTTGTCTTTAACGAATCGAAGATGTTGAGAGATTTTTGGACAAGTGGTAAACCTGGTTTTGACGTTATATTTCTTTAGAACTTTTGATATGTGGTAAGTCATATTTTGAATGTAGGGAAGGACAAGAGTGGCAAGTGTGGGATTGTTTTCGTGCTCATTGCTGTGGGAAGGTTGTGGTGAAGTGTATTTTGTAATGGAACGCTTAATATTTTTAATGGGAGCCTATTAAAGCGTATGTTAGGATGTATAGAGTTTAAATGTCTTAGAACCAATATATAAGCAGGTACAGAGTAAAATACCAGCCAGCCAGTTAAGCTCTGAAGCAGCCAACAAAATGATTGGCGAAACGTTAGCAAGTTCGAATCAAGAACAACCGACGCAGGAGGAATCCAGAGGTTTTGTAAATAGCATCACAGTAACCTGTGGAAGTTTCTTTGAAAAAAAAAGATAGCATAACATTCATACCAGTCAAGAACTTTCGCAGTGAAACGCTACAGTCGGATGAAAGAATATTCTCCATGCATGGTAATTTTATTAATAAAAAACGAAAAAAAAAGATTTTTCATTTTTAAATCTCCCAACGGCAAACAATTTTTCCAAAAAAGTTTTTTTGTACTCTTCATTCTGAAAGAATCAATTATGACCTTTGAAGCATGCGCAAAGTTTCACTTTAAAAAAATATTATTAGTGGTATTAATTATAAATTAAAAAATACTCAAATCTTACATATTTTAGTAATATGGTTCATAATATCTATAAAATCTCAGCCAACCGAGGCTTTTTCGTATGAAAAAAATTATTTACTCTGCTGACTCGGGCGGGCTAACCCAATAAATGTCGTGAAGAAAGACCACCAAAGGTTCAAAGCTAAGCTCGTTTTTCACTAGACAACTGGCTATCGGGTTACTGTATTTTTTTTGTATTAGGAAGGCAGTCCCGATACCTAGTTTATTGTTATATCTCTCCATAACAAGTAAACAGATGCCGAAGTATTAACAATCAAATATTCACCAAACACACGCGTTTTGCGCCAAAATTCAAAACGGTCTATTTCGGGAAATATCCGGACTCTAAAAATAAAACGCCGGGAAAGTTCACCTACTATTTAAATTTAGAAGTTCCGTACGACGTTGATATCGCACGCCTGCAGCGTAGATTTACTTATTTATTGGTTTTGTTACTTGCACAATTTCGAAATGGCAGAAACGCAGAGCGAAAACTCGCAGGTAAGTAAAGAATTTTACCGACGAAGCAGCTCCAAATACGTTTCACCCAATTGCAGGCCACGGAAAGGACCCCCAAAGAGTATGAGGAAATAATAAAGGTGAAATAAAGCATAGCCGGTTATCGTATTTCCTAACTGTGTAAATAACTCCGTAGAAAAAGGATCGCGACATCGAAGATCTGAAACAGAAGCTCGAGCTGATGGAGATGGAAGTGACGCAAGCCCAGAAGATGAAAACCCAGAGATCGAAGGAACACGAAGAGGTTGCCGCGCTAAAGGAACAATCCGAAGGCATCCTCACTAAAGCGAAAGGCATAATCTTCGAGAACACGAAGGTCATCAAAAACCAGGAGCTGCAAATCGAAACGCTCAATCAGCAAGTGGAGTCGCTCAAAGACGTCGTGAGGATAACCAAAGATTTGTTGGAGATACGCAATTTGGAAGTGAAACAGCTCGAAGACAAGATAGGCCTGATGTCGGGTAAAGTATCGGCGGAAAAGGAGAGACAAGACCTGCTCCATCGAAAACTGGAGACCATGATCAGACACAATGGGGAATTGAAGAGGGAATACGAGACACAGCTGTGCCTATTCCAGGCGTTGAGGGAAAGGTACAACGAAAGAGAGCTGGCCAACGGAGTGGTGAACAATTTGAGGCAGGACGTGGCTGAGGCCAAGCAAGAGAACACAGTTCAAAATGGCGAGCCAGCGGCGGAGAAGAACGATGCGCATCCAGAAGCAAACGTGAATGACCAGAAACCTACCTGAGCTTAAGATTTGTGATGGCAATATCATTGCGCAGATTTTTTTAAAACTATAGTAGCTTCGATTTTTGTTTGTGGGATGTTATTATGTTTCTAGCGGACAGATGGAAAAGAAGAGAAGTGTAGAGTGAATGCAGTCTAGGACTCCATAATAGTAATTCTTATATTATTAGATTTGTCTGTTTTGCTTTCTGATTTTCTGCTGGAGTATATTAACCGAAACAAACCTGTTGCACATTGCCTTTGACATTCAGACTCTCCGATTTCGTTTGTGATTTGATATTCGCTTTGATAAATGCCATTTTTCGTAACCTCAGTGATATATTTGTTATTATTTCATCCCCAACAGTATAATAAAAGTACTAACAATTATTTAAAAAAAAAGAAAAATTAACAGCAGCGAGCTATCAATTTTGTATTGCGTTATGAAGTTAGGAAAGCTAGCAAAATGAAAAATAATTTAAAAAAAAAGCGCGTGGTAGAGCAAAACAAAAACTTTTCCAGAACGCACACTACCACGGTTAAAGTCAATGGTAACTTAAAACGACGATATACAGTATTTTAACACTATGCAGATATTTATTAGCAACATTTTTTTACATTTATCATAAATTTTAATAAGAACTTCACACAATTTATTATTATTTTAAGTTTGGTGTCTGCACTTGACAAATTTTTTCCATTAATCTTAACCTTAACCTTAAACACAGCTTTATAAAGTTGTTTCACAAGCGTGGTTTTTTGTCCGGAGCCTGCGAGGAATAACAAATTAAAAAAAAAAACTTGCTATTCAAATGTAAAATCCAGTGTCCAAACTAACCAAAATGGTGACCAATCTTTAATATGTTTCAAAATAAGTGAGGGACCTAAAAAATTAATGAAATGACATACAGATAAAGATGATGGAACCTAGCGTGAATTTTTCTTAGGAATCCAAAATAAAAATAAGAAACTTTCGGTATAAACGGAAGTGGTACAAAGTTGAAAACTTACGAAATGTATCGTTATAGCTATATATAGATAATTCTTACTAGATTTGACGTGAAGGAGGGTTTTCTGAGGATAAAGAAGAACTCACAACTGCCGTGATTCTAGACATTTTAAAATGTTCACAAAACTGAATGGCAATGTTATTTGGCACATTTTCAAAATAATCTACATTCTGCACACTCCCCGGTCTATCTGCAATATTGGTAATGACCCTGCTAAATTACCTACCGCAAAAAAAAAACAAATTGGTTAGGTTGTGGATCGGATCGGAAAGATCGTTTTCTTAATGCCTAATTAATCGTTACACATACATAAAACACAGAAAATAAAAATCCTGTCCTTCATTGTACATTCGCATGGGCCGCTCCCATATCTTCTCTGAGATAGTTACTGACAACACACTTGCTGCTTCATGAGCAGTGTTGCCACACATACATCCCAGATAGCACACAATATCCCCAGTATATCCGGTCAATGTCCCACTTAGGTCGCATCTCCTGGGACATGTCCAGGATATTCTTAGGATATACATTACCATATATACTAAGAATATATTGTAAAATACTTCCTAGATATCTTCTGAATGGATAGCTAGCGGATTTACTGTATACTATATACCACAGATATAGAACCTTGCACCATAATGGGAACATTAGAATAGAAATAAGGGAAAAAATGAAATACCGTAAAACAAAAATTAGTTTTGGGCACGAACGACACAAGAAACGCTTTTTTTTTAATAAAATTAGCACAGAAAATAGGGACTCATCTAAGTGAAAATATTACAAAAACGTACAAATAATATATTTGTTTATAAGATCCTATTTGACACCGTTCGGTTGCAATCAATGACGCAACTACTCACGGTCGTGCCGTGCCGGACTCGCTCGAGTCTAGTCGGCTTCTTCGGCTCGTCGTCCGCCATCTTTTCGGACTTGTTTTTGTTGGCGGTATACGGTATACGGCGACTTGGAGTGCTTTCATTTCAGTTATTTTTTTGTGGTATTATTATTACTGAAGAACTAATAATTCATGTAAGTAAAACTTTATGGTAATATATAACATAAGATTCGATAAATTCTAAGCTGAACGAACCATCGTTGTGCAGTCTACCAACATCATGCCTTTTTATTATTTTGCTACGTCAATGAGATAGCAAGATCAGGCGGAGGCAGCAGCTGTGAGTTTGTAAAACAAGTTCTGACCCAGCTGATTTCAAACGAACTTACAATGAAATTTAATTGGTTGAGCATGAAGAAAAACGAGAAAATTTCAAAATTAAAATTGGCCAAATCAATATTTGATAAGTTTATGTTTTTTAAAAATAAATAGGACGTAACTGTAATATAAATAAAGTATTAGAAATATCATTTAATAAAATATATATTACGGCGATTGCTTAGTTGACACTTTTTTTAAGGAGTGATTGCTGGACCGACCGAGATAAAATTGACTTTGTTGTAACCTATATACCTATATTACACGGTTTAGATTATATATCTTTTTTGATTCTAGACTTGTGTTCGTATCTTATTGCCTTGTTTTTGAAAACAGAAATAAAATCCATCTTCTCTTCATGTTTTTTGAGCAGGTAAATTTAGGCATACAAAACTAAACAAATTCGCATAAAGTATAATTTTCACAATTAAAATGGTTGTTGAGTTAATTCATAAAAACGCTTGTTTTCATGGTGATAGTAGCATCGCGAGCAAGAAATACTAGGAAAATTTTTAAATTCACAAAAATTTTTCCATGAAAATAGGCTTTTAATGTTAAGCTGAAAAGTCATATTTGTTCTAGTGTTTCAGTTTTGCATTAAATGAAATGAAATACATAAAATACCTACATCATCGTGGAGATTAGCATCTAAGATCACTTTCATGAAAGTACTATCAGCGCCAAATCAAGCCTTTACGTAAAAGGCGGATGTAGGGATTTTTTAGATCTGTTTTTTAAACATATAAGATACCAGTCTCGTTCTTTTTATTTTTATTTTTATAAAGTAAAGATGTATAAAACCTGTCTTTCTCAAAACTAAAATATTTTAAGATGCGGATAAGATAAACACATCACTACTTTCACTAAAGAATGACAAAAAACCTATCAAATATTAGTTATTCTTTTAGAGTTTAGTTCAAGACATAGTATATCTTACTTTATATTTAAGATACTTTAGGTTAGGTTGTTCTAATTTTTGCTACATTATATGCCTACAATTTTTTCATATCTACAATAGAAAAAAAAATGTGTATAAACTGTGTTTTATTAATGATATCAATCAGCAGTCCTTCCATACCATAAAAAGCAAAATTAAAGATTAAATATTAATTGAAAAAAACTTGTGCATTGCAAATATCGCCTGCTATTCCAGTGACGACTTCACCAACCATACCCAATAGGCCTCATAGGCTGTTGGACATAACCTAATAAGTAAGTTCCACTGGAATATCTATATAACATCCTACATCCTCACAGTCGGATATACTAACGACATCTCAACTCGTATAACTGGATATCCTTAGTATGTCCTAACAAATTATATATATACTGTGGACGTTCCAATTCGTAACATCGTATATCCTTAAGACGTTTTAAGGATGTCCGTTAGCTGAAACAGTATATCCCAAAGATACACGCTATGTCCCGTCAGATATCCCGATGACGTTTTGTGGACGTCCTTGTGCTGTTTGGGATTATGGACATTATAAATGTTACTTATACTTAATAAATAGTAAACAAATAGCAAAACTTGAAATCTGATATTATTTCAAGGGTATGGATTAGGCGCATTCGGCATATGTTGGATATTTTAGTCACGGAATCGGATGTTTTCGCTACGTTTTAGTCATGGCATTTTGACACTTGTCTAGCGTAATTGTTAGAATTTAAAAGTGGATTATCAAAATTTTCAGGTGGGTGGTCTGCACTATTGAAGTTTTCACCCTTTAATTTACAAAATCATTCCTCAAAAATGAATTACATTGTTTTAACAAAGAAAGCCGTTTAACAAAAAGTTATCGGGGAACCCGTTTTCGAGAAATGACTTACCTTTTATTATAATAATAGCACTTTATTTCCAACAGGTAACATGACCCAATTACAGGAAATATTAACTATAAATCATCCAATATATATACTAGGGGACGTAGAAACTAATCTTAAATCTACTAATCTTATAACTAAAAAAAATGAAGAAGGATAGAATGAGAAAGAGAAAGAAAAGGATAAGACTTATCAGTACGCATAACCCGACGCCATTCGAAGTTGCTGAAGTATGGCCTGGAGACCATCATAATATAAATCGCAGTACGATGATAGTTTGTTGAAGGTAGCACACATATTGTAAATAGGGTTTTGAAAATGGATATTGGACCTGGGTAACTGCGGTAAGAAAGTTGATTGATGTCTCCCTTCCAGCCGCGGCACATGAAAACGTAATTGTTCCAGAAGAAACGGACAATCGACTCCGTAATGAACTAACTTATAGAGAAATGAAACAGATTGCAAGTCTCAGCGCAAGCTCGGGGGCAGTATAGCGAACCTTCTTAGTAGAAGATCGTGATCAACTCCCCTCTCAGGATAGGAACCGTCCTCCCTGAACGTTAGATACTTTAGTAACCTTCTCTGCACACTCTCAATGGACTGAGTGTGGCAGTTATAAATTTGTGACCATATCAGCGAGCCATAGTCAAGCTTGGACCTAACGTAACAGTTAAATAACAATTTAACAGTAGCTGAGCTACAAAAATGCCTGCAATTTCTTATTACGAATCCTAAAATTTGCATTGCACTGGAAACCATTTTTGTAATGTGAGGTACAAAAGAGAACGACTGGTCAAATAAAATCCCCAGATCCTTCACAGTAGCAAGTCTAGTCAGGACAGCACCATCCATATTGTAATTAAAGACTATAGGAGTTTTTGTGCGGTGGTAAGAAACCACATTACACTTGCTGATGTTAAGATGCAATTTATTTTTGGTACACCATTGACTGACAATATTGATGTTGTCCTGGAGAGTCATGCAGTCTATGCCAGTTTCAATGCTCTCGTATAGCTTTAGGTCATCCGCATAGGCAAGCTTGTTGCAGATGATGGAAGATACGAGATCATCTATAAATATATTGAAAAGCAGAGGTCCAAGGTTAGAACCTTGAGGCACGCCAGAAGTTGGAACAAAAGGAACTGATCTAAACCCCTTAATCTCAACAAATTGTCGACGATTCACCAAATAGGACCTCAACACTGTAATCAGCGAATCAGAGAAACCATATTTATGAGATGCTTTTTCAATCAATAAGTGATGATCTATCTGGTCAAATGCTTTGTGGAAGTCAGTGTATATAACGTCAACTTGGCCCTGCTTGTTCAGAGAGTCACAGACATACGAAGACAGGGAGCATAAGTTAGTGATACATGATCTTTTCGCATAAAAACCATGTTGTTGCGTAGATAGTTTATTTATAATTTGAGCAAAAATAAATTTATTTAATATAATCTCGAATATTTTAGAAAAGTTGCACAAGATCGAAATAGGCCGGTAGTTTTAAATAACAGAGGGATCACCTTTTTTGAGAATAGGATAATAAACTTTGACATATTTCCAAGGCTCTGGATAAACACCCGTCTCAAGTATCAGGTTAAAAACGTGACATAAAGGAGCACACAGTGCGTGGGAACAGTCTCTCACGATAAAACTTGGTATGCCATCAGGACCAGCGGTAATTTTGTTCTTGAGTGCTTTGCTTGCTGACAAGACATCCTGGATACTAAGCTTAGGTATGTTCACTAGTTCCGGATTAGAGGACACGCTTGAAGATGAACATGGATCTGGCTGAGATATGGTGTAAACGCTACCAAAGTACTTAGCAAAAGCTGCAACAACCATATTAGGTCCTTGGCATTGCTGACTAGAATAGGACATCGAGGCTGGGATTCGCGAATCTGCCTTCTTCCCCTGAATAAATGACCAGAAATTGGTAGGACTATCATGTATACTTAACTCAGCACGACGAAAAAAATCAGTATAGGCAATGCGTGACTGGAACTTGATTGACTTGCGTAGCGCGGTATATCAGCCAAAATAATAAGCAGATTTGTGTTGCTTGAAATTGCGGAAAGCTTTCTCCTTCTCAAATATAGTTGCGATCATTTCTTTAGTGAACCATGATGGAAATCGCCTTCGTCTCGGTGTTTTAGTGGGCGTGCAAAGGGCAAAAATATTATTTAGCATGTCGTAAAAAAGTGTTAGAGCCCTGTCGACATCCGAGCACTCCATAACACTATTCCAGTCTGCATGCTGCATCAGTTCATACATATGAGGATAGTTGGCCTTCCTAAAGTTAAATTCTGTTTGATCATTCCTATTGATTGGAAAATTAGAGACGTGTGGAAAAGCGACTTGGAGAGAAACTATTAACGAGGGATGGTGTGGATCCTCGTCGATAAGTGGTACTGCGTTTCTCACTATCGCAACGTCGAAATTGGCAAAAACGAGATCTAAGCAACGGTGATTTAGGTTAGTTACAGAGTTATGCTGTTTAAGATTCAATATGGCGCTGAGGTTGAATAGGGATCTATGTCGGACATTGACAGGAGCTGAAACAGTGAAAGAAGGAATATTGAAGTCACCCAATAACAAGACAGATCCACCAAACAACAAGTCCAGCGACGACAAAGATTCAAAAAAGTTCTCAACTTCGAAGTTGGCAGCAGTGGGAGGAATGTATACTAAAAATACATAAAATACAAAGTAATCTAAAGAGATCTTACAGCCTAAAAAGTCTATGCTTGGAGCACTGTTGCTGATGCCGGAGGTATCCAGAAGTGCGGACTCAAAACTGTCACGAACACCGAGCATGACACCACCGCCCCTGGAGTCTCCGGTTAGATCTTGCCTTCTGTCTGAGCGGTAGACCAGATAAGAATCAGGAAAGAGGTCAGTGTCCCGAAAATCTGGTTGAAGCCAGGATTCAGTAACAGCAACGATATCATACCCTGAGGAAGTGACGCCACTGTAAAAGACATGGGTCCTAGTTCTGAGACCTCGAACGTTCTGGTACATACAGGTCAATTCTTTGGCTGGGGTGGCGGCGGAGCTGGGTACGCCACTGTAAAAGACATGGGTCCTAGTTCTGAGACCCCGAACGTTCTGGTACTTACAGGTCAATTCTTTGGCTGGGGTGGCGGCGGAGCTGGGTTTTTTGTAGCGATAGTGGGAACACCACGGATGTATTTTAGAATCAGATTGTTTTCACCATTCGAGCGACGATGTTGCAGTTCTTCTTTAATATCTCGAATATGCTTACGTTGCGCCGGAGAAAGATCTGCCTCGACGTAAATTTGGTGATTCTCAGCGAGTGTTCTCCTACTCTTCAGCACAAGTGACACGTCGCTGGGTTTAGACAGTGTCACTTTAACTGGCTTGTAGCCATTACGGTTTGGTTTACCGACGGAAACAACGTTGGTGACTTCAATCTGCGTAGACCCACTGCTGGAGAGCAGTGAAGAGATTTGAAGTGATTCAGGAATGCTCTCGTCTCGGCGAAGATTAAAAATCTTTAAATTGTTAATGCGTGCCTGTCTCTGCAGCACTTCTTGCAGAATGCCGTTTTCATGACTTTGTTCGGCGGCTGTAGTGCTGTCACTGCGATTGTTATTAGCAATTTGATTCCTTAACTCTGCAATCTCAGATCTAAGATCAGCATTAATTTTGATTTGATCTTCGTATCTCGCCAGCAGGTTGACATACTGAGCCTCGATGACTATTAATTTCTCCATTATGTCGTTCAAAGATACTTGGTTATGGGTTATTGCTGGGTTGGAGACATCACCACCAGAGATATCTTGGAGCGACGCAGCACCCGTTCCAATTGAGCGCCGAGGGTTGCTATTCGAGGTTTGCTTGCTTCCTGACTGAGACTGTGCAATATCTAAGCAGGGATTGCATGCCCAAGTGGTTTCTTTGGTTTTATTCCACCTAGTTGCTTGCTTGTTAAACTCATGGTTAATGAGACCCGAACAACCCTTGTGGAACCACGACAGACAGGCACGACATGATATTGAAGGTTGACTGTCCTTTATTGATCTCTCACAGTGTGAACATCTTGGCTGCTTGTTGATATTCGGCGCCATCCGTGCAGTCCGTCCGCGGCCAAACTCACTCTTAGAAAAAAAAATATAAACACGAACTAAGCCCGACCACGCGGAACGCAACTAAAACACTACAAATACTATTGTGTGAGCACTGTTTTTGATCGATTATTTGTTTCACGTCTGCCGAAGAACAACTAAAGGTGGCTGGTATGTTTTTAGCGCATTTAAAATGTGTTAGAACTACGGAAACTGGTGTAATTATGAGGACACAAATTAAGCAGGTCGGACGGCGACAGACAGCACCTTTTATTATTCAACTTCTTCTCTTCCGCCAATTTGAATCATCCCCTATAGTTTCATGTAGATTTTTTGTGAAACGAGAATCTTCGAGGGTCGAAGGTAGGGCAGGAAATAAAACCGCCATTTAAAAAATATAACATTTTATTTTTTACCTCCCTTAGAATATATTGCTAAAATTCTCCGAACAGTTAACTAAACTTCTGGATATAGTGGAAATGATTAACGCTAAATCTGAACAACTTTGTCTGCTTGGGCACAAAAATAAGTCCGCTAGCTATTATTTGTTACCGATTCGAATTAGAAATCTGAAAGCTAATACCACCAACGATATTTTTTAATAACACTTTTTATAACGTTTAGCTAGTATTTACAACCTAAAAAATTCCCTAAACGCTTAAGTCTCAATTACGTCGTCAAATTTCGTTTCCCTTGCGACTTGGTTCCCTTGTCCGTTTGGTCGAAAATCAAAATAGACTGTTGAAAATTTGAAAGAATGCACTTTTAAACGGTTCGCTCTCGAACGGAAACAAAATTCGACCCCGTGAATACACGAACCCAAATCAGTCGGAACATGTTATATAGAATAGAAGAATAACGAAACAAAAACATGTGCAATAACAAACCGAAAACAACGTATACTGGCAGTGAATTACTTTTGCTGGTTCCCTCGATATGTATCTGGCTCAATAATTATCAGACGTATACTTCCATTTTGTTCGCTTTCCGGATCACCCGGATTTGACCGGGCTGCACTTCCGGGAGGCCGCATTTGAACGTAAATGTCACCGTCTGCGACCCGAAATTCGCCTCGAATCTTGACACGAAACAAAACGATTAGGAGGAGATCAAATCAATGACGTTATATCCAAAGTAAACAAAAAAGTCATTGTCACTTCCCGACGTTGTAAACAAAAATATAATAAGGTAATATACAAGAGCAATTCTTTTTACTGTCTTGACTGGATCCTATGGCAACATAGGCTACGTTGCCACAGTTACGGCTTTTTCCCTAAGCTACCAAGAAGTATAGAGGTTTTCTTGTTTAGAAAGGGTGCCCTTAGACATATATAAGGAAAGTTAAAAATTACTATAGCGGGGGATTTTGAGAGAAAAAGAACATAAATTAAAATTAATTTCACTAACTTCTTCGTTCAACCTTTCGTCTACGATTTTTGAAAATATAAGTGTAACGCCACATATTGCAAATTGTATTTGACGCTTTTATTTCTGATATTGCCCAGAGACTTTCAGAGAATGTAAACGAAAACTTGATATTTTGTTAACTTTCGCTAGTTGCTAAGCAAAAATATGACAATCTTTTGAAAACAGAACGACGTGTCATTTTGCTGGACAAACTAAATATAAACATAACAGTGGAATAGACGAGATTCTAACTAGCATAATAAAAATTTGTGTTCTATATGTTAGTAAGACGCTGTGTCTATTGATTAATTAATGACTACTTTCAAAATTGCAGCTTTACCAAAAGGTAAATCCAAAAATAATTACCAATTACAGACCGATTAGCAATTTGCCCGGATTTTCTAAAATATTTAAGATGGCTATTTGCGAAATACTCGTAGAGTTTTTTTTAATAAGGACAAACTGTTCAACAATCATCAGCATGAGTATGTAGCAAATAAATCAACAGAAACCGCTATATTTAGGGTTAGTTAGTCACGTGGTTAGATCTTTCTAGAGTATAGGATTGTATAGATAGGGATTTATTGCTCAAAAAAATTGATTTATACAGTATAAGAGGTAATATGCTAAAATTTGAATCATACTTATTGGGAAGCAAACATGTAAAAATACCCAAATTGTAGTAGGTACTTTTTGGTTATTAAGCAAAATATTCTGGGCATAGAACAAGGTAGAATTCTAGGCAAAATTTTATTCATCATTTCTGTAAATGACTTGTATTTTATAACAAAGTCAGAAGAAGAGAGCATAATATGCTATGCAGATGATATCAACCTGCTTGTAGGTGCAAACAAGCTCACCCGGGTTGGTGATAAAAGTAACGATATTTTTGCAAGGGGTTATGACTGGTTTCTAGGAAATAAATTGATTTTAAACAAAGAAAAAACAAATTTAATCATTTTTAGAAGTATATTAGGTATAGGTGAAAAACCACTAGGTATAAGGATAGGTAAAGAAAATATGAACATTATGAAGAGTACTAAATTCTTAGGTTGGCAAATTAACGAGTTTCTTGAGTGGTCTGAACATACTGATCATTTCCTAAATAAATTAAACTCAGTTTGCCATGGAATTAGAGTTGATGCAAATTATATGAATATGGAAATTTTAAAAATGCAAACTTTCAGTCACGCACGAGGTATGGAATTATTTTTTGGGAAGGAAGTGGTCGGAAATTTTTCGTGGTTCAAAAGAGGGTCTCTTCGTACCTTCAAGAAAATCCAATTTAGAGGGTTGTTGCAGGGGGGTGTCCAAGGCCGAAGGAATTTTCACCGTGTACTCTTTATATATTTATGAAGCATTGATATTCTTTTTTAAAAATAGAAAATACTTCAAGCTGTAAATATTTCCACAGATATAATACCAGAACCTTGAATGTAAATTACCCAATTCACCGTTCACCCTGAACTGAAAGAAGTCCCTGTTATATGTTCCTGAGATTCTATAATGATAACTTATCAAATAATGTAAAAGCAATTGCAAATATAAAAATATTTAAGTGCACTATTAAAAAGTTACGAACAGATTTTGAACCTTACTCTCTAGAAAACTTTTTTTTGTAGTATTTAATTAATTAATTTCCTTTATGTTTGGTGAGTTATTTTTATGTAATGAATTTGTAATACAATGTGAAATAAAGTTTCATTTCAATCGTTTTTGCTGGAATCACAAAATGAATAATTTAGTCAATAAATTAGAATTTAATTTATAAACGTCATAATGAATGATTTTGAAGAATTGGTAGCCTTAAATAACAATAAGAACTAATTAACAAGTCAACAGGGAGTGGGGTGAGATTATAATAGAACTTGCCCCTGTCGTACGCCACTGGTAGCAGTGAGGCACATTTATTTCGCATAAACCAGTAGGGTCTATAGTACAAGCCTAAAATAATTTTTAATTTTTAAAATAAATAATTTTCATTAAAACATGTGTCCAATAAAATAAATTATTAATAGATGATTTACTTGATCTACTTAAAAATCAATGACTAGTGAATATATAACAATCTGCTGGCTAACCAAAACTGCCAAAGCTGGAACGATCAAATTCTGCGGATTCACCCACCACCCAAATACCACGTTTACGTTACACGTTTCGGCCTCGGTAGTTTTGGAGATATTTAAGCGGTCTCATACTTTTACTAACCATAGTGCGAGTATAGTCAAAACGGTTAGGGCAACTATGAAATCACGTGCGAATGTGAGGCATATACTTACTCCGTGGTTATGTTGACTTCGGGCGGTTTCCCTGATGCGTTCTGCACCACCAGAAACAACTTGGTGATTATTTCGATAACGTGACCCGTTTGGAATACGAAATCGCCCTTCTTTTTCGCAAGGTCGCTCTGAAATAGGCAACCCGTCCCGTCAGACGTGTCGCTTGATGTCTCGCTGTTGACTACCGACGACTGTCCACCAAAAAAAATCTTCTAGTACACTCTACTCTCCTATTATATTTCAATAATACATTTCACGACCCATTCAGTTTTCTTTTTGGCTAGAAAACATCTATCCCCGACGATGACAAGCATAATAACCTTTGTGCTTACTTAGAACTCTCTTATATAGTGCTAAATAACTAATGCCCATACAATCTATAAAAAGGAAATTAAAAAATAAATTTTGCCTGCAAAAACATACATTGGTCATATTTAAGGATAAAAATTAGATTAGTATTAAGTTCGATGAAGTGCATTATTACGTATTAAGTAAGGTAAGGCCCACTAACCTATACGACATTGCTTCTAACAAGAACATTTGCTTCAAAAGGGCTTTAGAAGGTCAATTTAAATACAGTGAAACCTCTAAATAAGGACATGTCTATTAGGCGGACACCCCTCTTTAAATGAAAGCGGACAACACTGTCCTGTCTTTAAAAAAAATTACCTCTCTTAACAGATGTGAACCTCCAATAACATGACAACGCAATACTAAAATATCGGGGAATTACCTTGTTCCTAATCCTATAGGGGAATTACCTTTTTCATTTTTCATATTATATTGTATTATTCATTGATTTGCAGTGGATTCCACAATTTTTAAAATGGCACCTACTAAAAAACTTCTTTGCGAGAAAAGTGGAAATTGTTAACGTTTCGGAAAAGGAAAATTTGTCAGTGCGGAAGCTTGCAGAAACATTTAAAATCGTGGAAAACTCAAGCGACGGAAATTCTGAAAAATAAGGACAGCATTTGTGTACAATGGGAGTCGGGAAGCAATATTGACAAAAAAAAAATTTTAAACTGAGGGACTTCAAATTAACAAAGTGTGTTTTGATTGGTTTTCCTGGTTGTGAGGCCAAAACATTCCAATATCGGGGCACTTACTTAAGGCCAAGGCTCAAGAAATAGCAGAAAAACTGAACTGATCTTCGGAGAATCAGCAGATGTGAGTCAGCCACACGAAGTTTACAATGCCGATGAGACTGGCCTTTTCTTTCGAGTCTTACCTAACAAAACACTTGCTTGAAGTCTTAAAAATGTAGTGGTGGAAAGCTTTCCAAGGAGAAACTTACAATTTTATTTTGTGCTAATACGGCAAGACAAAAAGAATATTTGCTCGTGATTGGAAAGGCTGCCCGACCTAGGGCATTTAAAAATGTAGCAATTAAAAATTTACCAGCAATATGGTTGTTACAATTTTATTATACTTAGATAACGAAACATCGCACCCCGTGAGGTAAAATTACAAAACATAAAAATTATCTTCTTCAGATCTATCATACAGAATGTTAAATTCTATTATCGTGGACTCATACTGAAGCACATTTTATTAAAGATGGATCAAGTAATATCCGCGTCAGATTTAGCAAAGTCTATAAATAGTTTACCATACAAAATCGTTTCAACAAAGCTGGTTTTCAAAACAATATTGCTTGAAATGGAACAACATAACGCAAGAAACTCTTGGAAACTATGTTGGAATCGGCAGCGACTGAGGAAAATAGTTTGAACATTGAAGATGCAATTGAAAACATGAAGGAACCTGAACCGGAAGAAGACAGCAATGAAGAATATGATAGTGGGAAACCTAGCACAATTAACAGCTATAATGAAGCCTTAAAAATAATTAAATAAATTAAATTAAATTATTTTGCTATTTTGCAACACCTTAAAAATTTAGAAGATCATTTTCAGTCAATTTTGTTAAAGCAAAAAACAATAAATATAGAGTTTGTAAATAAATAATTAAAGTTCATTCACGTATATTTTTTTCTATAGTTTTTTTGTATGTTTTTAAAGAAATAAATGTAATACATATTAACGATTTATGTTGTTTTTTTTTTTCATGCACCTCTAATGAGCGGATTCCTCTAATAAGCGGACAAAACTAGAGGAACCGTGAGTGTCCAGTTATGGGAGTTTTCACTGTATCGTTAGTCACATGCGTTTATAGTAAAAGAAATGTATTGCGGTTTTCCCAATTAATTCGTACTGCGAGATTGAAATTTTTGAAAATTAAACCTACAAATGTACGAAATTTGTCTTAATAAAATAAACATGAGGGGCGAGAGTCTCGACTGAATAATATTTATCCTTCTGGGCATACTCTTAAAAGCGCACCAAAAAGCAAACAAAAAGAGAAACGAATTATATCAGTGCTACATGTTTACACAGTTACGAGATGCACCAAGGACATATTTTACTGCAATCGTGAAAAAACCACTGGTACATTTGCAATACTCTCTAAATGTCGTGTCATGTTTGAAAAATATTTTATAAAGTGCCATTTTTTTAATGAAAGAAATATTTCTTTTACTGCGTCGAGATTTTAGAGATCAATTTCGTTTACACTGCATGTAAAGCAAAGATCAATACTAAATTTCATTAAACCATCACGAATTCCAAATAAAAATCATTCTTTCTTTCTGTTTCTTAACAGGGCCGTCAAAATAAAAAACAAAAAATATCGATAGGCATGCCGACATAACAGCGAACATAAGGTCTTGGTATACCATGACCAGAAATATTGTGTTTTTACAACCGATCGCCGTGATTAACTTTGCCTACTGTTTATTACTCCGTTTAAACAGCAGCCACTTATAGAACAACCTGCTGAGCAGACCCTTACCAGTAACTATTGCAGGACCATCCTAGGAATTTATCTACCTACACTAACAAGTGGGATATAAGTATGTTTTGAATTCAATGTTTTTCGCCGAGCAATTCTTGAAACATATACTTAAAAAAAATAGTACAAATTAACAATTTATTCGATTTATTACACAGTATCATTATTCATATACAAAATACTCAATATGATAATACAGTATCAGCCACTTACAAAATCGTCACTATCGCTAATGTCATCTCCTAGTTCAATGATCAACTCCGCCACTAATCGTTCTCGATAAATATTTTCTTCTTGTACTACTCCTTTTTCAGTTAGCTTCGTACTGGTCTGAGCAGAATTACGTTTATGGAACTATCACTAAATTTTGCTGCAATGTTATTTCTTCTTATATGCGCTTTCAACTCAGACCATGTCATCTCAAGTCATCTCAATCGGGTTAAATATACAATGATATGGAGGAATCTCAAGTCGAACCACGTTTCGTCTAAATACACTATTGGCCTTTTTGCTCATGAAATTTTTGAATTACATTTAAATAATCCACCCAAAACTGCGAAATTCTTCGAGATTCCATTAACACTTGACGCTTATTAATTGTTTGGAACTGAAAATCAATTTTCTTCAAAATAGTACACAACGACTCTGCGGCACAACTAATGTTTAAGTCGTCAGTACTTTTTTATGCAGTTCTTCTAGGGTAAGACACTATTCGCTTTATAAGCGTCTGCAAAAGACTTCTACTGCCTAGGATATGCAGACGACGTAGTGATTGTGGTACGATGAAAATTTACCAACACCCTGTCAGAGACAAGTCAGGAGGCTATTAAAATCGTGGAAAACTGGTGCCAAAACGAGCGGCTAACAGTTAACCCGAAGAAAACGAGCAGCTAACAGTTAACCCGAAGAAAACGACAGTCGTTCCATTTACCAATAGGAGAAACCTCACAGGACTGAAACCGCCGGTGGTAGATGGAACAAGGCTACACTTCTCCAGGGAGATAAAATATTTAGGAGTCATATTTGACTAAAAACTTACCTGGCGAGCGCACATTCAAAAGATCACGCTTAGGGCAACAATTGCACTAGGTAGATGCAGAAAGATGTGTGGAAAGAACTGGGGCTTAAACCCAAAAATGACACTTTGGTTGTATCTAGCAGTAGTGAGACCAATGTTAGCGTATGGGGCGATTGTCTGGTGGACAAGAACCATGCAGGGGGAGGCGATAAGGCGGCTGAGTAGCGTGCAAAGACTAGCGAGTCTGTGCGCTACGGGCGCCATGAGCACAACGCCCACTGCAGCGCTGGAGGTCCTACTGAACATCCCACCAATACAGATCTATATACAAGTGGAAGCAAGATCCGTAGTATATAGATTACTGCAAGGTCAGTCCCCAATAATTGGTGGACATAGCACAAAACATAACAAGTTTTACTTGGAGGTAAGGGCGGGCAATGTCCTAGGGCTGCCAACGGACAGCTCAACACCTAAGTATTGCTTCGTTAACTACTACAGAGAAGACTGGGAAAACGGGCCACCAATCAAGGCAGAAATAACCTGGTATGCTGATGACTCAAAAATTCAAGAAGGAGTAGAAGCCGGAATATATGAACCCAGGACGAAAAGGAAAATCTCTATTCCAATGGGTAAGCTAGCAACAGTATTCCAAGCAGAGATCACTGCACTAGAACACTGTGCAAGAGAAATAAAAGCGAGGAAGATCCGTAACAAATCAATTGCAATTTACACCGATAGTCAAGCGGCTATAAAGGCCTTGCAATCTAATAAAATAACATCCAAGTTAGTTCTGGACTGCCATAAGGCATGAAACGAAATAGCAAGCCAGAACCGGGGCACGGAGGGCATAAAGGTAATGAAGGCGCAGACGACAGAGCCTGCGAAGGGTCGTCAATGCGCCTGATTGGACCAGAACCCTTTTGTGGGGTGGCCAAACCCGTTGCAAAAACAGCCATCAGGGATTGGATGGACCGAGAATCCCGACGATTGTGGAGGGACATGGCGGGACAAAGACAGGCCAAGGAATTCCTAAGAGGCCCTAAGCGACAACAGGAAAGACGTAAGAATAATGGTAGGTCTGCTGACGGGCCACTGCAGGCTTAACAGACATCTAAGCTTGATGGAAGTGGAAGAAAACACAGAATGTAGATTCTGTCAGGAAGAGGAGGAAACAGCCAGACACGTACTGTGCCACTGCGAAGGCCTAGCGAGAGTGCGTTTCCATCTGCTGGGCGATACCAAACCAGAGGCAGAGAGCTATACGAGGGATCCATTATCGAAGTTGTGGAGTCTGGTTAGAGAGACGAACCTGGATAACGCCCTATAGCTATGGAGAGAGTCACAATAGATCCTCTGGGTCGCAGTGACGGACAGGCTGACTGCTAGCTCTCCCAACTGTTAATCTTAATCTTAATCTTAGATTATAAGCCTAATTAGATCTGCACGTTGCTCTTTAAAAACTCCCGAAGTACCAGCATCTTCTTTCACTTTCCTGTTGACTATCCCATTTAAAACAATTTGTTTAGCATCTGAAGACAAATGGATAGGTTTTTTTATTTGATGAAGTAGTTCGTTTTCTAAATTGTTATTAGGTTCGACTACCATCTAAACTTTGACTCCAAATTCTGCGTTCTTTTCCATGTCTTCTTCTAACATGGGAACATCTGTTTCATTCCACGGTCTCCACATTTTAAAGTGTTAAAAAATAGGAACCTTCAAAAAACGTTTAATTGTAAAATTCTAATCTACCGCGAATATAATCTGTAATCTTAAAAAAAAACTGTTGTTGTTTACCAATCGAAGAACTATGTAGAAGACACAAAAATACAAAAAGAAGATTGTTGTTAATCGACATGCACCCACAACAAGAATCATTATTTTCAAACTTACCTGTAAGACAAATAGAGTACAGGTACTTCCCTTACCCTTTGGACTATCCAGTGAAAACAGCCTCGAAGAATCAAAACACGAAAATCATGTACATAAATACGTACTTACTAGAAGGATCACAGTTAAATACCTATACGATATACAATATACGAACATATTGCAATTTAGTTTAAACTCTTAAGAACCATACATATACCTAATATTAAAATAAACGAAAATACCATGCAACATCAATACTTCATCAAATTTAAAACGGTCCATTTACGTTTCAAATAAAAATTTCAAGTTTCTACAAATATTCGTTATGGCCCATCTCAGGCAAAACCTACTTAATGCAGAATAAACATCTGTTGGGATGGGTTTTATCACGGTCCTGCGAAGGTCTGCGGTTAGGGTACGGTAAAATACTTAATACGTCAAAACAATGATTGCACAATATTTTCGGTCGTACAATACATCAGCCATGAAACAGGCGATCGAACTCACCGCTTTCATGTGAACTACCGCAACGTCGTCTAAGAACGGAGAAAGTGACATCCGGTAAATGTCCGTGGCAGGTACTCTGTATTTTATCTGCAACGTCCTTTGGTCCAAGATTAGCATCGATCGCGTCGATATCACCAAAAGTATAGGAACGAACTAAGTAGAACAGGACGAACGGCATAACATTTAGTTACTCGTGGCAAATCAATGTCGACGTACCTTTCCACTAGACCTAGCGATTTTATTGATTATGTCAGCGAACACTACGTATTGGTCATTGTTTTCCAAACTCATCTTCTTCCACTGGACATTCTGTCTCAGCCTGACGTAGTCACCGAGAAACGGATGAGAGATGCTATGGAAAAACGATTGAACTACCGCAAAAGTGACTAAAAGTGCAAAATAAGCAGTAAGCGCTACGAGGTTGTTTATTATTCGAGATCTAGAAACAGCTGCCGAGCGAAATTTTGAATACAAACTTTGAATACAACTAAGACGGTAAATCCATCGAATTAATACTCCTAGAAGGCAGGTAGAAAGGTAAACGAATGGTGATTTTGATTATGTGCGCCTGTGCGGAACTATATACAGTCGAACTGCGATTTGACACATGAAAATTTCGAGTTATCAAGACTTCGAGTTATCAATATAAACTACAAATGCATGTACTTTTTTGTGAATGAACATTTATTCATTATTATTCATTTTTAAAAATTGATTATACATAAATACATAATTACATAAATGCCCTAATATCTATGATTTTTGAACAAAAAAGAAAATTAAGAAATAGTAGTATGTATGTATTTACATAATATATGTACATACAAATGTATTGTATATGTACCCAGTATATATAAACATAGTATGTATGCACATATACATACATATGTATGTACATATTAAAGTTTACTCTTTCACTGGAAAAAAGTCAGTTATTTGTGACTGACGACCGGATTTCTTATTTTGGTTTTCAACAAAAGCTTCATTTACTCTTTCACTGGAAAAAAAGTCAGTTATTTGTGACTGACGACCGGATTTCTTATTTTGGTTTTCAACAAAAGCTTCAATTTTATATAAACAATCATAGAGGGAATCGGTTGTGTTTTCACTGGTTTTCAAATAGGAACGCAAGACAATCAACGAATTTTCAACCAATTCATTTGAAGGTGGTTGCTGAGAATCATCTTCCAATTCCTCCTCCATCCTGTCACTTTCGCAGTCATCTTCAATATTTAACTGTACTGGTTCGGATCTGCAGGACTCCATAATATCTTCATCAGTAGGAAACTCTGAAGTAACAATATCCTCATCCACATGTATAAAATCGTTGATGGTGCTACCTTCGGCTATACCTCTAATGTTTGTCCAAGCTTTAAACTCGATTTCTATTTGGATTTCGTCTTCACTCTTTTCTTTCAGGCGTTCACTTAGGAAAATCAAGGGAATCTCATCTTCTTCCCATTCAGAATACTGACCAAAACCGGCTTTTTTAAAACAATTGGAAATTGTTTCAGGCTTAACGTCGATATTCCATGCGGTAGTTACGTCATCAACACAATCCATTAATGTAATGTTATTGTTTTTGTTTTCTTCGAAACGTTCCATTGCGGTGATGACTGAATGTTTATTTTTCAAAATTGTAGCCATTGTACTTGCCGAAATTCCATACTTCACAGGTACATCTTTATTTTTTGAGCCACTTTCCACTTCTTTTATAACCTCGAGTTTTTGATCAACAGACAAAGCTTTTAAAGTACGTTTTGATGACATATCAACAAATGCAAAAATCCAAAAATGTCTTTAATATAATGTGTAAATTGAATAGAGACAGTATTTTTCACTTAGTATTAACTAGTAAGTCATACAAGTGAACTTAGCAAGCACAGAAACTGAACTGCTTGCATAGGTACGTTAAAAAGACAGGTTAAGATCGGTCGTAATTAGGGGGTTCCCCGAGAAAATTCGACTTATCGAAGTTGGCAATAAATGTTTCGTTCGAGTTATCAAGATATTCGAGTAATCAAGACAAACTAACAAACATTTCCTACTTTTGACGCTATTACCAACCAATTTGGTTTGACTTATCAAAAATTCGAGTTATCCGAAGTTCGACTGTACATACATATAAGTCTGTCATAACATACACTTGCACTGATGTAATATAAACGACAAATTAAAGCAGGCTTATTTGCTAGAAGCTACAAAATTTTCAGGTTACTTTTGGTTTTTAAATTTATTACTTTCGCAACTATTGGCAACATCGCTTTCAGCTGGACGTTGTAGATTTGCTTTAACGATTTGAAATTTGACCCATATTTGCAAAAATGTCACTATAAATTTGATCCAGTTATTATGATGCACAGGTAAATTTGTTTAATAGGATATCTTAACCCTAGAGTTCATTCTAACAACAAACAGACGTGCTGTCTCTCTTTATCCATGAGTGAAGCGTAAGCCTTCTAGAAGTACTAGGAGTATAAAAGTTTTTATAGGTTCAGAACGTTGATATGCTAAGGCGATGTAAAAAATATATTTTTCGGTTCGATGACTCCTTTGGTATACAATCTGGGATTTTGAGCGTTTTAACTAAAATGGTAGATTTTTTAGGTGGTAATAAGAAATACAGTTAGCTGGAATTAACCTATAAAAACGCTACTCTAGTAGAAATTATTGAGATATCTATGCTCCATGCTCTATACTTTTCTATCTTTTTTTTTTTCAAAAAAACTTCAACAGACTAGTGTAATACTATTAACTAAACTTCTGTATTCCTCCTGCACCGGTTCTTGCTGAACCAAACTGGCTGATGCTTCGTCAATCATCCTGTTCGCTTCTACAGAGGTTAGCTGAGTTCAGTTTCCAATAAGCTCTGAAGAATCCAACAGGATGATTGGCGAAACGTCACCAAGTTCAACCCACAACTCAACAACAACCAACGCAGGAGGAATCCGGTTTTAGTGTTTTCTTCTTCTATTCCTCTCTACAGGTTGATGAAATTATTTAATCACTTCTGGATTGATATTGAGGTTTTCTGTCTTAGGCGCTTGCAGTTTACCACATTGATTAAACAAACATTTTTGTTACAATGAGCATTATTTTACTGGAAAGAATAGGGTTATAGTTTATAGATGTTGGGATAAAAATATCTTCCAAATATATGTCAATCACTTATTTTACCCAATTTGACAGGCTATCTTCAGAGATTATCATAAGTCATATGAAAAAATTTTAAATAAAAAAATTCTGAAATAGGTCCTACACCGTCATTTATTCTGGTCTAATTAAACAAATGAATATCCAATTCTATCGAAAATAGATACAAATTTCAAGAAAATACTTGAAAGCGTTATAATTCATGATATTATTAGGTCTCAACACTAATATTATTGTATTATCAGTTTTTTCCGGGGATCATGAAACGTGCTTAAATTTTCTAATATTAACTAAGAAGGGCATCTTGCGAAAGCAAGTTTATTATTTTTATTGTTATTACAAGTTACCGTGACGTGCACATTCAGAGTGGAACTTTAAATTTTGAAGGAATATTTGGGTATTTTCTTTCAGTGAATTAACACCACAATTGATCACGTAAATACGGACTCTCGTGAAATGAACTATGTGTTAATAATTAATATTTTCTTATCAAAATGTATAACAAAAAGAAAAAACACAAGAAGTTACCTCCTGGGATACGAACACTTCCGGTTCTTGAAAATGAAGCTAGCTGTCACCTTCTCGCGCATCCTGTTTCGAGCCGTCTGGTCGAACCTCAGCCTGTACTTGTAGCAGCGCCATCTGTGGTGAATTTTACGCAGCGCGGCGCTCGTCTCGAGCAATCGCGACATGCAGGGAGGCCATTCTCGGCACATAGGTGAATCACTGTCGGCCGGTAACTTGTTGATAAGATCTAACAAGTATTGTCGCCTCTGTGCCAGATAAGATGTTTTTTGTTTAAAAATATGACCATCATCATACGAAGATAAACCTACTTTCCATTGAATGTAGTGCCTTTGTATAACCCTAGCTGCCCATTCAATCTGTTTCCGGTGCTTCATTATCCTAAACTCCTCCCTGGCCTGGAAAAGGAGATGGTATTTATGTGTATGAAGAGCAGACTTTTTCCATTAGTAAGGTTCGTTTTTATAAAACCGCCAAGACAGATGCTGAAGTACAGGAAGGGTTCCAAGTAGCTCGCGTGGGTAAAAAAACCGACGTCTTAAGGTAATAAATTTATGATTATATTGAAGTCATTGGAAAAAATAAAATTGAAATCACCTCCAATGAGTTTTCATTAAAATAAACTTCGCATATCATAAAGGAAACTTCTGAGAAGTAATGATCTGTACTAAATCAGACCGATTTTTCTGAAAATAAGAGTCACTCACTTCAATTAACCATTTATAAAGAGGATCACTTTTCTAGACTCAAGAAGTATGTATGAAAAGCACACTCAAATTTTTCAATCAACTTAAAGCAAATTTCACTAGCGTAAGTATCATACCACGTGATAGAGACACCACAGGTGAGCGCGTCCTCGAAATGGTATCCCGTATTTCATTTCCTACAATCGTAAGTAAATATGAAGCAGATGACACCCCAAAACGATACTGAGGGGCAGCAGCCATTTAAAATATTGCGGGGACACTCACCCTCCAGCATCTCCAAGCGGACGCGATTACCATCTGGCTGTGTCGCAACTTCCGATACTGTTTCCTTTGTCGGTAACCCCTCCACGTCTTCTGTATGATCAGAGCTAAATCGTTGACTCTGGCCCTGCGAAAGTCTTCCAGTTCGAAAACCGTCCTGGGACTCCTTATGAATAATTTGGTTCTACCTGTCAAGAGGCAAGAAATATTTTCTGCAGTAGTTTCAAATTTTCAGTTTCAAAAAAATATACCGGTATTAGGGAAATTGACAAACAAAAAAATTGAAATGGCCCCCAGGAGACGTAATTCTTATATTGAATTTTAAAACTCAATTTCTATAAAAAATTCACCATAGCTAAAGGGAGTAGTATTTTAAAGCTGAGACAAATGTAAAACTATCTTTATAAGGAAAATGATGGGGGAACATTTTCTTAAATAAATAATTATATTTATATAATATGACTTTTTTTATGTCTCTAGATAGTCACATAAAAGCCCAAGAACCCCAAACCCCAAAACTGCATCTCAACATCTTTATCCTAACCTAAAATATAAATAAAAGAATTAATGCTGAATTATGTCACTTTCTGTATGGTTATTTATAAGTTTACCAAATAAAACGGATTATTTATTATAAATTTATTATTTTTCTTTATTACTTTTTATACAATACTTTCGGCGGTCACATTTCTACATTTTAACATGCTTACAAATACTTAGTATTTTCACTTATTTTTTCTTAACATATTAGGTTTAGTCACTAATTTGATTACTAATCAATTGTCCACTAATTTTACACCCATTAAAAATAATTAAAATCATTTAAAAAATGAATAAAACGCTCTGGACAGAAATAATTGATATATATATTTTTTATCTGACCACACGCTACGCATCTTTCATGTCGTTATTTGATGCTTATTAAAGTCTCTTGATTGCCTGCCGAACAAAAATACTTTTTATTTCAGTACAGATTTTTCAACTTCAATAATTCAATAAACCTAAATATTTCAAAAAGGACAAGACTTAATTTTGCCAATTGCATGTCAAACGGTAGAAGGTACTGTGAAAAAAAGCAATAAACAGAAATAATTACATTTGGGTCTAATTAGGCATTAATAACAACCCGTAATGTTGATTTTTTTCCATAAATCCAACTTTTCTTGAGGGTTAAGTTATTTTATGCATATTTTAGGTTAACATAAGAATGTTGAGATGTTTTTTTTTAATACATTTATTCTTTACTTACAAAAAAAATTGCAAGTATGTCAAAAACGCCATTTGGTGGCGATGTAAGCAGCAATTGCACGATTGCACACATATCACGATTGATAGCCTAGGAAAAGCCCGTTTTAACGACTCCAGGTTTATTAAAATGCGTTAAACCCACTTCAGAACATGAGCATTTACTAATCCCAACAGAGATAAAGTCAACAGCAGTAAACGAAAGAAAATTGAATTTGTCTCGGCTTTAAAATTTTAACTATGAGTAACACATAGGTCTAATTAGTTAACACTTTTTGAGTATTATAGAACATATATGGCATATACAGCATTGGTGTTTATTTTTATGTTTTTAAATTAAAAGCTTTATAGTTTATTTCAGTAACAAATGAATCATTACAAATTATGATGGTCTTTTCAATAAGTTGGTCTTTAAATCGCACCCCTCTTGTTGTAGGTCTTGTCAACTTCCTATAATTCCTACAACGTGGGTTTTATGTTTCGTTGCGTAATAATAATTGTCACATACCAAATGTAAATTCGGCACTGGGTATTGGCAGTGATCTGAGCAGCACCGAAACGCCCTCTATGGACGAACCTCTCCACTTGGGCCATGTGTGGCAGCAAATCATTTTGTAGCGACACAAGAACTGAATGAAAGGCAGCTTGTAGCAACAACCGGACCTCCAGACCTGAACCGTCGCGATAAGGTTCAAATAACGCACCTGATGCTGCACCAGGCCTATTTCGAAAATTCGGGGCTGTTTCATTTCGTTAGGCTTTATACATCTGCAAATATAAGAGAGGCGATGCAAATCTTAAAGTTCATTTATTCAATCTCAATGATATATCCAGAGAGGACCCTACAAGCTCTCAATTTTGACTGTGTCAACACAGTTTTATGATTTTGTTACAATAAAATTTATAGAATCTTTCAGTTCCATTTAAAGGAACATAATATTCAAAAGAGTGGGAAGGGAACTGCTTCGCCCATTCATATTGGGATCGAGCCAAATTATTTTCAAACAATTCTAAGGATGCCATGGGATGATTAAACACTGAGAGAGATATTCAAGGACAAGGTTAGTTCCGCCCCCCAGACAGGATTTTTCAAAAGCTGATTCTAAGATTCTGGGTACTTGTGGGGTCTCCTTTTATTATTGCTCAACCCAATAAACTTGATGGTACCTGATATAATGATTCTGACGACTGGAGAGATTTTTCAACAGGGAATTCAAAGACACCTGTATCTGTACCGCGTTGCTCACCGGCCGTTTGATAGAACACCTTTTCGGATTTCCTTCGGGAAATAATTCCCGCATTAACGTCATGTCGCAGCGGTACATCGCCCTTGAAATTTCCCGCGGAAGACTGTCGCGATTTTTTTCAATGAAGCCGTGAACCTTGTAAGTTACCACCCCCGCAAAATGCCTTATCCTAAAACCAAACTCGCTGCAACCCCCCGTAGCCGTAACTCAATCCGCATTTTATCTGAAGGTCAGAGGAAAGAAGCCCAAGTTAAAATAAAAAATTAAACAAAAGGGCGTCTTATGAATCCGAATTGAATTGATTCAAATATTGGTTTGCAATCAGCGGGATGTAGATTCACTTATAAAATTATATGACGCGAATTACTGTATATCGACCAAAACACTTGTTTAACTGGGATATACCAAACAATAATAGAAAGAACTTTCAATTTGGAAAATTTAAGCAAAAAAACTGATATCAAAGTCGAATTATCAGCGCATTCAAGCATTTATTGCACATTCTGTGAAAAAACGCAATGAAAACACAAAGATGGGGTAAATAAAACGCTTATTGAATTTCGGCAAATCATTTTTAAAATTTTCAAAAACCCATCTGAACTAGGCATAAAATCGTAAAAATATGGGTTCTATCGGTCCAATCAAGTTATAATAATTGTCAGATGGCGGAACTTCCGTTACAAGGGAACGGAGTATTTGTGTTAAATTCGTTTACACAGAACAGAACATAAAATTTATTAAAAATTTGTATACAACATATACGTAATAACAGTTTTTGGATTCACTGCTTCGTTCAGATCAATTTGTCTCAATACACCTCTATACTTATTTAGAACGGTTATAGTATATTATACGTGATTTTTGATCGCATTATTCGATGAAGGACCCAGAATATGGTGATCGAATATTATGCAACAAGTACGGTAAACGACATTTGACTCAGGAGTTCATTTGACACGAGCGGAGCGAGTGTTTAATAAACGAGTGACTTAAAAACTTTATCGAATGTATTGCATGCTATACTTTTTCTACGACTTTTAGTTTTGGTTACATTTTCGAAAACAACACGAATACATTCTTTGACATGACCGCCAGAATTGACAAACATTAGAATTCAAGGCGTGGGAAATATCTCCGAAAACATCCGATTGCTCCTAAACCCGTGCGATAAAATCCCGAAAATTTCCGAAGTGGCTCGGATCGTGGGAAACGAAACTGGCGTGGTAAAGTGACGCTTCCCGCACGCTAGACGGGTGTGTAATTAGGTATTTTACAGACGGGAGTAGACACAATTAATTTTTTTCTTCAAAATATGACATTATACTTATACAGAGATGTTTGAAATTAGTGATTATGACGTGAAGACCAAAAACGGTGAAACCATCATCATGTAATCATAACTAAATCATAAGGCTTGTTGTTTAACGATAATTGCTCAATTATTGTTTCAAGGCGGAAGACAAAGTTATGCTTATATTTTTAAAATTTTATTTTGTTTTGAAATACATATGTTGAAATTATTTGGAAACTCTCATGACCTGCTTTTTCACCATTTCTCATGTGTTCCGTGACATTTTTCAAAAGTCCCGACTTTTAGAATTATTTATGATGTTCGACAGCCTGTACAATGTGCTGGAATATTAATATTGAAACTTCGAACTTTTTTACTGTCCGTTTCACATAAAATGCGTGACTAGTTTAAACACTTACTGGAAAGTATATACAGGGAGATTGTTATCCGCGAGTAGGCAATGAGAGTGCCCAGAAGAGCACTGTTCGACCCTCGTAAGATACGCGGTATCGCATTGCACGTGAGGCTCTTCTAGCAGTGATAAGATTCCGTGGTTCTCGTGCTCTAGCAATTGACATATAACTCTGAAACGGGGATGCTAAACGAAAACCGCCTCTCGATTTGATCGAAATATCAGCTTACACATTATTAAAATATTCGATTTTGGTCCACTCTAATCCTTCCTTGATCATCTCTTCTTGCTCCTCTTTCAGTGTGAGGTTTGTGATGAAATGTTGCAATTTCTCATTGCAATAGTTTATGATGAGTTGCTCGAAGCTATTATGCTTAAAGACTTCAAAACCGTACAAATCTAGGACTCCCAGCACTTTTCGTTTACTTAGAGTCTTTGCCTGGAAATAAATATTAATCTCGTACCTGCAAACTTCATAAAATTCATAAAAAAACAAGCACCAAACAACTACACAGCTGTGTAGGTAATGATCAGACACTGAGAGTTCTCTTGTGTGACATAATCATCACTCGGTAAAGTTAATATAGCTACTAGATAATATAGAGGCAAAGTTATGCGCCTCAGGCAATCATGACATTTTTGTACAGAAGGAAATGACCTTCCACGTATACCTTAACTGGACTTTTACTTGAAAACTTCCGGTAATCTGGGCACATTTTGACAAGAATGCCACATTCAAACTGAAGACCATTGAAGTGACAAGTGTCAACGGCCACGATTATTGTTGAATGTGGCAAAGTCTTATTGATTGAAAGGATATTTTGAAATGACAGGTCTTATGCCTTGAAAATGAAATTGCAAATGACCACGCATGCGCATGTTAAATGGCATCTTTTTTTACATGGTGGCCTCAAAAGTGCCTGTGTTATCAGCATAGGCAAGACCTCCATGTGTCTAATAATTATATGGTAAAATTCTACTGCATCACTTTGAAATATTTGAACCACTCACTGATTAAGTCTTCAAAAAACAATAATCTGTTCATAGATACATATATATAAAAAAAATCAAAACCAACAAAAAGCAAATCAAAAATACAAAAACATATTAAATTAAAAAAATATATATTAATGTTACACCTAGAAGCTTACTTTTATTAATTCATTTATCCTATTGATTAACCAGGTAAACAGACGGCTGTACAATGTCCTACAAAGGGTGTCTCTGATTTTACCAGCCTCTAAGGCGCTTAAGTCGGCCAGTATCCCTTCCTCTATATGTTTGCTAGTTAAAACCCTTTGAATCCACTTGTGTTCGGCAGAAAGTAGCTCGCATATTTCAAAAAGTTCTAAAAGCATATTTTCTTTGACATATTTTATAAACATTCAAACAATGTTAACATATGCACTTAAATGTTCTGGAAACACTTACCGTAATCATTGCTGATGGCACATCCATCTGTACCATCTATATTGTTACAAGGCACAAATTGCAAATTACCTAACTTTAGAACAATAGCTAGTACCCGAAATATATCGATAATATCATCAGCAACAAATCCAAGTATCTCAAGGGCTCCCTTGGTATAAACAAAAAGTTTCTTATCGTCTTCTTCAGTCAAGGTGGGATGATTTGTCTCAGTTTGCAATATTGAATAGTGCTCCACATTTCGCTGAAGTTTTAAACTTTCTAGATACAAATTAGGATTAGTTTTGGTAAGTTACAGTGTTGCGAAAACTTACTGAGAAGATGAATATCGGCACCAGATAAAAGCTGGTAAAAAATGTGAAAATTTCTATCATAGGAAGCCAAATTCGTCACTCTCGACTGAAAATTATGAATACAAGTAGCCATATTACTACAACAGAACTAAGCAAAGAAACTGCATACCTTATCCAAAAAATCTGAATGCATGAAAGTTAACCACACAAATTACATCTATTTTTTTATGTTACTAATGACCCCCAAAACTAAGTGTTTGAATGTTTTGAGTATCGGTTGCATTTCAACCAATTTTTTTTATTATAAAATTACAACCAACGCCCTTCTAACAACATTTATAAAACCTGACTTAGTTTCAAAGGCAAGTTAGAAACTTTTCTCACAAACTGTATTACTTACAGTGGGTCACATGACCTCCTATAGGGTCCCCTTTATAATCAAACTCGATGTCCAAAAATTTCCCCTGCAACATGGTAAATGTAATTCCACTAAGTTAGTGGAGGCTGATGACTCACAAATCGCGAGGAGTTGTCATTTCTCATTGTTTTGGCATTCCCAAATGCTTCCAGCAGGGTATTGGCTTGGACCAATCTGTCCTTTATCAATTTGACCACTGGACTAGAGCCTGATACCAACACAACAAACTGTAGCACGATTCTGGCCGCTTCAGTCTTACCAGAGCCACTTTCTCCTAGAAAAATCCGTACAATAAAATTCTCTTTAACCATTATTATTTGAACACTTCCAAAAAACAAAAAGAACCTTTTTTTTGGCAATATTAATAAAAATATCTAATTGATCAACTTATCCTGTGAAAAAAATAAATTTTTTTGAGTGAGAGGAAACCATTATATCACTTTTTTTTTCATGAAAGGGCAAACATTTTTTTTTAGTTTCTTACCGGTCACTATAATGCATTGATTCTCATTCCTATCATTTAACCATCTATAGGCTGACTCGGCCACACCATATCTAAAAATATTTGAAATTAGCTTTTTAATTTTGGTTGGCATTGTAAAAACTTACATATGGGGCGGCAATTGAAACGGCGGCCTTTTGACATAAGACTCCACCAAATCTGCAGAATAGAGGGCCAATTTTTTGTAAGGATTCACAGACACCAATACATTGCCTATGTAAGTATATATGTGATCTCTCTTGAACCTCTGCTGTAGGTTTGAAATAAAACTATCTTCGTTTAGAGGGTCCAGCAAAACCGTGTCCCATGCTCCAACCTCTTGATCCAAATTGAGCATCGCACGTACCTAAAGAAGTCTTTTACTATACCAATTCAGAATTATCAGCTATATCAGAAATAGGAACACCAAAGTAACCCACAATGTAGAAAAAGAAATGCTTCCTAAACACTTACCCTGGTTGGAATGCCGCCCCTTTGGCGGCATCTAGCTCCACAGTTGTGTTTCAGTGTGCTCCAACGATTAAGAACAATTTCCAGAAACAATGATCACTTGCAGAAGGGTAAAACGAAACTGCAAGGTTGCAATGGCACACTTTCATCATAAATAAAGAAATATAGCATATATCTAATTTTATCTAATGAAAATAAAATTTTCACTGTCAATTTGACAACTAGGCCACAAAATCACAGAGAGCAGAACAGGCTGTAATCACGGAGCATAACTTTACTGGCAACCCTTGATCGACTCGGAGAGTTCATGTTTACTGAATGCCTGGATCGATATTAATTTGATTACTTTTAGTTTAATGAAAATTAAACTGTAATTGAAATGTAAGATATTTTAATTGAACATCGGCAGCACTCTAAACGCAAAATGAATGCGCGATAATTTTTTTCGAATGCATCAGAACTTTATTTTCAGTGTGTAATACCTTTCTTTTAATGCAGTATAGCTGGATATTGCCCGAAAACATTAAAAATAACGAAAACAAATATTACTGATAAACGTCTCTAATGTCGGGCAACCCGGCATGCTTAGCAGGTTTCGGACGGGGCAGGAAGTGTTTCCAATTTTCCGAAATTAATAAAATACTAGACATTTATTTTAATTTTCGTAATGGACGTCTCGTCCTCAACTGACCTGCTATGGTGCTGTCCAAATTTTACTTATTAATTTTAAGCACTACCACGGAATTTGAATTTGTATTTGTATTGCAAGCTGCACTGTTGTAAACTGTGTAAACACAGATTGCTTAGCTTTGTAAGGAATAACTATCTGTGAAGTTAATCGTCGCACCATGTTTGGCACACATTTACTAGAGCCATATTTTATTAGATAACAAAAATGTCACCACTTCCAAACCGCGCTATCTCTTAAGAATTACTAATTCATTAAACTTGTTCCAAAATACTTCGCTCACCAGTTCTGAGATAGCACTCACGGCAGCAGCAATTTAGAAAAATAAGAGTACATCGGTTATATTATTATGTTTTCGTGATTTTTGATCGCAGAAAGAGAGAATATGGTGATCGTATATTATGCAACAAGTGCGGTAAACAGCATTTGACTCAGGAGTTTATTTGACACCAGCGGAGCGAGTGTTTAATAAACGAGTGAGTTAAAAAGTTTACCGAACGTGTTGCATACTATACTTTTTCTACGACCGTTAGTTTTTGGGTACATTTTCGCAAAACACGAATACATTCACTGACATGACTGTCAGAATTGACAAACGTCAAAATTCAAAGCGTGGGAAATATCTCCGAAAACATCCGATTACTCCCAAACCCGTGCGGTAAAATCCCGGAAATGTCCGAAGTGGGTCGGATTCGTGTGAAACGAAACTGACGTGGTAAAGCGACGCTTCCCGCACACTAGAGCCGTGTGTAATTAGGTATTTTACAGACGGGAGTAGAAAAACCATATTTGCTCCATTATATAATTTAAGGCTGAAGGCTAAATTCTAGCGCATTCGCCAAAATTTTAACAAATTATGCTGGTCCACTATCACATCATCAAAATTGACTAAGTTTGTTTGTATTTAGAATGCTTACGAATTCCAAAAAGAAACTATACACCGGTTTTGAGGCATTTTAAACTTCGTTTGTTTTATTTTTGCCGAACTGGAAACCAGAAACAAAGTAAACAAATTAATATCTACTGTTCCAAATATTTTGCATGTGGTTATGATGGCTTTAAATTTAGAGTTAAAAAAATAAAATTGCTTTAATTATCCGTAAATAATTGTGGCAACTGTAAAACATCCCGAGTAATTTTTCGACAGTGTACTATAAAAATATCACGTGAATTGAAAACACGAAATTTTTACTTGATTTGAAAAACTATTATTTGGGATAATTTTAATTTAATGTTTCTTCAGTGACATTTGATTTGAAACAGGTAATGTTTAAAGTTTAGCACTTGTATAAATCCTTAAAGAATCGAGAACTCAAACGAAATATTTTTGTAACCATTATCAACATTCGCGAGCAAAAATATTTGCAACGGAGTGCTGGGGTCTTTGTTCCAAATATTTTGGCATGCGGCGGAGAGTTATTCAATGGAACAGATTAATATCATCCGGGTCCAGTTCCAAACAGCTTTGAGGAGGAGATGCGAGATACGACAGTTGCTAAACTGGTTTTCTTAGTCAATTGTAAGTAATAACTGGTGGCGGCGCTTATAGATTGCAGCTGAGCCGTTTTAATAAAAAGTTAATAAAAATGAGATGTGCAAATTAACACGACTATAATATTGTCGATATATAGACAGGGTAAACGAATAACAACACCGCCAAACGGATTGTTGTTACATCGATAAGTAAACAAAGATATGATAGCCTTTAGGTTATTATTGAAAGCTAATTATTAATTTGAAGCATTATTAATAAATGTTGGGGACTTAAATCATTTCATAAAGCACTGCAACTAAGTTAAAGGCCTGTGGAATTACGTACTTGCACTTTTGTACTAATTTGGATTTCAGTTTAAGTAAACACCCACCGTAAAGATTTATGATTTTTGGCAAGACGATATTACTTGCTTCGTTAGATTTAATAAAATTGACCCAACAATTACGCATGTTAGCTAAAGATCTACGATTTGATGCGGGGCTGTAAACTTGTTCATCCTAATACAAACTATTGTTTTTTGGAACTTTATTAGGCAAAAGCTCTCGGGGTAAGCATACAGGTCCCACGTTATAATATATAAAGTGAAATCGTCCTAGAAAATCAAATATTCACCAAGAAAAATTTGCCGAACAAAATGGCCCACCGAACACTGCCATTTTCATCCTGTCTGATTATTTTGACCATTTTATTAGCTTCCAAAATTGTCGCGGACGCCAAGAGTAAGTATACTAATTCGCGTCTTACTCAGTTTTGGTCAGTTTTATAGCTAATATGTTTTTATTAGTTTTGGTTAGTTTGATAGCTGTTGTTTGTTTATAGTTTATAGTTTTTGAAAGCCTCCGCTCCGATTATTCGTATCCAGTTTTTTTTTAATTCGTCAAAAAATATCAGCTATTTTCTGAAGAGTTATTCTTTTTGTTTATAAGAACAAACCCTAATTTTCAAAAACAATTTAAATAAATTAAAAAATAATAAAAACTACTATCGAATCTGATACCGGGTGGCAGTTTCTATGAAAATCGCCCCGATTACATGATACGTTATAAATAGACGCAGCACCCCATAAGGGATCGTCTGTGTTAGGCCTAAAGTTTGCACGCATTTATCCGTGATGCTCTTGTAAATTAGCCCTTTGTGCGTCGCCGGTCCGCATCAAAGGATATTTGGCTTCGAAATCATTTAGTTGCAAGTACACTGACCGAGGTGCTTCACATATAATGTTGACAAAAATAGGTAAAACGTGGAGATCGATGCTATTCCTTACTTTTTGTGCGATAGTGTTATTCGGAGTGGACACGGATAGCAGGCGTGAGTGCATCTCTTTTTTGTTAGACATACCATTTATTTGCGTCCCCTTTGGATGCGATCGGTTAGGAAATTTTTGGGAAACGACATTTTGTTTATGAAAATCACGTATGTGAATTTACAATATAGTTTTGTCATCATAAGCTGCATTTTTTTATGAAAAAGTAAACGATTGTTTTAGACTAAGTTTTCAATAAAACGGTAGTCATAATTATTCATTTTCAGGCGGATGCGCAAGTTTTGGCCATTCTTGTTTCGGTGGGATGGGTAAAAGGGGTTCCTACGATGCCAATCCGCAAATGCACCAGGATGATAGCATACTTAATGTTGGAAACGAAAATGGCATGCCTATCAAATTGGTTTTAAACAACAAACTTACCGCTTCAGATTTAACGCGGTATATTATTAACCAGTGGGTGAGTACGTGGATTTTGAATCCATATCCGAATAAGGTATTTTTTGTTTCTTCGGTAGGTTACAAACTATCTACGAGAAAGAGATGATTTTAACGAAAAAAAATGAACTCTGTGCCAAGACTCGACCCATAGATAATGAAATGAATCTTTAACTAAAATTATGTAAAACCTATCTGAAAAATATCCATTGCAATTAAAAATTTGTTGTTTGTTGTTTTACTTAACTTTAAATTGTTTTTCAACCTGGTTTAAAGCTGCAACGAGTCAAATAAAAGTAATGACGTTACGGGCATATGATATTGTAAAAAATAAAAAAATAACTGAAATGGATTGTGACTGAATAAGCTTAAAAATATATTTCACCAACTAACCAGTAATCCGTATCCATCCACACCATGGAAAAAATTATATGTTCAAATTGTCCCTGCTTCTAGCCCATAGATTGTAACGTCCGTTTATAACCTCTGTTTATACGATAACAATAATTTTGTGAATAATTTACTACACAAGAAATTTTAGACACGGGTAAGTAATAGCAATCGCAGTAAGTCTGTAGTTCTAATAGTTTTTTTTAATTAAAAACTAAATTGTTTATTTGACCTTCGGCTGATAAGAACTGATCCAATAACCGCTTGATAATAAAATTGGTCGTACCGTGGCGCTATTTGCTAAATGTTAAATCCGTGTTATCTCGTGCAAAGAAGATAGTTCTGTTTATTCCATTATTCGTTAAACTACAGAATTTTTTGAGAGAAAAGTCTACTAATAAGCTTTATTTGCCAGTTTTTGTTCATAATGGATGAAGCATTAGAAGCGTAAGATACTAAATTACCCAATGTAATGGGGTGAATTAAAGAAATTAGTCCCAATTTTAGGTTGGAAGATTCTGATGATGAAGTCCAAATCATTGAATACAAAGATTTCCCAACCCTTTTTAGCAGTGTAGTAAATGATGAGATGAATATTCTCGATATGACCTCCCTCAGAAATCTAATGTTGCTAGGTGAATAAATAACACAGTGTATTATTCATTTACATTCATGCAAACATTTTAGAACGCAATGTGCAAAGTAAAAGATTGGACAGCGATGAACCAGACGATGATATGATTTTGCACAGATTGTCATTGGCTTATGAAAAGTTAAAAGCAATCCCAAAGATCCTGGTTGAAGAGTTAGCACCGTTTGTGAAAATTTTGGACATCAGCAACAATGAGTTTGAGTGAGTCTCTTGTCATATATTAAAGCTAAGGTTAAATGAATTTCTTTTAGGAAGTTGGATTTTCTTAAAGATTTCAGAGAGCTCACGTCCTTGATCTGTGATAGGAATGACATAACCTCGAATACCATCTTACCATATTTACCAAACCTCGAGCTGCTGTGGCTCAACCATTGCAAAATTGAACTCCTCTATCCGTGGGCCAAGAGGCTGAGAAACTCCTGTCCAAATTTAAAATTTTTATCTCTGATGGGCAATCCAGTATCACCTGCTTTTTGGAATTGCGAAAACATTTACGAATATTTACATTATAGGTTATATTTAATATCTTTATTTCCCAAACTTATCCATTTAGATGACAAATTGGTACTCAAAGAGGAGAGACTGGAAGCGGAAAAAATGTTCCAAACACATCTAATGGGAAAAATTGTGCGGAAAACTCAACAGAATCTACCAAGTTACTTGCGTAACATGTCTGAGAGGCTATCGGATCTGTTCACATCCAAGCCGAGCTTTGCAGAAACACAGAGAAATTTCGTTATTTAGTTTGGATTCCTGTGGGATATTAATGACTGATGTTGGTACTAATACTTTTATGTACCCATTTTTTTGTGATTTGTTGTAAATTAAATTTAGCCTACATTTTTTAACATCTTTTTTTGTTCGGTTCTTTATTAGTTCCTGCATTTTGGCAAAACCCTGTTTGCTGTTGTTAAATATTGCGCCACAAAAAATGATATTGACTAATTTACAATCCAATGAGAGCTCTACCCAAAAAAATATTACTATTTCCTTCTATTGTTTATGTTGATATCTTTTAAAAAAATAGTTTTTTCGAATCAGTGCTCTTATGAATTCATCCGAGGGTTCAACATTGAAGGAAAAGCTTACCTAAGTTCAACATTAAAGGAAAAGCTTACCAAACTTCAATATTAAAGGAAAAGATTACCCAAGTTCAACTTTAAAGGGAAAGCTGATTCCTCTGTTGATCAATGTGTCTCTTCATAAATTTGAAAAATATATCAAAGCGAGGAATAAAAAAAAATGGAAATGCAATAAAAGTTAACCAACTATCCTATATTTGGGTTTACATCTAATGCAAATTTGCTGTGTACGAAGTAAGAAGCCTCAGCTAGCAAATTGTTATTCAGCAAAACCAATGCTAAAGGAAGTGATGCTGGCTTTTCCTTGTATTAATTTGCCCTTCTTTGGAAAAACAAAGACTTCTTCAAATTTGTTTTCATGCTTTAATGGATTTCAGTCCAATGCGACATATAATTTTTAATATCTAACAGTCTTTTTATCGCCATGAACAATTAAAAACTCACCGAATAGTAGTAACAATGATAGATCAGAATGACTTAAAAGATCACTAGGGGAAGTGGAAGTGTATTGATGGGATTAATTTTTAGTTGCTTATGCAAATTGAGTTCATTCTCATCAAAATTAACTTCTAACAATATCTACAATTAACGATTATTTAACCGTTTACAAAAGCCCCGAAAAAAAATAAAGGTGTGAGTATATACAATACACAATGAGTATGGACCATATCACATAAAACACTTTATCCGCGTTACGAGGTGGCCTAAATTTAAACCCGCGAGCCTCTTAAAATAATTGTATAAAGTACGAAGTAGATCCGTCCCGCCATGAGGGATCGTCAACTATTTTCGCCCTGCACAGTGGACACGTTTGTTCCCTATCGAACCAGGTAGAGACGCAACTTTCGCAGAAGATGTGACGACACTGTAACAACACCGGAGAATCGTAGTTGTCGTGGCAGATGGGACAATGATCGCCGGCGGTTTGGATTTGTTCTTTGCTTGGGGATGAACCCAGAGACTGTGCAATTAAGTTGTATATAAAATAAGTTTGGTACCATTTCAATAGTCAGTTGAATTACTATGAGTAAAAGTATCTGGAGTTCAATAGCCGTAAAAATAGTGAAAACAAAATATCAACCCTTAATTCCTTGCCAATGAACTGCAGATTAAGACTAAACTCTTGCGAAGAATCACTGAAGTAGGTCAAAAGTATCAGATTAAGCTGAATGTATTTTTTAAATAAAATTCTAAATAAGTAGGTCAGAAGAATCACTGTAATTTTTTTTAAATATCTTTCTAAATAAGTAGGTCAAAACTATCACAGTTTTAAATATTAAATTTCTAAATGACAATAAACCTCAGAATTTTAATTCTACTTACCACAGTTTGCAGCAGCTTAAAGAAAGCGGTTTTCAAAAACCTGACTTTAAACATTAAGTCTGAGCCTTTGGAAATCATATAAAAAGCAGACAGGAAAACAGCAACAATTTTCTCAGGTCCCTGATAGGACTCAAGCAAGTAATATAACCAAGGCTGTATGGTGGCTATGCTACGGTATAATTGAGATACCGCTTCTATAAAGAGATAGATTTTGCCCTAAAACAAAATTAATTATATTTACAATTTGTAGTACTGTAAAAATCATCTAAATTGCAAAAAATGTAGTTACTTTGAGGTTTACCTAATAATTTATTAATATTAATAATAAAAAGGAAAATCCTAAATTAAACTCAACTTACTCTCTTTTTAAATTCAACAATTTTGCCAGGTAACATTGTAAGTAGAATCTTTGTCGCCACAGTAATAAGTTTAAGTGTAAAATCCGTTATAGTAACAATCCACAGCAAATTCAGGACCGTTAGTGGATGTGTAAATGATCTTATCAAAACCAGATTCATAACAACATTGAAGTGGTGGAGATCATCCTCAAAAAAGTAGTGAATAGACAGCATACATGCAAAGATGTAGCACATTTCGATGCTTAAGGTCCAAATGCTGCGTCTTGCTCTCTTTAAAGCCTCATGTTTAACCACCCCATTGGTATGGGAGAAAGTGCCAAACATAATCACCAAAATGAATATACCCTCATGGTAGTCATATACAGCTTTTGCTAATAATATTAACACAAAAGGGACATATTTAAACAACACATGCAAAGCCTGTTGAGCTTCCAATGGATTCACCAAGCGATCTAAATTTTCACCCTCTTGGTTATTGTTATCTCCACCACCGTCTTGATTAATAAATACAGCTTCATGGTTGTGGATATTATTTCGTATGCCTGGATTATCAACCACATTATTAGTAGATGCACCATCTAAATTAATAGAAACATAACTCATATTTTGTTGTGTATTTTCTGGTTCTCCGGGATGACTAATTTCATTCTGATTCCTTGACAGCATCTCGGATATGGTTAGTGCGTTCTGACGTACATTCCTTGCAGTCTCTACGAGCGGCTCAATTTGCCTCATAGCACTGCTGAAGCTTTCTCGGAATTGCCTAGCACTCTCGAAAGTACGTCTTTGGAATGAAATTGGGGAAGACATTGTTGGAAGGGTGCCGCTAGAATGGGTCATTAATAGTCCAATTCTTGTCTGGGGAGAGGCGACAAAATCTGCAGATTGGCTTCTTTGAAATGGTACTGTTCCGCTGTTTTGATTCATGGTAGACAAAAAACATATGGACGATATGTACTGGTTGGCAAATTACATTCCAGCATCAAAAAATTAGAACTGCGTAAGGTCACAATATTTACAATCATAGACTATTAAAGTCTTATCAGTAAACACTCATGACCCCCATCAGATTGCAATTATTTGTAGCGAAACCTCTAGTCGCTAGTGAGACGGAATAACAGTTGAAGTTAATTTGTTTGACTGCTATAAATATTTAAATTCATGTATGATGTATTTCATTACATTGCATAAATCTCGTAAAAATAAAAACTATATTTGTGACATTAAATACAACATATAAACGTCAAAAAAATTTCTTCTTCTTTACATTGATTATCGGCCAAAGTTCACATGTTAAATGGAAATGGCCTTCACCAGTGCCGCGCAACGTCACTTGAAAAAATGCATGCGTACTATTTAAATTTCACAAATTGTGCTCCGCTAGCAATTTTTATTTCATGTGTTTCACCTTAAAAGCATTACCCGTCTCCAATTTCGGCCGTTAAATTCTAAACAGGGACCGCGGATGGTTCGGTTGGCAAACCGTTAGACCTGTCAATCGCTGTAGGTTCGATTCCCAGCGGGAGCTTTTGGGTGTTGTGTTGTGAAAAACATCTCGAGTTGAGCCAATATGAAAATATATTGAACTGTTGTGAACACAATCTTGCTGTTCAATATAATATTTTATTTAGTCATGGACGGCCAGTCATACCTTTTTTGTTTTATAATAGGCAATTCGCAAAAAAATCTACGCATATCGCAAAATCTTTTTAATGACGCCCCGAGAGTTTCAGCTCTGCGTGCAGTGGCAATAAAAGGGTACCTACCTACCTAGATCGTGCCCGCGAAGAACAGATACTTTCACTTTTTATAAACAATTTGAGTCGTGTGCTGGGCTATTAGTGCGTCTCGTTTAGTGAGGAAGATCGCTCATAAGTACAGGGTTAGAAACATGGATGTTAATTTAATGGTGAGTACCAATAATTGTGTTATACTGTGCAATGGTGGATTCTATATTTATTGTTTACTATTAATGATTTTTTCGAGGCAAAAAATATGTATTTGTTTGGGTAAAAATGTTTTTCCAACTGTTTGTGCGGTAATCATTAGAGAATAGCGCTGGCAACATTTCATTTATCAGTAGAATTTATTTTTTCATGGTTAAAGAACCTCTGGGCAACTTTTTTAATAAATAAATTGCTTTAAAAACTGTATTTTCTTCTATTTGGTTAAATTTAAATTCCAACCTTATGTTATTGGCGCGGCATTTTGAAGTCAATACCGTTCCACAGTTTCAAAAGTTTCTAATAAAATTATCTCCATCTGGTTAGTGAATTGTTGTAATGAATATATTAGCAAATTAGTCATCTTTTACGTGACCACATTGAAATTCTGCAGCGGCGGTGGCCCATTTACATCAACACGTTGCGGCTATATTCTTTGATGATTTAAAGGCGTATTAACCAACCATTTTCGAAAGACATAATTGGCGGCTCAACCTTGCCGTTTTTTTCGCCTAATCAACGGAGCCCTCGTAGCATCGAGAATTGTCATAATTTATTTTAAATGAAGACGTAACGAAAAATAGTTTGGTTGGTTGGTTATCAAAATATTACATTCATATCGCTGTAAATTCTACATCTACTTTGCAACTATTTTCATCAAATAAAAATTGCTAGTCAAAAAGCGCGCATATACAGGATATCTCACTATTTCGGGATCGATTCTTTTATATCGCCATAATAGCTTTGGTTATTTAGTTTAGTTAATGTTAGGAGCCTCTGAAACTGACTTGGATATCTTATTTAAGGCCTTTGTATTGTCAACTGTAGAGTTATAAATTTTGAATGATAGCGTCCCTTTCGATTCTTCATTGACAAAGAGGGTGTCCAATTGTTAAAAATAGAACGCCCTGTATATTATTTATGGTCAAATACAGGATGATTCTGCTGTCAGTTTCTTGTTATTTAAAATTTTATATTTTAATGTGATGTTTGGCAGACACAAAAGAGAAATAAAATTTAATCAACACATGACATCAAAAGACGAAAAAGTCAATGACGGAGTTGAAAATCCAAAGGCTACCAATCTGGTGATCCAGCCGGTCGGTTAAAGAGCTTATTTATTTATTCTAAAACTATTTAGAAACAGGTGAAACGGTGCAAATGCTGTCCACTCAAGGTTAATGTAAATATCGAAAAGCTGTTAAACCGTGAAACCTCTTTACCACCAAAACACAAGGCGTTTTTCAAATTTGCAACGTCGCTGTCGGTCTTTTTGCTTCGTAACGGTCTGGCCACAAATAATTATTATTTTCTATAAATAGAAAACGATTGAACAACATTTGCGCATTTTCAGATTCAGTTTTTGACGTCGCTTCTAGTTTTCACATCCCTAGCGTCTTCGTATCCGGCGCAAAACGAAGAAATCACCACGAGAGCTCCAATCGCTGACGAAACGCTAGATTCTACCTTAAACGATAAAAGATACCTCCTGCGACAACTGAAATGCGCCATCGGAGAAGCGCCTTGTGACCCTGTTGGTAGACGACTGAGGAGTGAGTTAAAAGCGAAAGTTAAACCGCAGGTGGAGGAGTGTACACCCATCATTGCTTTAACACTTATAATTCCTTTGGAATTCCTCCTTTGCGGGATTCCTTGTAACTCCTCTGTAATTAGTTTGAGTTCCTCTGGAATGCTGTACAAATTGATGAGGTTTACTGCTCCGTTAAAAGAATTATTATATTTAAAATTGCAACTGGCCCCGTAATAAAAATTGGACAAAAATCTGAAATTTTGAAAGCTGTTTTTTGAAAGAGCTCCAGTACTCAGTTGAGTATCGCGAAATGTTTTGAATTCATACAATTTTTTATAAACTTTAGGTACTTGTTGCCAATTTTTTACAACTTTGCGCAGTTGTTTATTACAATTTTGAATAAAATAAAAAAAAACATGGTGTTTCATCACAACAGCGTCGAAATAAAAAAAAAGCATCTACATTCGGAGACTTTTATAAATATATAAAACAGACCATAAGCTAGCCAAATCTATTGCTTGGAGTTTAGTAAAGAGCTTCATGTCACACAGAGGGTTTTCTAAACCCTTGTCAATTCGGAGAATGTTAAGGTAATTTTTCTCTTCTTTTTCAAATCTTAACTAGTTTATCGTGTTATCAAAAGTCATAATAAACAGCAATGAAAATTCGTTGAAATAATTACTTCTAATTACTTATTAAACTCTTATTAATACAATTTTGAAATTATAAAAGCTTATTATTATATATATAGAATATTTTCTATTTTTTGGTTCCATTTAAAAAACTATGTTTCTTTTATGGCTACCCAGGTACCAGGGGCTGGTTAAAGTGACTTCATTTTCCGGTCATAAGTGGTCCCTGCTAGTCAGTGGTGCAAAAACACATCAAATTGACGTCAAAAAGAGGATATCTTATTTACATCACCAAAATGATCTCCGAATGTAATGTAATAATGTAAAAAAAAATGTAAAATAGAAATGTTATAGAAGAGACTAAAAGAAAAAATTTAAAATTATTTTTAAATATACAAGGTGATTCATAAATATGTATAAAATCAAACTTATATTTTCAACCAAACATCCTGTATATTATGACATTAATACATACTCTCTTTTATTCTCAATAACCCAATGTACGGCCATTTTTTCGTTAAAAATGCCCTGTGTTTAATTTTATTATGCCAAAAATTTTAAAAAGTGGTACAGTTATTTATTCTATACTTGTCTTGAAGTTAGTTCGAATCGTTTATGGATGAGTCAAAATGAGAAATATTAATTTTCGTGAAAAAATGGAAGACCCTGTATATTATACTTCCATTTTTATCTTCATCTTTATTAATTACCTATAATTCTCCATTTTCCGCAACCGCAAAAGACACTTTATGTAATTTAAAGCGGCAGTGTCTGTGAGATTTATTTTCGATTTTTCCCACTGCAAAAAGAAAAAAAAATTAAAAATCGTCATATTTTGGGCAGTAAAGACCAAAATCTGACTTCAAGTTGACGTAAAAAAGATTTCACTTAAATGACAAAAATTGACGGCACAAATTGACGTGAAAAATACGTCACTTAAATGTCATCAATCGTCTGAGACATTAGTAGGTCAAAGTCACGTCCTGCCGACGTCATATATAACGTCATTTTTGTCATATAGGACAACTTAATGACGACCCTCTGCTACCTGGGTAACCAAGAAAATAGTGATAAAGAAGGGAGATATAGTACTTAGTACTTAGTATAGTGGTATGGTATAGTACTTTAATCTAAATAACATATTTATTATTATTAACGGCATTAATATTAACTGTGCTGTTGCTCTTTGATTATATTAACAAAGTATGCTAAAAGTATTTCTTCCATTAACGCCCCTTTGGTCGCACCATTTGGGAAACAGCACGTACTCTTTCTCTTATTTACGGCAATTTAGTAGCCGCCAACAAAATTGCTAACTGTCCATATTGGCGGCTTTTAGGACATCTTCTGGTGGTTCATATTGAGATATTTTATTTTAAACAATATTCTTGGTTATTGATGTGAAAAACTCAGGATCCGGGATATAACTTGCAATGTTATTAGTCCCTAAATGTAATTGACAAACCTTCCCGTACCGACCTCTCCTAGTATTGCTTAGTCACGTAGCAAATAAGTCGTGGAATTTGCATTTCACGCGAACTATCCCACAAATTGACATTCTTAATAGTTACGACTCATTGGTTAATGCGTATGCTAATTACCGTTGCAAAAATACGCAATCTTCAACGCGAAAGACGGCTTGCCGAACTAACACAAGCTTATCAAAAAAAGGCAGTGTCTGCTTGGTATCATTTTAATTTACAAATATTTTTTTTTTAATAGAGCGCTCTGTATATTATTATTTCATGAGATACACCCAATCATTCCGATCAACATCACTGGCTATAGTATCGGGTCGTTTTCCATTTTTCTTTAGGGGAACTCCGTTATTTATGACGATACTGAAGATAATTGCCCTAAAATCGCCAGTTTTTTAATTTTTCCTCCGTTTTAATTTTTGTCTCTTCAATAATAACGGAGTTTCCCATGAAAAACAATATACATGATGTTGGACTTGGTAAAACTCCATGTCCGGTATGTATGAGAGAAATGTCCAATTACTCATTATATCTAATTATTGGTTTCAAGGGCAGATTCGCCTGAAAAATATCATTTTTTTATTTTCTTTCTGGTTTATATCAGCCTACCCATTAGCTTCATCAGAGTAATTGTGACGGTGACTTGGATGTCGAATGTCCTCTTTAAACATTTTAGGTTTTAGAGGCTGTGGAAACTAACATAAAAAGCAATTCGTGTCTGATTAATAACCGATACCTTACCAAATTCTTACTTTCCTTCTGGCATAACAAAAGCGCATATGCAACCCCAAATACAAGATTTCTATGAAGTGTTGCCTATAATATTCCACATTTAATATATTTTATATATCTTGAATATGAATATCGAATACAGTTTTTTTTTAATTTTTTCTTAGTTGTAGAGATGATTGTTTTAGTGAAATGTGTATAATATAGTTAGTTCAAAATTATTGTATGGGGAGTTTCAAACAATTGTTACATGTTTTTAAGCGGAACACTCTTTTTATTTTTAGAGATTGTTAAAAAATTCCATCAAAAAGATCTTCTAAAAATGATGTAATATAAAGTATTAATCTTTTGTATTCGATAAATATCACGTTAGTCACGTAAGTTTGGACCACCTTTAATATTTTCAACTCCATCTATAGAAAAATAAATGTAGTTGCGTAGGCATTGTTCTATAATTTTTAATATTTATATACATACATAAGCTTTTTAATATTTTTAGTATTTTAATATTTTTAATCCTTTGAGCAAAATTTATATTATTCAAACAATTCACCATAACAACATTACTGGTTTTGGAGTTATTTGAAGTTTAAGCAATTAGTGTTAATCAAATTAATAAATTATGCTCAGATTAAGCGTGCGGAAGGTGTCAGGTCTAGCATTTTGGTAACGGGTTTGGATGCGAACGGATGTTTTAGGTAAATTTTAGCCATGGAATTTTGACATGACTATCACGTCACAAATATTTGTTTATATGCCGTAAAGGGTTTCATAACGAGCATCGCAAGTGAACTTGTTTCGTAAGGAATTTTTGCGATCGAAGTGATACGTCAAACTTTCACCGGGTTTTCAGAGAAAGTTTGCAAAACCAACGAATTACGCTTTTACAGTTTACTCATCGCGCCAAAACGTTCCGATCCGTTAGTTATCGTTCATGTTTCATTTTTAGGTTTGGCGCCTCTGGTGTTGAGAGGATCTTGTCCCCAGTGCACCCCACAGGAGCAGAAGCAAATCAGGAAAGTTCTGGCCTACGTTCAGGTGAACTTTCCCAAAGAGTGGAACAAGGTACTGCAACAGTATGCCGGTTAACCTGCGAAACTAGAAAAAATGGAATCGAAAGTAGAAATGGTTGAAATGCAATAAAATCGTGTTTTGCGGGTCGAGTTCCATGTAGATGCGAACGTTATTTTTAGTTTTTGTTTTGGCATTTTATACAATCCAGATTTTTAAGATTTTATTTGTAAGCCGCGCCACCACCACCACCTTGCTATGTGATATCCTTTAAGTTAAGTATCTAATTTAAATAAACATATCAGTAAGCACAGTGTGTGACTTTGGTATTTTATCCATATCGTACCAGAAGTCTCAGATTGAATAGTCACGAATTTGTTATGGTACCAGCGGAGCGAGTTTAATTCGCAGTGGGTATTTTTTCTAAACCAAAAACATTCGATCGCTCTCAAACTCGCGACCAAAGTACCGAAAATGTTCGAAGTGGTTCGTTGCAGTGCAAAACTCAGTACGAATGAGTAAATTTCAGTTTTAAAGTAAGGAGTAATAATTACCTGGTTTCCATTCAGTACGACCAACGTGCCCGTGGGCGTAGGTAGAAAATTAATCCATAAATTGTTCTTAACAAGTCGATTAATGTGGTCAGATAAATATATTATCAGTGCTCGTCAAGTTTTCGTCCAAGGTTATTGATATTTCATATACCAGTCAGGGCGCATAGCCTTTATGGAAGGTACCCCCACTAGTTGTCGTATTGTCATAGAAGAACCAAATATATTGGATCTTGATAATGCGGTTGATGAAACAGTAGACCCTTTAATAAATATCAAGAAGAGAAGACATTTCCTCAGATAGAGAATAACCTTTAACTTTATTAATCTGTTAATATGTTCTCAGTCTGAACATATATTGTGGAGTATCACAGGATAGCATTTTGAGGCTACTTCTGTGCACTATATTTACGTTATCCCTTCTCGACTCTGCACACTTGTAATTATGACGTTTATGCATGGTGAATATGAATAATGTATCATTATGTGGAGGGCGAGTGTCTGGCGCCTAAAAACCAGACCATATTGGCTAAGGGAATAAACCCCAACAGAAAATTCTGGTCCTCCAGGTTGGGGGTTCAGGCGTAGAGCCAGCACTCCTACCTTTGTTCCTAAAGCGCCTCCTTCGAGCAATCAATAATCATCTACTTCGCCTTATTCTATCCAAATCAAATTTAATTCACTTTGGTAATGTTAGGCATGTATTTTTGGCAAAGAAAATACTTGACATTAAGAAAAATAATTCTATTTTTTTTCACGTATTGATTCACGGATGGAAAGAATTTTTGTATTAACCACATATTGTACAATAATAATACAATTGCAGCCTGTCAATATAAGGCAAAATACAAAAACAAAATGTAAAAAGTATAAAGGTGTAAAAAAAACGTATTTTATATTCATTTCTGTAAGCCAAGGATTTAAATTTAGTTTTTTTATTTTGATGGAGTGTTCATTTTCTGTATCCTAAATATTTGAACAGCATTGACAGCATTTCCCCATAATATTGTGCCATGTGATATGTGGGAATGAAATAAAGCATAATACGCTGTCATTACGGCATTTTGGTCTAGGCTCTCCCTAATTTTTCTAAGGACGAATAAGCTGGAAGATAGTTTTCGCTTAAGAGATAAAATCTGATCTTTCCAGTCAAATCTACTATCAAGTGTAATGCCAAGTAATTTAGTCGATTGCCGTTCGCCGTTGTTGTATTTATCTAGCGAAAAGAATATTTTTTGAGTTTTGTCCGTATTCAATTTCAAATAATTATTTTTCAGCCAATTGTTCGCATTGCTCTGCAGTTCCCCAATAATGTTGTGCAGGTCGGACGATTTGACATTTGACAGACCCCAAAAACCGGATAGATCAGCAACATATACTATAAAAAATACAGGGCCCAGTACGGACCCTTGGGGTACCCCACTGGAGACCTTCACCAAAGAGGATTTACGTCTGTCATCGCCCACAAACTGTTCCCTGTCTAGTAAATAAGATTCTGGTAGCTTAAGGGTTCCGCCGCGAAATCCACACCTAAACAGCTTCTGTTTAAGAAGATCGTCGAAGATACAGTCGAAGGCCTTGTTAAGGTCACACATTGTCAACCCCACTCGATATTCAGTTTCAAGACCCCCCACCACATCTCCCACAACCTTACTTATCGCTTGTATGGTAGAGCGCCCCTCCCTAAATCCAAACTGCTCATTCCCAAAGATATCCTGCTGCTCAAAAAAATTAACTATTTGTGATTTTATAACCCTTTCAAATATCTTACCGATATGTGGCACTATGGATATGGGGTGATAGTCTCCTTAATTGTTAATGTCACCGCTCTTAAAGATTGGAATAACTTTAGTAATTTTTAAAGTATCTGGACAAATGCCTTATTGAATACACTATAAGGTTTTTTAGTAAATTGACATTGACATTGACATAAGCGTCAGAGCAACTAGAGTTTCTTAGACTGAGAATCGATCTCTTTACCTCTAATTCAGTAACAAAATTCAGTGCAAAAGAACTTTCATTAAAGGGTATTTAACTAATTAAACTACTTTGAAATTCCGTATCTGGTAACGTTTGAGTTATTGGATTTTTTTATACAATTGCGTTCATGGTTAATGAGTCTCCATATGTCCTTGGGCCTATTATCGGAATTTAATATGTATTTGTTATAAGCTAGTTTTTTAGTTGTTTTTATCTCGTTTTTCTAATGTTTTTGGAAGTTTTTATATCTGTGTATGTCCTCGTTTGTTTTTCAGACGAAACTTATAGTTTGAGCTGCCTGGACTCGATTTCTGAGTTGTTTTAGATCTTGCATAAATGTGACATAAAAGTGACTTCCTTAGAACTATAAAAGTTGTACCAGTCAAGGGACAAAAAAGAGCTTATAATTTTTTCAACACCCGACCTAATGAACAATCTTCTGTATCTGCTGTTGACTGTTAACAAAACTGTGGTTTCTATTTTGATACACTGGGCTAAATGATCAGATAAACCTGGGTTGATTAGCCCTGTTGCATAATGATGTTCACTAAGATTTGTAAGTATATTATCAAGACAGTTCGAACTATCCGGCGTTATCCTAGTATGTTCATAGATAGTAATTTTAGAACCAAAACTGTCCAGGATACAGGAAAGTTCAGCTAGTGCATTCAAGTTTAAATTGAATTTTATGTTAAAGTCTCCCAGTATGATAATTTTTTTAAACTTTTCATCCATGTCACTGAGAAGGTGTGTAAACTTTTCGAAAAAGATGTCAAGACGTGTACAGACAAATGACCAAAATGTGCTCAGTTACTACCTCATTAGCACAAAGCTCTGCGCTATACTCTGATATATCTAACTTTCCGCAATTAAGAGTCGTTTTAGCGAAAACGCAGACTCAGCCCTTATTCTTGTGGTTCCTCCAAAACGAGATGGAAGATTATATCCAGTAATATTTACAGAATTTAAAATACTTGGACAAGTATTATGACGTTCGCTTATGCAGGGAATATCATAGCTGTTGCATACTAATGAAGAAAAAAGATCTATTTTATTTGAAATATTTTGTACGTTTAAATGAAAAATATTCAAACAATTTTGAATTTTGTCTGGGTTTTTAAGAGAATTAGACTTTGCTAATTGTCCTGCTGCCCCAGCCTCTTCCTGGTTTAATGAGAAAAATTCAAAAATTGTAGGGTTTATTGCGTAATTTGATTTAATAGAAGATCCTGACGTTTCGGAAGAAACCCTAACTTTTGGATCCAAGCTTCCACCCTATACGTTAGAATTGACAAAAAAGAAGATTCTGATGTGCAGATTTATATTGAAATTACATAGAACGCTTTTTGAAAGCTGTTCTATGCTTCTTTATACGGATTTTAATTTCGGTTATTGGCTTTCAGAAATTCGGAAATGTATCTCGTTTGCTTACTATCATAACCTTTGATTTCACGTACTTCTGCTATTTTCGAATGCCGAAGGAAACTTTGGCCTTCAAAAAATAAAAACGAGCTTTCGGTTGCCAGTAAAAGTTAAAATTAAATTTTCTTTCATTTCTTTATACATTCCATATGCACTCCTTTTTTGTATTTACGGCCATCATTTTTCCTCACATAATAATGGGCGCCTAAATTGGCCTAAAACGGAGTCTCGTATAAGTTATTGGTGAGTCGTCCTGTCGTCTTTTTACATGTATAAGAAGGTTTCATTTCCAATAACAATAATAGCAATTTGATTTATTTACATAACTAATTTAATAAAATAAATTAAAAATCAATGGATCTACTGAACACGCGAAAACCACTTGACGATTGATGATAAAAATTATTACAAGATCCGTAAGAGGAGTCAAGACAAAAGCAATATCATCTGCAAAAACTAACAATATTTCTCTTATTATGTATTTCAGCAGGCTATATAGTAAAAACAATGGACGCAGTACTCTGTCTCTAATACCTGTGACACCATTTGGACAAGTTTTTCCTTGTGTTGGCACCTCTGCAACAGAAAATTTTCACGTCCCTGTAAAAAAAACAGGAACTTTAATCTCGAACGTGAAATACCGAAATTCTAACTACTTAGACCCATTGCGATAAGATATCGAAAACCCTTAAGAATACAGATATCACAAAACAAACCTAGCCGTTGTTATTTCCAGTAATCTCGTTAATCCGTCATTTATATCGGCAGATTATTCGGATATTTTTTTTAGTTTTGATTCACTGTGACAGCGCGATCGTTGTGATAAGGTCTCAGACGTTCGCGATGAGAACAAAGGTACGTTGTATGGTACGTTCCTCAACAACTTCTGACCTAAACGTTCTCACCTAGAAACTATGAGCACCTTCATAGAACAAAGACAATTCTACGAGGAACCTGAACTCGAAGAGTCTTCGCCCCGAAAGGCACCTCTCTGGAAGAAAATCGCTGGGTCCAAGGTCACCAAGGGAGTGGGTTTCGTGTCTATTTTCGCTTTAGTTTGCCCTGTGGTGCTTTACTACTTTATCATCGAACGAGGTATTCACAACGAGCCTACCACGTATTCCTGCCTGCTCAACAGCACTTTTCGAGTACCGTGCGGAAAAACTGATGTGACCCAGGAGGAGTGCGAGTCTATAGACTGCTGCTATAACGCTACCGCGCATGTGTGTTACCATTATATACCGTCTAAGTAAGTACAATTGAAATTTCTGCTACAATTTGGGGTTCATCTATCTAAGTTGTTGTATGCGTGTGATTTCCATTTCCATTTACTGAGTTTCTCATATCAAAAAGGCACTTTCGAGAAGATGAAGGTAAAAATTTTTTGATACATCCTTGAAGCCAATGTGATGAATTACAGAATTCATCACTTGATTTAAATGTACTCAAAACAATAACATCCTGTACCTGTCCTGTGTCCAATTCTAAAGGACGTTTGGCTTAGAACTTCCTTAAAACATATATATATATATATATATATATATATATATATATATATATATATATATATATATATATATATATATATATATATATATATATATATATATATATATATATATATATATGTATATAAATATATATATATATATATATATATATATATATATATATATATATATATATATATATATATATATATATATATATATATATATATATATATATATATATATATATATATATATATATATATATATATATATATATATATTTATATATATATATATATATATATATATATATATATATATATATATATATATATATATATATATATATATATATATATATATATATATATATATATATATATATATATATATATATATATATATATATATATATATATATATATATATATATATATATATATATATATATATATATATATATATATGATGACACTATATTCCGGGATATCATCCGTTCGCTCGTTGAACTCCGACTGGAATCCTGCAAATCCTGCATCCGACTGGAATCCTGCAGACGTTTCGCCAAAATCTCACTTGGCATCTTCAATGCTCGCGCTCCGAAAACACTTCGAACACACTGTTTTCGGAGCGCGAGCATTGAAGATGCCAAGTGAGATTTTGGCGAAACGTCTGCAGGATTCCAGTCGGATGCAGGATTTGCAGGATTCCAGTCGGATGCAGGATTCCAGTCGGAGTTCAACGAGCGAACGGATGATATCCCGGAATATAGTGTCATCATATTTTTCCATCCGTGAATCAATACGTGAGAATATATATATATATATATATATATATATATATATATATATATATATATATATATATATATATATATATATATATATATATATATATATATATATATATATATATATATATATATATATATATATATATATATATATATATATATATATATATATATATATATATATTCTCACGTATTGATTCACGGATGGAAAAATATGATGACACTATATTCCGGGATATCATCCGTTCGCTCGTTGAACTCCGACTGGAATCCTGCATCCGACTGGAATCCTGCAAATCCTGCATCCGACTGGAATCCTGTAATTCCGATAATGGTTTTTTGAACAATTATGGACTTCATCAAATTGTCACTGAACCTACATCTGTAACTTGAAACCGTAGCACTCTTCTTGACATTCTTGTGACGTCTTCTCTGGATATAGTGTGAGTGATGTTGCATCGAATGCATACAAGCAACTTAGAAAATTGTAAGTAAGTATGACCGTGAGAAATAAAAAGAAAGCGTATCTCCAGCATCAGTCTAAAATCGATCCAGCTGGATTATGTAGCACATTAAAATTACTTAATATCAACGGTTCTCCTAATAGTTAACATGAGAAAGTAGACAATGCCAACGATATTAATAATTAGTTCAATGAAAGCATTCCCGATGTTGACATTGATAAAAGCAATAATATATACTTCCATAAGTATGCTACTTTAAGATTTCATGGTAACCTGAGGGAGTTTGTATTTTATCGAGTCGACGTCGTTAGATATAAAAATGATAAATTATATAACTCCCCATTTGCTAGAGCACATAAATTTTTTGGTTAATAGCTGCTAATTTAACTAATAAGGTTCCATACCTCTAGAAGCATGCCAATGGGATTTCTATTCCAAAACACCGTCAAGTTTTCGGCCGATAATCTATTACCAGTGCTTTCAAAAATTATGGGAAAGATAATGTATGAACGCTTCAACCCAGTAAGGATATCATGCAACCGTTACCGCTTTTTTAAACGTATGCGATGATATTTTTAATAGTAGCTATGAAGGAAAGGAAACCTGCATTATTATTCTAGGCTATAGCAAGGCCTTTGACACCCTGAACCACGGTCTTAGCAAGTTGGAAATTTGTCTCACTCAAAGCTATTTAATTGAACCAAGTCAGAGAGTATGCTTATGGGGCTCATTTTCACCATTTCCTAATATTACAAGGGGGTTCCTCGGAGGAGTTATATATTGAGCCCTTTATTGTTTTCTGTCTACACCGTGTATTTTGCCGACCATTTAAAAAAATCTGAAATTGCATCAGTATGCTGATAATACCTAGTTATATTTATCATTTAAATTTGAAAACTCGCTGATGGCCAATAGTCAAATTGATTCTGATTTGCGAGTTGTTCCAAAAACTTCTTGTGCCCATGCTCTTCTCATAAATGAAACGAAAACTAAGGTTTTTTTTTTGAAAAAACGCTAGCTCGTTTAAGAATATTGATTTTGAGGTTGTCGTAAATAATGATAACATTAATATTACCGATTCTTGCAATAATTTGGGTGTGTTCTTTAATAGAAATCTTCGTTTCGAATAGCACATGTCTTATTTCAGAGAAGTTATGGGAAACTAAGAACTCTCCATATATTCAAAGATATTTGAAATACAGACATCAAACTAAGGTTATGCGACTCTCTTATTCTTTCCTTTTTGTCTTACTGTAATGCAGAATACTGGCCTGCCCTCTTCAACAAAGACCAGATAAGACTACAGAGGCTGCAAAATAGTTGCCTAAGGTTTTATTATAATATCAGGAAATTTGATCACATTTTACCGCATTCTCGCGAATCCGGATGGCTTAAGTTAGACCAAAGATTTTTTCTCCACTTATGCAAAGCATCTTTTTGAAAAACTTGTCAAGAGATCTGTTATTCATCAGCGCACCACTCGTCCTAATTCTCTGTACATTGTCCCGCGGTACCGTACTGCCCTGTATCAGTGTCATTTTAGCTATAACGTCACTAAATGTTTCAACTCCATTCCGAATGATATCAAGTGCTGCTGCGCCGCTTCCGACTTTAGAAAGCGGACTATTTTCTTTTTCCTATTTAATTTCCTTATTTCTATGGTTCTTTGCCGCACTTCCGTTTCATTGAAGTAACTAACTATAAAAATGTATTTGAGTTTTTTTTTGTTAAAATGTCAAAGATGTCAAAATTGTGAATTAATTTTATAATCGCAAGAATAGCTCAGCTCTATTGGATCAAGATTTCAATGGCAAAAACTGCGAGTAGCAAGGAGAGAACAAAACAAATTAAAAATTACCCCCCTGAAAGTGATTCAATATTCTAGATCCTATAACGAATATACAAAGAAAATAAAAGAATGGGTTATTTAGCATCAGAGATTTTATATTTACTAACAAGTAGACTTTTAAAAATAGTTCATTCATTTGCTAATTATTTAATGGTTTTTTGACTGTGCTGTTATTCGTACCTAGAATTTAGCATTTTCTACTTGTATGGTTTAGGTATGGCTACGAGATGCAAAGCGACGGTGCTTACAAAACGGCACAAAAAACCTCACCGTATGAGTCCAAGACCGTCGACAGCGTAAAAGTGACGATAGTGGAACATACTGAAGACAGCGTTTCTGTGATATTACACGACGAATCACAAGCGATAGAACCTAACTCATTGGAGAATAAAAACTACGGAGTCGAGATCACAGACTCGCCACTATCCGTGCGGGTGTGGGACTCAGACAAGCACACCATTTTCAATACCATCTACGGACCACTGATTGCTTCTGAAAAATACTGGGAGTGGACGATGCTCCTTACCAACGAGACCCTTTTTGGTTTGGATAGGAACAGAATTCGTCTCGAGGGTAACGAATCTCTGACAAAGGTTATTTACAATAACAGAAAGGACCATTCTACTACGCCGGTATTTTGGGCTTATCAGCAAGGAAAGTTTCACGGTGAGTTTGATAACCTTGGATGTGACTGTGCCCAGTGTTTAGGATTATCAAGTGTAAAATAAGCTATTTTCGAAGACTTTCGGTTCGGTAAACTATGAAGTTGTCTACTAGGGTTGTGCGCTGTATGTGCGTGGGTACTTCAACGCTCGAGTTGCTAAATTTTTGTTATTTGCTATTAAGGCGTGATTGAGATCGAAGTTCAGATGCCTATAACTCTTATTTAAGATATATTGACGATACTTTTATTATATATTGTCTTCAAAAAAGAAAATATTGTCTGGAAACAAAAAATCCGTATTCTTGAATTTGGAGAATAGAAATCAAACAAGCAAAAAGGATTCTATGTTGCTAAATTTCTCAATAGTATTTCCGAAAGTGAACCTCTGTAATTTTATCTCACCCTTCGTAATATATTCTTCTTTGTATATTCTAATCAATAAAAATGGGTATGCCTTTAATCTATCCTTTTTAAAAGTGCTTTGGAGAATAGTGCTAAAATAACTACTACCATTAAATGCATACAAGAGAGGATAGCACTGAAGAGAAAGGTCTTCAAGCACAAAATCAAAAAAATGTAGCATATAATATTCCTTTTTTCCATTTCTATCATCACCAACAGAATAGAGCTCCCGCTGAAGAGTGATAATTTCCCTGCTTTTTGAATAGACATTTTTCAAGAATTCAAGAGAGAGCTGAGCAAGAGAGAAACTCCTCTCAGTCGTTTCCAGAAGAAGTAAAACTTTATCAGTGCTATCATTCAGGAGCAACGACAAGAACTTGGCAAGACAAGAACTTGATGCTGAATGGATTCAATAGTACCTCCTCCTTTTTTTATTAACGATTTAATTAACAGGCATAGAGTCCTTTAAAAAACATACAATAACAGGAATAAATAGGTAACATTCTATATACTATAAATAATTTAAATTAAATTATATACTCTCTTGTTATATAGTCTTTAAGCTTATGATCTATTTCTTTTATTGCACCGTTTATTTTAGTTTGTGACATTTTATTGCAAACTTGTATACATCTATATATTGGAGAGTCTTGGGACTTTTTAGTTCTTGCATATGTATTCCGAAGTTGCCTCCCTCTCTTGTTACATTCGAAAATCGATGAAAAAACTTATTTTCTCGAAAACCATTTACTATTTTCAAAAAAATTCTTAAACCAGGAAGCGTGGAAAATCCAGGGCTATAATCACTATTTCGAACAATGATTGTATCATATATAGAGTGTGTTGTTTATGGGCAAAAAATATAAAATATCCTAAAAATTTCCGTTTTTGTGGGTAAATTTTTGGCGATAAATGAAAAACCGTTAAAGATGGGATAATTTTATTTGAACAATATTGTAAACCGTGTCGTGAGAGAGTTTCAGGTTTCGTCAATTATACAGGGCGCGAGATATTTGAAAAAATATCATTCGACAACGCTATTATTTGTGCAAATTTTAATATTTACCGATGTTTACTGTAACTTTGGAGTTTGACGAGATGTAAAGTACATTTTATACAGGGTGCATGGACAATTAAATTACATCGATTTTGCGAAAGTTCCATAGTGGTCCGCAGGAGCACGATAGAAAAACAATGCGTTCCTTTACCACACGAAACCGCGAAGTTTTTTCCTTTTTCGAAAGCAATCTTGTTTGCTCTAGCATTTTAGGTGATCCGATTTTTAAGTACGGCAGTTTTTTATATATTTCTTGCTAGGTGTATTAAAATTCGATTCAAATATTACTTATAGAGCTTTGTTTAGTAGTCCCTGGAATTTGATGACATGCAAGTGAACATCTAAAATGTGGTTCTCTTATATAGAGCTCCCTTGCTTATTGATTAAGCTGATTTGTAAATCTTTTTATTGCGTGGCAATATTCATACAATTTTTTCTGTTACACCCGCAATATGTTCTTCCCACACAAACTTTTCAGAAATACGTTAACCCAGCTATTTATATTGACTTACTTTTTTCCCCGTTTGCCTGATAATCATATAAACTGTTTTTTCGACGTTTCGGGAATGTTTATTGTGGCATAGCCGCTGAAAATAGCCAACTATGATTGCCATATAAAATAAGAAAGTTGTATTCATTTATGACTAAACGAAGAACTGTCAAAACAATAATAGTAGGCCACTGCATTTGCCTGAAAAAAATCATGTTTTAATCCGAATCCAACATTTTCATTGACATGTAAGTGGATTTTGCTCTATCTAGTTCAGCAATGGGTTTTTCCTGTTACAACACTCCAATTACGACCACCCTGTACAGCAATTTCTTCCAGTACTATAGCACTATACTATGATGATTAACTCTATATTAACTGTGTCGAATGCTTTTTGGAGATCGACAAACACTATTACTACATATTTATTCTTATCTTATTCGCTTTTTTTAAATAAATTGTATTAGTCCTGTCTTAATGATCTTGGACAAGATTCTCAGTAGGCCATGAGATCATAATGTGCCCCTAGCGAAGACATTCTCATTAATGATTAAGATGGCTATCAAAAAAGTACAACATCAAAATAAGTCAGCAGCGACTTTAAGAAATTCGATAATCAAAACTAGACCAGATCCAAAGAATTAAGGGAAATGCACAACTCGAAGTACACAAAAAACACGCAAGCCCACAGATAAAAAAATCGTTTTTAAAAACTTCATGGTTGACAGTGTCTATTTCGCTCGCTAAGTTTATAGCGGCTGTTAATTATTTTGTGGATAGGATGCGCCATTAGACACGACGGTCCGCTGGAGATCACTATTCTCTCGTCGAATCTGATAATACTTAGAAGTTTGGTTGGTAAAAAGATAGAACTGAAGTTAACTTTGGGTCCGACGCCGCAAAATCTTCACGATCGCATGATGGAGACATTTGTTTTGCACCCTCCATGGACGCTGGGGACTCACATCTGTAGGTAATTCGAGATGCGTGGGTTAATTGTCCGTCCTGTGTGCACCAACTTTGGTTTATCCAGGCGGAGCAATGATATCGGTCTCGACAAGGTGCTGGATATATACTTAAACAACAAGGAAACGAAGTTTGATACCGATTGCATCCACGAGAACTTATTCACGTCTCTGGCGCTGAGTGGGGAGGAAAACGGTACCGATTACAGAACGTATATAGAAGAGATGACGGCCGGAGGAACCAAATTTCTACTTTCGTTGCCACCTCAAGTGAGTATAATCTTCGACGTCATCGAATGATGTAATAGAACTTATTGTTTTAATAGATCGTGGCTACTGCCAACAACAGCCTGTATAATATTTCAGAAAAGCTTGGCGTTCTGTACAGTACCGTCAACGGCACGTACAAGGGAGAATACCTGGGAAGGTCTGTTGCTTACCCGGATTTTTCCCATCCGTCCATTAGAAGTTATATTGAAGAACTGGTAGAATTAATATCTGCCAAAATCGGAATGGACGAGATTAGCGGGTTCGTGTTGAATGATAATTGGCCGGATGATTCTAGTTACAAAAAGCCAGACAGCACTGATCTTCCTTATATGTCCGACGTAAGTATTATACCGCGCGTCTCAGCAAGGACAACGATGGCTGTATTACTCATTAGAGAAACGATTGGTCATGGAAATTAAAAAAAATATTGTCCAATGTTTCCATTTTAATTTTTAAAATCCGTTTTCTACAACATTTTCTTATTATAACTGTTTAATAACTTGAAAGCTGTGCGCGGTAGCGCGGACGCTCAGGCTTCGTCCTATGAGTGAGGCGATTGCGACTGGTTGCCCGGCCACCAGATGGCGTATTCGGTCATAATCACACAAACAAATATTATAAAAATAGTTCTCTCTCTCTCTCTCTCTCTCTCTCTCTCTCTCTCTCTCTCTCTCTCTCTCTCTCTCTCTCTCTCTCTCTCTCTTTGATTTTTTCAAATATCAACGTTGCTCCGAGAAGGTTTAAATTTTTATGGAAGATGAAAGTCAATGAGGTCTTCCCGCCAATACCAAAATGGGATTTCGAGGAGATTTCTCAAATGCGGATAGAATTCTGCATAGGGACGTTTTAAAGGACGAGAAATTCGAATTTGTAATTATTTTTTGAAAAATTTACATTTTTTTGACCAATATTTTGTCTAACGGAGGAGCTAAGAAACTTAGAACTAAACAACCTACTATTTTTTTGAATATATTCTCGAAGAACTATCCGCAGATACTATAAAATCCACCCAAACCATCTCCATTTACTTGTAATTAATTATTTTATAAAAATTTTTGAGCCTCTTATAGAAACCGTTTCCGACGGCAAACTTCAATAAGTGAGATATAAATCATAAATTACTGACCATCGATTTTTGAACTGGTATTTCAGCCCAAAATGGGATTTCGAGGTAATATCTCAAAAGCTTGGAAAATTTTGCCTAAAGTGGTTTCTGAGGATAAGAAATCTGAAACCGAAACTACTTTTTGGAAATATCGATATTTTCTGATGATTTATGATTTTATTGTATTGTATTGCTGCTAATATTTTACCCATGAAAACGGTAATTTTCAGGGTCTTTTAGATTTTTTGACCACAATCGATACACCAGGTACATAATCGAGAAAATTACAGAATTAGAGATTAAAGCCCCCCACATTTCCTGGTAGATGAAGTTTTTCAATACAGCAAATGGTTTTCGAGAGAATAATATTTATAATGAACAAGAATATGAATAAAATGAATTAGAACTTAAAGATCGTTACTTACATCTAATTATCCCTAATTTATCAAAAAAATACAATTTTATTATATAGAATACTAAATGCTATTTAAATTCGAACTAAAATTTCATTAATCATATTTTAATCTATTTTTTTTTAAATTTAGGCTATAATATTTATTATAATAGTGTATAATATTTTTTTATAATTTCAAGGGTAGGAACAATCAACAATATGTCTAAACTAATAAATGCTGACTCGTGTGGTATTAACTTTGACTCACTGTGCACTGTCATTGATCTGTGTCTAAAATACTATTTGTTCTATTGCTTTTGCCTTCCCTATGTTGTTTTCGTCTTATTTTTCTTTATTATTACTGTCAACAATTTTCGTTCTTATTGTATTATTAGTATTATTATTATAAATTTATCATTACAACTACGTTTATGTGCTAACTCAATTATTTTTAGTAGTTATTGATTTGTAAGTAGTAAATTGTGGGACAACATTTAAGAAATAAGTAAAACATTTCCTTTGACAGAAGTTTCTTGATTGCCTACCGTTTTGATAGTCAGCTTAAAATTCAAATATTTGAGGCGATTGTGTTTATTGCAATAAAAATGTCCTATTAAAAACGAAGAAAAATACTGACAATTTTGATACACGTTTTATCATTTAAATAATTCAATTATTAATGCAGTTAGTTGTTTTTCATTAATTGACTAGTGAAATTTTCAATGAAACTTCCACAGGCTACTGTAATACTGTTTATAAAACTTCTGGAAACTTGCTGACGTTTCGCCAATCATCCTGTTGGCTTCTAAACAGTTTCAGGTCTGAAGAAGAGAACATGATTGGCGGAACGTCAGTAAGTTTGATTTATAAACAACCGATGCAGAAGGAATCCAGCAGATTTGTAAATAGTAATTGACTAGTGACTGAAGCTAATTTTGAATGAAAAAAACGAAAGTTTATGTTTACAAACTAAAGAGGAAAAAGAAAATATTATTAGTAATAAAAGATAAATATTGAACAACAGTTCCTACGTTAATATGTGTATACTCCAATGTATCGTGTTATGTCTGCTTGGGGCTGACTCCTAAATCTACCTTCGATACTGAAGAAGAAAAAACTTACTCCTGGTTATCAATCGCTGATTATAGCATTACAGAATAGGACAAGCGCAGCTGTGAATCTGTAAAAGGTAAAACCTCAGAGATGATAAACAGCGAGATTTTATTTGGAATCTAAATTACCATTACCAACCTAAACAACCTGGCCGTTAACCTAAAGTAAAAATGCGATGCAACAATAAATATTTTTTCTCAAACTTCTCTGATACCGTACCCTCTTTACCAGCCCCTCGATAAGATACACTACAGTGCTATCTCTTGTAACGCCCATATTTTATAGGCATTATATGACGCTATGTCATATACACTGCCTTGGAATCTTCTCACCTACGATAAGACGTATCAAATGGAACAACACAATTCCTACGGCTCCCTCCAAAACTCCTCACTCCACAATTATTTCTCTTCTAATCCGAACTTGAGCAGTCTGGAGATTATTTCCGCTACTAAAAACTATGGCGACGTCGAACTTGAAGTTTCCGAAAATTTCGATACCTCGTGGGACAACTTTAGGTTGTATTTGCAGCGGACTTTGTTCAACAGCATTACAGGTGACATTGTGACGAGTCTCTAGGATCAAAACTTATACCTTATTGTAGGTAATCATATGGTGGGTTTGCCGGTGTGCGGAGACACGACGGTCTACGACAAAGATTTGCACGAAACGCTTTGCATAAGGTGGTACCTCGCGGCAGCCACCATGCCACATTTCAGAGTGTCTTCAGTGAAACCCTTCAGGGATCCAGAAAATCTGAATTCGAAATTTGCTACCAGATATGCGCTGGACGCGATCGAAAAAAGAAAGATGTTCCAAGAGCACTACTACACTATCTTGAGTAGAGGGGAGCCGATTGTCAGACCTATGTACTACGACTATTACCAAAACATCACCACGATGTCGTTGGACCGACAATACACCATAGGAAAAAATATAATAGTGGTGCATCCTTTATCGTCCGCCAGGTCAGCCCTACAGGTGTTTTTGCCATCCCAAGTGAAGGTTTGGTATGAAATTTGGGGCGGTGGTATGTACACGAGCTCCCCCAAAGATAATTTCATCAGCATCAGTATCGTCGAAACCGATTGGGTCAGCTTCGTCGCCGAAGGGACCATCATCCCACTGACTGTAAGTACTACCCCACGAGTGTTCTTCGAGCTTTGGTTTCATCTCGTTTCAGAATAATCTAGAGTTAAATTTTATCATTGCGTTAAATTGCACCACCTCCGATTGCGAAGCGAGTGGCGAACTCTACAAAGATCTGAGTTATTTGCAGTTCAGCGCAAATTTAACCGCACTGACTATAAGTGATTTTCCGAAAGGGTGTGATTACGTTTTGGGGTACATAAAGGTTTATTATTACAACGATACAGGGGCATACCACGACAGACACGATAAAAGTAAGAGTTTGTGTCCGGCGGGTTCCGAAACCACCGTGGTGGTGGTTTATGATGAGGACGATCCAGAGGAAACCACAATCGCCCCTATCAGTGTATAATATATTTTCAAGGCAACAATATTGAGATAGTATTTATAAAGTATAGTCCGAAATATACAACAGTATTTTGTTGGCAAGTTTTTCATTCCATTTGAGTAGGTCACTCAAATTAATTATTGAATATCTGGTTAATTTGAATGCCAAGGTGTTGTCACACATTCCGCCATTGGTGATCTTTATTTTCAGTGAGACAAGACAAAAAAGATAGCTCCGTCATTTTTGTCCCAGAAGTTTGCAGTGTATAGTATGGCTCGCTAATGTGGGAATCTTTTATTTCTCCATAAGAAATTTCAAATACAAAATTGTTAATTTTTAACTATACACAGGGTACGTTATCTAGAAGAAGTATCTAAAAACACCTCTTCCTTAAGTGGAACGCCCAGGATTTTGGATTTCTGAATAAAAAATTTATGGTAGGTCCTTTCAGATGTTAATTTTATACTGCTAAAGAAGAACTAATTATGGAAAACCACCGGTGAGTAAAAGTTTTCTTTGGGTATATGGATACATGGATGATGTTTTTGATTGTTTCACTGGAAAGGAAAGACACCTATAATTCACAGAGACGGAAGTAGATATTTATTCACACTTTGTGGACTATAACTAAGAACCGAACAAATTAGACTTTTCCATTTACCATAAACAAGTAATATATAATTATTCAAATAACTTTGACCCACACACAATGGCCGCCTTTTATTTTTTCATCCACAGACTTAATATCTCACTTTCCAGAGAAAATTTTGAAAAAGAAATGATATTATAAAACCAATAGCGTTTCACAATTGTTACGACTATTTGAGAAATAAAATTTTTAAAATATAATAAAACTAAATCGCGAAAAACTCAAAAATCCATAGCACAGAAGTTAAAATGTGGATCATGTGGAGCGTTAACGAACATAAAAGAGCGTTTAAAATAAAAGTTGGGATTCTAACCATGCCATTCATTTAAATTCAGAAATGCAAAAAGTTTGACAATTTTTATATTTTACATAATTCCAAAAAATTTAATTTGTTGGCTAGCTATGCCAGCTAAACAAAAATTGGAATTAATTGGATGTGAATGGGTCTCCTGCTCCTACCTGCTTATATACCCGGTGTTTCAAATTCGACTCTCACCATTAGGATCTCGGTAACGGTAAGAGATAATTGTAGTTTTTCAAACAAAGCAAACTCAGCGAGATTTCTGTTCAATAACTTAAACAAAGTTTGATGAGGTTGATAAATTGGTTAAGGCTTTCGCGGCCCGTTGATAACCTATTATCTTGATTCGGGTTTAAAGGCCGTCGTCGATTGGAATTACTTCCTAACGTTTCGCTAGCACGAGTGGCGAGCTTCTTCAGCATTCCGTGTTCATGCGGAAAGGTCTACATCGGGACTACCAAGAGATCAATGGGAACGAGACTTAAGGAGCATAAAGCAAGCTGCAGGCTAGGACATACAGAGAAGTCTGCAGTAGCTGAACACGCACTGGGCAGCGGGGAACACAGGATACACTTTGAGAGCTGTAAGTTACTAGCATCGGTCAACGGCTATCACAACAGACTAGTCAGGGAAGCCATTGAGATACAAAAACACCCACACAATTTCAACCGAAAGGAGGAGACCCTTAGACTCAACCAAATCTGGAACCCGATCCTTAGGAACGCCCGAGCAGTACCGATCGATATCCCGAGACCAACCGAAGCGGAACAGGCCCCGCCCACCACCAATCGGCATAAATACAACCTGCGCAGGAGAAATCGTCAGTCTACGTCAAACATCGGAGATGGAAGGACCTCTGAAGAAGCTCGCCACTCGTGCTAGCGAAACGTTAGGAAGTAATTCCAATCGACGACGGCCTTTAAACCCGAATCAAGATAATAGCTTTTGATGAGGTTGTCGTCTTTCAGGATACATGTACATTTCCGATATCATGACACCGTCCTTATCGTTTTTATAATTAAGTTTTACCATTTCTTGTTTTGAGTCATCGGTAAAGTTCGACACAGTAATGAACTAGATATTAAAATGTCATCTACAGGTTTGAAAATTCATAGCTTACTATGGTATACAAGTTTTTGTTACATATATCGAATTTGATGGAACACAAATCGAATTTGAGATGACATGGCGACCATAAAAAAGAATTAAGTTGATGATGGTTTTATAAAAACGAAACGTCGTAAGATGAAGCCCAAAAAAAGCCAATGAGTATTCACAGATTTTTGCTAAATTTTAAAATAAAGACATAAAAAAAGAAAAACCAAAAACCGGAAGTAATCAAAATAACTTCAATTTCAAAACGGAACATTATTTAACTCACCGATGTGTAACTTTTACAACTAATTTAAATCACCCTGTATCTCTTACCGAGATCCTAATGGTGAGAGTCGAATTTGAAACACCCTATGAATAGACGTCGGAATAATGTAATATTTTGTATTTGATAAAGGCATGTTGATGCAGCAGTCATAAACCAATAAATCACTGTGAAAATCTGAACATTTTTTGTTTGAAAGGTAAAATTGCTATACAAGAGACCCCTATGTCCCATTCAGTTTTTAACAAAATTCATTAAGGTCTCCCAAAAATATAGGATGGAAGAAGAAAGATAAAGTACGAATAGCTTTTTTGTCAAAGGGTGTCAATTCGAAAGTTTCGCGCCAAATTCGAAGCATAATTAAACTTCCGAAACGATAAAATTTTTAAACTAAACTAACTTAAACTTAAACTAACCAAGCATTCTTTTATATGCACCAAAAAAAACTAAAAAATAAGATAAAACTAAAAAAACGATTTTTGGCTCATGGATCTGCTTCATTATGGACTTTGAGACAAGCGGCTAATTTTTTCCTCAATAAGCAACAATTTATTATCCAATAAAAATGTGTATATCATTATGTACGGGATGGTGGATGAAACAATTAATGCAGTTTTGGTAGCATTAATACTGTATCTAATGTACAATATCAAGTGGTGCTATGATTCAGGTGGTGGGATCCAGCCGCCAAAACATCGTTCCAATTCCTCGGCTACCGCCAGGCAAAGCCTATCTTGCCTTGGTCCGGCTAGAACCTAAATTTGATAGGAGTGTTAATGCGGGTAGTCTTGAAGACCTCCGTTTCCTTGCCTGTATACCGATGGGCATTCCGTTTCCGTCGAAACCACAGGGGACGACTGTAGCTGGCAGTCCCAGCACGTTGGCAGGCAAAATGTACTCGAACGCTTGCTTGAAGCAAAACTGGTTGTGTTTATGGGCGGGTTCCGTGAATATGGGCAGCAAGAATACGCCGTTGCTTCCCAATTTCTCCTGAAAGTTGACAGTCGTGTTGCCCAAATTTCCAAAATTATATTGGACTAATTTTTTTAATGTTCTGGTTCTGATAAAATTAAGTATTATTCTTCACATTCCCACTTCGAGTATATTTTTAACAAAGGAGTCTTAAATGATTGTTAGTTCGAAAAATTATAATGTTTGATTGCTATATCGAGAATAATAAAATAAATGAAGTTGCAGTGTTACACTTACATTTTAAGCGTTATCCGAAATTACTATAGCCGGAAAAGCAATATTTATATATATATATATATATATATATATATATATATATATATATATATATATATATATATATATATATATATATATATATATATATATATATATATATATATATATATATACAACTACATTTTTTCGAAAATGTAATATGAACTGTAAGCGTTTATATTTAGTATTTTAGTTTATATTTAGTATTAGCATTATATTTTAGTATTTTTAATCGACACGGCAATCGATATTGCTAAAACATAATTCCTCATCAGAGTCTATTTTGTTTCAATTTTATTTTTTGAAAATTTGATTGTTGGCTTGGTAATTAAGTTAGATAACATGCTCTTAGCTGCAACAAGTAATACATTTTTCTAAAAAAACTTCCCCAACCTGAATATTTAAAAGAAATTTTATTAATTTTATTTTTATTAATTATTATTTTATTAATTTATTAATTATTCTCAATTCAGGTTTATAACAGATGTCGTCCATTTACAAGCAGTGTTTGTTTGTTTTTAGTAGTAGTTGTTGTTTTAGTTCATCAACGTTTTTAAATTTCTTTTATTTATGTATTTAATTATAAACCCAAAAGCTATCTAGCAGGCATACTTGGCTATCCAATTACGGGATAGCGCATGTTAAACATATAAAATTACAGAGTCGGAAATATAAAAAGAAACGTAACTACATATTTCCATAGCTCAATAGACAGTATTCAAAGAATGTTACAAAATTTTGTAAACGTTTCTCTTAAACAAATTTGGGCCTCTGGTCGCAATGGATAACTGATAAATAAAATTTTTAAGAAATCAAAATTGGGTCCTAATTGTTTACATAGATTGGGATTTTGAAGTGGCTGAACACTATATTTCACGCATGAACAGATTTTTTTTTGAAACTATGACCAATATGATTGGTCTACTTTAAGCAATAATCAAAATAGAAATTAAACGGCACTACAATTACGAATGCACTGATTGTCAAGTCCCACCAAAAGACTTTTATTTAAGTCCTTCAAAAAAGAGCAGTAAGTTTGTATCTTAACAATATTGGCCTTGAAGCTACTACTTAATAGTTCACAGTTGTTGCTATCAGAAGCATTTCTAGCACAAAGTGAAAATATATCATTTCTAAACGCAATAAAGAGAGTAGCTTTACACCAGAGTTTTATTATTGAAAAAAGATTCATATTACGTATTCTGCATAAATTGTACATTTGTTTGTTAATTTCAAAAAAGGTTAATTACATTTTTTACAATAAGTTTTTTTTCTCAAAGAAATCCAACGCTAAACCCAATCTTGAAAGTGAGAGTGATAATTCAATTTTTGAGGAAGTCTATGTTTATTGAGTCACCTTACCGTAATCAGAGCTTGCACCGTTCGCTTTTGAACGCTGTAGTCGCCGAGTAGAAATCTGGACAACGCCCTCAGAAGGAAGAAGTTTATCAAGGTCCACGAAAACTTGGACTGATTGAACGCAACCTTGCATGCTTCTTTAGGCAAGTTCGTGTTGGCCTAAAATTAAATAAACCCAACACATACGTCACCTCAAAAACGCATCGTTTACCCATTTCATGGGGTTGGGAACGTCTTCTATGGAGTTTATAACGGAGGTGCATACTTTGAGGGCATCCCTCAAAACCTCAAACTTAAATTCTTGTATTTTCGAGCCGCAGACTTTTTCCAGGTGAGTGACGGACATTTTGATCGCGTGTCGAATACTTTCGGTCACCGATTGAAGACTTAACGAAAACCCGAAGTCTTCCAAATGAAATACGTTGAGGTCGGCGAGGTTTACCTAAATGCAGGCGGGTCAAAGAAATAAAAAGGAGAGTATCTCTACTACCGGTTCATTAAGTTTTAACTCGCCGGAGAGCTTGCTGCCGACCATTACGGTCATCAAAAGTTTGAGGTCACACGCGTAACGCGTCATAGGTCCTATGACCAAGAAATCTGATACTCTCTCGTCCCCACTCGAAGGATAATGTCCTTTGATAGGTATAATCTCTGCAAAATAAGATCCGTCAGTGGGAACGTTATTCCAATCAAAAAATAATTAACAATAAATATAATTTAAATTATACATATATGATAATTTTACGATTTTGTACTGAAGAAAAATACTGTAAAATTTACTTTTCAGGTTTTATATTTTCTATGTCTTTGTTTACTGTTTGCTAAAAAATTAAAATATGCTTGCTAACGTCGAATGGGAGTCAAGGAAGGAAGTTAAAGTAATATTTCCGCTTTTTCGGATAAGGGATATTACAGATGGGCCATCGATTTTTGATTTTGAACAACAAGGTGGCCAATTGCGGGAGTCATTAGTTAAAAAAAGTTAAAAAGTTAGCGTTATAATTAAGCAAATTTAATTCGTATTTGCGATTTGTTGTAATTTTTTTAGTTTTGATTCTACTTGTGGTTAAAATAAAAAAAATGCGGTACTGCTGTAGTTTTCAATCTACGAGGAAAAATTGCAAAGTTGGCGATTTTCAAAATTTGTCATATCCTGGTTAATATGAAATGTATTTTGATTTAGTAAAAACTTTTTCATTGCAACTTTTTAACAGAAATAAAATGGCACAGAAAAATTTTCATTCAAGGTTTATTTTTCCAGTTTCAGGATCCGAATCTTTCATGCAAGCTAACATTTTAATCCCGAAAAATGTTGTTCTGATATCCTAATAATATTGTTTGGACGTTTTAATTTACATTTACAGAAATAAAGCTAAAAATGAGTTGTAGGTTCTGTAGTGAACACTAAAGCTATTTAAACCAGAAAACGATATTTTGGAACAATATTTTTATATAAACAATAACCAATAACAAAATCTGATATCATGTTTGGAGTCTTTCTACTTTCAATGACAGCGAAACTAATAAAATTAAATTAGTGCTTTAAAATATATCAATATAGACGTAATTATTATTGGTACATAAAATTATATGATATGAGGTGTTGAAAATAATTTTCGAATAGACATAATAGAAAAAGGTTACGCTTTGACGCTGCTTTTCGCTACTTACTTGGGCTTGGTTTATGGCCGAAGATACCGTTGAACATGGCTGGTATTCTGATGGACCCCGCCAAATCAGAACCTATTCCCACCAGGGACGCTCCAGCTCCTAATAATGCGCCCTATAAACAATACGTTTTACAGGGGAAACACAAATTAAAAAAATAAAAATATTTCTTCGAACCAAAAAATAGTTATTATAGTGTAACTAGCGCAAAAATTGCCTGATAAACTTAAAGTTTATAATATTAATAGCAGCTATAGCAGCTATAATACTCAAAGTGAAATAACATTTCATGTGCAGTAGCTCTATTGGTCTGTGTTTTTCTTTTCATTTTTGTCCTTTTATTCTAAGTATCGTACTTTTATTCTGTGGATCGAATTGAGGTGCAGTTTTCAAATAGATATCCATTTTTCACTCCATGGGAACTGAATCTACCATTTTCACCAAAATTCTATGGCCTAACAAACTAAACATTAATAATCATCAATACGACATATAGATAGGATAAAACTGCATAAAAACTCACTTGTTTACGAAAATACAGCGAAAAAATTGTAATATTGATGATGTGATGTTTTTAAAAAGTCCAATATATATAGATATAGATATCGGTTTTAAAACGTCCATCGACGTCGTCCGATTCTCAATCTCCCTTCCTGCCTGTCATTCCACAGGTCTTCCTCCAGTCCTCTCTCTCTCATCTCGCTATCAATGCCCTCTCTCCAACTCATTCTTGGTCTTCCTCTCTTCCTTCTTCTCGCTGGCATGCAAGTGAGTGGTTGTCTAGGGAATCGCCGCTCCTCCATCCTTTGGACGTGTCCATACCACCCGGGGTTCTTTCGAGTCTCGATCTTCCTGCCGCTCTCCTCCATCTCTGTTACCCCCACTGTTCTCATGGTCTTTCCTTTGAGTTGCCAATGGAATAATATAACTATATATTAAATGCTTGTTTCATCTTTTGATTTTTTTGTCCCTCAGGATGCCATTTCATAGCATTCACAGCATAGCTTTTGCAAGATTTGATGACCCGTCCGTCCCCTAGGGCAAGGTGTTGTTGTATCCCACCGATACATATGTGCTTCGTCTTTGAGATGTTCATTTCTAGGCCCCATTTCTTGTAAAATTGAACTGAGGTGGCTTTTACTTGATGAAAATCCATTTATAAACATAAATAAGAACTAAAAGTGTGAGACATTTGATAAAGACACGGTGTTGTAGAAACGATTGTCATGTAAAACTATATAATTTCGTGAAATCTGAACTTTTAGTTCTAATTTATTCCCATTTCTTGTACTCTTCAATTAGCTTTCGAGTCATGTATTCTATATCGTCAAAGTCTTGTGCACTTATAATCTGATCGTCTGCAGGATTGCGTTGTTCAGATTTGTTCGATCTAGTGCCTGCCATAGTTTTAATAATGGTATGCTATCGTATGCTTTCTTTAAATGCCAATGCCAAACAAGCCCAAAGGCTGACATTTTCTTAATAAGTTGGGTGACACAGAAGAGATGGTCAACAGTAGATCTTCCTGCTCGGAAATCCGCTTGTTCTTCTGCTTCGCTGTCTGAGTATGCTATTCTAATTTTTAGTATTTTTAAATATTAAAAAAATGTCAAATACAATTATAAAATGAATTGAGGGGCATCGTAGTAATATGGGCTTATATGCTCATAGTTGTCGATTTATGTTACAAATGTATATATAACGTATAGTTGATTTGGGTTGAGTTGAGTCGACATTGATTCACTAAAAAAATCTAGTAAAATACAGTTACACCTGTAAAAACTAAACTATCGAGCCATAGTTTACTATCAACATTCTCACAGATATTTTATCGCTTTATATGCAAGCGTATCTCCGAATTTATGAATAAGAAAACTCAACGAGATTTAACTTTGTTATTTGGACCTTGAATGAGCAGCAGAAGTGAAATCTCTCGTTTGGTCTTTTTCTTGACTTGAGAAAAGCTTATGATACCTTATATGTGATGCCTTACATGACCTTATCCGGATCTTGTTACGTCTTTTTCTATTTCTATGTAATTCACACAAACTATGCGGACGATACGTGGTTAATATCAATAAAAGTATTTTAGAGGACTTTTGAAAGTCACATTGGGTATGCAATATGGAAGTTGTAGACACATTGGCGAAGTATTTATAGTACAAAAGCGTGGAGTCAGAAAAAATAGTAGAGGAATGTTTAAAGAGCTCAAAGTTGAACAGTTAAAAGATCTCTACTTACCACCAGCCAGTCGCAAAGCGTTTATCTCATCTGTAGTGTCAATTTTAAACTAATTTTTGAATAGCGCCATCTTGCATTATTTTTGTTAACTTTACGATGTAACGATAGAGGGCATGCAACTAGGGATTTTCATGATATAAGGTTAGGAAGTTGGTTGGTCTTTTGGTGGCTTTTTGTTTTTTTTTGGGACTCTCCATGCGGGTTTTGGTTAGTTGGAAATATTTCTTGTATGATTAGCAGTTCTCGATATACCTATACCAGGAGCAATCCGCAATTAGGACAACGACTAAAATGAGCTCTTATTACGAGTGCATGGAAATATTCAACATTCTCTGACAAGTTAATAGAAGCACAGAAACGTTAAGGAAATAATTTTTTAACATTCTAGTCGAGGTGGAACCGAAGAGTTTTATACTAAGAGAAGAAAATTGAAAATATTTTAATTTTTGACGCAATTTAATGGATCTAAATTAAATAAATATGTATTTAGAAACAGTTGCAAATTTCCTGTGCTAAGGTGATTGATTGAAATCTGTCAGTCTGGCAAATATGAAACGCCTTCAGCTTCGAAGTTTTGGGAAGCTCTTACCTCTCCTCCAGACGATCCCGACGTCGTACAGGTACTATCGTAAGGATTATTAGTACGCCCAGTGACGCGGTTGTTAGATTCCCAACCCAGACAAAGCTCCGATGTGTTGGACACCAAGAGGGGGATTCCACCGCAACTCCTTAGCCTTGCGACAACTTCCCCATCTGTCTCCGCTTTAAATCCTATCCGAGAGATGGTTCCGACACATAAGCTCATGCCTAAAATCAAATATCCCCATCTGGCCTCCTTAATCGCGAGCGCTTTTACCCTTGACAGAACAGCTTTCCTTGACGGTGATCGGCACACCCAGCAGAGGTTTGATTTTCTCCAATTCAGTGGCACACAGCGACGTAGTCTTCAGCGACTCATCCACCGCTTTCGCGTCTTTCAACGCTTGGACGAAACGTTCCTCCACGATGGCGTTGAGGATCGGGTTTACCTCTTTGATTCTCCGGATGTAAGCTTTGCATATTTCCCTACTGGATATCTGGAACAAGTCCTATCAGGCGGGTCGTGGCACGGAGGAGCTTCACTCACCTCTTTGGTCCGGATTTTTTTCGCCAACTCGGTCGCGCTGATCCTAAGCAACTCGTTTTTAAAAGGCGGCAGCACTTGTCTCTTTCCTTTCGCCCTGTAGTTGAAAATCGGGGCGGTTAAAGCGTTTAAAAACCTGAGAATCGCGAGGAGTAGATTGAAAATTATTTCCATGTCGCCGTCGGAAAGTGGTCTGAAACCAAATAATTAAGTTGTTTACGGCTACACCTGAACTTTGCGGAACCTTGACCAAGACACCATCGATTTGATTTTTTTTTGCTATTGGTGCGTCGGACGCCGATTGACGGCATTCCTTTAATGGCAGTCCGCATCTCACTTTAGGTACTGTATCTTCTTCCAAAAACGCATCTGCATATTTTAGCAATGTTTACAAAAGTATATCGAAGCTCTAAAACTGGTGCTTCAGAATAAATAAGAACTAAAAGTTCAGATTTTCACGAAATTTCGTGAAAATCTGAACTTTTAGTTCTTATTTATTTTGATAATTGGATTTATAATCAAGTAAAAGCCACCTCAGTTCAACTGGTGCTTCCGGTTGATCTTCGGGATTGGTCGAAGAGGGCATATATCTCGTGAATTTAAACATCTAAATAGGCTTAATCTGCCTATGTATGAGTCATATTTGTTTAAAATATCGTTTTATTATTATTATTATTATTATTATTTATTATAATTACTAGTAAATACATTGCAAAGTATCTTTAGAGTGTTTTGCGAAAGGTGGTGTCTATGACTGTAAAACAATTTCAAGTTCAAGTAAATTAAGGATTATTCCCAAAATTTGAACATAATTCGAGTACGAAAGAATATTTTCACGTAGCTTAATTTGAATATTGTTTTTTACTCTCGAAATTTAAGCGTCATTCGCGAAAATAATTGCCCAAAAGGTGATCAGATGCTAAATTGTAAAAAATATCTATAGCAGCAGGTCTATGGAATTATGTGAAAATGAGAAGCAAGTTTCGGTGTCACCAGTATAACAGGGAGAGCTACAATGATGAAGAGATCTAGAGAAATTGAACGCCTCGGCTCTGGTTACTGTTGCAAAATAAAAGAAATTTATTTTTTGCGAAAGTATACGCACCAGCCGATGTTTTCCAGATCTCAGTTATGTTGGTCCTATGGGACCGCCATTGGTACAGAACGACTAAGGGTCGAAAAAAAAATTTTTTTGTCGGTTTCTTCCTTGGCCATAACTGGGCTTTTTCGACGATTAAGCTGGTACAGTTCAAATTTTGCTTTTTTTTAGAGTACCATTAGTTTGTTTTTTTTTTTGGATCTGACACACAAAAACTAGTTGCTAGTTACCTCTAGGAAGTACTTACCACCTATGAGTTCTTAATATTAATGGAAAGATTATCCTCATTATAGTTTTGAATTTTCGATTTAGTCTCATATATAAATAATCATCACCAATAGACCATTAAGCCAATTTTAGTGATAATTATTATAGGAAAATGGTTTCTTATACTTTTTCGATAAATTTCATTTCAACGATATTCGAGCTCAAAGATTGGAGAATTTAAATAGAAAAATAACTTTTTGTTTTGAATTATGTTATAGTTAAATATTTTAAATTATTCTTATAGGAAATTCGAGGCTTTACAGAAAAAGTCTCTTGTGTTTTATTTTATTTTAAATAAACCCGTTAAGAAATAGTCAATTATGATCCTCAATTGTGATTAAAGTAAAATTAGAAATGAAAATATCGTTAGAAATTTGATTAGGAAGAAATATACTCCCAAACAAATGGTAAAAAACAATTGAAAAACTGTTATTTTATCAAAATAAATTTCAAACTATTTCAAAGTATTTATTAAAAATTAGGTTTACAATTCAAATATCTTCAAAATGGTTGTAGTAATAGTTAACTCAATTTTTTTTTTCAATATTGTCTGGAAATAACAGCATAATAAATCTTAGTATTCGAAAGATGTAATGTCAACAGAATTAAAATACAAGTTGGCGCATGAATTTGACTGTCGAGTATTCGCTTCTTCATGGCAAACTTGGTTTCATAACGGAAACAGTATGCCAACATCAATCAATTTTGATATTTCTGTTATTTTTATTATTAGATGAGAATTAAGACTTTTTAGTTCAAAAAACACAGCCTTGTAAAGTCTGTTTAGTTCATATTTAGTTCTCTTTAATAATATTTAATTTTAAGAAAATCGTTACTGTTTTTCACTGAAATCTATCTAACAAAAAAGAATTATTAAAATTGAGACATTAACAAACATTCTACAAGATTAATGCTTAAGAGAGCCCTCGGTGTCTCGACCACCCTGTATTCGAACTTCGTGGAAATTGGTATCGTTAGGTTTTATTTAGTCCTGAATAAGAAGTCGTCGACACTTTATTCTTAAAGAAACCCCTAGTAGCAGTTCTCGATATTTGACATAAAAAGTTAGTCCCAGTTAGCTATGACTTTAGGTTGATGTACTAAGGAACATAAGGCTTTCGTGCGTCTTTGAGATATCTATCCAACAAAAAAATTTTTTCAAAATCAAACCGTAATCAGAGATTTTACAACGGCGCGCAAACGATATTTTCAACAACCTGTATTTAAACATTATAAAAATTGATATAGTATGGTTCTAAGTACTCCTGAATAAATTTATTTTTTAACAATCCCTAATAGTACTTCTCTTTTCTCTCTCTTTTGTTAAATAGTCTCGGTTGGCTATAACTTTAAGTTGGAGCAGTAAGCAAAAAAAAGGTTTTACTGCATTTTTCAGAGACCTATCCAACAAAAAAGAAATCAAAAATAAACAAAGATTTTAACAGGGTATATAGTTCTTAAGTGAGACACACTGTATATTTTATATAGTTAAGTCACTTTTCTGGTACTTAGTCGTACTTAGTGCTGGTCTACAAAAATGTACCAAAAAAATAATGACCGTGGAACAAATATATTATGCTATAAGCATTAATTTGTTAAGGTTTTTTTAATTAACCCAAAAGGAACTTTGAACCTTGAACAATTAATTAATTAATCAAAGAATAAAAAATGAAAATAATTTAATAATATATAATGAAATGAAATAATAACATAAAAATTGCCTTAAAGTGGTAAAATATTTGGTAACCGGGTAAGTTTGCCACTATGATGAAATGCTTTGAGCTCTTTATGGATATAACATATTTCGCTTAGCAGTTTTTGCTACAAACTGCAGTTCGAAGGGATGCGGACAACCCGAATTTTGATGCGAGACAGCCGAATGAAAAATTGTATAGGTTGATGTTGAATATTAGAAGCCCAATTTTTGTTTTTTTTTGTTTTTCCGCTATCTTTCGATAAAATAATTATTTCCACAACTGCATATGAAAAATTGAAACTTACCGATATTGTGACTGTACTTAAACTATTGGTTACTGCTTTATCTGGTTGTTTATGCTATTAAGAGCGATAAGGGATCATTTTCCCGTCGTTAATTATAATCGCATTTTGAAAGAACGCAACAATTGTAAATGGATCTTTTTCGTTTCTGCCTACCTAGCGATTGCCTATTTGGCATATCTGCTAATTGTTGCTTATTAATCAAGTTTATAAAGGATGATCGGACTTGTGTAAATGTATCTATAACATTTATAAAATTAATCTTTCTGTGGTTGGAAGTACCAACATTCTCGTTTGGTTGTCAAAAAAACTGTTCTAAGAGTGTTTTCAAAAATTGTAAAATTGAGTTATAGTAGAATCACCTTGTATATATCCTTTTTGCGGAAACAACAAACAAGCAAAAATCCAAACGTAATGTCTCAAATCGCATGTCTAGACGACTTACCGTTATGTGTCATCGACAAAAATTGGTAGTTTGCAAGATGACTTCTTTTTAATATGAATTATTAATAATTCAAATCGAAACTACGTGCTTCCATGTGGCATATATTACTTAAAACCACTTGTTCGGTGCATTCAAATACGAATATACGTTTAAATAAACAACTGGTTATACAAGGTAGAGGTCACGGATATGGGAAGTCACATTTCAATATTTAAGTAATTATGTCCAGTACGAATTAAGCAAAATATTTTTACGCGTGTGGTGAACTTTACTACTGTTTAATTGTAGCCACTGTTTTGTGATAAATGCAACAATTCTTTATATAAAACGAGAGTAGTAATTAAGTTGTATAAAAATGAAGATCAATTGGATAAGTTTGCATTTTTTTGGCTAAAATAATTCTTTAGGGAAACGAGTTATATCTTCTACAATTTTTATTTGATTTAGGCAAAAGATATGCAAAAAGTTACCTTTCACTCCATATAATGGGGTGATTTATTCTCATTTTGGTTTGGCAATAGACTCACGCCTGAACAACGCTTGTAAATAGTGCAATTTTATTTAGAAATTAATAGTTCTGTGCGGAATACGTATCGCGCACCGCGTCCATTTTATCGTCGACAAAATCGTCCCTCAGAGCAGTTAATTCGATTAACCATGAAACGTTTTCGCACCACGTTTGCTCTTATTGATAACTCGCATTCCCAGAGACGCCGTACGGTGCGTACAGAAGAAGCTATTGCTGCTGTAGAGCGTAGTATTGAGGAAGACCCGAATGAGTCCATCTGCCATCGAGCCCAGGAATTGGATCTGTGTCCATCCACTTTATGGAAAATTTTGTGGAATGATCTTGGTTTACGTGCTTACATAATCCAACTCGTGCAAGAATTGAAGCCAAACGATCATCAAGTAAGGCGTGGATTCGTCGAATGGGCCCAAAACCAGATTGCCGTTGTTCCCGATTTTCATAAGCGAATTTTGTTTAGCGATGAAGCGCACTTCTGGTTGAATGGCTACGTCAACAAACAAAACTGCCACATTTGGAGCGAAGCAAATCCTCAAGTGTATGTCGAAACACCGTTACATCCAGAAAAACTGACTGACTGAAAAACTGACCATGATGTCCAGGAGATGTGGTTTCAACAAGACGGCACAACATGTCACACAGCTCGTGCCATAATCGATTTATTGAAAGACACGTTTGGTGACCGCCTAATTTCACCTTTTGGACCTATGAATTGGCCTCCAAGATCTTGTGATTTAACACCGCTAGACTACTTTCTGTGGGGCTATGTAAATTCATTGGTCTATGCGGATAAACCGCAAACGCCTGACCATTTGGAAGACAACATTCGCCGTGTTATTGCCGATATACGGCCACAAATATTGGAAAAAGTCATCGAAAATTGGACGTCCAGATTGGACTACATCCGCGCCAGCGCTGGCGATCATATGCCAGAAATCATATTTAAAATGTAATGCCACAAGGTTATCTTTCGGATAAATAAAATTCATATCAATCGAATAATCCAACGTTGTTTTATTGCAACCTAAAGTTCTATACATCGAAAAAAAACACCGCTTGTATATAAGACGCATATATTTTTTAAGCTACCATATAAAATTTTAGTACGTACGACGTAATAAAATAAACTAAATGTTTTCTTAAAAAAAAAAACGCATTTCTAGCCCCTGGCTCTGTCAGAACATCGATTAGTAGAAGGGCTTCATTTAAAATAAACATAGTTTTGGGGTGCAGTAACATTTTAAGAAATATCTTGTCGGCATTCCTCGGTTAACCGTGCATTCGACTGAAGCGGACTATGTTTGCGTTACGTGAAATTACGAAGACTTGAAGGTCATTTTATTGACCAAAATACCAAAGTACCAAATGATTTATTTATTGATCGGTTTCATTTTTAATTTATAAAATATTCTCAAGGAATTTGGTTAAATATTAGAGTGTTATCTCTTTGAACTACTTTAAACGTTGTTCCTCTGCTTGTTGAAGGTCGGGGCTACTGTCGAAGGTCTCGGCCCTTCAGAATAGTGTTGTTTATTGCACTGTCGCGTATCTCTGCCCTTCAGTGCCGTTGTGGTGATTTGCGACAGGATACTTCGCGTGTCTCTGCCCTTAATATCCATTGCACGATCGGAATAATCAGCACCAGAGATTGAAAGAGGGACTATGCGTGTCTCTGCCCTTAGTACCAATATACTGACGCGTGTCTCTGCCCTTCAGTATATTATGACCTGTTGTTTATTGCACTGTCGCTTGTCTCTGCCCTTCAGTGCTGGTGTGGCTATTTGCGACAGGATACTTCGCGTGTCTTTGTCCTTAGTATCCATTGCACGATCGGATTAACCAGCACTAGAGATTGAAACAGGTACTATGTGTGTTCTGCCCTTAGTACCAATCTAAACTCAGTTCCAGATTTTATGCGAGATATATCTGTTATCAGTGATGTCTGGTGATATTAAGTAATTTTAAGTTTGCTTCATGAATCTTAATAATCTTTGGTACTCAGGATATTTTTTTAGTTTCAAATACGAACCAGGTCACCCCGCTGATGGCCTGTCCACCGTTCGTTTAGACCAAAAAATATATATGTATTATACATTTTTAACTTCAAATTTTATTGTTCTGGTTACCTCATCCTACATATATTGAATACAAATCGTTCAAATCGAAAGTGACCAAAGGAAAGTCCTATTATATTAGCCAATGGTAAACTTTCAATATCGCTCAATTATTTTAGGTTATGTTCTATAGTATGATTATTTCAGCTACTCTGTACAAGAAATTGTTGAACCACAGGCTACATTTTATTTTAACCATTAAAGAGTGTGAAGAGTGCTTTACAGATAATGAATAAGAATTATAATGGTACATTGTAAAAAATAGTCAGTTTAGTTTGGGCTTATTGAAAAAAATACTTAAGAGTTTTTAATTTTGACATGAAATATGTAAGAACAAGTGTTAATCGACAGGAAACTAAATAGTTGCCAAGATAACAAAATTATAAATATCTAATTATTGAGGAAATAAAGTTCAAAGTTAAGGTGAAGACAGTAAACTAAATTAAGCAAGATTTTATTAGATACATATCAATAATACAAGTTAATAGCAAAAAGCACATACACATAACAAATACACACCGTAGTCTTTTTCACCCTTAAACCGCCTTTTACAATTTTGTACTCCAACGAAAAAAATCTGAGCTTTTAGTAATTTTTCAAGTCGAATCATCTTCTATAGGAAAGAAAAAAAAATTGCACTCAGTATTTCGCCTGTCGTTCAGCCTTGTTCTCTCCAAAAACTTTGATGGTTAGTTCGTTAGGAGGTACCCATCCCCCGAAGTATCGCTCCAATTCTTCCGCCACCGCTAGACATAATCGATCTTGTCCCGGGGCTGCCATTACCTAATAAAATACCTTCGTTACTATGCAAACAACGATGTCCTTCGGTTTTGTATTCACCTGAAATCCAATTGGCATGTCACGGTGGTCCAGTCCGCACGGTATACTAGTGGAAGGCAACCCCAAGGCGTTGGCTATTATAAGATATCCGAGGGCCGGTTTAAAATAAAATTGATGGTGTCGTTGTGCAGGTCCCACGAACGAGGGTAGTATCAGCACTCCATTTTTATCAAGTTTCTCCTAAATTATGAAATATTTCGTCAACTTGTTCCTCATTGATTCACAAAGAGTTTACTTACGGAAATGTTCACGACTCAAAGTAATAAGCGTTAAGATTAACTTTATCATCAAGATCAGATGCAAGCTTAAATTCTAAGCTAAATATTCTAGACATTACAATATACAATATTATCATATAACCTATTTTTCGCTGAATAAAAAAGCAAAATCAAAATCCTTTATTGTAATCTACATAGTAAAAAAAAATCAGTGCTTGCTTGAGTAGCTAAATTGCAAAAAAAAACAATGGCCAAAGGAGAAAACTGTTTTTTATTAACTATGGGTAGAATATACGAAAAACTAGAAGAATAGTGGTCGAAGATTATTTTCACAACAGGACCATATTTAAGGTTCAGGTTTCATTGATCTATAGGAGGTTCTGGAAATTGGTATTCCCAATGATCAGGTACAGGCTGCAAAAAGTCTATACAAATACAACGCAGGGATAGTGAAATTAAATAATAGGTTAAGGAAAAGCTTCAAAACTTCAAATGGCGTATTGTAGGGTTTGTTTGAAGGTGGTAGACAAGAGACAAGTGATAGTGAGACTTCCATTGTCTTTATGTATTTTTGTTTTGTTTAGACAACGTTTCGAGCAAATTTATCACTACCCGTTATCAAGTGCAGACTGGAGAAATGGTATAGGGTTCAAACGAGTTATTGTACTACCAAAAACATAGTGCATTTATTGCTTTGCTATGTTCGTACATATTACGGAGGTATTCGAATATGATCCTCTCAGTAAGTACGTATGTATTTATGTACCTGATTCTCGAGCTTCTACACTGCGAGGCTGTTTTCACTGGATAGCTCAAAGGGTAAGGGTAAGTACCTGTAGTCTATTTATCTTACAGATAAATTTGAGAATAATCAGTTTTGTCTTGTGTGACTGTCTATTAACAACATTTTTCTTCTTGTATTTTTGTGTCTTCTACATATTTCCTCGGTTTGTAAATAACAACAGTTTTTTTTAAGGCTATAGATTATAGATATTCGCGGTAGATTAGAATCTTACAATATTTAACTCGATTGCTTGGCGAAAAAGATTGAAAACATACTTATATCCCGTTTGTTAGTTTAGGTAGATAAATTTCTTGGACGGTCCTGGAATGGTTACGGGTAAGGGTCTGCTCGGCAGGGTGTTCTATAAGGGGCTGCGGTTTTAATAGGGGTGTAAAATATTTTAATACGTAATAATGTGGCTATGATTAGTTACCACTTGCCGTTCTGATCACAAAATACATAACAAAAGTCTAACAACCTGATTGCATCTCTAAAAAACATACACTTTAAAAATAAATAGCACCATTTTGTATTTTGAATGACCCCGTGAAACAAAATTGTAAGGGAGATAATACAGTTCAATCAATTGGGATTGACAAACAGCTTATCTATAACAAAATAGAAATTGTTTTGTGAATTAAACAACGAAATTTGACTGCATCCAATAAGGTATGCGTTTAATGAATTATCTAAAATACGACTGAAGTCCAATACACTGATTTGCCTGAGGTTCATAACGTTATTTTTCACTTAAAAAACAAATTCAACTGCCGGTTTTCATGGAGTTTCTGTCGGGCATGAAAGTCATCATCCCTGTTTTGGTTAATTTAATAAATGGCGGTGTTTTTCGGGAGAAAATAAATTAATGTAAAGTAATTCCAATTTATAAGTGAGGAAGTAAAAGTAATATGAACTATTATATGTATATATTATAATATTTGCTTTTTCATTTTTCCTTTTTTGAAAAGAATGAATTTGAGGAACACTGCAAATCGCTATTGACAGAAAATAGGATAAAATTTTTAGGAGACCTGAACGATGCTAAGATGGACGATGCAGAGGTACTAGCAATAAGTAGAGAAGAAGTAAAGAAAAAACTAAAAGAAATGAAAAACGGAAGAGCTTCGGGAGAGGGAGACCAGAGACCCTATTGGAAGCAATAACACGAATTTTTACCCCCCCTTCAATGTCACAACATCCCATCTGATTGGAACTTAGCGCGTATTAGTTCCATATATAAAAAGGATGATAGAAAATCATGCGACAATTTTAGAGGCATAAGTGTAACAAGCTCCTTGGAAAGGTTGTATGGTTGTGTCATAAAAAGGAAGATAGAAACGAGATATACTGATAACGAGGAAGAGGCCGGCTTTCGAGCTGGAAGGTCTTGTACAGACTCACACTCCAACAAATACTAGAAAAACGAACAAGTCGAAACCTGCTTATCCATCTGGTTTTTATTGATCTCGAGAAGGTTTGCTATACAGTACCCTTGAAGTTTGACACCCTTAATCTGATATTAGCAAGGAAGCACTTTATCTACAAAAACCATCATGCATGGTGGAGATAGGAAATACATACTCCAATACAAACGAAGGGTCTGAAAATAGGATGCTGTCTCTCGTCTACATTATTCAAAATATATATTGAGGGAGGAAGCTCTCTATAACTGGCGACAAAAATGTACAGGAATGGGTCTCAAGATCAAATGATCACTATCTGGCAACCCTGTTTTCTACACATGATCAAGTAATCGTTGCAAACTGCGAAGAAGACGCTGACTATATGGTAACGAATTATAAGCGATGAAGGCGAAGAAACGGATCTGGAAATGTGAAGAATACAAATATTTGGGAAGTGACATAAAATACAAAATTCAACTAGATCAGAAAACTGTTCTGATTCTCAATTCCCCACTCTCGTCTCACAAACTCTCCTTAAAAATAAAAATCTCTGTTTGTCGTACGATAGTAATACCCATCCTAACTCATTTTTCAGAGTGTTGGCGAATGACACAGAAAACAAACAAAAAGTAGACACAGTGAAAAGGATTTGTCGAATATCAAGGACGCACTACAAATAATGAAGTCAGACAGAAGACAGAAAGAATATGTACAACATCAAAACGAATAGAAACAAGGCAATTCCAGTATTGCCCAGTAAACAAACGAAGACGGGGAGGATCGATAACCTCGTATATTGTGTATTGAAGAATATGGAAGATAGAGCCATAAGATAGGGCGCTTGGAAAAATGAAGAGTGGCGACCGAAATTTGACCAACACTTCTCACAGTCAATAGGTAAAGTTTTAAAGTTTAATTACTGAGTTTGAATAACTTTCTATACGATCTCTGATAACTTAAAACACACCAGGTGTGCTAAATGAGCCAGGGGTTTTTGTTGTTCGCCTTGAAATCGTTTTTCTGCCCGAGCTTTTATTTTTAAACACGATAACATAGAATAACTTCCGACAAACGTTCCTTCGGTTCTATCTCTTCTGTGCTTCGTAAAACCGCATTCTTGGATAAAAGGGAGCGGACCGAAAAGAAGAGAAGAACGCCCAACGCAATTGTCAAAAATATCTGACCAATCAGTACCCCAGAAATTCTGCCAATGGATTTGCCATATTTTTGCCATTTGCGGTAAAACATTATGCCACTGTAATGTTTGTAAATAGATTGTGAATGATTTCATTTCTGCACCAAGGAGACAAGGACAACCAATTTAGAATGTTATTTTATAAGGCTTGTATTAACAATGAGAGACAGTGAGAAAAGTTGGTTTATAAAATGGAAATTTTTTATATTTTGAATTTCTTTAGAAATAAAATTAAGATCTCTAGATTATTTGTATTTTATAAACTCGGGAGGATTTGCTAGTGGAAAATACGAACATTTCACGAGGTACAGTCATCACATATGGATGAGTATCCTAATATGTATATACTAATAATATATAAATAATAAAGATATGAAGAGACAAGGAAAAGAAAGTAAGATAAAGAATTAGAAGCAAACTGCGAAGAGAAACAAACAAACGAAGAAGAATAAGAGTGATTGTGAAGAAGAAAATTCTGAGAAACAGGACGTTATCCAGTTGATGGAGTTGATGAACCAAGTATCTCCTGACTCTGTTGATGCAGAATACATGTTCTGTTTAAACATTTTTTCCATGGATAAACATGGAGAAAGCTGGATTAATTTCCTAATGTGTAGACTCTGGGCACATTATGATTGTGCTGGTCCAGAGTTTGATATTTGGATCTGTGACATTTGCAAAGGAATTAAGTAACTTATTTCATTTATCGCAATATGTTATTTTGAATTATTATATATTTATGTCTTTTTTGTTATTGATATTATGATTTATACTTATATTCCATGTATGGGTACCTATTCCATATTTGGTTACTCATTTGTGATTCTAGTTTTTGTGTTAGAATTTGATAACTATATATTTGATTAAAGGCTGTTAATTACTACATGTAAATGTATGACTGATTAGTAACAACATTACATCCTCAAAACAAAATTTGGTGACATTCCTCTACCAGTTATTACTGGTAATGCATATCGACGGCCCGACACCTCCGCAGAATAAATATCATCCTTGTTTGTGCGAATCGTAGCTACGAAGACCACGGTGAATGGCAAACGTCCTCTGTCAAGAATTCACACCAACGGCGGCGTTAACGACAGTTGCAGTAACGAATACGATATCTCGGCAGACCGAAAAACTATTTTAATCCCGCTGTGTACTACATGCGCTTGTTTTATTCTTTCCGCAAAGTGCTTATTTAAATTGAGCAACTGTAAATATATCGCTGAGTTATACTAAATGTTCGGAGTTGTTGCTCCATAAATACGTTTGAATTTGATACTGAAGTCAGTCTGCTTGTCACGATGTGCAACAAAGTGGTCACTTTCGATGAAAACACGATTTTCATAACAAAGAATCTTCAAGAACAAGCACACAGATTTCCAAGTTCAGAAGTTTTGGGATTTTTTGTACTTTCTAGAGGACGAGGTGGCGGAAATTATGTTATGGAACGATATAATAATCTATATCGGGGACAGTATCTAACCAAAACTATCGAATGAAGAAGAGAGCTGTGAGTTGATATTGAGAAAGGATCATGGCGACGAAATTATCCTCGAATGCGAGGTTTTGGGTTTAAGGTTATGTATGATTTGGTGCTCCTTAACCCGCGGTAGATAACTACTATTAAATAATTCTTCACTGTTGTCAACATTAAGCAAAATATCCTTTCATAAATTTCTATTATAAAATTGACATTTGAACAACAAGAACTGCCAGAAGACCTTATCATTCCCTTTGTTCCTGCCTTTAATATAACTTCTCCGTGGAATAAACTTCTACTGGTTTTTATGGTAGCCAAAAATAACAAATGGATCTGCTTACCGCGATAGCAGTTCGCCACATTTCGTTTTCCATCACGTAATCCGAGACTACGTATTTGTACAATATGCGCATGCAATTGAAGAACATCATGTTGATGGTAAATTTGGAGAGTCCGCAGATCGACTTCATTATTTCCACTGCGAGATTCGCTTTCGCCTGAAACCATAGAATCCACATAAACTTACAAAATGCTACGAGCACCCTTACTAATTTTAGCGAATTAGGCACGTCTCGCATATTCGATACCGTGGAAAAGCAGACCGAGATGGAATCTTTGAAGTGCCAGAATTTGTATTCGTCGAGTGTGGCACCGCATGTCGTGGTCAGATGCTTGACCGCCCCATTGATGGCGTTCTTAATACTGCTCTCTACTGGAAGTTGAGTTAGTCCACTTCCAAAGTCCACCATGTAAAATACTTTCAAGTCCCTTAAGTTTACCTGGTTATATGCAACACTGTATTTTTACCCTCGCCTTTTTCATACTCACACTTACCGGTTCATCTAGCTTCAACTCCGAACTCATCTTATTACCCACCAAGATCTTTAAAATAAATTTGAGGTCGCAAGAATAACGCGCTATCGGGCCTGTGACTAGATAGAGACTGCTCCTCTTGTCGCTACAGTCGGGCATGTGACCTTTAATACTTAAAATTTCTAAAACAAGTGATCAAGTCCTTTAAAGGGGACGCTCAATGATATTCGCTTACGCGGTGTTGGTTTATGGCCGAAAACTCCATTGAACATGGCAGGAAGTCTGATGGAGCCTGCAACATCCGATCCAAGACCGATGAGGGAGGCTCCCGATCCTAGCAAAGCGCCCTGGGATTAAGTTCAATGTTAACGTTGCCTTCCAAGCTTCGTAAACCAAGGCACTTATTTAGTGCCTTGGTTTACGAAAGTGCCTACGAAATAGATTTAGCGAGGAAGACCAGGGCCGGTTGTCTCATTTTTGAGAAATATATATTTTTAAAATAGTTATGAAACATTTTTGTACAACTAGTTCAAAGTATTTTTTTTTCAATTTTTCAAAATGATAAATATTGGTATTTTATATTTAAGTCGCTGTCGCAGTCGTCACAAACATAAATAGATTGTCTGTCAGTGCTGCAAGATCCGCAGCACACCTATTCGTCGTCTGGTAGACTATTGCAGAATACCTCCAAACTTTCACTTTTTTTATACTTCCTTTTTCTTTGCAGTACCAACAAACATTTTTCTACTACTTCTTTTCTCTTGTTATTTTCGAAAATCGATTAAATCGAATTTTTCGTAAGTATCTGCGCTCGTATAAAAATTTTATATCTCGGTAACGGTAGGTCCTAGGGGACCACCATTGATACAGAAATTTTGTTGTCTGTTCTCTGTTCTGCAAACTCTGTTCTTGGACTTTTTCGACGATAACTTCCGAACCGTTTGACCAAGACCACTTAAATTTTGCTTCCTTTTAATAGTCCAGGGGATGCAAGGGTTATGTAAAAATGGCTTAGGTGGAACTTCAATTTTCAACTATTCTTTTGGACATGGTTGTGAAACACAATAAGTGTCGGAAATTTGAGTTTAGTATTTTTAAAAAATAGAAAATCACGTTTACAAGGGTCCAAGAAAAAGGCCATTTCTGGAAAACCGTTTATGCCATCGAAAAAGTTGTTGAACAAAATGATTCGCAAGATCCAGTGATATAAAACCTTATTCTAGGTTATTCTCAAAAATGTAACGGGTGTGCCCGATATTCGCAAAAAATAAAAATTGGGATCCCCTTACAATGATAATTGACCATAACTAGAAGGCTGTGTTTGTTGTCAGTTTCTTATACATGTCATGTGGTCTCTACGGACTGCTAAAACTATTGTATTTAAGGTTTTCACATATTGTTCGAGATAGTCTGTGCTGTATTAAAAATTATAGTAGGTGTCTCAAATTTGCAGCTATCGACATCAAATTTGGAAGGGTGTCCTATCCTTAACAATGATATTTTTAACAATGATAAAGTAATAGCAGACGAATTCGGAAAATTTTTTGCTACTCACGTGCAATTAAAAGTGGATTCGATGTTCACTGGGGAAAAAGCATATATTTTGCACCGTATTCCGATGAGAAAATGTTGGCTCTAATTCATTCGCTGAAAAACAAAAGATCTTCTGGTATTGGCGAAACTCTTATACGACTGATAAAGGCATGTTGTGATATTCTAGTTCCTTACTTAACAACAATGATTAATGAGTCAATTTCATTTGGGCAATTTCCCTCAGCGTTAAAAAACTCGAAAGTGATCCCGGTATTCAAAAAAGGGATAATAAATAACCATAGCACAAAATACTGGAGAAGGTAATGTACTACCGAATTCAGCATTTCTTGAAACAAGAAAAAATAATTTCAAACGTTCAACCTGGTTTCCGCGAAGGGTGCTCCACGGAAACTGGCACAATCGAGCTTGTCCAACATATTTATGATAAACTCGATGTCGGAGAGACAGTGGCCGGAGTGTTTTTCGATTTATCGTGCGCTTTCGACTCATTAAATATGGATATAATATCGGAAAAGCTGGAATCTTTGGGCATAAGAGTTCCTATTAATAATTTGATCATGTCGTATATCAATCAAATAAAAAGTAAACGAAACACATTCGGATCCATATGATGTTAACTTGGGCACACCTCAAGGGGGCAGTTTTGCATTGCATTTTTTCTCCTATTGTGAAATACTTATCTGAAATCTTTAATAGTAACTGCCGAGTTTTCATGTATGCGGATGACACGTCCGAATTGCTGTTGAAGAGTTTAATAAATTTTGCAAGCAAAATCATCTAATCATAAACTTAGAGAAAACAGTTGTGGTAAGATTTACATTAGACCTTTACACGACTTATCCTTTAGTCTCTAGAACATCTTTAGAAAAAAGTCAGGGCACAAGATTTCTTGGCTCCTACATTGATGCATCATTGAGGTTCGATCAAGACATAAATAGTGTTTGTAGTAAACTAAATAAAACATTCTTTGCCATATTAACAATTAGAGACTCATTTCTTGAGAGATCACTATTAGTCTTTTATTATGCTGCGGCATAATCCTCAATTTCTTACAACATTGTGAACTGGGGGCAAGCTGGTGATGCTGAAAGGGTGTTTGAACAGCAGAAAAGAATACTTAGGCCAATTTTTAAACTTTTTCCGGGACAGTCTTGCAAAGAAATATTTCAGCAACACAAAATAATATATACCTATTTAAAATACTGCTAATTACACACAAAAATAAATGTTTACATAAGAAATACATTAATAACCATTGTCACTATACTCGTAACAGAGGAAATCTCTTAAAGCCTAAACTGAATCACATATTTTGTAGCAGATCTTTAGGCTATGCAGGGCCACATTATTATAATATGCTCCCGTCGAGCTTAAAGAACCTTTCTAACAAGCAATTTACGAAACATGTCAAGATGCTTCTGACAATCAATGCTTTTTATAGCCTAAGTGAATTCGAAACGCATGTTCTAAATAAATGTTTGCAATGTTATATTGATGTATTTATATTGTTTGTTTATTTTATCTTATATGATTGTCCTATATGTATAACTTTATTTTAAGACACACATTTTCCATTTCATCATTTTAAAACATTTTAATGTTATTTTTTGTGGCGAAACATTACCTGCGAGGTAATTGTACGTATCACTCCACCCGTGGCGAGAAAACAGTATGAGTATATATTCGTAAGGCATATGTACAAGTGTCATGTAACAACAATAAATGTTCTTTTGAACACTTTTGAAACATTCAGTCAATCAATGATCCTTCACCAGCGCAACAGGTGATTAATGGCAAGTGCATAAATTAGTACGTGCACAGAAACTGGAGACCATCAAATTTTTGATTTTTTTTTATTTTTTCTTCCAGAAAAAAAAAATCTCGAACACCATTAATCGGATCTACAAAATTCTTAGACCAGAAACTGTGGAGGATCCGGGACTATAACTTTTATATTAAGTATTTTTTAGATTATAATAACGGTTTTCCAAATTATTCCAATCTGAAAGACCCTGAAAATTGTTCTTTTCGGGAATAAATTATTAAATCAAAATTCGAAAAAATTATAACTAATTGGTTCAAACAGTATTATACGCCGCATCGAGAGCTACAATGTTTGTATTTATTGTTTTTGTCTATCATATAACGAGCAGCGTTCGAGGTATTTGAAATAATTCCTGGACGTTATCACGTCATATACCATGCATAGTTCCAGAAAAGAATTATTTTCTCGGAAACCATTTACTCTATTGGAAAAATTCATGGACTAGGTGTTTCGTTTATTGGCAAAAAATGTTAAAAATGCAGAAAATTTCGATTTTTGGGTTTACAGTATCGTTAACTGTGTGGAGAGATAGTTTTAGATTTCGTCTATCATACACGGTTATTATTTGCACAAATTTTCATATTTATCAAAGTTTGCTGTGAATTTAAACTTGAACGGCGAGATTTCAAGGTCACTTTATACAGGGTGCATGTACAATATAATTACATCGATTTTGCGAAAGTTTCGTAGTGGTAGGCGGGACAAGAAACCACGAAGCGGCTTCTTTTTGAAATATGAAGCTTTTTTTTTTAGAAAGCGTTCTTGTTACCTTCGAAAATCGATAAATGTGAGATCGCCGTTAGTACAGTAATGATCACCGTAAAAAAAAAAAATTTTTTTTACTGTTTGTCCGTTCTCCGTTCTTTGTTCTCGTCTTTTGGTTTTTCCTGAATAACTTTCGAACCGTTGGAGCTACAAAATTAAAACTTGCGTAATTTTTAACCCTTCATGAGGGACATGAGCCTTTAAGAAATGGCTCTGATCCGACGCCGGTATCCATCTTTTTTTCGCGATTTTCGACTGTTTTTTGACATTGCTATGAAACACGATAAGTGTCCGAAATTTGAAGCACTCGACTTCATATTTGGCGCATATATGCAGCTTTGTCCCGTGACGGAGCCTATTGAAAATGGGGCGGGCTGGGGGGTCGGGAAGTATTCTAAAAAAATAAAAAATCGTGTTTGCAAGGGTCTACAAAAAACATCATTTTTCAAAAACCGTTTACGAGACCAAAAAAATTATTGAACCAGAATTGGCAGAAGATCCATAAACTTTTATTCTTGAAAATTTTTTAAAAATATACAGGGTGCGCCGCACATTTAAAAAAACTGAAAAATGGGTTCTCCTATTATTGAAAATTGGTTATAACTGAAAGACTATGATTCAGATCTCACTTTCTTTTATATTGCAATATAGTCCGCCTAGACAGCAAAAACTTTTATATTTAAGGTTTTCACCTATTGTACAGGGTGTTTCCGATATTCCGTGCTAAATGAGAAATGTGTTTGGTGCAGATATCTGTGCAATAACATTTATTTCAGACATTTTTTCGATTATTAATACAAAATTGTTTTTTTACAGAGTAAATTATTAGCCGCAAATCAAAAATCGTAAAAAATATGGCTAATTGGGTCAAACAATGTCATACGTCGCATCAAGAGCTGCAATTTTTGTATTTGCGGTTTTCGTCTATCACATAAGCTGCTCGGGATATTTGAAAAAATCCATATTGAAATCGTTATTTCGAGGGCTGTCAAGACGCGATGACGTCATTGATTATTATGGCACAAAGCATGGTTTCAGAAAAAACTTATTTTCTCGAAAACCATTTACTATTTTCAAAAAATTTTTGAACCAGGAAACGTGGAAGATCCAGGCCTATAACCTTTACTTCGAACGTTATTAGAATCATATACAGGGTGTGTCGTTTACGAGCAAAAAATCTAAAAGATCCTAAAAATTTCCGTTTTTGTGGGTTTATTATTGGCGATAAAGGAAAAACCGTTAAAGATGGGATAATTTTATTTGAACAGTATCGTAAACTTTGTCGAGAGAGAGTTTCAGGTTTCGTCAATTATACAGGGTGCAAGGTATTTGAAAAAATATCATTCGACAACGCTATTATTTGTGCAAATTTTAATATTTACCGATGTTTGCTGTAACTTGTGAAGGACATTTTATACATGCGCAATTTAATTACATCGATTTTGCGAAAATTCCATAGTGGTCCGCAGGAGCACGATAGAAAAGCAATACGTCCCTTTACCAAAAGCTGCTTCGTGATAGGCACTACGAACTTGCCCCGACCAGCGACAATTTTTCGAAAGCAATCTTGTTTCTCTTATTCTGTTGGCGTTTGTTTCTCTCTTATTTTAATTGCACTTTCGCTGGGGTGTCAGTGAGTATTGCACTTTCTCTTTTACGCCTGTTAACTCTATTCGTTTTTCTTGCCGATGCCTTTGGATAGGGTCTAATATTTTCCAGTCCTCCCAGCAAGTTTTTTCGCTAATGACTATACTATCAGGAGACTCCAGAGTAAACTCTTGTCATTTTGTCACTGAACGATCAAGTTTTTTTATTACTTGCTGGTTTGCTCTTTTGAATAGTGTTTTCAGTTTTCCGCATGTTGATGTTTTCCTGGCTTAGAGTATCTTGTCTGTTATTTCGTTATGGTTAATTCTTCTTGGTTTGAAGTACTCAGCTCTGGTATAGTTCCTTCTACATTTAATGCGCCTGGATCTGGCCTATCGGCGAGTGGATAAGACAATGCTACAGGAGTATTCAAAATTCACGCATCGCAACGTTGAGGAGGGAAGGAAGCATGACAATACAAGCGCATGTTTAAATGGTTATCTAATAGAAGAAGACAAGGTCATTCCACATCACTTTTCACATGGTGATGAAAAATTTTTAGGTTTTCTAAGAAGTGGGACGCTTGCATCTAATCTGAAGGGTTTGCTTGATTTCGTGTACCAGGTGGAGCCGAATTCAAACAATGTGCCATTCACCTTTGCGAACCTAGTAGCTGCTAGCATCAGGAGCAGCTTCTCCCTTCATCGTCTTGAATCTTAAGGTTTCAATCTATGTTTATATCACCTGAAATCTACAACAAAGACGCCTATTTAAAATCTAAACTCTTATTTGAGAAAAATGAAAACCAATTCATCAAGTTCAGAGTCAATACTTACATTAAATAAAAGTCATGAAAAACACAAAATAAAATATATTTAACAGTTTTTCTTCACTCTTAAGCAATGTCACCGAAACAAAAATTATATCGGTCTCGCGAAATTTACTCAAGCATATCGATTTTCATTTTTATACCGACGTGACCTGTTCTCATAGGTGGCAACTTTTGTACTGGTTACAGGTGCTTTCCGAACAAACCGAAATATATACAGCTAAAAGTCGTGGCGTTTTTCCAAGATCCAGAAATTGTGACAACCAATCTATATGACAACCCAGCCCAGGTCTCCCTTATGGCGGACCACGCAGTTCAAAAAATTTTATTGATTAGTGTATATTGCGAAGAGTCCAATCCAAGTAAATATTAACATAACATGCTAATCATTTTTTGAATACGTGGTTAAAATAAAGTTCACCTTCTTAAAGATTCCTATTCGAATTTTGCTTAGTTTAGGCAGAAATTGAGGTTATGCGTTTTTTTTCATATTATGTTTGCTCCATATAAAATTGTGTTGTGACGCTACTGATCCAGGTGTTGCAACGAAAATTTAACCACAGATTAAGGAGATGATGCACTACTCAATCAGTTTGACAGATGCGCCTCAGTTTATACAGGGTGTCCCAAATAGTTGGTGCGGTTTTTTCGAATTCAATTAACAAAATCTCAAGATTTTCAAATGGAACACCTTATATTTTTATTGAGATATCAATTCTACGATAACAAATAATGTAAGTTTGTAATTTACCTTATATTTAAATTTTTATTACTTTTTGATAACACTCGTATAAATTCTTGTTGCTGCCCACATTAGGTCACTTGTTGGTAATATTAGGTATTTTTTAAATAGCAAAGACATGATCTTACTTCTTTTAAAGATACAATAGGCCAGATATACGAATAAAACCTATTGCTAACAATACAGATTTAATAAAACTTCAGAATTCATATTTAAAGAAACATTTAATGGTTAATTACTAGCTTGATTGAAAATACCAAATTACAAAAATAAGTAATTAAACTTTATAGGCTAACTAAGCAAACAAATTTGAAAAAATAAAAAGTTAACTAAAAATTGTTCGTTTATTCGGTCATCTGGCATCAACACAATAAAGAAATATCAAAATATTTAAAAATGTAGTTGACTATGACATCACAATCTTTTTTTTTTTGACGCATTAAATTATAAACAAACTTTGACATTTCTGTTTGCTTTTGTTGTTTTTCATATTTCCATTTAAAAAGTTCATAGTTGTCAAGTTTTTTGTTAGTATATGTATTACTTTGTATTTTAAATAAGTTATAGTTTTTTGGTTAACCTATAAACTTTAATTATTTATTTTTGTTGTTAGGTATTTTCAATCAAGCTAGATAATTAACTATAAAATGTTTCTTTAAATATGAATTCTGCTAAAGTGTGTAGTATAGAGTCAATTTTTCTCAAAATATTCACAAATTAATGGACACTGTATTGTTAGCAGCAGGTTTTATTCGCATATCTGGATAATACTCCAGATCGAGTAGTATCGCGGCTTGGCTATTTTAAAAATACCCAATATTGCCAATGTGGACAGCTTTAACTTGAACAATTATACGGGTGTTATCTTAAACTTCGCATATCTCAAAAGTAAGTAAAATTTCAATATAAGATACTTACCTTGTTTTTTGTCCTAGAATTGAGATCTGCATAAAAATATAGGGTGTTTCATTTGAAAATGTCGAGATTTTGTTAATTAAATTCGAAGAAACGGCACCGCCTATTTGGGACACCCTGTCTAAGCTGAGGCGCATCTGTCAAAGTAATTGAGTTAGTCTGTGGTTAAATCTTCCTTGCAATACCTTGATCAGTAGTGTCACAACACAATTTTATATGGGGCTATCGAAATATGAAAAAAAAAACACATAACCTCAATTTCTGCCTAAACTATGCAAAATTCGAATAGGAATTTTTCAAGAAATTTACCATTATTTTAACCATAGGGTGTTGCATTTAAAATAACAAAGTAGATATCGGAGGGGACATTTTTGGGACACACGGTATGAACAAAATTATAATATTTTGAATCTTAAGGAGAGTCCAAGAAAATTTTGTGCGAAACTTTTTTTCGTATCTCCTATGGGTTTCCAGATCGTATAGTGGATCGTTTTGGCACACGGTGTAGATGGCTAAAGTGTAATCTGCAATTTACATACTTCTCCACCACTGGAGCCGCCGCTTGTGCGTGTGCTGTCATACGGATTTTTGGTACATCCTGTAATAAAATTGTACGTCTCCCAGCTGAGACAGAATTCTGGTGTGTTGGACACCAAAAGTAAAATGGCACCCGATGATCTCAAAATAGCTACGGCGTCGCAATCCTTCTCCGCTTTCATGCCGGCTCTACTTACAACTCCGACGCTGATACTCATTCCTACGTACAGTGCAATCGGTAACTTATTAATGTAACGGATCGGTGACTCAAATACCCTCCACCGAACAGCTTTCTTTAATTGTCATCGGTACCCCGAGTAAAGGTTTGATCTTTTCAATCTCCAACTCTGATAGAGATGTCGCTTTTAAATATTCATCGACCGCTTTTGCGTCTTTCATCGCTTCCTCAAAGCGGTCCTCCACGACGGCGTTTATAATGGGGTTAACTTCTTTGATCCTGCGAATGTACGCTTCGCATATTTCCTCGCTGGACATCTGGAACGTCAACATTGGGCAACCCTAAATGTAGAAAGTCCTAACGTACCTCTTTAGACCTTATCCTTCTAGCCAACTCGACGGCATGAATTTTGAAGAGCGGATCTCTTACCGGAGGCACTACTTCCCTTTTACCCTTACATATTAAAGTATAAATTGGGCGCGTGAGGAAATGCATAAATCTGACGAACACCAGCATCGTGCTGAAAATTATTTCCATAGTGGTTTACCAAGAATATGACTCTATGAACCGGAGTTAGCCGATTCTTTGATATGTGACAGCGTTTATGCAACACCGAGAGACTAAAAAAAGAAGTTCCGTTTTGCGGTTAAAAAGGGTTGTCGGTATCAAACCATTACGTGTCTCGCAGGTGGTAAGTATTATTGGAACATTGATTTAACTATCAATATTTATTAATAAATGATTGCTTAATTTAAGTTAGCTTTGATCGTTAGACCGCGACAAGAAACTGAATATGATTATAGCTATGTAATAAAAATAATTTAATGGAGGCTTTTAACACTAGATATATCAATTTTAACCGGATTTCGGCTTTTAGAGGAAGTAATTGAGGGACCATCGGGTTTCACTATTTTTTTGTATCATAGAACATGTGAATCCTCCACCCATGGACCTCCGTTTTACAAGATGGATTTCATTAACGAAGAGAAAACAATAGAATTTTTAAACTTATCAACCGTGGAAAAGCAAAAAAAAAAAAAAAACCTTTTGCTTGTTTCGACCTTTAAGTTACTTTAAATAAAAAATCACGAAAACAACTTCGTAAAATATAACATACAACAGAAACACAATAGAATGCAATAGAACAAACAGACAAGGGGTCTGAATGATGAAGACAGTACAAGAGACAAAAAGACAATTCACACCGACTTGTAAGGCAACAATCAATAAAATATTTTACATCAATTGCCTATTAAAGTTAGGCAATTAATAGCAAATAGGAAGAGACAAAGAAATAAATTTTAAGAGAAAAAGCCTTAGCAACTAAATGAAGTAAATTTTTCAAAGAAACTTTCACAGAATATTGTACTAATTAGAAATCTTGAAAATTCCTCTTGCATCGGTTGTTAATAAATCGAACTTGCTGACGTTACTTGCTAATATACTGTGTAAGCTAAGGGACGGACATGAATTGTCTAGGATGAGTGATTCCCATTTTGTTTAGATATTTCCATGGATGCAATAATTTAGTGAGTTTTGAGGTGGCTTCATAGATCTCTCATGTTCTTTTGCCTAATTGATATTTCGTCCTGTTATCTCAAAAAGAATTTTGGCTTTGACGGATCAAAGTTTTTGAGAGATTTCTGAACAAGTGGTAAATCGGGTTTTAACATTTCATTTCTTAACAACTTCTGATATTTGGTCAGCGATGGTCATACTGGCGAGTGTGGGGTTGTTTTCAGACTCATTTTCTTTTTGAGGTTGGGGTGAATTGAATTTTGTGATGGAACGCATAATATATCTAATATGGAAAGTATTAAAAAGAAGAGCAGAGGTTATGTGTTTTAATTATGTGTTTAGTGAGTAGGGTTGAAATAGTTTTACGGCTCTGAAACCAAGTTAATAATCGATAATCTTTGGGTCGGATAGTGATGTGACAATACATACATCAAGGTATCGGTTTGTGCCAGTAGGTTCTCTGTATACGAAATGGCAAATGTCTGGCCTCATTTTCTATTGATAAGAATATCTAATCTAATATTCCACAGCCTGAACGCATATCTCGAAAATTTCTAAGTTCTACATATAAGGTTAAAAGTCATGAATACTATCGGGAAAAAATCAAGACATTCCTAGAGACGGATCCTATCGTCAACTTAAAAAAGATGCTAGATTATAGATTATCTATACAAAGCAACCTTAAATCAGCTATTTCTCTATTAGATTTCGTGAAAAAATGACTCTGAAATTCCTCGTTTCTACGGACAAAGTCTCCACTAAACTCTCAACATTTCTCTAAAAGAAAGCAAAGAACCAGCTAGCAAATTTAGTGATTTAACTTATATTTTAACCATTCTTATCTGGTTTTTTATGATATAAAGAGACATAAGTTATCATGTTTATGTCGCCAGTTTAATCTCAGTTTAAAAGAAGATTGCCCATAGTAATTTTTTTGTATCATCAAGTTTATGTATGTCAGAGACTCCTCGGACATATTTAAAAAAACGTACAACGCTGACATAAAGGGAATGAATAATATTCATTTTTAAAGAGAATCTAGATCAACCAGTGTTTTTATAGAGCCAGACCTCCTTCACCGGGTTCTGTTCACTTATAGTCTGTTTCAATGTTCATCGTGTTGACTTTCGACGGATTCTCGTTATTGGCTAAAGCCATTAACAAAAAAGGTATATTTCTTTCTCTTTTAATGTATTTCTTGAGTGTTGACCATTTGTGGCAGTGTTGAATAATCGTTTTTATTGTGCGTTTCGAAAAAGTTATTTTACGGGAATATAACAATGTCACTTCGAAATCATTTGTCGCTGGGTATGAAAACTGTGTATGAAACTTTAATCAGTAGAAGACTTATTAAACAAGAAGCTTTAAAAGAAACCTACAAAGAACTTACAAAAACGAGAATATCGTCGATAAGGCATATTATTAATAGTGCAGAATTGAAGAAAAGGAATCAACGAAGTGATTTTTAAACTTACCGTATAGAAAATAGTAATCAGGACTTAATAAGAAGGAAAATATATTGTCTTTTTTGTCAACCCGAAGTTGTTCCTCTCTTGCATAAACTGAAAAAGGAGCTAGAATAAGATGAAACCAATATAAATATAAGCCGTGCCACCCTTCATAGAGTTAAATACCACAAATTGCAAGTAGTAATGGAATGACACGAATTACGCACTTGAAGATTTTAATTACTTTCAAGAAATTAAAAGATAGAGAACATATCCATAATTTATATGGTTTGATACACACGACGCTGTATTCAAAGGATGACTTGATTTGCACTGAAAACTCTCAGAAGAAACTTTCGAATAAAGGAAAACGCATCACCATAATACCCGCTCGGTCAGAAGACGGATTGGTTCCCTGTTGTCTGGAAAGAATATTAAGGATTCTAGCTAGGATTATCCTGATGATACAAATGAATGAAATACAAATGTTTTTTTTGGAAAATTGGTTTCAAAACAATCTTTTAAAAAATATTCGCAATAACAGTATTATTTTCATCGAATATTTGTTAGAAACTGATATTTATTTTGAATTCTATTACAAAACAGTGCAACTTTTGGAAGTTCCAAATTAATATGCAACTAAAAAACAGTATATATGCATGTATGTATAATTTTGCCGGCTGGGTATACTATTTTATGTCTTCCTCCATATAATTGCATGTTTAACCCCATTTATGGGGCAATTCAAACGCAGAGCAGAAAATGTTACTTCTACTTTAAGTTCCAGTGTAATAAATTTAATTAAAAATGTAATTAATAACATACATAACATAACATAACATAATTGAGAGGCGAAAAAATTCAGTACAGCAAATTATAAAAATTGAGGACTCTCAACGACGACTCTGATAGTGAAACAGAATTAGATTTATACATTTACATACATACGAATGTGGGTTCACAATTTTACGAATGACGGAATTATATGTGTTTAGGCTGGAGCGATAAATAATAAAAGTCAAAAATAAACATTCCATGAAAATTAGAGAGTATAGACACTTAGAGATAAGGTCGCAGACATTTATTATGTTCGGACATCTCTATTGAGATGACAAGGCAAGGCCATCGCTTCCGCTTGGTTTTCAACTAAAATTCTTCTAAAAGATAACAGCAAGAGACGGATATAGGTATTTATAACTAAAAAATACTTAGAATCTCTACTAGAATATAGAGCTTATTATTATCCGCCTTCTATATCTCGTTTTTGGGGAAACAACAAAGATACGAGGAACCCTCCAAACGTAACGTGTAATGTCTAGAGCGACTTACCGTTATTTGTCGTGGTAGAAAATCAGTAGTTTACACGGTGGCTTCTTTTTAATGTGAATTGTTAATTATCAATTCGAAGGTACGTGCTTTTACTTTTTACATAACTTCTGGATTCGTCCTGCGTCGAACTTGCTGACGTTTCGCCAATCATCCTGTCTTAGTCTTTCATGTTCTTTGAACCTAGTTGAGCCTAAAGAAGCTAGGCTCAACTAGATTCAAAGACCACAATCTCGAAACCGGACATATTATTCGATAAAACTAAAATTCTTGCATATAATCCATTCTTCTACCAAAGAAAAATCCGAGAATCTATCTATAAACAATCTAACAATCTTAACCGTAGCTCAGGTCTTTACCTGTCAGCAATATGACATCTGAGACGAGTGAGTGGTTTGCCTAACATTTATTGTCTTTTAAAATTTTGGTTTGAAGCTTTTTTTAAAGGATATAAATATGTATGCACCTTAGGGACTGACTTAGGGAAAATCTTATTACTGGAAAAGTTATTTGGGTTATTGTCAGGTACACTGTACAAGAAATTATTGAATGAAGCTCCCGGAGAAGCTGGGGAGAATACTAAATATATGGTTCGTTTTATTTTAACGATGAAATATATATCTATAGCTAACACTTTGTCGAATCCTGGATAGAAAACTCTTAACAGTACGAAGAGTTACAGGTAACGAAAAACGGGGTTTGTTTATTTCGTACTTTTGAATTCTTACAAGCCAAGGTAAATATTTGTGGAAAAACAAATTTGTTTAGACTTACTCAGAATTTATTTTAAACTTGTTGATTTTGATATGCAGTTTGTAAGCGTTTGCAGCATTCTTTTGTGAAGTTCTCAAATGATAATTGATACATAAATTCCAATAAATAACAATCTAGAGTTGAAGACAATAAATTATCGTAAACTTTAATTAGACACATAATAATAATAACACTAGTTAATAGAAAATAGCATATAATAATAATTAAATCATGAAAATGATCGAGCTTCGTGAAAAGATATACTGTTCTTTACCAATTACTAAAATGAAAGGCATTGTCAAAAAGAAAAAACTGTTCCAAACTACGAATAGCGGGTAATGTACAGATCGCCCACACTGAAGCCTTTTCCACCCTTATAATCCTATACTTTAACGAAAACAAGCTGAGCTTGTAGAATTTCTCAAATTGGATTATAATTTAAATGAAAGAAAAAACTTGCACTGCTTAGACTTGTCCGCTCCAAAATCTTTGATGGTTAGTTCGTTAGGAGGTACTCACCCTCCGAAGTATCGCTCCAATTCTTCCGCCACCGCTAGACATCACCTGTCTTGTCCAGGGGCTGCCGCGACCTACCAAAATACCTTCGATAATATGCAAACAAGGATGTCCTTCCGTTTTAGATTCACCTGAAATCCAATCGGCATGTCACGGTAGTCGAGTCCGCACGGTATACGCAGGTAATCCAAGGGCGTTGGCTATGATAAGATATCCAAAGGCCGGTTTAAAATAGAATTGATTGTCTTTGGGGAGGTCCCACGAACGAAGGTAGTATGAGCACACCATTTTCACCAAGTTTTTCCTAAATTATGAGTACTTGTTACCTTGAAGTTTTGACAATTTTTCGAATATTTTGAAGAATAAAATTTAAGATAAAGTTTATCATTAATATCATTTATCATTTTGTATGCACATTCCGAAAAAAGTTTGATCCCAGATTCCAACTTGAAGGGGTTAATTGTTCTAGACACCACATTGTAGCAAGAATCTCTCCAACTCATATTAGAAGAAGAATGACAAAATTGAAATGGTTTATCTAATCGGTAATTTCGCTTCTTAGGTCAACAAGCACAATTCATACCTCAGTTCAAATAATAAAAACCTACAGAGTTTGATGTTTTACGTTCCATTAGTATTCAGAGTGCACTATCTAAGAGCCTGGAGAAAATAATGTTCAAGCAAGTGAGAGCATTTCTCTATATTTATACGAAACAATTCGGTTTTGGATCTGGTCATAGTTGTGAAAGCGTTCCTGTAGATATAATATATGATGTTTTTAAGACTGATGATGATGACAAAATTACTGCCTTAATTTTACTTTAATTTAACCAAGCTTTTGACATGATAAATAATGAAATCCTGATATCAATTCTTACATTACAGTCTTGTGATTATCATCTTGATACCGATGCTATTGAACTGACCTTTTATTTTTTTCATAAATGGTATAACGAAACAAATAATAACAAATCCTCGCTGACGATATTTCCAAATGACAACCCAATTGATAATGTTAATAATTGATAATATAAAACTCTCTGTGAAGAACGCTGTTTTGCCCTTTTGCAGCAGATACAAATGTTTAGGACTTACTCTCGATTCTCGGCAAAAGTTTAGAGAGTACATTACAATCAAGTTAAAGATTGCATACAGCAACCTAAAATTAATTTATCGTAGTCTTCACTATTCCTCGCAGGATACTAAAAGATTTCTATGCGATACTGTAGTATTATCATAGCTTAATCATTGTAACAGTGTATTTATGCGTTGTCTAGATAATCTAGAAAAGTATCGTATTCAAAAAGTTTAAAACTCCCGTCTTAGACTGGTATATGGAGTTAGACAAATAAATCATATTTCAAAATTGTTCAATGTGAGTGTCTGTATTACAAAATTATTTGAATTGAAAGTAATTGATTTGAATTTCCGTATAACGGGTCTTCTTCTTGTGCAATAGCATCGAGAAAAGCATTTAAAGATATTACATAGTAAATAAGATTGATCAATATGTCTCAACAGACTTTTCTCTGACGCTTTTGGGTAAGAAGAATAAGAACTAGCAAGATTTCATTTTCGTTTCTACCTAATTAAACCTTTACTTATATATTCCCTTATCCCTAGTTCCCTCCAGTCACACTCATCAACAACTGATGCTTTCATTAAGTTAACAAAAACTGCGAGTGACCCAGGCTGGAACTCGTACAAACAATAACAATCCAAACTAATTTATGGCTTTTAGCGCAGAAAACGTTTTCTTGAATAACGTGACTAGTAATTTAAATAATCCCAAAACATTTTGGAAAAAGCTTAATGATCTAAATATTTATACAAAAAATAATATAAACATCTGCAAAGATAAAATCTACTTCTTTATATCAGTCAGGTTCGATGCTACCGTATTACTAAATGTCACAGATAACGTAATATGGCATGATAAAGTTCAAGCGACTTGCGACTTCCATGATTATTTGTATTATTATTATTATTTGTATTTATTGACGAAACATCCATTGTATCACCTGGTTTTGTGAATAAATAATCTATCTATCTATCTATCTATCTATCTATTATAAAGCCTTCGATAGATTAAGCCAAGAGTTGTTACTTTCAATTTTAGATTTTATTGGTTTCCAGATTACCCAATTATATCAGTAACAGAGTTTAATACATTGAGTGTAAAGGTACTGTGCCATCTACGGAGCCAATTAGATGTTGTTTTCCACAAGGTTCGATCCTTAGGTCTCTTCTATTTACATCTATATTTGTGACATAACATCTTCTTTGCGATTTTGCCATATGTATATTTCATTTTTTCCGTGAAGTCACAATAAGGCACAAATATTAATAAACGAAGATTTCCAAAGATTAAATCAGATGTCAAATAATCATCATATAGAAATTAATGCAAAAAAGTCTTCAATAATTTTGGGCTAGATTTCGATACTAATCTGAGTTTTAAATCTCATGTTAATAAGACGATGCGCACTGGATATGACGACCTAAAAATTTTATATCCAAAGACCATTTGTTGTCAAAATTATTAAAAACCAGAGTGACTCATTTGTTGATCTTAATTCAATTTAATTTTTGTGATATCGTATACAGCCTAGGTTTGGATTTGTGATCAACAGAATACAAAGTGTCCAAAGTTCTGAGTGCGTGTTATTAATGATATAAGTGCCAGGGACCCGGTTCCATATAATTAAAAAAAAATGGTTCAGAATGGAAGTTACTTTTTATAAAACTTCTGGATTCCTTCTGCGAAGGTTTTTTTTTGAGTCAAATTAGCTAACGGTATTCATAACCACAAATGAATATCAGGGAAAGATTCAAGATATTCTTACAGACGGCTCATATTGTCAATTTAAAAAAGATCGTACGTCATCTATGGAACTAACCTTAAATATCTCTCTCTCCCTCTCTCTCTATCAGGCTCCGTCACTCCCCATGACTCTAAAATTCCTCGTCTCTGCGGACTCCCAAAGATTCAAAAACCAGGATTACCCCTTCGACCAATTATCGGCACCATTGGTTCCCCAACATATTTTCCAGCAAAATATCTAGCTTCCTTATACTTCAATTAATTGTTTACCCAGAAATTTGGTATTTTTTATATTCTATTTTAAACTTTTTTAAAGAAAGTTTTTTTGAAATTTCTGGGAGCGGATTGTACAACATTCCATTACAGACATACCTAAACATGGAGGTATGATATTTAGGAATTGAAAACACACTATCATTTCTTCAATTAATATGTGAAGGGCTCTGATGACGTAACTGAAACTTAGGTTTTTGGGGGGGAATAAGCAATAAGCCGATGAATATTTGCGAAAATTGCAAGCAAGCCTTACAACAGACATTCTGAATTTTTTGAATGCGAATCCTAGACTCAAATAAATTCATTGTAATTCATTGTTTCAGAATTCTTAGCATTATTGACATCAAAAGCTGTTAATTATCAGCGTAGCCCTGAACACTGCATTCAACTATAGACTTTAAATACTAGACGTATTAATTTAAAGAAATCAAGGTCTTAAAACTTGTAGAACCCCAGATAAAGATTGTTCCCTTATAAGCTGTACGATGGAGTTCCGGAAGAATACAAATTCTTAAGTTTAAACTTATTTAAGCGTCTCTATAGAGAACAATTGTGCCTATCAGACGACACTACGCAGAGCGGGATTTGTTGTTTGTTTTCTTTTTTTGTTATGTTTTTTATTAGTTTTTCTTTTGTTTTTTCTCCTATACTATTTCTACCTCCAACTGTAGAAAACTTTTTTATTTATTGCTTGTTGTTATTATTGTTATTGCTTTCCAGTACCTACGGGTTGAACTTGAACATTTTGTAATTGTTTTCAGGTCCCTTCTTGCAACCATAAGGCTAGGCAAATTTTGTATCACTTTATGTAATATTTTGTTGCGAAATAAATGATTATAAAGCTAACGTTTGAAAACCAGAACTGTCACAACAAAATTTCATTCCCTCGGTTCCTTCCTTCAATATAACTGAAGAGACCGTCCACGGAACAGAATTCTTCTGGGTAGAATCACGTTCCAGAATAGAAATTGCCCATTCCCAATACAAAGACGCCCACTTTCTCTAAAGGCCATGGATGACAGGCAAACAATGTTGTCAAAAACGACAATCCGATTTGCTTACCGCGCTAGCTGTTTACCACATTTCATGTTTCACTACGTAATCCGAGACCACGTACTTGCACAATATGCGCAGACAATTGAAAAACATTATGTTGAGACTAAACTTGGAGAGTCCGCAGATCGACTCGATTAATTCCACGACGAGATTCGCTTTCGCCTGAAACCACAGAACCCACATAAAATTACAGACAAACGTGCTGTGACTACCCCTACTATTTTTAGCGAATTAGGCACGTCCCGCATATTTGATACGGTGGACACGCAGACCGTGATGGCGTCTTTGAAGTGCCAGAATTTGTATTCGTCGAGCGTAGCGCCGCATGTGGTGGTCAGATGCTTGACCGCCCCCTTGATGGCGTTCTTAATACTGCTCTCTACTGGAAGTTGAGTTAGTCCACTTCCAAAGTCCACCATGTAAAATACTTTCAAGTCCCTTAAGTTTACCTAGTAATATGCAACACTGTATTTTTAGCCTCGCTTTTTTCATACTCACACTTACCGGTTCATCTAGTTTCAACTCCGAACGCATCTTATTACCCACCAAGATCTTTAAAATAAATTTGAGGTCGCAAGAATAACGCGCCATCGGACCTGTGACTAGATAAAGACAGTACTGTATCGTCGCTGCAGCCGGGATAGTGATCTTTAATACTCGTAACTTCTAAAACGGGCGATTAAATCGGTTACTGTTAACAAGAGTTGATATACGCTTACGGGGCGGTGGTTTATGTCCGAAAACTCCATTAAATATGGCGGGAAGTCTGATGGACCCTGCAATATCCGATCCAAGACCGATCACAGAGGCTCCCGATCTTAGCAAAGCGCCCTGGAATAAAGCTTAACATTAATAATGCGGAATAAGTTTCGTGGAGGAATCCTAATTTGTAGCCACAGTAATATAGTAATTAATTTGCTACTTATAACATAACTTTAGTCTATGGAGTTTATAAATAAATTGCAACTCCAGAGTTTATTAAAGGCGATATGCAAAAACATCTTGTACAAAAGTCGTATGATTTTCTCTTTATTATCTTCTGAACGTACCAATAAAAACAAATACAAGAATTGACAACTTCACTTTTTTAGAATGGAACACCTTGTATATTTCCACTTAAAATGATCTTTTGTCTTTTTTAACGCGATTTGATCAATATGTAGTGTTGGTATTTGGTTTTGGCGTTTTTAAAATAACTAGTAGTAGAATTCCATAATCATCATCATTGTTACCTTAGAAAACAAAACGTTGCTTATAGGTATTGATGGCTCTCGAACTATTACTTTAATAGCGTCATGACGTCTCATTATAATTTGTAGAAACACTATGTCTTTACAATATGGGTTATTCGGAAGATCAAAAACATTAAATAATTAGCCTTTTTCATTCAAATAATGAAAATGTATTGCCAGTTCGATATACGATATATCAAGCAGTCATGGATTTCATGAGATGAAAAGTATCAAAACAAAACCAAAAACCATGATTGTATATCGGGAGGAGAAATCAAACACGCTGCTTTGTATTGAAGGTAAATTCAATTTTAAAAGTAACAAACAAAAGATTTCCATTAATTTTCCAGAAAATCCCGAAAGATCAATTCCAGATACTGTAAATTATATTATTTAAAATTATATACTTAAAACGTACCGCTTAAAAATAGTAAAAAGAGATATTTCATATTATTATAACCGAATCATAATGAATTTTTTGAGTGTTTTTTTTTTGGATAATTCTATGGATTTAGCTTTCGAAAATCTTATAAATACCAATACAAATTTTTTAATCGATAGAAAAATAGTTACCAATCAGCAACATTTTTTTTATTAACTACTTTTTAATAAATAATTATAGAATATTAGCTATTTGTTTGCAAGTATCGATATCAATTTTGTGGCCAGTCTGGTGTTGAGCAGATGTTTGTTTGTTTCTTATGGCTAAACGATGTTCCTCGAGCCTGGCTGAAATCCTTCTATTGGTTTGTCCCACGTACGTCAGGCTACACGAGCCGCATACTACACTGTAGTATTGCTCCAATGGCATGATCAGGTTTTTGTGCCGTTGATATCTCGTACTTCCGTAATATTCGGCCGCTTTTGTCAGTATCCCCCTTGATGTATGACTGCGATCGGTCTTCGTTGGGTCTCGTCCTGTACTCTCTGTTGAGGTTGCTGTTGTTTGGTGATGTTTTGTCGAAGACAGGTACTAATTTTCTTCAGTTCGTCATTTCTGTTCTTCTCGTTTGTGAGCCCGAACGACCTAGCCATTAATGTATTTGCCACTGCCTGTATCTGTGATGGGTGGTGATGAGACTTAGCGTTCAGATATCTATTGGTGTGTCTTTGTTTTCTCTAGACAGTGTGTTCTAAGTGTCCATCTTCGGTCCTCGTGATGTGCACATCTAGAAAGAGCAAACTGTTATCCTCTTCAAGTTCTATTGTGAATTGAATCCTTGGATGAATGGAATTCAGGTGTCCTAGGACTTTCAAAAGCTCGTCCTTGCCAAAAGGCCATACAACAAATAAGTTATCAACGTATCTTGTCCATATTTTTGACTTCAGATTCGCTGTTTCCATTGCTTTCTTTTCGAAGTAAATCATGAAGAGGTTGGCAATCACAGATGAGAGAGATGATATCATTGCTATACCATCTACTTGTCGGTATATTTTCCCGTTGCACATAAAGCAAGCATTTTTCAGACAGTGTCTTGACAGATCTGTTATGTCAGGGGGAAGATCTTCGTTTTCTTCTATAAGCAGGAGCGTCCTCTACTGGAATGCTCGGGTATAGGGATTTGACATCGAATCTTGCCATAATATCGTCCTTGTTCATCCTGAGAGAACCTAAAATCTGAGTGAAATGTTATGAATTTTTGACATAGGAGTCTGCCTTTTCCACTATGGGCTGTAGTGCGCTGGCCAGATGTTTTTCCAGCTTGCATACTGGTGAGTTAAAGGCGCTCACTATTGGACGCAGGGGAACCCCGTTCTTATGTATCTTTGGGATCCCGTAGAATTTTGGACGACTCGATATTTCCCTGGGAATAAGTTTCTTCTTTGTACCCTCGTCTATTGATGAACCGAGAATTTTTGGAATTAGTTGTTTTTTCCAAATATGTCGTGGGATCTCTGATGTATTTTCGGATTATTTCTTCGTCTTTTAAAGCCGCAACAGTTGCGTTGGCAAAGTTAAAACATGGCTAAGGCATAGAGCGTGAAAATACTGACGCTCCTTCCACACTGACGCTCTAGTTAATGGAATTTCATAATAGATAGACGCCCTAAGGATGGTAGAAATTTTTAAATTTGACCTACTGAAAAAATAAAATATATTACGATAATACGATATAAATAATTAAAAGCGAATTAGTTTTACTGAATAGAATAACTAATTTAAGAAAAAAGCTGCAGAGCAAACGATGGAGATTACTCAAAACTTTTTTTTACAAGGTAACTTTGATGTTGACTAAAGTTATTTCAAAAACGACTAAACCAAAGATAGACAAACTATATATTTTTAAAATCAGTTAAATAAGACTTTCATCTTTTACCTTTAATTTTCATATATTCGCGACGCTCATTTGTCTTCATTGGTAGGTTCAGAAGATGATAGAGAAAAAATCATACAACTTTTATATAAAAAGTTTTTGACTATCAAAGCGAATTTGCGAAAGTTCAACTTCTTGTTGATGGTGCGGGAGCGTGGCTCATATAATAGCATGCAAGCCGTTGCACAATAGCGGAGCGAAAACGAAAAAAGAAAACGAAAACCAAAAAGCAGTCGAAAACACCCGCCGTTCGATCTATCGATTGTGAATCATCCCGAAAAATTGTTCGTTTTTGATGCTTGCGTGCAAATTTAACTGTCGCGAAATATGCAAAAAACAAAAAATACCCGAAAATAAAAGAAGTTTCTCTACGACCGAGTAAAAAGTACAAATTTGCGCTTCCAGAAGCACTTTTCCGAGAAGCTCGCCGAGTTATAAAGTATCACACGGCTCATTTAGTTAACATGGAAACCATTATGGAGAAACATCTACTGGATCTGCGATTTTGTGAGCAGTGCGCGATTTTAAGAACGTTCTCGTATAATGAAAATCGTATTGTGAGAAAATTTAATGGAAATCGATGAAATTTGATTACTGGTTTGGTACTATTAATTTTTAATGGAAATTATTTATAAAAGGGAGCGTTGTTGTTCAGTGTGTTGTGAGTCAGCGGCCAAACTTCTAGCTTCTAGCTTCTATCACTTTGCACTCTTAATACAAAAATGTATAATAAAATTACCCTAAATTAGCAAAAAAAATTATACACACTAGTGGTGACAAAAAAAATGCATGCAATATTCAAAACAACGTGAATAGACGACAAAGACATGCAAATAATTGTAAACCTGTATTGGAACCAACAGGAACAGTGAAAATGGCAAACCAATTTTCAGATGATATCGAAATCAAGCGTGGAGTGCGTCAGGGCTGCATTCTGTCCCCCTGCTCTTCAATCTGTATTCGGAAGTAATGTTTAATGAGGCTTTAGGAAACGCAGGTATGGGGTTAGTCGTGAATGGCAGAAATATTATCAGATATGCTGACGACACGATGCAAATGAACACCAGAAAAAAGAAATATACGATTATAAGTAAACAACCTTCACCACAGGACAACGGTATTCTTGTCAGCGGAATGCCGATAGAAAAAGACAATATGCTCACGTTTCATAAGAAAGCCTTGTATAGTCACGATACATCTCTGACTCTTAGAATGAGGATGGTCCAGTGCTAAGTATATACTTGTTATATGGTATGGTAATGACTATGCGATGAAACGTCTGAAGGTATTCGAGATGTGGGTGTATCGGTGCCTACTCCGAACAAGGTGGGTGGATAGAGTGAGGAACATCGACGTTCTAGCCAGAATGAATAAAGGACCAGAAATAAGTGTGGCTATTAAAACGCGTAAGCTACAATATTTTGGACACACCATGCGATGCCCTGGAAAGTATGGACTGCTACATCTAATCATGGAAGGAAATATAAACAGCAGAAGAGCTCCCGGATGAAGAAGAACATCCTGGTTGAAAAACCTATGTCAAGGGTATGGTCAGTCCTCCGTGGAATTGTTCCGAACAGCCGTAAACAAGACACGAATGATCAACATGATAGCTAATAATCGTTAACGGTTACGGCACTACAAGTAGAAGGCAAGAAGAAGTTGTGACAAAATATAAATGAAAACCCCGTACATAGTCAAAGTGTAATTTGTTTCGTTAAAGCATTCCAATTTACATACTTCCCCGCCACTGGAGCCGGCGCTTGTGCGTGTGCTGTCGTACGGGTTTCTAGTACATCCCGTAATTAAATTGTACGTTTCCCAGCTGAGACAGAACTCTGGTGTGGTGGACATCAAAAGCAAGATGGCACCCGACGATCTTCGCAATCCCTTTCCGCTTTCATGCCGGCTCTACTTACAACTCCGATGCTGGTACTCATCCCTGGGTACAGTGCAATCAAAAACGTATCGAAGTCACTAGTCGGTGATGCGAATACCCTTCACAGAACAGCTTTCTTTTATAGTCATCGGTACCCCGAGTAAAGGTTTGATCTTTTCGATCTCCAACTCTGACAGAGATGTCGTTTTTAAATATTCATCTACCGCTTTTGCGTCTTTAATTGCCTCCTCGAGCCGGTCCTGCACAATCGCGTTTATAATGGGGTTAACCTCTCTGATCCTGCGAATGTACGCTTTGCATAGTTCCTCGCTGGAAATCTGGAACGTCAACACTGGGCAACTCTAAATGTAACGTACCTCCTTAGACCTTATCCTTCGAGCCAACTCGATGGCAGGAAGTTTGAGGAGCGGATCTCTTACCGGAGGCACTACTTCCATTTTACCCCTACATATTAAAGTAAAAATTGGACACGTGAGAAAATGCATGATTCTGGCCAGCACCAGTAACATGTTGAAGATTATTTCCATAGTGGTTCGCCAAGAATATGACTTTACGAAACCGAATTAATCAATTGTTAGATATTTGATCACGTCGACGCAACAACGCGAGGCTACTAAGGAAGTTCCGTTTTGCGGTTTAACAGGATCGTCGGTATTATTTTCCAGTGGAACTGAACATTACGTGTCTCGCTGCTGGTAAATGTTAAAAGTGATATCTAATGGAACATTGATTAAGCTATCAATGTCTTAATAAATAATCGCTCAATTTACGTGAGCATTTGTCGTTAAAAGATTACCGCGAAAAAGAAACTCAATATAATTATAGTAATTTTCTAAACATAATTTTATGGAAACCTTTAACAGTAGGTATAGTAATTTTAATCGCATTTTGCTACAGTACGTAATTAAAGATGGGAAAACCATACAATTTTAAAGCTTATTAACATTCGAAAACAAAAAATTACAAAAATACAAATTTGTCGAATTTAAACAATTTTATAAAAATATGACCTTAGCATAAAGCGAAATACAATTTATACCGACTTGGGACGCAACAGACAACCACCGACAGTGTCAGATAAAAAAATAGTTTTAAAAGGACGAGAAATAGAACGGATTTCAAAAATTTAGATTTGTAAGCTTCATCTCAATTAATGTAAATCACTATCCTGTAATAATTGCAATTGATACTACAACTAAATTTATTTTCATTCAAAATTTTTCAAAACCACTTAAAAGGTGGAACCATTACAGCAAAGTGTAATAACAAAATATCAGTCAAAAAGATCGTAGAGGAGGGGATAAAACAGAGCAATATTATAATAATACAAAACTGACGCTTTTTGCGTACGATATTGCATTTTTAGCAACATCTTTTAGAAATAAATTACTTAAAAAATAATAAAAAAACACCTGTAGGTGGGAATATATAGTATTTTCAAAAAACTAATTGGAAATAAGTAACGTTGGACAGAAAAATGAACTTTGAAAACCATATAAATAACGTGGCAAACAAAGAAAAAATTGCTATTTGCCTCATATAAATCATTTGGAAGTAGTAGAAAGATCGATTTTAAGGAAAGGTCATAAAATATCAAATATAGAAACATAGGGGGAAATTAGACCTTTTACAGAACTTTTGCTGGTCAAAACCCAGATGCGTGACATCACAAGGAATTTCAGGCACGTTTCTAGACGTAACGCTCTCTTCGGGACTATAAGATATTAAAAGAAAATAATTTCTTTATTAGAGATATTAAGCGTTCCATCACAAAATACACTTCACTACAACCTGCCAAAGGAAGCAAAGAAACAGCTGCGCGTATGACAAATTTAGTGATTCAACTATAACTGTCTCACTTTTATACCATAAAGACAGACAAGGAATCACGTTTGTGACCCCAGTTTAATCTCAATTCGAAAGAACGATTGCCAATAGCAATTTTTTTGTATCACCAAGTTTATGTACGTCAGAGACTTCTCGGACATACAAAGTACAATGCTGACTTAAAGGAAGTGAACGATATTCATTATTAAAGGGAATCCAACGACCAGTGCATCTTTAAAGCCAGACTATCTTCGACGGGTTCTGTTCACTTAAGAAAAATACGAATTCGGGTCCACAACTTTACGAACAAAGAAATTATAACTGTTTAGGCTGAACCGATAAGTAATACAAGTCAAAAATAAACATTCCACAAAACCCAAAAAGAAATATGTGAGAGTATAGACCACTTAAAGATAAGGACGCAGACATGTACCAAAGTGGGTTCCCATGGGACCACAATATTCCGAATGACAGAATTATAACGGTTTAGGTTAGACAGATAAATAATGTCAAAAATAAACATTCCAAACACCCAAAACGAAATCTTGGAAAATATCGATCACTTAAAGCTGAGGACGCCGGCACGGCCATACTGACTAGTGCACGTCCCCGGGCACCTGGTCGTCATCTAGACCTCGAAAACCTTCACTCGTTATTGTTATTATTATCATTAACCAATATACAAAAACTTTTACTAGGAGACAAAATCAACTTACTTGTAACTTGAAATGTAGCATCATTTGGCAAACCTATGAAAGCATCATCTATTAAGAACATTGGAATTCGGTTGCACTACCATCATCCACTAAAACGCTGTTTACTAGAATATTCATCTACCTTTGGTGCCACGAGCCCTTTCAATAACACAATGCTTGTCGGGATAATCACCTTCGGTGACACACGCTTCTCCAACCAAGCAATGCTTATCGAAACAATCACCTTGGGCAACACATGCTTCTCCACCTACCCAATGCTTATCGGGATAACCACCTTCGGTGACATGCCTTTGCAATAAAGCAATGCATTCCGTGGACACACGCCTCATCTGGTCACAGTGTTTACCTTCATGTAAACCTAAGCAGCTAACAACACATCTCCAGTAAAGCTTCTCTTACTAGGTAAACCAAACTAGGCAACATTATGCCTCTAGCTTTTGCGACATACGCCCGCACAATAACTCAATGATTATCGGGATCACCACCTTCGGCGACCCACGCCTCTCCAATGATTGTCGCAATAATCACTCTCGGCAAGACACTCCACTAATGCAATGCTTATCGGCCTTCGCCAAACAAACCAGAATGCTGCAATGCTCCAGATAACTAATAACAAAAAATAAGCCGAAATTATTTTGACTTAGTTTTGCCAGGACAGAGTGAGTCTCGTCTATCGAAATATTACCTATTTCTTTTAAGAATTCGCCGACACATGCTCATTCTGTTAGTCATTTTTTAATGACTGATTCGGCTTTACCTTGCTCATAAGGCACACAAATAAACTGATCATAAGCAAATTCGAAAAACGTACTTTTGCACTTAGAGCTGTGTCTAATAATTTGACAAAGGCCTTTTTTTTAAAACTGCGGTAATTTCAATTAGACCTCGTTAGACTTGTTTTATGATGTAAGAAATCGCCTACTGGAAAGTGCTTTAAAGTAGCTTTTTACAACTTTTCTTCTATTTTCACAACTTTTTTGCCAACTTATCGATATTTTTACTTGCTACATCACAACTTTCAGAGAGTGAAGGCGATTTCTCCACAGTGTTGTTGATATAACAATTTTTCGTAATTCCAAAGAGCAAACTGATTTGCTGCATAAATATTCTGCTGGATTAAGCACAATAACCATATGTTTTGTTCACTTAAGTGATAATTGCAAATTTGCATAATTATTTCGGCTTGTCCTTTACACCCTAGTAGTGCAATGAGCAATAAAATACAATTTAAGATTGAATTTTGCTTCAAAATAGCAATTCACTACTAGCAAAACACTTACACAGCCGATACCCGAAAGAGCACCAAACAAATTCTGAGATTCTTTAAGCAATTAACAACTATTTCTGCAGAACATATAACAATACAAATTTGATAAATTCATCGATGATTACAGAGACGCGCATTCTTTGGTATCACCTTGCCACTTAATTTACCGGAAATGCAAATGCGAATTTTATGCCTGAGATGTACTTTTTTTTCCACTTGCATTATACATACTAATAATGTTTATAAAGTTTCTATAACAATACCGAATGTCATTAATGACATAAAATAAAGATATATTACTTTCCATTTTACTGAAAAAATCGTATGTTTTTGCTACATTGGGGTGGAGTTCATTGCCATTTGCCATTGACATTGAGTGAAAATAACGTGTAAAAAGGGTCATTGAGCTACATAGTTTTTCACTGGGTTTACGTTGCGTTTACAGAAAACCTACGCACACACACCGATACCTCAATGCATTATAACATCATCATCCGGGCCAAATATCATCGGTTATCAACTCTCTTTACAGAGCCGTAAAACTATCTCAGCCCGAGCTACTGAACCCAGAATTAGAACACCTCACCTCTGCTCTTCTCTCTAATAATTTCCGCATTAAGCTCTCCATCATAAAATACACTTCACCACAACCTTCCAATAGCAATGAGGCCGAAAGCAATCCCACACATGCCATTGTTGTCCTTCCTTACATTCAAAACATCACTGACCACACATCAAAAGTTTCAAAGAAATATAACGTTAAAAACAGATTTATCACTTCAACATTACAGCGTTCCATGCATATGCGGCAAAATACATTGGAGAGACCGGACGAAAAATATCAACTAGGTTCCAAGAATATGAAAGAGCTTTAAGACTAAGACAAATAAACTCATCAGCAGTGGCCGAACACAATCACGACACCGGAAATAAAATAATATTCGATAAAACTTAAATTCTTGCATGTAATCAATTCTTCTACAAACGAAGAATCCGAGAGTCTATAAGCAACCTAACAATCTTAACCGCGACTCAGATCTTTACCTGTCACTCATTTAGCTCCGCCCCCTTCAAACATTATGTAAGCAGGTACAGAGTAGAATGCAAGCCGGTTGCAATTAAGCTCTAAAGAAGTCAACAGGATGATTGGCGAAAGTTCGACGCAAAAACCGAAGCAAGAGGAATCCAGAAGTTTTGTAAAAAGTGTTACAGTAGCCTGTATGTAGCACTGCACTAATCGCGGTCCTTATATCATCACTCGAAGTTACTTAAAATTCGACTTAACCAGTGTTTCTATGAAGCTAGACTATCCTCGCCGGTTCGCGTTTCGTTCAATTCGTAAAAATACCAATACCATACCATGGGTCTACAATATTAACGTTTTAGGTTAGACTGATAAATAATCGGAGTGAAAAAGAAACATTCCAAACACCGAAAACGAAATATGGACAAATATCGACCACTTAAAGCTAGGGGCGCCGACGCGTATTATGTTCGGACATCTGAATTGAGATGACAAGTTCCTATAAAACTGTGAGATGAATGACCATCACTTCCGCTTGGCTTTCAGCAAAGTTCTTCTAAAAGATAACATAACAGCAGGAGATAAATATTTATTTCACGTAGAATGTTGTGTGGAAATGAACGAATTTCTCCTAGAATTTTTTTCAAAATAAATAAGAACTAAAAGTTCAGATTTTCACGAAATTATATATTATGACATGACAATTGTTTCGACAACACCGTGTCATTATCAAATGTAATATTTACAAACTACCTGCTAGTATATATAGGGAAAAATGACCATAAAACCATAATTAATGTTGTTGCCAGAATTTAAGTTCAATAAAGGAGAGGTATTTAAGTCTAATTGATCGTTAAGCAATACATTTGAATGTCTCATTTTGTTAATCTCCATGGCTTCCAATAAATTTAATTTTCTACTTTTTGTGGCTGTATGTAAAATATCAAAATTGTCGTCAAACATGTGTTTTTCTGTGTTATAATTAGAATCTAGACTAGTGATTTTAAACGCTCTTATATGTTCGTTAATGCGTTTCTTGAAGGATCTACGTGTTTGTCTAATATAAATTTTAGGACAAGATCCACATTTCAACCTGTAGACTCCTGATTTTTGGGATTTTGGACATTTCGATTTATTGTTTTTTAAATATTTTCCTATTGTGTTGTTAGTTCTGAAAGCTATTTTTAAACCACATTTTGACAAATGTTTTGAAACTTTTTCGCTAGGTAAACAGAGTTTACTGTTGTCTGTATTTGTTTTTTATTTATAATTTTATCTATAATGGACGGATTGTAGCCGTTGATCAGTGCTATTTGTTTAATGATATTAAGTTCTTTGTTGTAATTTTCTGTTGAGAGTGGCGAATTAAGAAGTCTGTGTATAAAAGAGTTAAATGCAGCCATTTTGTGTGTATAAGAGTGATTTGAGCTGTTATGTATGACTGTGTCCGTGTATGAAGGTTTATGATATATTGAAAATTCTAAATTGTTTTGCACTTTCGTAACAGTTAAGTCTAAAAAATTAATAGAGTTATCCTGTTCAATCTCGATAGTGAATTTTATACGATTATGTATTGAGTTAATGTAATTTAAAAAAGAATTCAATTGTCAGTCCGTTCCAACAAAGCAAGCTAAGACATCGTCCACATATCTATACCACCATAAAAAACTTTTACTTAAAGGATGTTCTAGTATGACATTTTCTAAATTATCCATAAAAATCTCGGCTAACAAAGGACTAAGTGGGTTTCCCATTATCAAACCTTCTTTAGAGATATAAATCTGTCCATTAAATTCAAGTGAAACAAGATTTATTAGATTGTTTAATAGTATTTTTACACCAAAATTATTTTGAATTTAATGGACAGATTTATATCTCTAAAGAAGGTTTGATTATGGGAAACCCACTTAGTCCTTTGTTACCTGAGATTTTTATGGACAATTTGGAAATTATTATACTAGAACATCCTTTAGGTAAAAGCTTTCTATGGTGGTAGATATGCATGGTTGATGTCTGCTTGCTTTGTTGGAATGGAAAGACAATCAAATTCTTTTTTAAATTACATTAACTCAATACATAATCGTATAAAATTCACTATCGAGATTGAACAGGATAACTCTATTAATTTTTTAGACTTAACTATTACGAAAGTGCAAAACAAATTAGATTTTTCAATATATCATAAACCTTCACACACGGACACAGTCATACATAACAGCTCAAATCACCCTTATACACACAAAATGGCTGCATTTAACTCTTTTATACACAGACTTCTTAATACGCCACTCTCAACAGAAAATTACAACAAAGAACTTAATATCATTAAACAAATAGCACTGAACAACGGCTACAATCCGTCCAATATAGATAAAATTATAAATAAAAAACAAATACAGACAACAGTAAACTCTATTTATCCGAAACCAAATATAGAACACGAACAATTTAAAACAATTACATACATAGGAGAACCTAGCGAAAAAGTTTCAAAACATTTGTCAAAATGTGGTTCAAAAATAGCTTTCAGAACTAACAACACAATAGGAAAATATTTAAAAGACAATAAATCGAATTGTTCACAATCCCAAAAATCAGGAGTCTACAGGTTGAAATGTGGATCTTTTCCTAAAATAAATATTGGACAAACAGGTAGATCCTTCAAGAAACGCATTAACGAACATATAAGAGCGTTTAAAAACAATAGTCTAGATTCCAATTATTCTACACACTTAAACACAGAAAAACACATATTTGACGACAATTTTGATATATTACACAGAGCCACAAAAAGTAGAAAATTTATTGGAAGCCATGGAGATTAACAATATTAGACATTCAAATGTATTGCTTAACGATCAATTAGATTTAAATACCTCTCCTTTATTGAACTTAAATTCTCGTAACCACATTAATTAAGGTTTTATGGTCATTTTTCGGTATATATAGTAGCAGGTAGTTTGTAAATATTACATTTGTTGTTTGGTGTTGTCGAAACAATTGTCATGTCATAATATATAATTTCGTGAAAATCTGAACTTTTTGTTCTTATTTATTTTGATAAATGGATTTTCATCAAGTAAAAGCCACCTCAGTTCAGTTTCAGAATTTTTTTATTTTTACATTGCGCCTTGTATATATCGTTTTTGCGGAAACAACAGAGATACAAGTACTCACCGTTATTTGTCGTAGTTGAAAATTAATAGTTAGCACGGTGGCTTCTTTTTAATGTGGATTGTTAATAATTCAATTCAATTCGTGCTTTCAATTTGTCATATATTATTTAAAACCACTTGTACGGTGTAATTCAAATATGAATGAAATATACGTTCAAATAACCAACTAGTTATATAAGATAGAGGTCACCGGTCAATATTTAAGTAATTATATCCAATACGAATTATGCAAAACATTTCTACGCTTGTAGTAAACTTTACTACTAATTGTAGCTACTGGTTTTCAAGATTGTAATAATTCCGTACGATGAAATGAGGACTGCAGTGAAGAAGTTCTATTATCTTAGTTTTGAATACCATTTGGAGTATTATTTACACCTTGCGTACTGCCTTTCGTCTCTGTCACATGAATAAGTCTAGGACTTCCCACGATTTTTAATTTGAACGCTGATTAATATACCGGGTAGTGTACATACAGATAAAAATAAAGAAAATTTTTTGTAGTCAGGTGGGTGGTATGACCAACATTTTTTGTCTTTCAAAATTTTGGTTTGAAACTTTTTTTGAAGGATACAAATTATGAATTTAACAATTAACTTTGACATCCAATATGGATTATAGGAACTGACATAGGGAAAGTCTTATTTTAGTCTTGTGGACAAAAAATATTTAAAAGTTGTTGATAATGATATGCAGTTTGTTAAGATTTAAAAATGTTCGATAGATAAATTGTTATAAATAATAAACTTCAGGCAAAGAGAGTAAACTATTATAAGCTTTAATTAGACACATAATACAAATAACAATAATAATAGTAAACAAATATAATAATATCTTAAGAATGGGCAAGATTCGTGAAAAGATGTACTGGGTGTTACTACTTAAAATAAATAAGAACTAAAAGTTCAGATTTTCACGAAATTATATATTATGACATGACAATTGTTTCGACAACATCGTGTCTTTATCAACATTTGATAAAGACACGGTGTTGTCGAAACAATTGTCATGTCATAATATATAATTTCGTGAAAATCTGAACTTTTAGTTCTTATTTATTTTAAGTAGTAACACCCAGTACATCTTTTCACGAATCTTGCCCATTCTTATTTATTTTGATAAATGGATTTTCATCAAGTAAAAGCCACCTCAGGTCAATTGTTACTACTTACTGAATTCAATGGCATTTTCAAAAAAAAACTATGAAATTTTTTTAAACCAAGTTTTATAATTCTATACTTTATCGAAAACAAGCTGAGCTTTTAGGAACTCCACAAATCGGATCATAATTTATATGAAAGAAAAAAAATGCACTCAGTATTTCTCTTGTTGGTCAGACTTATCCCCTCCAAAAACTTTGATGGTCAGTTCGTTAGGAGGTACCCATCCCCCGAAGTATCGCTCCAATTCTTCCGCCACTGCTAGACACAACCTGTCTTGTCCAGGGGCTGCCATGACCTAATAAAATACCTTCGTTAATATGCACATAAGGATCTTCTTCCGTTTTAGATTCACCTGAAATCCAATCGGCATGTCATGGTGGTCAAGTCCACACGGTACACTCGTGGAAGGTAGCCCCAAGGCGTTGGCTATTATAAGGTATCCGAAGGCCGGTTTGAAATAGAATTGATGATGTCTCTGGGCAGATGCCACGAACGAAGGTAGTATGAGCACACCATTTTCACCAAGTTTTTCCTAAATTATGAAGTATTTTGTTACCGCGGAGTTTCGACAATTTTTCAAATCAAATTTAAGATAAACTTTATCATTTTGATCCCAGATCCACACTTGAGGGGGCTAAATGTTCTAAACACCACATTCTTAAAAAACAAAATAAAACGTTTTATCTAATAGGTAATTTCACTTCGTAGGTAAACACGCACAAGTCGTACCCCAGTTAAAATTATTGAGTTTGATGGTTTGCGTTCTATTAGTATTCTGAATCTAAGAGCCTGGAGAAAATAATGTTCAAGCAAATGAGAGCATTTCTCAATATTTACCCGAGACAATCCGGTTTTAGATCTGATTATAGTTGTGAAAGCTCTCCTGCAGATGTAATAGATTATGTTTTTAAGGCTGATGATGATAACACAATTATTGCCTTGGTTTTACTTGATTTTAGCAGAGCTTTTGACATTATAAATTATCAAATCCTGATTTCAATTCTTCGTTACATCTGTTTTAAATGACAGAACACAAAATGTAATACTTAACGAGTCAACCTTTAGGCTTTTGGCTGTTTACAAGGGAGTACCCCAGGGTAATATTTTAGGTTCACTTCTGTTTGCGAGTTTTATATCCAGGTTTGCAACATCATTACAGTCTTGTGATTATCATCTTGATGCCGATGACATTGAACTGAACTTTTATTTTCTGAGAAACAAGCAACATTATTAAATTTGATTTAAATAATAATAAGTCTTCAGGGATAATATTTATAATTGATAATGTAAAATTTCGTATCAAGAACGCTGTTTTGCCTTTTTGCAGTTGTTGTAATTGTTTAGGACTTTCATCCGATTCTCGGAAAATCTTTAGAGCGCACATTACAATCAAGTTAAATGTTGCATTCAGTAACCTACAATTAATTGTGTATTGATGCCTTGTCTAGATAATATAGATAACTATCGTAGGAAACAAGTTTAAAACTGCTGTCTTAGGCTGGTATATGGAGTTAGACATATCAGAAGTATCAGCACCACAAAATTATTTGAATTTAATTAATTAATTTGAAGATATCACATTGTAAATATGATTAATCAATATGTTTTCTTAATAGACTTTTGTCTGACGCCTGTGGGTGAGGTGAATGAGAACGTGCAAGATTTAATTTTCGTTTCTACCTAATTAACCCTTTATTTAGACATTTCCTTATCTTTAATTCCTTCCACTATCACTGATTAAAAAATAAGGCTTTCAGTAAGTTTAGAAAAACTAAGAGTGGCGCAGACTGGAACTCGCACAAAAAACACCTAACAAATATATCTAACACTGCTTGACCACTAATTTAAATAGTTCAAAGACTTTTTGAAAAAAACTTAATGACCTAAATATGTACACAAAAGGAATTATAGTGAAATACAACTTTTGAGAGACCCAAACGAATGTTAGAAACTTTTTGTTATCTTTTTGCAATCAAATTTGATCCTTTTGAGCTGTACGAGAATTTTTCCCGTATGTTGTCAATTCCTTTGTATTAGATGAATTGTTTCTGGACAAGCGGAAGATGTCGAAAGTAATTCCACTCCATCTTCTTCTTGACATGCCCTACACGTAGTGCGTTTTCGGATATTTCAAAGACAACGTTCTCCTGATAGCAGCCTGACAAAGCTCATCAGTCTTATTTATTCCTGCCCAATTACGACCGACACCTTTCCTACCCTCGATCTTTCCTTGTAGAATTAACTGCGATATTTTGTACTTTGCCTCTCTGAGTATGTAGCCGATGTAGCTAATGTTACGTTTTTTAATTACTTCACTTTTTAATCACTCCAACCATGAGATTCGGAGCATTCTCCTTAGTGACCACATTTCGAATGCCTCGAGCCTATTTTTAAGGGCTGGACCCTCAAAACCATACCATAAAGTAATATCACCACTGCACTGCACACTGTACCATTCTATAACGGATCTTAAACGAAAGACTGATTACAGAAGAATCGTTTGAACTTAATAAATGCTTTTCTTGCCTGTTGGATTCGGCATGCATCGATTCATTATTAATATTAATTGGTTTCTTTGCTGGATGTCTACTACTGATCATCTGTTTTTCAAGCCTCTACTTTTTCGGTGTTATCAGCAATTACGACAGTGTGATCGGCAGAACGCAGGTTATTGCTTGGAATGTCATTTACTTTAGTTGCACAGTCAATTTCATACAAACATCCGCGAATATGCTTTCTACATACAAGTTAAACAATATGGGTGACAGGATGCATCCTTGGCAAACGCCTTGGTGTATTTCACACTCCTCTGTAATAGCCTCCCCTCCAGTCTGATTCGAAATGTTTGACTCCAATACAGATTTTCGATTATCCAAATATCTTACATACATACATCATGTGTGACAAATAATAGGTGCACACCCTTACGTCGATCCAGGCAATTCTGTACTAAGTTGTTCATAAAGAATACAGCTTCTCTTGTACCGAGGCCACCTTTAAACTCGAACTTCACAACTTTTTGAATATTCTGGTGTGGAGGACTCGAAGTTGCAGTTTCAGAAGACGACTCATTAAACTAATTAAGCGGTGGTCTTGACATTTCACGGAGTTGGAAGTCTTCGGGATCTTTATAAATGTTGACTGTCATTCTGAAGGGATGTGACCTGTATCGTAAATATGATTTAATAATTCCATCAAGATGTTCATATTTTTATCATCCAATAACTTTAAGGCCTCAATCTTAATGTCCTGTGGACCCTGCCCTTTATGAACTTTTGCAGTGTTGAGTGGACAGATAGGCCCTCGGTTGGGAGCTTACAAGCTTGGGGTGGTCTATCTTCTTTGAAAATATTGAAGCCGTAATTCTTCCATATTCTCGACAGCCCTTCTTCTTATGTTATGTACTCGTTTTGCTCATTTCATTTTCTAGATTTATTCTACTTCCGATATATGTGTGATATTTCTTTGACTTTCTTATGTAAGCCAAACTGCTCCCCTTTGTTCTGTAAAGCTTTAACATCATCTCAGCGTTCTTCTGTTCATTTGCTCTTCTAATCTTAACCCGGATCTCTAGTTGAATTTTGGTATACATAGGTTAATCTAATCGGATCTTATATTGCCTCCGGACTTCGATCAAATCCAAAATCTCGCTAGTTATCCACTCCTGCTTTTTATGCTTTCTGCTCTTTGGTACAATATATATCTTTACGTCTACAATTGTTGATTTAATTCCATGTACAATTTATTCAATAATATAAGGTGTTTCTCAATCCATCATTTATAATGTTAGCGTATATGTTCCTACTAACGACCTTTTATTAGACTTATGTTGAATCTTCGCAAATTTAAAGTTTACGTTAGCTATGAGTGGACTATGATCAGGCCAGACATCGGCACCCGAATAAGCAGGAAACCGTTTGTTTATGAGAACAAAGTCAATCTAATTTCTAATTATTCAACTTCGGTTATCTCCACGTATGTAAGCGTGGCGGAGGGGGCACAAGTTTCCTTTTTTATGACAAAACTCGATTCCATTCCCAATAAAGTCCGAAATCTTAGATTTTAGTGACCTCAGGTCATTGCAATGCATCTGCAGAAATATACTTCTTCATACCAGTCTGGTCCAATACGACCCTATTACTAAATATCACGGATGACATAACATCGCATGATAAAGGTCAAGCGATGTCCCTAATGCAAATTTGATTAATCTAAAGCCTTCGATAGATTAAACCAAGAGTTGTTACTTGCAATTTTACATTTTGTTGGTTTTTCCAGATTACGCAGTAACAGGCTTCAATACGTTGAGTTTAAGAATGTTGTGTGACATAACATCTTGTTTGCGATTTTACAATGTACACCTTTATGCGGATGATACACAACTTTAAGTTTTATTTTTTCCGTCAACTCACAATAAGGCTCAAATATTATTAAACGAAGATTTAGAAAGTTTAAAACAGTTTTGAAATAATCATAATTTAGAAATTAATGCGAAAGAATCTTCCGTAATGATATTTGGTAAACAGAGTGATGCGTTTCACACTGGTAGAAAAGTAAAGAGTAGAGTAGAGTAGAAGAGTAGAAGTAGAAAAAAAACTAGATTTGTTATGTTGTATGCAAACATACATTTTTTGGGAAAGTCATTAAAAACAAGAATGCTTTCGAAATCTCGTCTCGTAGCGTGAAGCAGCTTCGTAATTGGGGGTTTCTTGTCATTTTATTACACTTTGTATAAAGTGTCTTTCACGTACTCTCCGAATTTCAATGTCACGGCAAACATTGGTATATATTAAAATTTGTATTGGTAATTGCGATTTAAAATGATATTTATTTATATATTTTTTTCGCCGATAATTTAACTACAAAAACGGAAATTTGTAGGATCTTTCAGATTTTTTGCCTATAAACGGCACACGCTTGTCTCTCTCGTTTTCTGGTATATGAATTTTCCCAATTGAGTAAATGGTTTTCGAGAAAAAGCTTTTTTAAAACCTTGCAGTCGTAATAATACATGACGTCATCGCGTCTACATTGTGGGCGAGAAATAGTGATTTCGTTTTCGATTTTTTCAAATATCTCGAACAGCCTACGTATATGCAAAAATACAAAAATACCCAAATGGTGAGGTCTACAATATCATCTAAACCAATTAGCCATATTTTTTAGGAATTTTATTTTAGGGCTAATAATTTACTCTGTAAATGAACAATTTAAAAAAAAAAACGTATATAAACTCAAAAACGCTTAAAATAAGGTTGACTGATTTGTTGGTTTTAGGTCACATTAATTTTTGTGATACCGTATGCGGCCTAGGTTTTGGTTTTTAATCAAAAAGGTCCAATGTCAAAGGTCCAGGATCCAGTTTCATATAATTAAAAAAAATCTAAATGGTTAATAACGGAAAGTAGTAGTAAATTACATTCAGTGACTCTGTTTCACAATATAACCCAACTTCGTGGCTATGTATAATAATAATAATATTAAAACGTCTTACATGAATTACTTTTTTTTCCAAAATTAAATTTCAAAAATAATCAAAGAGTTGCAATGTGGCGAATGCGAGCTTAAAAGCTATTCTACTTAACGACTAGAAGCGATGGAAAATGTATTAGACGGAATTGAAAAACTATACACAAACACACAAATTATTACTCTGCATTAGGTTTACTACTATCAATTTTTTATCCAGAAAGTTGATATTCCTTAAATTCTGTTTTATGCTTTTTGAAAGAAAGTTTCTTTTATGAATTTTCTGGCGATGAAATTCCATGAGAGACTTGCCTTCTCCTAAACAAGGAAGTATGATATTTAGGAATGAAAACACACTATCATTTCTTAAATTACTACGTGAGCCACTCTGATGACGTAATTGAAAAGTGACTTTGAGGGGGGAAGGTTGACTACCTGCAATAATTCTAGACTAAGCTTTCGTATAGATCACGTTTTAGAATTGTATTGAGAAAATCTTTTCTTGAATATAAAAGTTTTAAGTTAATAATTGCTCTTGGAATTAGTTTTGTACCATGTTCACGAAATCTAGGCTCCGTGTCTAAGATGATTTCAAGATTTCAAGCCGATCAACAACATTTAAAGAAATAATATTAATAAAATAAAACTTACTTGCCTTTATTTAAGATTATGTTCCAATGATAATTTACATAAACTTTTGAATTCATTGTTGCACTGCCGGCAGGTACAAAGTTTAAAGTAATAGACGTATTAATTAAAAAAAATAAAGGTCCAAAAACGCAACCCTGTGGAACTCCAGATAACATTAAACTTTTTAAATGTTTCTGAAGAGAACGATTGTGCGTAGCAGGCGACACTGCGTAAAGCGGGATTTGTTGTTTGCTTTCTTTGTTTGTTATGATTTTTATTAGTCTTTTTTGTTTTTCCTTGTGTACTACTCCAACTGTAGACAACTTTTTTATTTATTGCTTGTTGTTGTTATTGCCATCGCTTTCCAGTATCTAGGGGTTGAACTTCACTTTTTGTAATTGTTTTCAAGTCCTTTTTTGTCACCATAAGCCTATTAGTTTTGTATTACTTTCTATAATATTTTGTTGCGAATAAATATTATAATAAAGTTAACTGTCAGAAGAAAATTTCATTTCCTCGGCTCCGTCCAAGGTATAGAATTCTTCTGGCGAAGCAATTACAAATAAGTGATCAACGGAATTAGGCAACGAGAAACCACTACCTTAAAGATATCTCTTGTACAATGGCTGAAAACGAAACACAAATGGCTCTCAGTCCCGGCAGGCCTTAGATGACCAAAGGGTGCGAAGAATCGCAGGTCAGCAACGAGAATCGAAACATAGAACCTTGTATGAAGCTGGATTGAAACTGAATATACTCACGTACAAGCGTGGCAAGATGGAAAGACTGGGGACATTTTCGAACTGAAAATATGGTAATATTCCAGTCGGGAAATAACGACCACGACCACAGACATGGAGTGACAATAGTAATTGACGATAATACTAACAGGGCTGTAACAAACTTTGTTCCTCTGTCATATCGAGTGCTTATATGCTTAGAAGATATGGAAAGCTCAATATTGTATAGCTATATGCCCCAACAGCAGATAAACTTGATGATGTAGTAGAAGACTTTTTGATGAGGTAGACAATGTCCTACGCGTATGTAAAGAGCGTAGAGTTATTGGAGATTTAAACTCGAAAGTAGGAAAAGGAAATGAGGAAGATTGTCTAGGAGAGTTTGGACTCGGAGAAAGAAATGAGAGGGGCGAAAGGCTCCGCCATTTAGCTAAGAAAAAAATATGATAATCAGGAAGACCTTTTTCAAACTCCTTAAAAGGCGTCTCCTTACATGAACTTTACCAGCAAATTTAGTGAATAACATAATTAGAAACCAAATTAACTACCTTCTGAAAAACAGGTATCGCAACGCAATAAAGTCAGTTAAAGCATACCCAGGTGCAGATATAGCTTCCTACCATAATCCACTCATAGCTTTCAATGTCAGGTAAAAGAAAATAAAGAAAATGAAGAGGGAAAAGAAGATAGATGTCTCATAATTAAAAGACCTTGAGAGAATTACTAACCACAAAGGGGAAAATATGGACAAACATATAGAAAATGGAGACATAACAATAGTAGAAACAAGCAACCCAACACTTACCAAAAACCGAGACAAGACAGCCCAGGCAAAAACAATGGATGACCAAAGAAATATTAGACTTAATGGAGGAATGGCGGAAATTCAAGGGAAAATAATTAACCAAATATAAAAAATAACTATAAACTAATTAGAAACAAGGTCAGATTGGCTAAGGAAGTATGGTATGGAGAAAGGTGCACTGAGCTCCAGCAACTTCATGGATATACCCAAAACATATATATACTTAAGAGATTAATTTATAACTCCAACACATTTGACGGTCCAACAGAGGAATCAGGCGCTTGGATGTGTTACATAAATATTTTTAAAGAATTCAATGAAATAAAAATTTCCAAATATAATACTGAAAAAGTCTTAACACTTTTTTCAAGAATTAAAGATCCATCTCTCTACTATACAACTTAAATGTCATATATCAATTGTCGTGTTTGGGTTGTCAAGGCTGTTATATTGGACAGACTTCACAGTGGTTGAAACAATGTTTGACACAACACAAAAGTGAAAAGTGCAGTGGTTGAACATTACGTAAAAACAGGACATGAATTTAACTACAGCAATCCTAAAATATTGCAATGTGTCAACAATTATAAAGGCCGACTGTTTCTTGAAATGTACCATATTAACAAAAATAAAAATTCAATTAAATACAGCAAATAAGCAATATATACTGTAATATTTTTCAGTCGAATAACAAATGATAGAATATGCGGCCACCGAGTAATGTATTCGCTTTGCTTCGTGGATCCACGGAGTAGGTTATTTTTATGCTTTTTGGCATTATTTATATCGATTGTTTTTTTATTGTTTTTTCGCTACCCCCGTTAGCGCCAATTTTGCTTACCATTATTAAAAATTGTATACTAAGTGTTTATCGGTTGGTTTCGTTATGTCACTTAGTTCATTTACCGTAACTGTAGACTATTGTTTTGAGCAACTATGTGGTAAACTCTTATTTTGTAAGTAATTGTGTTTTAATTGTCTGTTATATAGTTTGACCTGTTGTTTTCATTAAATTTCAGCCCAGTCCTAAAGAAGTCAACAAATAAATCGACGAAATATTGAGTGTTAAAGAAAAAGGAGCTTTTTATTTTCTTTGTTCTTTATCAACATTTGTAGCTATTCCGAAAAAGTCGAATTGAAGAGAATGCAGTGCACACCATAAGTCTCATAATAAAGACATAAAAATAATACACAAGCGCGAATACAACAAGCTTGAAGGAGACTTTAGAGAAAGCCAGTTTGGGTTCTGGAATGCAACGGAAAGAAGGGAAGCATTATTCGCTCCGAATGTTTTAATACAAAGGTGTTTGGATGTACAAAATTGTCAATAGTAGTGAAGAAACTCCTCTTGCACTTAATACCAATAATCACAAAATTCATGGTCATCAGTAAACCAAATGTCCGGAAAAGATTCATAATGAGTAAGTAATGAGTAAGTCGAGAGAGTAAGTGGGTTCAAATACCTGGGTACCATTTTAAACTCTACTTAAGCACACTCCCGAGAAATAATATCCAGAGTAGGACAAGCTAGAGCATTTACAAACATGTGAACAGTATTGTGGGCTAGAGATCTGATTGGCCAGATGCTATATTTTTTCAGTCCTTCAATATATTTCAATTCTCATGAAGATTAAGATATCGTGCAAATTGATATTACCCGGTATTACCTACTAGGTACATTTTGTTAGGCAAACATTTTGTTTTCAAAAAATGTGTCATTTTACTTACTTAAGAAGAAAGTCCTTTATGACCCGATTTCCCTATATATAGTTTGTCAGTATTTAGATCAGCTGTTTTTTAAATAACTCGAGTTTATTATTTGAAAGTAGAATTTAGTATTAATATTAATAATAATAAGTTTTATTATCTAACAGATCCAAAGGCAAGACAATTAATTCGCTAGGACAACGAACAAAGACGACTTAAACAGACTCCAGACTATTGAGATGTGGGTATACAGACGCATGCTTAGAGAAATGCAGAGATATTAAGACGAATGGATAAAACAACAGAGATCGTGGAGACTGCAGAGACAAGGAAACTTGCTTATCTGAGTCACTTTATACGCGGAAGAAGGTACCACATGTTACAACTAATAATACAGGGAAAAATACAGAGCAGAAGCATGGGAAGAAGGCGCAGTTGCCAAAAACTTCAAAAGGATCTGCTTACCGTGATAGCAGTCTGCCACATTTCGTTTTTAACCACGTAATCCGAGATTACGTATTTGTACATCAAGCGCAGACAATTGAAAAACAGTATGTTAAGGCTAAACTTTGAAAGTCCGCAGATCGACTTGATTAATTCCACTGCAAGATTTGCTTTCACCTGAAACCATCGAGCCCCATAAATTTACAGTCAACCCGCTACGATTACTCCCCTACTAATTTCAGCGAATTAGGCACGTCACGCATATTTATTACTGTGGAGACGCAGACCGTGATGGCGTCTTTGAAGTGCCAGAATTTGTATTCGTCGAGCGTGGCACCGCATGTGGTGGTCAGATGCGTTGCCGCCTCCTTGATGGCGTTTTTAATACTGCTCTCTACTGGAAACTGAGTTAGTCCACTTCCAAAGTCCACCATGTAAAACACTTTCAAGTCTCTTAAGTTTACCTGGTAATATGCAACACTGTATTTTTAGCCCCGCTTTTTTCATACTCACCCTTACCGGTTCATCCAGTTTCAACTCCGAACTCATCTTATTGCCCACCAAGATTTTAAAAATAAATTTGAGGTCGCAAGAATAACGCGCCATCGGACCTGTGACTAGGTAAAGACAGTACCTCTCGTCCTTGCAGCCGGGATAGTGATCTTTAATACTCGTAACCTCTAAAACGGGCGATTAAGTCGATTATTGGCAACAAGCGTTGATATACGCTTACGGGGCGTTGGTTTATGTCCGAAAACTCCATTAAACATGGCCGGAAGTCTGATGGACCCTGCAATATCCGATCCAAGACCGACGACAGAGGCTCCCGATCCTAGCAAAGCGCCCTGGGATACAGCTCAACATTAATAACGCTGCCTTAACAGTTTCGTGGACCAATACTAATTTGCAGCCACAGCATTGTAGTAATTAACTTGTATTTATAACGTAACTTGATCTACGGTGCCTGTGGGTAATAAGGCCCTCGCAGGTAATAAGGGCCATGCACCCATTTAACAATAAAAAAGAAATTTTAAGTATTATAACTCCATCTGTGCATTGGTCTGTTACTTAAATTAAATACGCAAACCAGCGCACACGATTTAGTTCGGTAGATTTAGATTTAGCTATTAGTATCATTCATTGTTTTGCCATGTGCATGCATAATACATTATAAAAATTTATGGTTGAAGGCCGTTTGTTAGAAAAACAGGATCAAGTTTTGGTTTACACATTAATACAATTACTAAGCCAGTATTCAATAGTAAATTTATTTTTTTTTTATTAAAATATCCTACACATGATTTTAATGTGGGTAATAAGCTCCAGACAGATATCAGTCGGGCCTTGTTACCCACCACTTCAATTTAATGAGCCTTATTAACTTATACAGCACTGTTGCTTCTGCGGCAAGGAAAATTACAGCATTATGTGGAAACAAGATGTGGTATACCACTTCGCAACTTTTAAAAACCATTTGGAAATTGTTAAAAGAATTGTGGGGACAATCAGTAAATTTAAATTTTCTGGCATAGGATTTCCGTTGACACCAAAGGCATTACGACGAAGTGTATGCAAGTATATTGAAAACCAAGGCATTTCTAGCCGTGACATCAACCGGCAAAGGTATACAACATGGATGAAAATAGATGCAGATAGTCATTGCCAAAAAATGGAACAAGCGAGTCCACCTGGTTGCTCCAAAACACTCTGAAAATTGTGCGATTGTTATATGCGCAAACGCATTAGGACATGCTATCCCACCCATGATATTGTTTAAAAGGCAGAGGGTGAAACCAACTTTTAGTGACGCATTACCACCGGGATCTCAAGTGAAGATGACTCCAAAAGGAAGCTTATTTATTGAATGGTTCAGTCATTTTTCCAAATTTATTCAGCAGCCAGTTCTGCTAATATTTGACGGTGCTCCGTCACATCTCGACATTTCAATTGTTTATGCTGCGGACCAACTAGGAATTCACTTATTATGCCTTCCTTCAAATATCACACGTGATCACTCGACAAACCCGTGTTCCGTTCTTTCGAACATTTTTGGGACCAGGAGTTTTTGCGTTGTTGGGACAAATTCCCTTATAGGAAACAGCAAAGACAGATTTTCTGAAGTTTTTACGCCAGTTTGGGGAAGATGTATGACCATCGATAATATTTCACATGGAGTCAGAGCCACATATTAGTGTTCCAAACTCAGAAAATAATGTGTCTATTGCTGTTTTAAGGAGTCGCCCTACTTGCTCCAAAGAAAACAGTTTCTCGGAAATTCTTGTAACTCCTGATATGAACCCGGTGGCTGGGAAACAAATAAACAGAAAGAAATCATTAAATTAGAGCCCAAGAGGTCACGATAGATATTTTTTGTTCGATTTCAAATGAGCAACGTCTAAAGATATCATTCAAATCAGATAATCTTCCTTGCCCGAATTCATCCTCCAAGCAATGAAGGTTGAAATGAAAATCAAGCCCCTACGTCCAGAAGATCCTTGTGCGGACCGTAATTTGAAAAGTTCAGAAGATTCCAATGTGAACTATGATTTACCTCTTGCCACCCAAAGCTGTAGTTCAACAGGAAATTTAAAGTCCAAAACCTACAGGCAAGTATTGTTATCAGTGAATTTACCTAGTAGGAGCTCGGCAAATACCGTTCATGATGAGGACTGGTCTTGAGTTATCTGCGGCGAAAGCAAAATAGCAGTTACATGTTTGGAGTGTAATGATTATGTTATTTGCCTATTTTCCATTACATAAATAAAGGGGATCTTATTACCCCCTATGGTTGGAAATAAGGCCCAATGATGGGTTTAACTCTTTCATATTTTGTTACATTTCATTTTTTTTTATGTGTTCTTTCAAGAGAACGGTTTTAAATAAAAATAACAGTTTCATGCTTTAATTTAAATAAATATTTTATGCAACGTTATTGTTTATGGTGGGCCTTAATACCCCAGGGAACTTAGTTAATACAGGTCTTTGGGAGCATCAATTCATTCCTTCGTTGGATCGTAAATTGTAAATCCAATTATGTCAGTTCTCATAAAGATTAAGATATCGTGCAAATTGGTATTATCCGGTATTACCTATTAGGTACATTTGGTTAGGCAAAAATTTTATTTACAAAAAATGTGTGAATTTGTCTCTATCTTTTAAACTTACCCTTAAAAACAAATGAGGGCCGCAAATGAATAAAAAAGTAGCTTTACTTTTTTAATTGGACACCCTTTGTACTTATACTTAAGAAGAAAGTCCTTTATGACCCGATTTCCATATATATAGTTTGTCTAGTTTATTATTTAAAAGTAGAATTTAATATTAATATTAATATTAATAAGTTTTCTTATCTAACAGATATAATATCCAAAGGCAAGACAATTAATTCGCTAGGTATAGTGATAGTAAGTTTGTGGAGAAAATTATCATGGTCAACCCTATCGAGAAGTTTCGAGAAGTCAGTGTATCAAGTATCCGCTTGAAGTAGGTTATCTAATGCTTGAGAGATAAATTGAGCGACTTCGTTTGTTAGGGAAACCATTTTATTAAGTATTTAACCTTAATGAAAATACCCTCGTACATTGCCCTGTCAAAAGCCCTTGCAAAAGATGCCTATTTAGGAAAAAAATGTGTCTTAAGTGCAAGTTTAAAATAAGATAAGGGTTTTAACAATGGAACTGTACAATATTTAATCAAAAAGTAAGGTATTCTATCAGGCCCAGAGGACATTTTATTCTTTAATCTTTTCAATTATTAGAGTACTGACTCATCGGAAAGACTGAACAAGGCAGAAGTCACTAAAATAATTGGCAAAAGCGTTAGCTATTTCAGCAGGACCGGAATACTGATACCATCTTCGCGGGTGTCAGGCATCGATATAGAGGATCTTTTTTAAATTAATATAGGACCAAAACTCACTTGGGTTGTTTTAACTTTAAGTAGATAATTCCTATAGGCAATGTTAATTTGTATCTTAATATTCCAACGTAAATCATTATTTTTACTGATAAAGCTGATAAAGCTATCAATATTTCCTGCAGAACACAAGCCCCAAAAGTACAATGGTGTGGGTCTCTTCTTGCATGCTGGCTGATAAATTTATTGGAACAGTAACTTTTAAAGGGACGTTAACAGGGAATAGTTTATTTGTACTTGTCTCAAAATAAAGTAGAAACCCCGTTAGAAAACGTAATAATATGAATTATTTATTTGATATTCATGCTCCATTAAAAACAGTTAGAATTAAGAGACTTCCTGCCCCTTCGCTTACCTTACCTTACCTTAAGCTTTTAATAAAACATAAAAATAAGTCACGTTTGAGATACAAACATCTTAAGTCAGATATTGCTTTAAACGAGAGAATTAAGAATTAACCAAAACTAACCAACCTAATAGTTTTAATAGTGCTTTTACTTCTTTTGGAGCTGTTGGTGGTATTTATCCGGGGTTTGTGTCTGCAAATTATATTAATAAACAATTTCGTCCTAATTCATTCCGTTTTGCTAAAGTTTGCCCTGAGGACGTTAATAAAACTTTGATTATTTTTAAAACTAAGGCTCAGACAATACTGGTATAAAAACGATTCTTTTGAATACTCCGTATTTAGTCCATCCACTTTCCTTGTTAACAAGTGTCTGCTGACCGGGGTTTTTCCAGAGTCTTGGAAGTAGCCAAAGTTATATCCATTCCAAGTAAAGAGTGTGCAAGTGGCATTTACGATTTGAGGCCAATCAGTTTTGTGCCAACCATCTCAAAGATTATCGACAAAATTGGAGCTATACAACTTCGTCAGTTCCTATGCGAAAACAAAATCCTCCCAGACACTTAATCTGGTTGTTTGGACCTCTTCACAGCACTACTTCTGCCTTGCTTCACGTTACTGATGATTTATTGAGCGCAGTGGATTTTAAATTAAACTTTTGTCTCATACCTTCTTGGACTATAACAACGCGTTGGACACCTTGCATCATTTCCTTATTATAGCTAAACTGATATTCTTCGGGATAAAAGGTTTTTAAAAAGGGTAGTTATAGGAAATACTCATTCATATGTCATATGCTTTGGAGAGGGGTGTTCCCCAGAGGAGTATTCTGGGGCCTATTCTGTTCTCAGTTTATACAGCTGACTTCTCTACTTTTCTTAAATTTTGTAAATATCATTAATAGGTCGATGATTCCCAGATATATTTATTTTTTGTTGCTAGTGAAGCTTTAGATGCGGCTCATAACCTCTTATTGAATACTGCACTTTCCAAGAAACGACAAAGTATCCCAAACGCTCGCTTAGTTACCATGGAAACCATAATGAAGAAACATTTTGACACAAATGTTGGCATTGAGAGTTATTTGAAAAATGTCTGGAATTTTGTGTTTTCGGATCGTTCTCGAACTCCAAATTAACAAGAAAAAAAAAGATATAGTTTAACGAATATGTAACTGTAGGTGGATGACAAAATATAAATGGAAATCTTCTATAGGGTGAGTCAACGATAGAGTAAAGCTCATTATCTCATTGCTTTCTAAAGTTTCTAAAGAGAAAATACAAGAAAATACAAAATACAAAAGTTAGATGCGCAAAAAAGTGTGACGAAGAAAAATGTAATTTTTTAAATAGAAAACCCCATTTTCAAATTTGGGTTTGAATTCTTTTTGAAATCCTTCACTAGAAACTCTAAGCGCTATAATTCGGAAGAAACCAAAACCCGATGGTTCGCAATCCGATCGCGGAATAACATGAGTTTCGTATAAGAAATTGTTATAAAACATGTATTTAATGATAGATATTGGTAGAAATAATTCGCTAACACTAAAAAGATTAGAAACAAACTCAAAAGTATAGAAAACACAGATAAGGAATCTATATGAAAACCTTACCCAAAACCTGAACAATCTACCCAAACCTAATAGTTCTTCCAGTATTTTAATTTTTCTCTTGGGCATGCCTTTTGATGGCAAATCACTAATATTTGATATTGGCGTCACTTGAAGATAACGTAAAAGATATACGCAATGGAATTTGAATTAGATACTACAGGGAGTTCAAAATAAACGAATATATTTGGATAATTTTGAATTGAAAATATCTATTTTCTTAAATGGCACATTGACATTATTATTTTTTTTGAAAGATCTTACAATGGCCTACGAATTTTATTACGTTTGTCAAATACCTATTTTTAATACTTCATATTTAGTAGTATTGCAACATTAGTTGCCCATTTTACCTGACAACTGAGTAAATAAATTCAGAAAATTTATTGCGGTTTTACTAAATTAAAAAACTAAGTATGGATTTTCCTAAAACTCTATGAGACGATATGATTTATATACTCAGTGAGGCGGAAAAAAATACTTTGTTGGCAAGGCGCAGTACCCTAATAGACGTGTACAAATTAGACAATCTCTTCAGTGTTTAATGGAACGGTTTGATGTCAGTGGTAGTAATGAATATAGTCAAATCCAAATTTTTTGCCTAAAATAATGTTTTCCGAGGAAGTCACTTTTTGACGTAATGGTGCAATCAATCGTCATAACATGCATTATTATTCAACAGTTAATCCATTCTGGATCCAGGAAGTGCAAAACCAAAACCATTGGTCACTTAACCCTGAATTACTATCGCCCATTTATACTTACATAACTATTATCGTAATTTGTGATTTTTTTTATTCTTGATGAATGTATGAGTATATAGAAGATACATATTTAGAAAAAGACACTTATATTTCAAGAAAATAAAAATATTAGTACATAAGTAACACTTTCAATTTTATATAAACAAAAATAAACGTTCATTAGAACAAAAAAATATATTAAAAAATATTGGAACAAAAAGTCTATTCTCTGGAAATAGGATTCTTATAATACTATCTTCACAGAGGAAAAAGACATTCAAATCTCAAACAAAAAAAAGGACACTTATTTTTTTGAAATATAATTGCAATAGAAATTGATTTTTTATCTAGTGCATTCTTGGCTTGAAGTACAGGTGACTTGTTGTAGTGAATTGGAGTTGCAGATTCTCCTATGACATTCTGAGCAAATGATGAAAAATGATATGACTATTTGCCATAGCAATATTCATTATAGCGCACCAAATCACCAAAAGCCATCGACAACACCTTCGACCTGAACGATAAAGGGCACATTTTTGGTCAAGGGCATGAACACCTCCTTTCGTCTCATTGTAAAACATTATCTCAGGTTTAGTTTCCTGATTAACAGAGTTGTCGTGGTGCAAGGTGGACAACATGATCACGCTTTGATTATTTTTAGCGACATATGATACTATTGTGTTGTCTCGAGTAAAACCAAATAGACACTTATCAACTTCGTAGTGTTTATGGGGTTGAAATTGTGGAGGAATTTCCCTCTTGTTTTTACGCATGGTTCCCACATATGTAAGTCCAAGTTTCTTTAGTTTACTAACCAGCTCTAATGAAGTGAACCAGTTATCACCAGTGACATTCCTGTTACTATTAGCAATTGGATTCACTAAAGTGAGTACTGATCTATTAGGTATGGATAGCTTTAGTATTTGGTTCATGGTTTTGCCCATATACACGAAAGCATTTACCAAATAATATGTATTGGTTGTATTGTTGCCCGAAAAATTGGTCTGCCTAAGCAACTTTGTATTTGTATATATTTGTATACTCTAAAATACTAACTAACATATTAGGGTTATCAATAGACACCACGATTCAATTGGACTAGATGGTTTTGATTGGAAGGCAGGTATACGAAGACCGTAAAATATTGTGTTCGCGAACGCTTGATGGTGCTGTAGGATTTTTAGCAAACTTATATCGGTTGCGTCCGTAATAATAATTTTCAGACGATTCTTCATCAGATGCTGATTCAACTTGGTCGCTTATGTAATCTGCATCACCTAGATGGATTTCTGAGGCTGTATTATGTTCAGAGGTTCACTTTCATTGTCTGTACCACTGTTATTATTGTCACTATTATCTTCAACATTCTCAGGTGGATCGTTTAAAGAGTCTAGAAAGTTGTACACATTGTCCGATGTCACTGCGACACCGACAATTCGAACATTATCACTATTAGGAACCATTCTGACAAAAATAAAATTAACGCAACTACAAATTCGACCCCCAATTACTTGGGATTAGTGCGACGGAAGCTCTACTACTAAATGGTATGCTAAACTATGCACTTAGGTGGGAGAATACATAGAGCGATAACGTCATGCGAGGAACCGTCTGCCAGGTAATCACAGAAGTGTAAGTGCTGGGGCCAGATTTGACCCCGCGATAGTTGTTCAGGTTTAATGTGCGGTCTGTAATAAAACACTTTAACATATTTTTTCCGAGAACTACTTAACGGTCCTAGTTATTTAAATATTTTGGCATATCCAACAAATATGGTTTTAGCAAGATGGAGCTCCTCCGCATAACCATCGAGAATCCCCTATAATACAATAAGATGTGGAAAAGAAGAGTTGGGACGCGTTCAGGAGAAAAACACCGTTTATACTAAGAAACGTCCAAGATTAGTGATGGCCAAATACCCGGTAAATATATTTTAGCAAATACCGGTATTTGCCTATTGTAGATAATAAATACTTTAGAGTTGGAGTAGGTATTGGAATGCAATAGGTACGTCAAATAACATGAAAAAAAAGGAACATTGTATTCTCAAAGTCACCGAATTTAGAAACCAAAACGTAAAATCAACTACAAACACATAAGTAAAATTATTGGTCACATCAGTTTAAACTTAAAAACATGCAAATCATTATAGATATAAATATTTTGGTAAAAATAAAACAAAATCCAATCTAATTCTAATTAATGTCTAGCTCAGAAACGTCCTCGGTTTTCATATATGGAACTTCACTTTCATCTTCCTTAACGGTCTTGGTTCGTATCGTCAATAATGTCCACCACTTTATTTTTATTTGACCTAATTAAATGACCGATCGTGGTATCTCAAGCTCGAATAACACTTGTCAGTCAACATTAGTATTATTAGTAGGTTTTCTCTTAAAGCCTACATAACCCGTCACTTCGTATCGTTTTTATTGTTACCAATTATCCACAATTTCCATACAGGACTCTTCTTGCGTGGCATATTTACAACACAACACAACAACAACAAAAACAAAAAAAACACAAGTTGGCCGCTTGGGGATTCCTCTTGCTCTTGCAGTCACTGCGCGGTTGCCAGAGTTGCCATTGATACCTTTTTGGTTTTTTCCGACTTGCATTAGGCACCAAAATCAATAATACTTTGTCTATTTTGATTATTATGAAAGAATTACACGTTATAAAGAAAAATACCCAAGGGTACATATTTTTTGGGTAGATACCCGGTATTTACGGGGTATTTATAACTTTATCCATCTGGTAAATACCCACACTAACACTATCCAAGACTAAACAGGTGTATCCAAGTAGAACGGTATATTTTCGAACATTTGTTGCGCCATAATAACAATTAACAATAAGATAAGTTAATTTGTAATTAATATTTTTTTTTCATTTTTTGTTCATTTTTTAATCTGAACAAAGCCATATTGTTTTTGTAATATTTTTCGAAAAAAAAATGGTGTGGCATTTAAGAAAATTGAGATTTTTCTATTCTATTATAGATAGATAATATATAGATATTCGGTTATTTTGAACACCTTTTGCAAGTGTGAAAACTAGTATTTTTTCAGAAAAATTAAAATATTAGGCATAGGTATGTATTATCATTAATAAAAATGTTGAAGAATTTCAAAACGAGTTCAAAACAAAATTTAAAAATGGGTAAACATTGAAAAATAATTTTGAAACGTGCATCCTAACTTTCGCATTTACCATTTTCTCGTAACTTTGTGCAACCAATGAGATAATGGACTTTAACTCCATCTGTGACTCACCCTGTACACAGTCAAGGTGTGATTTGCTTCGTTAAAGCATTTCAATTTACATACTTCCCCGCCACTGGAGCCGGCGCTTGTGCGTGTGCTGTCGTACGGGTTTCTCGTACATCCCGTAATAAAATTGTACGTCTCCCAGCTGAGACAGAACTCTGGTGTGGTGGACACCAAAAGCAAGATGGCACCCGACGATCTCAGTATGGCTACGGCTTCACCGTCTCTTTCCGCTTTCATGCCGATTCTACTTACAATTCCCACGCTGGTACTCATTCCTAAGCACAGCGTAATCAGAAATTTGCCCGAGTCACTAATAGGTGTCGCAAATACCCTTCACAGAACAGCTTTCTTTTATAGTCATCGGTACCCCGAGTAAAGGTTTGATCTTTTCGATCTCCAACTCTGATAGAGATGTCGTTTTTAAATATTCGTCTACCGCTTTTGCGTCTTTAATCGCTTCCTCGAACCGGTCCTCCACAATCGCGTTTATAATGGGGTTAACCTCTTTGATCCTGCGAATGTACGCTTTGCATAATTCCTCACTGGAAATCTGGAACGTCAACAATGCATAACACTAACAGTAGGAAGTCATAACGTACCTCCTTAGACCTTATCCTTCGAGCCAACTCGATGGCAGGAATTTTGAGGAGCGGATCTCTTACCGGAGGCACTACTTCCTTTTTACCCCTATATATTAAAGTATAAATGGGGCCGGTGAGGAAATTCATGAATCTGGCGAGCACCAGCACTATATTGAAGATTATTTCCATAGTGGTTCACGAAGAATATGACTACGAAGTCGAATTAATCAATGCTGAGATATTTAATAGTGTCGAGGCAACTCCGAGAGGCTACGGTAATATTTTCCAGTGGAACTGAACAGAAAAACAAAAACCATTACGTGTCTCGCGGCTAGTAAATGTTAAAAGTGATATCTAATGGAACATTGATTTTGCTATCAATATGTCTTAATAAATAATCGCTCAATTTAAGTGAGCTTTTGTCGTTAAATGATTATCGCGAAAAAGAAACTCAATATAATTATAGTAATTTTCTAAATATAATTTTATGGAAACCTTTAACAGTAGGTGCAGTAATTTCAATCACATTTGGCCTTTAAAATAAATAAATGAGGGACTTTTTAATATTTGGCTACAGTATTATCATAAAACCACAAAAAGCGGAACTTTAACAATTTTATAAAAATATAACATTAGCATAAACAGAAATACAATTCATTCCCTACTTATAACGCAACAGACAATCATAGGCTGCCTCTGGGAATAGGATTAAGAGCAAATAGAAAAGGAAAACAAATGATTTTCAAAAGACGAGCACTAGACAAGATTTGGGAGAATTGCAACAATTAAAAGAAATGATGTCGACGAAATCAAATTAAATTTTTAAAACATTTGGAACTACAAAAATAAAAAATATAAGTCGATTAACGAACGAACGTTTCAAATTACAAAACCCTTCTCAAAAACTTAAACACTGTATGGCTAATATACACAAACATACATAAGTATTAGAACAAAACTTATGTCCGCTTAAAAACTATACACTTATGTAAAATCTTTGTTTATGGTTCGATTTTGATATATTTTTGTTAGATGGATCTCCGAAAAATTTTGTTATGTTATTCACCAAAAATGAGAGAAGAGCGAAGTACTATTTTAAAAAAAATAAATTAGCAACGAATTCTTATTCCGTAGCACTTAGAACCCAACTATTCGAATTTTAATAATGTTTCAATATAGGGTGTTGGAAATATGGTTTGAGTTCCGAGTTCCGAGTACATCGTTTTAAAATCTTTGATTACGGTTTGATTTTGACAAAAACGCACTAAATCATTCATATTACACAAAGTCATGGCTAATTGGGACTAATTTTTGATGTCAAATATCGACAAGGGCTACATAAAACCTAAATATACTAATTTCCATTAAATTCGATTACAGGGTGCTCGAAATATCACGGGCGCCTCCCGAATGTTTTATTTATGGCTCAATTTTGATCATTCTTTTTTTGTTCGATAGATTTCACTGAAAGAACGATGAGTAAAGAGGATTAGATTTGAACTAAACAGACTTTACAACGCTGTATTTTTTTAATTAAAAAGGATTTGTAATTTTCAGATAATGAAAATAACAGATGTAATAAAATTGTTTGACATCGGCATACTGTTTTCTTTGTAAAATTAAGTTTGACGTGGAGAAACGATTATTCGACTGTTAAATTCATTCGCTAATTTATATTTTAATTTTGTTTACATTATACCTTACGAATAACAAGATTTATTAATGCTGTTGTATTAAGATAAAAATAAATGCAATGACATGCAAAATAATCGTTATTTACAAGGTTTACAATATTTATTTCTTTAAAACTAACCAAAATTTTGGCCATTGATCTAGTTACTTTTAGGTAGTCCTAAATACCAATCTGTTGTGATTTTCATTTTGGAAAAATTTCTAGAATTACTTCTACATTTTCTTTTCTTTCATTTCTCTTTAGTAAGATCTATCCAGCAAAAAAGAATTCATTTAAAAGAAACATTCTACGGAAGCAAACATAAAAAATTAGTCTCAGTTGGCCATGACTTTAGGTTGACGTAAAAAGAAACGTAAGATTTTAGTGCGTTTTTGAGAAATCTATTCAAAAAAAAAAGGATATCAAAATCAAACCGTAATAATAGATTTCACAAGGGGGATACACTGTATATCGAACAAACACACCAAACATAAAATAAAAAGATGCATCTCCTAATAACGCGCGAGCGAAGATGATATAAGACCTAAGTTGTTAAAAAACATTCATAAAAAAGTAATCATACAACTAGTGTTTGTCCAAAATGTCAATAATATCTTCCCAACAGTTAGAAAAATGCAATTCTACGGAAGTAAACATAAAAAATTAGTCCCAGTTGGCCATGACTTTAGGTTGACGTAAAAAGAAACGTAAGATTTTAGTGCGTTTTTGAGACATCTATCCAAAAAAAAAAGGATATCAAAATCAAACCGTAATAATAGATTTCACAAGGGTGTGCAGTTCTTAAGTGGGATACACTGTATATCGAACAAACACACCAAACATAAAGATGATATAAGACCTAAGTTGTTAAAAAACATTCATAAAAAAGTAATCATACAACTAGTGTTTGTCCAAAATGTCAATAATATCTTCCCAACAGTTAAAAAAATGCAATCGCCATCTCAATCCTAAACCTGGTAACTGACGAAAAGTTGTAGACCCTTAGTGCATTTGCGAAAAAATACTTAATGGAAAATTTAGAGATCGCATTGACACCACGAATCACCTTCCCCTTTACAAATCATAAATGTGCCAATTAGTTGTAAAGAAATTACGTTGGACAGAAAACTATATAAATAAACTGGTAAAGAAACAAGTATCTAAAAGTGCTATATGGTAAAATATTCTCATATATAAATCGTTTGGAAGTCGTAGAAAGATTAATTTTTTATAAAAGGGGTCATAAAATATCAAATAAAGAAATATAGTTTGAAATCCCTGTAAGACCTTTCAAAAATAGACTGACAGCATATGGCCTCATATGTCTTGCTGGTCAAAACCCAGATGCATGACATCACAAGGAATATCGTTCACATTAACTGACGTAACGCTTCCTTTTGGGCTATACATAATTACAATGTTAAAAAAAGAAATTATTGAAAACAAATAATAATAATAATAAATACTAACTACACTAAACTGTACTAAAACGCTTCTTTCTTATCTTTCCCATTCTTGTCACCATATTTCCCAATAAAAAAGACTACGTAACGGACTTACGGGTGAAATTATATAATCTTAACCAAATTAAATAAACATGAAGAACATAATTTAGTTATTCCTTTATCCTATCCTTCTTGTTATTTAAACTTTTTCAAAGGTAAAGATATATAAAGTAATGTAATGTGTCTTAGTAGTTCGCTTCGTATCTCGAAGGGGCCGAATGAATATTCCTGCAGAACTAGAAGATTTGAGTTCTGGCAGCAAGCTAGTGACCTAGATATTTGTTTGGATTCACAAGCCCCTGTACGGAAGAATTCAAATATAGGAGAGAGTTTTAAAAAGGATTTTACATTCGTTGGTGATATTAGCCAATTGTTTGATATACTGTTCATCAGATATCGGTATAGAGTTGATTTTTTCAGAAATTAGCAAGTATTTTATATTTTGTCGATAGATAACTTCCACTCTTGTATACGTTAATAGAAGTCGCCAATAAATGTTAAATAACAATATATATTTCAAAATGGCGGTGGTATTTGACCTTTCTCCTCACTTTTTGATATCCTATATAAATACATTAGACGTTTATTACAAAAAATTAATGGTAACTCTAAGAAAGTTGTTGAAAGGGAGAGGTAACCTTTATCATGAAAATACGAGATCTTATTCTTACAGCCTTTTACTTGAACAAGGCACTGTCAAATAAAAATAATTGTGGAGGGATGAAAATTATTGTGGTGAATAATTACTAAAATGCTTGTGTTTTAAATTTTTCGTTCATTTCGACCATTTGAACCGTTTTAAACTAGAAAAGATATGCAAATATTTTATGGTACACCAACGCAACAAAACCTTTGGTGGGACCATCAGGGGCGGACAGTACTTCGCCGCCCTAGGGCCGTGAGTCAAAAAATGAGCGATATACCCTAAAAAGCCAAAAATACCTTAATAAAATGGTGCTTGTATAAAAGATATCGAAGTTGTAAATGTTTCATAAAATCATAAAATCTCGATAAATTTCATTTGGTAGACGTGAACTTTTACCTTAGCTTTATTTTTTCTACGATAGTCACGAAAAAATCAAAATTTCACACATTAAAAATAATAACGGATTATCGGATTACTAAATGTACCATTCAAACAAAATATTTACTAGTTGCCATAAAACCTATTCGTTTATCGTTCCGATCGGTTTTGCTAGTGTTGTCTCTTTTTAACTGTGTACGTTAGACAGAGAGAGATGTATTTTTGGATACGTCATATAAACAACGGAAATAACACAATTTTAAAAGGTTATTGGAAGAAAAATCATCCAAGGATAGAGCTTTCACGATGATTAAATTTTTGAGATCGTATATGCAAGGCCCTAACCTTCAATTTTGTTTTGTTTGTACTACTGAGACATGGAATTTGCAAATCGTACAGTTGGTCTTGGCAAGATATTAATAGGAAAACTATAAAAAAACACTAAAATTCATGTGAACGGAAAGTAAAATTTCTGTGAGAAACTTAAATTATAAATGTCACTTTACTTATTGACTAATCCACTTGATTTTAATTGTAGGTGATAGCACGTAGTATTTGGTATAGTATTTTGCTGAAATTTGATAGGAAAATTTTTAGTTTTGGATGGAGAAAATTACAACAAAACTTTTTTTCTTTAAACTTGCACCCCGTAACAATAACAATTAAAATATTAATAGCATACGTTGCTACTAGCTTTTTTTCCTAAAATCAGTTAAGGTTTCGCGGGTAAAGGTTCCTCCGTCAAACACACTGCTTATCTACATTTTAGGCAGCAACAAATAAACGCAACAAACATTTTAATTTAATGTATTATTTTATTAAATATATAATAATATCAACAGCACCTTGTGTCTGTTACTGTACCAAAAAACCTATATCTATATTATAATAATTGCTTACCTCCGTCAATAGATTCTATATTATCTATTGTTTGCATTTGATAAAAAGTATTTACAGATGGTTTAATAATGTTGATTTTGCGAGAGAGACTAATAAAATAATGAAGTTTTGAAATTTATTAGTTTTTATTTTAAACCAAAGTCACAAATTTGCAGTCTGCTCTCTTCACTACTCATCGCCTCCAAACACTTTGATGGATACTTCATTAGGCGACACCCATCCTCCAAAGTATCCTTCCAATTCTTCTGCCACTGCCAGACATAGCCTATCCTGTCCAGGTGCTCCTAAAATCTAAAAAAAAACACTAGTTAATATGCAATCAATGGTATCTTTCCGTATTTTCTACTTACCTGAATTCCAATAGGCAGGCCACGGTGATCGAACCCGCATGGGACACTGGTGGAAGGTAGCCCCAGAGCGTTGGCAATTACAAGATAGCCGAAGGCCGGTTTGAAGTAGAATTGATGGTGTTTGTGGGCAGGTCCCACGAACGAAGGCAGTATGAGCACACCATTGTTGCTAAGCTTTTCCTAAATTATGAAATATCTCGTTATATTGGAGTTTCGACAACGTGTTAGTTTTTTGTGTTCTAGTTTAGGCAGTTACCACCACCAAGGCAATGATTTCATAGCATATTTTGTTTAGTATGAATGCATTTTATGTGGAAGTAGATCCTAGAGTTTGGACAGGTAGAACACGTTCTTAAGTTATATTCTGCAGACACACAGTTATTCTTCTATTTCGTAATAAAGATTAAATTGAGAAATATATCTTACACGGAAAAGAACATTTATATTGAAAACCTCTGCGTCCACGCTTCTACATCATATTCTCATGAAATGAAGGAAATATTTTCGAATTTTTCAATTTTTGAATTATATTCAAGTTGATTTGTTCTACGGGTAGCAACGATTTTTGTTACACAGTGAGACATAGATCAAAGATCAGTTTGTTTCCACTTCCACTTCGCTAGTGTCTTCCATGACTGCGTCTGTGCTTTTTATGCGAATCAAACGCAAATTTGCTGTGCCCCCTTTGCTCAAGAAAGAGTAGTCGCAAAATGTATATAAAACATCTCTTAAAGCTTTTTGGAAATAATAATCACTTAGCAAAGAACAACTTAACAATTGCACTGAATAATACAATTTTCCTATTTTCTGAATTGGGTGAAAGCCTAGGTCTCACATATTACCAAGAAACTGAAGGTTGCTTACAGGAAGTTAATTGAGAGTAAAAATGTCAAGGAACCCAAAGAGTGTTCTTCGGTTGTCTCATTTTGTCTCTATAGTGCTGTATGGGTTTTTCCTGCATGGTTACCGTAATAGAAAGCTCACTCAGAGAAAAAAAAAACGTAAAAAAAGTCAATAGAACGGTATACGATTTTATTATGTATACTTGAAACCAACATGTGCATGATAATTTTTATTACTTATTCTCATTAAAACTTAAAGTACTTAAATTATAATTAACAGGTAATGAAATAATCACAAAATATTATTTTATATGCTTAAAATAACAATTTAAACATGTTTACAAATTGTATGGAAGGTCCTTGTTTTCTATTAACGCTATTATTGAACTAGAAAGTCATAGTTTTTAATTTCTTTCACATGCAATATTAATGTATCAGGTTTTATTATAAAATATAATATTTTTATTGGAATTAAATTTGCACGACTTTGAATTAATAACATCAGTCAGTCTAAATTAAAATAAATCTAACAGCTTTTTTTCAATCATAACTATTTGAATTTACTTAGGTTTTGGTAATAAAATGAAAGAAAATTATTAAGAATGTTTAGGTGTGATCTTTCACTTCTTTGTTTCACTATTTTGTAAAGGTTAATTTTATACAGTACATGTATGATGCAAACGGCAGTCACTACCTAACAACACAAGTCGACTACAGAGAAGGGGCACACAAACGCTAATGGCGGATTTATCCCATTTTTCTATTAGTTGCTAAAAGTCACATGATAGCAGATCGTCTTTTCTTTTGGGGATGTTAAAGAAATTTTTTAGACGTATCAATCGACCGCCCTTAAAATATAAATTTTGAAGTTTAATTAATGTATTCAGATTATGATTATAAGACAACGGAAAAACTCCCTTTGGTAATACGCAAGTAGTAACTTGTTTTGAACATACTTTCTTTTAAAACAAATACACAATATATTCAATATAGGAGAAAAGTAGTTAATGTTTTAAAGGGACTGAACTAATAAGTTATAAACAAATCCATGTCAAAATATTTTCGAACGTACCTGATATTTATATTTTGATTAATTGAATCGTAGAACAGAGATTTCTTACGAGGTGATTTCTTGTGCATTTTAAAACAATTTTTTTTCTGAGTGTACAGAACCTCCGTCTACGGAGTAAGAAGAACAAATCGCATGTCCCTATGCCTCGCCATTTAGGGTTGAATGTCCAAGTAAAAGTAAGTAAAACTAAAATGCCCTTCTATAGAAAAATAGCTTTTAACATATTAATACATAATTCGAATTTACATGGAAAATCATCATACTCCTATAATATAGCCACTTGTAATAAAACTTTCACTAACAATAATATCATTGGGTCTAACTAATCTCACAAGTAAAACAGACACCGTGGGGAAGGAGGAAGTTATGTGCTCTTGTCACGGTAGACGTCGAAAATGCCTTCAACACGGCACCATTGTGTAGTATATTGGAAGAGCTTCGAAATCGTAACATAGCCCCTTATCTGTATAACATCATAGCAAGCTACTTCGAAGATAGGCGTTTAAGCATAGGTGAGGCAGCGCAAATGGACGTCACATGCGGGGTCCCGCAGGGATCAGTAATAGGTCCAACCCTATGGAATGTGTATTACAACGGTGTATTCCGAATTCCTGTTCCAAATGGTATTACCCTTGTCGGATATGCTGACGATCTGGCTATCTTAGCAGAAGTAAAAGAAGCCGAGATGATGGAAACAGTAGCCAACCATGCCCTTTACAATGTCACGGAATGGATGAAATCTAAAAACCTGAAATTAGCCCCCCAAAAAACGGAGGCAGTCCTACTTGTTGCTGGAAGGAAAGTTAAAAACATTTCAGTCACAGTGGAAAACACAACAGTTCAGAGTCAGGAAGTAGTCAGATATTTAGGTATAAAACTAGATAGAAACATGTCCATGGGGGCCCACATCAGAGCCGTAACAGAAAAGGCCAACAAGGCCTTGAACAACATCAGTCGCCTTCTACCAAAAGTGAATGGGCCTCGTGAAAGCACCAGGAGGATATTATGCTCAGTAGTGACTTCAATACTACTATATGGCGCCTCAATATGGGAGCAAGTAGTTGAGAAGAAAGTCTATAAAAGGATTCTGAGTAGTGTTCAAAGGAGGGTAGCCATAAGAGTCTCCGAAGCATACAGAACAACTTCCAATAAGGCACTTATGGTGATAGCTAGGGTCCCACCTATTAATCTCCTAGTTAAGTGCAGAGCCCGTATAGAGAAAGATGGACCAGACGCTAAAACGGAAGCACAAAACGCGGTGATGTTGTGCTGGCAAGAGGAATGGGACATAGATGATGGTACAGCGGAATGGAGTAAAAAGCTAATTCCAAATATAAGACCCTGGTTTGAGAGACGACACGGTGAAGTAGATTTCTTTCTTACAAAAATACTCACCGGGCACGGGTGCTTTGAAGCCTGCATCAAACGTTTCAATCTGGCGGAAACCGAGGAGTGACTTTATTGCATAAACGTGGATACGGTTGAACACACTCTATTTTTCTGCCCAAGATGGAACATGCAGCGGAATATAGCAGAGCAAATACTCGGTCACATAAGCCCAGACAACCTAGTAGAAAAAATGTTAGAGTCACCGACAAATTGGGACCACGTCTGCAAAATGGCAAAGCAAATACTTTCTGCCAAGAGGATAGAACGGCCAAATCTTATACAAGCTCGCTGAACCTTAGTCAATAGGAGACCGAAAGATCATGGGGAAGATCATAGGGCGCGAGAGAACATCACGCGCGTCCGGACGACACTCCATCTGAAGTAATGCTGACGCAGTTCCAGATGGAGGGCACACTGTTTTGTCGTCAAGAGAGGAAGTGTGAGTACGCTCACACTGGGTTTACACGGTCGGCTGATGCCAACCCGTCGTCGCCAAGGGGACACACCATCCATCCCCAGGGTGTCTTGAGACGCCCAGAACGGGCTGAGGAAGATTCGCCTTATAACCTCTCATACAAAAAAAAAAACTAATCTCACAAAGCATTTGTTGCCGTTCCACTAGTCTTCTATTATTATACGACCCTGTCCCCCTTTTTATGTGCGTTGGAAGCTAAATATCTACTAAATAATTACCTACTTTTGGCACTTGTAAATGAAAAACTTAAGGGGGTGATTCCTCGTTAAAAATAAGAGTATATGGTGAATTACACTAATGAAGAAATCACGGAGATGCATTTTATACGAAGGGTTACCTTTAATATTTCGGATTTGTAATAAAAACTGCAAAATATGTACCCTGATTATCAATACACTTTTGCATTCGATAAAACCGAATCATCAAATCACTTTTCCCACATCGAATCGGGCACCTCCAAAACATGCTTTTTTAAACGCATCAATCGCTTCTTCTGTTGTCAAAAATCGTTGTTCACGTAATTTGGTCTTACTGTATGGGAATAAAAAGAAGTCATTAGGTGCTAAATCAGGATTATACGGTGGACGGCTCATCAAATCAATGTTTTTAATGCTCAAAAAGTACTTTGTTTTCACTGATCGGTGAGAACTAGCATTGTTGTCGTGGAGAGTGATTCGTCTTCGGCAGTTGGCTTTTCTAATTTCTTGGAAGAGCTTTAGGCAAACAAATGGTTGTGTACCATTTAGAATTGACTGTTTTACCTTTCATCAAAGAAACAGTTGCAATATGGCCAGTTTTCCTGAAAAAACAGGCTACCATGTGTTTCGAGGTGCTTCGCACCCAAACAAATTTTGTGAGCTTTGTCTCATTCTGAAAGACCCACACAGGCGACTGCTGCTTACTTTCAGGTTCATATGCATAGATCCATGAATTATCACCTGTCACGATATGAAATTTTTTTAGCATTTCCTTCGACCAATCAACACGAGCCTTTTTATGAGCTGATGTGAAATTGTGTGCAATCCTACGCGGCCAAATCTTCATGCAAAATTTTATGTATGCTGGTCCGACTAATGCCCAAAGATACCTCAATCTCATGGTAATTCACATGACGATCCTGCAAAAACAGTTTCCGCCCTGCATCAATGTTTTTTGGACCAGCGTCACGAAATTCATCCTTAATAAAACTACGATCACGACTGAAGTCCGAAAACCAGCGATAAACAGTAGTCCTAGATGGTGCTTTAACTCCAAAAGTCGAATTAAGTTCATCGATGCATTGTTGTTGAGTTGGCCCACGTCTAAAGTTGTAAAAAATGATTGCACGAAAATGTTCCTGATTAATTTCCATCTTTAACTGTCACAATTTTTTTAATTAATCACAAAAAACTCAAACAACACTTCTAACTGAGTAAACCTAACCTCATAATCTCATACTTCCCTATAAAAGTGTTAGTAGCCAGATGGAAGGACTAGTTTAAAAAAATCCCGAAATATAAAAGGCAGCCCTCGTATACTGGCGACCAATCGGAAATTCCTTGGAAAGTTATATCGTTCTATCTATTTTCGATTTTAAAATAAAAAATGCAAACATTATTTTTCAGCCATATTTGTAGCGCTGATCTCCCTAGAGGCTCGGTTTTACCCAACGTTTATATAACAAATTACCCTATATTTTTCGCAAAGAATCACCCTTTAAGTTTTTCGCACTTGTTTTGATACACTCTGTATATAAATTCGTTGAAGAAGGTGAGGCATCATCGGTATCTGGAACTCCTATATTGCCTATTGTTAACCACTCTTTGACATTGAATTCTTATTCCTAACCTTCGTTCCCACATCATTGTGAGCACTGTAATTGGTAAATTGCTTTTTCAAATTGCTTACCGCGATCGCAGTCTGCCACATTTCGTTTTTCACCATGTAATCAGAAACTAAGTACTTGTACACTATCCGCAGGAAATTAAAAAACATCATATTTAAGGTAAACTTGGAGAGTGCGCACATCGACTTGATTAATTCCACTGCAAGATTGGCGTTGGCCTGAAATCGCACAACATGAGATGACAGTCAGCTTGCTACGAGTAATACCTCCTACCATTTTTAGCGAATTAGGCACCTGCCGCATACTCGATATGGTGGACCCGCAGACCGTGATGGCGTCTTTGAAGTGCCGGAATTTGTGTTCTTTGAGCTTCGCGCCACACGTGGCGGTCAGATGCTTGGTCGCGCTCTTGATAGCGTTCTTAATACTGCTCTCTACCGGCAGTTGAGTTAATCCACTTCCAAAGTCCACCATGTAAAATACATTCAAGTCGCTTAAGTTTACCTGAGAGTATTAAGTATCGCTGTTGTTTTGCAACCCGCGGTTGTTTCTTACTCGCACTTACCGGTTCATCCAGCTTAAGCTCCGCACTCATCTTATTACCCACCATGACTCTTAACATAAATCTGAGATCGCAAGCATAGCGTGCCATCGGACCCATGACCAAGTAGAGGCTGTTCCTCTCGTCGACGCAGAAAGGCACGTGACCTATAATACTCGCAATTTCTAAAACAAGCGATTGAGTTGACTGTGGGCGATGCTCTATGATATAAGCTTACGAGGAGTAGGTTTATGGCCGAAAACTCCATTGAACATGGCAGGAAGTCTGATGGACCCTCCAATATCCGAAGCAAGGCCAATCACTGAAGCTCCGGCCCCTAACAAAGCGCCCTGGCATAAAGCTCTACGTTAATAATAAAAAGTGGAAAATGAAATTGTGTGTTTTCTATGTTCTTCAACTCTAAGGTTTAAAGATCTTTTTGTTTCTCCAATATATGACTCTCTATACATACGCAAGGTATTCGGTAGAAACACTCGATCTTTCTGGATTTCTTCTTGTAAGTATGAATCTTTAACGGACCTGAATATAGTCTTAACTTTGTGACTGTAACTTTGTCAAAAGAGTGAGACAGATTATCTGCCTCACCGGGTTCTGCTGTTGCTTTCCGTTTACAATTTGATAATATTTTGTCAACACATTTTTGAGTGTAGCCATTTAGCCTTTTTAATACTGCTTAATTATACATCGAGTGATGCTTTGATTGCCCTCTTGCAGAGTGCAAACTCGTCTGAAAGAAATAATCTTACGTTTTCAAAAATATCTACCAAAGGCACGAAGTTTTCTACAAATGAAGGACTTTTTCCCGCAAGTGCCTGAACGATTTGAAGGAAAAATCTACTTTAGCTGCTTCGGAATCCCGCGAGTGGTGATAGATCTGAGTGGTGCGTTAGCTTTGTGGATGTTTCGAAGTTAAGTTCATAAAGATGTGGTGGTTTAGTATAATGCAGAGTTAACGAACTTCTAATATTGTCCGGGATATTTATGTATTTTATGCAGTGTTCCATGGGTTCTTCCTTCAATCGTCTCAGTAGGTAGAAGGTAATTGCCTTTAGCAAGTGTCTCCTCAATTGTGGTCGTATTCCTGCATATCGATGATGACTGGTGGAGGTGTAAGTCTTTGATGGTTACATGTTACTCTTTGGTTGTGTTCGTCGTCCTTTTTCTTCTCTTCTGCAAAACAGTTCTAAGTTTCCATCGCATTACTTCCGGTTATAACGTCTCAGTAGAACTTATATTATCTAATATTGGCATCTTTCGGGGGGCAAGGGAGAAATTAAGTCTGTTTTTCAATATTTGTTCTTCGTGCCTCACTTTGTTGTTGTCTGCTGTTTTAGGCCGCTGATTTTCGCCGCTGTTTTTCAAATTTAAGCAGCTTCCTCCCATGATTTCTTTGAAGTCCTTCTTTGATTTTGGCACAAGCTCTATTGGTCTCCTCAAACATATGTATGTGATTTTCCTCCCAAATCAGTTTTTTTATTTCCTCAGTGTATGTAATTTAAAACAACTGATTTCCTCCCTCAATGATAGTTAATTTGGGGTGACGTGAGATGAAATTCTATGGAAATGATGTTTCCGGTCCTCGTCCAAGATTGAAGGAAATGTGGGCTTCCTCCTTGGTTAACTTAAACTTCGTCTTCTCGTAGCCTCTGAGTTTTAGCAAATACCCTGTGAAGGTGGGGAGTCATGCATTGGAGAAACAAGATGAACATAGGAAGCACTCATTGAGTGGTGAAATGCAAAGGTCATCGCGGAACATGCATGGACCAAACAACACCACATCAAATGATTCGAATCTCTAGTTTTCCACAGGGAATGGCAATGGAAAAAGCATAAGTAGTCTATTATATAAGACTCTTTAGAATGAAATCTGTCCTTGGTATTTCTACTGAATCATTGTCTACCACCTTCAAACAAACATTTCTGCTGATATTTAGACTAATTATTAATTAGTTAAGCATTAATGCCACGTTCCTCTGGCGGAGGAACTATACAAGTACATACAGTACTATCAAAGAATAAAATGAATTTTTAAAACAGTAGTATTCCTAACATGGTTCTGTGACACAAAGCCTAAAAGCTCAGTAGTCCGTCCACACAATATGTGTGTGTCGTCCAAAGTATATATTTTATTTTCCTATTATTCCTTTAATAATTTTCACTTTATCTAAATATATAAATTACTCGAAACTAATTCAACCACGTTCAGTACCTCAGATTTGTTTCAATTTAAAACCACACGAATAAGTTATCCGTTAAATATCTTCACGCAAATCAACGCGGTGTGAAGTCGTACGTCTATCGAAATAGGTTATCCGTCACTTTTTTCCCTTAAAGTGAGAAAAAAGAAATTGAACAAGACGGGAGCACAAAAGAGGACATTTAAATATCTCTCGGACGACCTGAAATGAGACGTTGCCAGAATGATTTTTTCCTAAATGTGTGTCACAAACCCGCCATTAGAGGAACTACTAATTCTAGTAAACTACTAGGTTTAATAAGAGCAAGCATCGGGGGTTGGCATTCTTTTTGAAATAAAAAGTATTGCTTGGATGGTACGCTGCGAATGACTCGTAAGAGTATTTGTTCATACTTCCCCGCCGCTGGAGCCGGCGCTTGTGCGAGTGCTGTCGTACGGGTTTTTCGTACAACCCGTAATGAAATTGTACGTCTCCCAACTGAGACACAACTCTGGTGTGGTGGACACCAACAGTAAGATGGCACCCGATGATCTCAAAATAGCTACGGCGTCGCAATCCTTCTCCGCTTTCATGCCGGCTCTACTTACAACTCCGACGCTGGTACTCATCCCTAGGTACAGTGCAAACGGTAACTTATCCAAGTAACGAATCGGTATCTCAAATACCCTCCACCGAACAGCTTTCTTTAATAGTCATCGGTACCCCGAGTAAAGGTTTGATCTTTTCGATCTCCAACTCTGACAGAGATGTCGTTTTTAAATATTCATCGACCGCTTTTGCGTCTTTCATCGCTTCCTCAAAGCGGTCCTCCACGACGGCGTTTATAATGGGGTTGACTTCTTTGATCCTGCCAATGTACGCTTCACATATTTCCTCGCTAGACATCTGGAACGTGAACTTAGCACAACACTAGAGGATGGATACACTAACGTACCTCCTTAGATCTTATCCTTCTTGCCAACTCGATGGCGGGAATTTTCAAGAGCGGATCTCTTACTGGGGACACTACTTCCTTCTTGCCTCTATATATGAAATTATAAATGGGACACGTGACGAAATGCATAAATCTGACGAACACTAACATCATGTTGAAGATTAGTTCCATAGCGGTTTACCAAGAATGGAGTCAAATATAATTTTTTAGACGCAACACCGACGAACGAGGAATAGTCCGGTCGGTTAGTTTGAAATTGTTTTCCGTGGAACTGAACAGAAAAACACAGCCATTACGCAGCTGTTAAATGAAATATCTAATGGAACATTGATTTGGTTATCAATATTTCTTAATAAATAATAACTTAATTTAAGTGAGCTTTTATCGTTATATACGATTCCCGCTAAAGAAATGTAAAATCGAGGCAAAAGTAATAAATAAAGGTTGTTTCATCAAAACCTTTTATAATTCATTGCGGTTAACGAGAATTCGGCTTTCAGAAGAAATGTTATCGGGGTGTTTTTTAAAAAATATATTTTGCGACACAAAAATAGACGTCTCTAATTTGAGATGGAAAATTAAAAAAATGTAATAACTTAGTATCTTCAAAAAGCATCGTAAAAATTTTGCTTTTGATAACTTTTTATTATTTATGACCATTGCAATTATAATAACCACTAGCTCGGCTGCACTTATACCATCAGAAAAACTGATGTGCTCACAAGTAAAGCTTGCTCCTTAGTGTCTTTCAATTTTGTATTAAAGTCTAGCACGGCGGTAATTTTAAAGATAGTGCAAAATCAATCTCAACCCAATGTCTCGATGTGTGTTTTCAGATCTACCCTAAATCATTATTTAAACCCGGGGTTTTAGAAGATTTTTCATAGTGCGGGTACTTATCTAATGTTTCATTATTCCTAATTTACCAAATAACATCTAAAATTGAGATAAAATGTTGTTTATTTTTGTTAAATTTTTTGCAATGCTTCGAAGCATTACTGAGTAGCTGATCTTATTACTACGTTGCCTTTGACGGTTTTCAATTAATATAATTTTGTTACATATTTTTTCATTAAAAATTAGGTTGGGCCAATTTTTTTTTAAGAAATTTCTTTCTACAAGCTACTATTTAGAAATTTTCTGTATTTCTCCTGTGTCGGTTATTGATAGATTCACTTTCTGACTTTTCGACAATAGTCCCATTGCCTTCTTCAGAGCTTAACTGCAACTGGCTTGCGTTCTACTCTGTACCTGCTTATATATTGTTTGAAAGGGCGGAGTTAAATTAGGGGCATGCACTTTGTTTCGAACGACTGTTTCCCATATTATTCGCGGATAAGATTGTTTAGTTCTTTAGATATTTCTATGGATTTGATTCTCATGATTTAAATTTTATCGAATAAGGTTTAATGTCCTGTTTCATCACTGTATTCGGCAACTGCTGATGAGTTTTGGTTTTAAGGTTGCTTGATATTCTTTTAGGATAGTTGATACTTTTCATCTTGTTTCTCCAATTTATTCTTGACCGCCTGTGTATGGAATGTTCAGTTTTACGACTCTGTAAACAAGAGAGTTGAAAACCGATCATTTTTGGGGTAGATAGTGTGATAATGCATTAATGTATCGGTATGCGTAGGATTTCTGTACGCTGGATACCGCAATTTTAGGACTGATAAGAATATCTAAGAATGTAAAATTATTGTTAGTTTTGATTTAAACTGTAAAACGTATGTTATATGTGTATAAAATTTAAATGCATAAAAAAATGTCATAGATATTCTTGACTATGAGGCCAAATAACACAGAACCATCGGCTACATAGCGTCTTCATAGTTTTGGTTTTAGATAGTGTAGAACACTTTCTTCTCAAAAACTGATAATTATGCATTTTATTATTACGATGAGAAAATTTGATTCCAGATTTTAATATATTTCAAATGGTGTTGACAGTTTCAGGAAAAGGAACTTTAGTAACGAGTTTATCTGCGTCAAAACTAACCGGAATATCGTTTGAATCAAATGTAATGGTTTTTAATTGTTCAGTGAAGTGAAAGGAGTTTAATAGGAAACTATCAGTTTTCCCTGTAAAGGATTTTAATATAGAGGCCAGATTAATATAGGAGCTTAGGAAGGCCTTAGAAACAAGGAATTTCAGGGTCGTGAGTTTTTTCACTGAGAACAAGTACTAAATCGGATTTAAGATTGCGTTCCATTGATGACGTGCGATCTTTTTTCAGTTGACGATGGGATAAGTTTGCAAGAATATCTTAAATTTGTTCTGGATGGTCAGTTGTGCTCATCATTACAGTAGTATTTCCTTAACATGATTTTAAAATTAGTGCGTTGACTATTTTTTAAATATTTGTGAGGCATGAAATCGAATTTTATTAGCTGTTTGAGATGGCACTTTGTTTAGGATGGATTCGGCACTTGAAATGATCTGGGACAATACGCGGGGCAAAAAAAAATCTAAACCTTCTAAATAAAAATATTCCAAAGTTCTTCAAGATAAGATTCCTAAAATTTTTCCCGATATAATAATTTAAAAAAATTCAAGGTATTCTTAAAGTCGGATCCTATTGTCAACCTAAAATAGATCCTACGCATATACAGGACGCAACTTTCAATTTGCTTTTATAGCTTCTTCCATATTAGTATCCTTGACTAAAAAAATAAAGGATAATAAAAATGGGTAATTCTGTGTATATCGAAGTATCATAAAAGGTAATAATAAAATCTAATTTCGAGATTAAATATCATTTGGCATTCTAAACAGTAAATTAGTGGTTCGTTTGGTAAATCCGAAATAATTGGGCATTTTCAAGTAAAATAAACCCTTTGGATTGCCAGTGCTAAAAGTAAACTCCCCGCATGTAATCTATAATGGTGTGGCTCAGATTATTATAAAAAAAAATTTTTTAATGAAACACATAACACAATATTAAACATGATTTATTACGTTATATATACATTAGTACAAACCACTTTACAAAGTTAAAATAATTATCTCATTTATTGTTAAATCAGTCTTCCGATAAGTATTATGATTACTAGTCTGCGCGTTAGTTTCATTAGCTATTTTTTGAATAAATATATTACAAATACAGTTAAATTACAAGTACCACCTATCGGTAAATATAAATATATCTTCAGCTAAATAGCATTTACTGATTTTTATTACCTTAAAACACACTCGTAGCCATTCTTCAGCAGCGCATCTCTAGTAATAAATCTATTGTCCAAATTTCAAATTAATAACGACTCTATAACAATAGCACTTAAGGCCAAATTAAACGTCAAATAGGCTAATTGATGCTAAGTAAAGATAAAAGCCAACGATTTTACCCATCTTGATTTTTGGGAACGAAAGTGAGGTTTCTGTATTAATCTTCTAAAAACAACGGTATGCGGCCATTTTTGCCTTCGATTTTAGATAGAAGCTTTGATAAAGATTCAGATATGTACATTAGTAAGGTACCTAAAATGGTACTACTAAATTACTAAACTATTCAGGAGTGGCAAGCATAGAATCCTTTGTTTTCTAAAATTAAATAATTAGATTACATCCTTATAATAAGTATATGCGTCTTATTTTACTAATTTCATTAAAAAAATACAATGTTAAAGATTTTGGGAGAAATAATTCTCTAAATATACATAAATTAAGTTCTCGCCACAAACACTTCCTATGGAGCAAACATAAATATTAAGTCTTTATTTTCATAGCGCGCATGAATATGAAACAACCAGCAACAGAAATTTTAATTGCCTAATGTTTATGCGGTTGCATTGTATTTCCCAAAGTGGCCAACTGAAAAACGTTTTCTTTTAGCCTATGTAAAGACTTCACACACAAGAAAAAATTGTTGTTCAATATCGAGGTTTAGACATGTTGAAATTTATACAGCTTCAACGCCCTGTAACTAATTTTCTTGTTCCTTGTTGCGCGGCGGAAAATAAGTTATTCGACAGCTAGTATACATTTTGTTGTGGTTTAGATTCTATATCATTTTTTGTTTCCAGTTTTTTTTTTACGTCGTCCATTTAAATTTTATCGAATTAAAAAAAAAATGTTCCGCTTCAATGTCACGCAATATTTTTCCAATAGTAATATTTTTTGAGTCTACTTGTTGGTCCTTAGTTTCGAGTGTCATCCTTTTGCCAAATAACAATCTAATAATCCCCAAAAAGAGTTATACCATATGTTAGATAATCCTCAAAAAGAGTTATACCACATGTTAAAGTTACGGTAATTTTTACAAAGCTAGTTTTAAATTCCTGTAACTAATTTTCATGATAGCTGTTCTTTGTTATGACACCCTATATATTGCGTAATATAGTTTTGTAATTCAGCTAGTATATATTATTTTGTTTTCAGTTGTTTTTTACGTAGTGCCTTTAAATTTTATTGAATTAAAAAAAATGTTCCGCTTTTGTTTCATGCAATATTTTTCCAGTGAAGTCAGCTGTTAATTTTTGAGTCAATTTATTGGTTCTTAGTTTCAAGTGTCATCTTTTTGGAAAACAACAATCTAATAAACCTCAAAAAGAGTTATACCATATGTTAAAGTTACGACAGTTTTTACAAAGCTAGTTTCAACGTCCTGTAACTAATTTTCATGATAGTTGTTGTTTGTTATGTGACCTTCTACATATTGCGCAATATATCTTTGTAATTCAGCTGGTATATAATTGTTTGTTTCTAGTTATTTTTTTAAGTCGTCCCTTTAAATTTTATTGTATTAAAAAAAATTGATCTGCTTCCATTCAATATTTTTCCAATGAAGTCGGATGTTAATTTTTTGAGTCTATTTATTGGTTCTTAGTTTCGAGTGTCATATTTTTGTCAAACAACAATCTAATAATCCTTAAAAAGAGTTATGTTAAAATCAACACGCTAATAATACTCAAATATAGGGATTGCTGCTATTTATCTTGAATCAACTCTTTTGTCACTTCAGAATCAGACGTGTCATTCCTATTAAATAGTGTAAACATTTGAGTGCAGTAAAGATTGCTCGAAAAAGTAACTACTTCAAATCAGTTTAATTTAGCCCAAGAGCTAAACAGGTAAAATATACAATAAATACAGCGAATCTGTATGGAATCTCCAAGCAAATTTGCAGTGCGCAGGCTATGGTATTCCCTGGATGTGACCAGATACTTCGATACTTCTGTAGTGACAACCATAACCTCAAACATGCAATTTTATATTGCTACGATACGTCAAAGTGAATGGAATATTTTTTGATAAATTTAAATAAACATAATAAAAGTGATATAGATACTTCCTTTTACAGCACATATTGATTAGTTATTTGTCGTTCAACCTTTTAATTATCCAATGAACTTTACGCATGAATGCGTATATTCAATAATGTTATTGGTCAACTGCGGCTCATATGTTAAACGGTCATTTTTATGGTTTAATTCACCCTGTGAAATAGTGAAGTGGTACTGAGTATGGAATTTTAACGTTTGTAATGATATCCAATAATAATTAATAACATAAATACAACCATCCACAGAAAATATTTATGTTAGGCTCCAACTGTTCGTTAAGTCCACCTCTTTTTTAGTTTGCCCTGTATAATGGTGGTAAAATAAAAAAATATATATGACGAGTTTATTATAAAAGCCTTTTTGTCGTGTTTTCGCGACCACAGCGCGTCAGTGCGACGGGTACATTTTAAAGTTAGCCCTATGATAAGCGGTTGAAGACGGCCGTGGCATCTTCCTCGTTAGTTTATATCACTTTCTAAGGTTCCTATCGGATATCTATGCTACTCGGCACGGAATATCACGTCTATTCGTATGCGTCGCAAGGCAGTATCCTCGCGCAGGGTTCGTATTCGATGGGTTTGACATTTTTGTCGCAAAATTGATCTGGCAGCGCCGTCTCCCGGTCGTCCACGCACATGACGTTTCTCTTCTTCATCGGCTTCTTCCTCTGAAACAACGACCGTCCATCATGTCAGCGCTACCCACTCATAGATGTCTCCCCCCTTACCCCGGCGGAGCACGTCACAGGACAGGCCTGCCACGGACCTATCCACCACCTCGAAGGACACGGATCGTCATTGCAGGTCCGCACAAGCTTGTCGGGCTTGTCTCTGGGGTCGCACATCTCACCTTCGACGAAGTTCGGCGTCTCCAACTCCGAGGCGATGGGAGAAATGGTCCTTTCCTGACATTGCGGAAGTCTGTATTGCGTACCTGTTCGAAACGATTACTGCAGGATTTTTTACATTGTGGAGGGGAAGAAAGTGTCGTTTAGGAAATTATTTATTATACTCGTGTGGTCTTTTTGGTAAGAATTGTTGTGTGAATATACAATACAGTTTATACATGTAGTTTTTACACACTGTAAGAATATTTTCCTCCAAAAAGTCGTTCCGCAGAATTCTCAAAAAAAATTTCTGCGGCAAAAACTTTATTAACTTCACTGCATTGTTGCCAGGCCTATGTGGTAGTTTACAGCTGTGCGAACTGTGGCATAATACACGGCACTTAGAATGGTAGTCAATGACAAAATAAAATAAAATTATTTGATTTAGCTAAAAAATAGAATCAATAAAAGACGCCAAAGCCAAAGTCAACTATTATAAAAAATGACTAAAGAGTGTAAATAACTAACCAACAAAGGACCAGAGAATAAGAGCAAATAAACTTACGAGAGAAACACTAGCAAAATATTTTGATCTATGTTATGCCAATATAAAAGAAGTGCAGAATACCGGGTTTGTAAATAGTAACTGCCGAAGCTGGAGCGATAAAATTGAATACTTGGGGGTTTTTCAATACGCAGAATTCAAAAATGCAAACAGCAGTGTTTTCAGATTTACCACTATTAATAAAAACATTCTTAAAGTGTCAGAATTTCGGAGGTTTTGCAGGTTTGCGTCAGTGCCAACTTTGCTGTCAGTATTTGTGGATTTTGCATTTTTACAAACCTCCAGCTATGGCAGTTTTGGAGATATTTAAGCGTTACGATACTTGTCACTAACCCGATATTCCCCCGGTTGCACTAATGACACTATCAATCTCAACATCTTGATTTTTCTTTTGGTCAAATAAATTTTAAGAAGTAGTTTTCCCCTCAATCCAGGCTCTTCCAATTTTGATGAGAGGATTTGATGTGCAACGGTATCAAATGCTTTGGAGAATGCAAAGGCTGCGTTAGCGGTTGTCGGAAGTTAGAGCTAAAATTTAATATAGCATTCTGTGTCGATTTCCTCTTTAAGGCCGCATCGAGAGTATGATAAGACATAAAAATTTTTAAAGACAGTCATTATTCTATTTTTTTGGTGTATAACCTTTAAGTATTTGCTTTGTAATTGAAGTTTTTAAAATTGCCGCTAGAGGGCACCGTGCACCGCTTAACTTTTAACACAACAACGTCGCACCTTTTAAATTCGACCAAGTTTTGGTTCCGTGTGGAGTGTGACAAGTATATACGGGACGTATAAAAGTAACGTAAATTGCGGACAATATTTTATAATTGGGTTTTTTAAAATTGGCACCGTAATGTTGTCACATTTCACAATGATATTTATAATTCTAGTAACCTATCGCTGATACGCCTTTAAACTTTTTCTATGTTCGAAAACCTCCAAAATTCTAAAATGTCAAGAACGTTTTTATTAACTGTGGTAAATCTGACAATACTGCTGTTAGCATTTTTCAATTCTACATCTTTATCTTTATCATATTTTGACTACAATGCGGTTGCATTGTCCATGAATAATAAACAAATTCATTAAGACAGCATTAGAATACTGGTTTCCTTTCACATCGAATCGATTTTATCGACAAAAGTTGCGCCACAATCAATCTTTATTGAACTGTCAAACGAAAAATTAATTATTTAGCATAAGACGGATATTTTGCCATGGCCACTTAAGAAGATGAATTATGTCACAGTAATCCAGTTTTCAGGAAAAGTTGCTTTTATTTCAGAAATCAAACCATTTAATATATTTATTTCTCTTAGAATATGTGTTCCATTTAAAAAATGCACTTTTCACTATTTTTGTATCCGGTAAGAAAATCATTAGTATTGATCAACCCTGTAGAAAGTACAACAAATTAAGATATTAGGAAATTCTATCTGCTCCCTCCCTAAACTACGTCCAAAATTTTAACTTTGTACTGGCTCCAATGTTGTAGTAATAAAAATTTAGTTGAAGTTATGTTTTCGTTGGAAAAATTAAGAAAATAATTATTTTCTCGAAAACCGCTGAAGACTCATAAAATAAAATACATAGTGTCCCATTTAAAATTTTAAAAATGCTGCAACTTTTTCGAAGAAGCGACAACGTCGCAGAGTTAAAGATATTTTAGATTGATAGAGCGTCGCCGCTTATGGAACTAACAAAATGTTCAGAACAATCCAATGTACCGTACTTCTAAGGCACCATTAATCAATTTTTACCTAATCCACAATGAAAAATCTATTCTATCGGAAAAACTCACCGCCGCCACACGTTGCCGAGCACTGGGACCATTCGTCCAGTATCCAGGTGTACTTCAACTGTTTGGTGACCTCGGGTTTCCATATGGAATACTTGTAGGTGACACCCGGATTGTATACTTTGCCCCTGAAGAAGATCTAACGAATGGAAACAAAGGCAATTAATGCCGCCATGTTTTGCCGATACGAATTCCATTCATAATCGGACCCTTTGGGGTAATTCGGGGCAGCAACGGCGAAGTCGCCGAAGACAATTCAGTTATACGCAAAGATAATTGATTTAGATGGACGTTTTTGTTTACTGCCAGGGTCATTAATTTCGCCCTTATCTAGGTCTAGTTTGTCATTTGTTTTAATCTAATTTTCGACGGTTACGATTGCCTGTTTGGTCTGTTTTTGATGTAGCGGAACGCGATTGGATTTTGGCGACAATGAAAGAGATTCCTACTACCGATTAGGACAAATGTCCGTACTACGAGGGCTACCTTTTATATTTCGGTATTTTTAATCAAAAACTAAGGGGTGTTTTTTTTCGATGTATAGAACTTTAAGTTGCAATAAAACAACGATGGATTATTCGATTGACATAAATTTTATTTATCCGAAAGATAATCTTGTGGCATTACATTTTAAAAAGAAAATCCCTCTTATATATGAAGATCGAATTATTGTTTGTGGAACATGTCACCAGAGTGCGTAATTACTATAGTAGTATAAAAAAAATAATTCTGTTAATAGAGTGGCGAGGTACTACAACTCACTTTTTAAAAAAGTATTTGGGAAGATGTTAAATAAAATCAAAATATAAAAAAATAAAGGAAATATGAAGTAGAATATGAGAAACGTTTATGTGACACCGTAATTTGTTTTGAATTTAAATGCAACGGTGCCAACTTATTTTTAAAAAATGAATAATAATAATTATAATAATATGAAAAATGAACCTCAATATAGTGAAAGAGTAATTATTTCATAAAAAAGATTTTCTAAACTCTTGATGAAATTTCATTTAATTTTTCTATACAAAATTCTAATGCGGCCGCTTGTACTTGTGCAGGGATTTAATATTATTTAATGAGGTAAGAGTAATAAAAACAGAAATAAACATGAAGGCGTTGCGGTCGATTAAAATGGGATAAACGAACGTTATAAATTCGGAAAGGATTGAAAAGGATTTGGCAATAGCCGTTATTATTGGTAGGGTAGTTTGATGCGCCATTTGGATTACGCGACTTCCGTTAAATTTCGAATCTGTATTAAGGTAATCTGTTTACCTGTCGAAAATCGAATTAACGTTATCGGAAATTTAAAAATCAAATACCTCAGACGGTATAAAAACCGAAATAAGTGCCATTGACGTTTATAGTTTTAGTTAGTCAGTTAATAAGATTAGTGAGGGGGTTCCAAAGATTAGCGCTGTTAAAAAACTAGAATAATAAATAAATTCTGAGTGTACGTATATTAAAAAGTTACAAAACGGGTTGTTTTTTATTCGGATAATAATTTCTCCCAAAAAGGACAATTTTCAGCGACTTTGAACTAATTTTCCGCACTGTACAGGGTGGCCAATATAATATAACCCTATACCTTATCTCAGAATATACGAGGTGTACCAAAAAATGTTATATACGAAAGTCACCTGGATCGAAACGAAATTTAATTTTATTGTATTTTTGCATACACAGGGCACTCAGTGTTACCTTGGGTAAACACAACTTTCTTTTTTTGTAAATGGAACATCTTGTATATTATTACATTTTTGGATTCTACTTAAGCTTCTAGGAAAATTTCATATACAGTGGAAACTCTGTATAGCGAAATTGAAGGGAGTGCTTTTTTTCGATATAAAGAGTTTTCGTTATAAAGAAACACAGGCACTTGAAAAATAACAATACGCTTATGTGTTCTGTAATATTTAATTATTTTAGATACATATTTTAACATCTACTTAGGAACATTTTATATAAATATTTAAGGACTACATTTAATGTTTCAAGTAATCGGTCATTTTCTTTTTAATTTTTTGGCTTATATTTTTACCATTTCTTCGATAGGGGCATCTTCCCCATGATAAATAGAAAATTTTCTCTAGCAGCTTAATTGAATATAGGGCTTATTAAATGGTTGGCGGTGGTCCCAGATCAACTTCTTCATCTTGTTCTTCTTCTTGGTGCTCTTCTTCACCCTTTCTTGCTTGTTGTAATATGACTTCCTCTGTCAAGTCCGCTGTTGTAGACAAATCCTGATCTATCACCATAAAATTTTGCAACTCCTCACTTGTAACGTAATTGTTCTTGAAACTGCTTTATCCACTCGCTTAGTGGCTGATCATCTTTCAAGTCCTGTTCGCATTCTGTCTCGGTAATAACTGCTGCATGACCATAGGAGTTTTGGATTGTTTCTGCTGTCACCTCTTTCCAAGCTTTACTAATAAAGTTGAGTGCATTTAGCATATTAATGGAAAATTTGTCTTCGGACTCGATCAGTTCCATTAAAATGTTTTTCCTGTATCGACTCTTTCGGCTTTTTATTACGCTCTTGTCCATCGGCTGTAATACACTTGTTGTTTTGGCTGGAAGAAATGCCAATTCAATATTGCGTAGATTTGGAATGTGGGGATGTGCAGGGCAGTTATCTAAGCGAAGTAATATTTTCCTCCCCTTTAATTCTGCATCCCATTCCCGTATCTCCTCTTCAAAAATTTGCGATGTCATCCATGCAGACTTGTTTGCCTTGTAAGTGACCGGCAAATGATCGATGTTCTTAAAACATCGTGAGTTAGTTGATTTTTCAATCACGATACTGGATTATAATTTTATTTCAAAAAATAAAATAAACATACGAAAAATATAGAAAACCCAGAACCTGAAAACCTGAACCTGAAACCTGAACAACACCATTCAATAACATACAAGGCGTAGTATTTGAAAAAACGACATGTCGTTGCACTTTGAACACTACTTACGTGACATAATTTTTAAGCGTTCAACAAATACCTTTTTTTCGATATCAGTTATTCTAAATTTACCACTGCAATTTAGACTACCGAATAATCACTTCACAACATTAACGTATGAAAGTTTTTCATTCAAACTCAACCCTACTGAACTTGGCACTGTGCACGAAAATGAAATCCTACTCCGCATACTACTTAGATGTCCTATTTATCATGAGGTTGGAACTATCCTATGGAGTTTTTTGTGTATTAGTCTTCACGGAATCAATTGAAAAATAAAGTAACTCTTATATACCGAATATTAAATAAATATGAATGTAATCACTTTTTTAAAATCGCATAATATTCATTTTAGAACGAAATCACATTTCTATGTTTCTGTTTACAAACGTTGAGATTAACACTTTATCGTTTTTCAAGTTGACTTCGTAAAGACTGAGTAATAAAATGGTAGATAGGTACTTACTAAACCGATTTTTTTTGTAATGGCTACTTGTTCAAACAAGCAACACGAACGCGTCGCGTCTATGTTTATGTTTGATTCTGTCACACATTCGCTCAGACTGATAGCAATTTTATCAATTCTTGTGTCTCTTGAAAGGCGTGGGCGCGATATTATTCAAAATTAAGGTTTCCCACAAATTTTTTCAAATTCAAATTTTTTTCCATACTAGAATGACCGAAAAATAAACAAAAAACACAGGCAATAAAAGTGGAAATGTGATAATTTTTTTCACTTTTGTTAAAGACAAAGGTATATGCTTAATATCCTCAGACACTGTGTCGACATTAAAAGAATATTACATAAAAAGGCAATACGATACAACACATGAACAACAATATCAATACTTAATATTGCAACTAAGGATAGACAAGTTTAATCTAATGGAGAAAATTTGGGAAAACAGCGGGCTATTTTTAGCAAAATAAATAAGAACTAAAAGTTCAGATTTTCACGAAATTATATCTTTTTATATGACAATTGTTTCGACAACACCGTGTCTTTATCAAATGTAATATTTACAAACTACCTGCTACTATATATACCGAAAAATGACAATAAAACTTTAATTAATGTTGTTCTGAGAATTTAAGTTCAATATAGGAGAGGTATTTGAATCTAATTGATCTAATAGTTTACAGTTGTCTGGATTTATTTTTTATTTATAATTTTATCTATAATGGACGGATTGTAGCTGTTGTTCATTGCAATTTGTTTAATGATATTAAGTTCTTTGTTGTAATTTTCTGTTTAGAGTGGCGTATTAAGAAGTCTGTGTATAAAAGAGTGAAATGCAGCCATTTTGTGTGTATAAGGATGATTTGAGCTGTTATGTATGACTGTGTCCGTGTGTGAAGGTTTATGATAAACGGAAAAATCTAATTTGTTTTGCGTTTTTGTAATAGTTAAGTCTAAAGAATTAATAGAGTTATCCTGTTCAATCCCGATAGTGAATTTTATACGATTATGTAATTGGTTAATGTAATTTAAAAAAGAATTCAATTGTCTGTCCGTTCCAACAAAGCAAGCAAAGACATCATCCACGTACCTATACCACCATAGAAAACTTTTACTTAAAGGATGTTCTAGTATGATATTTTCCAAATTATCCATAAAAATATCGGCTAACAAAGGGCTAAGTGGGATTCCCATAGTCAAACCTGTCAAAAATTTGTACATTAAATTCAAAATAATTTTGGTCTAAAGATACTATTAAGCAATCTAATAAATCTTGTTTCGCCAATGGGTTAACCTGTTTCCGAGTTCCGAGTTAGTCGATCAATGCAAAAGAATTTTTTATTGCAAATTTTGGTTTAAAATCTGTGTGGAACTTTAAAATATTTACTAATTTTGTTGAGAGTTTAACTGCAGGAGCTGCTACGTGAGACACGACTGGTCTAATGGGCATATATTGTTTATGTAATTTAACTCAAGAATATAATTTCGGCGGTTGTGGATTCATAATTATTAAAAAATATTTGTCTTTGTCACTAAATAGTATCTTTGATATAACTCGGTAGGATCGTGTTTGATACATTGGAAAAGTTCTGGTTTAAGAAAACTGTTGCTTTTTGAAATATATTCTGTGAGATCGATAGCTGTGACCGTCTTCCCTTTATCTGCACGTATAAATATTATGTTATTTTCAGAACCTTTGTTTTTGATAGTTTTTACTCGTGACATTTATTTTTTTTATTATATTCGCTAATACATGTTTGTTTAAATTAGAATCGTTAATGTCCTTAATTGCTAACTCACAATCGATCCCTAAACAGTCGAATTCTCTATTAATGTACGAGTGCTTTTAAAAATCAAGCTTCCTTATTAAATAAGTCAGTAAAGGCTAGTTTTGTTGTTTGTTTGTTTGTTGTGAGTCAAAGCAAAACTGAAACCCTGATGATGATAAAAGAATTTCTGATTGCTGTTGCAGAAATAGCATTTACTGATAAAATAAATAATTAATTCAAACATTAGCTTATCGAGATTCACCATTCCAAGAAGAATTGGACACTTTTCTGAGAAAATAGCAACAACGCTTCGTGAACGCATTGCAAAATTCGAATACTGTTCTTTAGCACTTGATGAGAGTTGCGATAGCTGGCTACGTGGTATTTACAACAAATTTAATATTAACGAAGAATTGTTCTTCAAACTGTAATGCAATGGCCCACAACCGGTAAAGATCTGTACGAGGGAGTAAAGACAGTGTTCGAATATTTTTCAATTTCATCACGAAAAGTGGTGTGCAAAAAGTCTGAAATCATCATGAATTTAAAGAATTCTCGTATTTAATACCGACGCATACTGGTTGGCTAGAAAATAGAGCTGAAATGCTAAAAAGAGTATAAAATCTAAAAAGCCAAATATAATTGTCCGTGGATGTGAAGGGGTATATGCCTTTCCTCATTTTGGAAATATAGAATGGAAGTGAGGTTTTTTGTTTCTTATCGACAAAACTCAGCATCTTAATGGTCTTAATGTGGAACGTCAGGGCAAAGGACGGTTTATTAACAATTTGGAGCGCAAATTAAACCTGTGAACACTTTCCACAAAAAGAAAATGTTACTACATCTCAAAAATACATTTTAATCAACGAATTTCAATCACGATTCCTTATGTTCAAAGCTGAGAAGAAAGCGGTTTTCATGAAAATGTTCCTCGCCATTTAATATCGATGTGGATTCAGTTCCCGATCACTTTCAGTAATTGACATGCAGAATAATACCGATTTGAAAAATGCATTTTTGTCAGTAAACATTGAAAATTTTTATAAATTTAATTTGAACCCTAAGAAATTTCTGCTTTTGATGAAAAATGCAAAGCAAATAATGTCTCTGTTTGGAAGTACGTATGAAGTACAATGACATTATTTATTTATTTCATTTATTTATTTATTTATTTATTTATTTATTTATTTATTTATTTACGCTTCAACCAATTTACAAAACAAATAGAGAGAAAAACAGCAGTATAACTGCTAGAATCAGGTCAGATGAAAATATAACAATAACAATAAATAAATAAAATAAATAAGAACTAAAAGTTCAGATTTTCATGAAATTATATATATTTATATGAAAATTGCTTCGACAACACCGTGTCTTTACCAAATTACCAACAATTGTCATGTGAATATATAAAATTTCGTGAAAATCTGAACTCTTTATTTATTTTGTTAAATGGAAGTAAAAGCCACCTCAGTTCAATTATTAAAAAAAAAATAGAATAATAGAATCAAGCTTTAGACAGCACGCTTTAAGTATTCTAGTAAAGGGTGAATAAAATTAATCAAAAATGACCGATCAAGACTAAATGATACAAGATTAAAATGCGGAGTGTGTATCAATTATGGCTGATACTAATTAGTGCCAAATTTTTCTGTTCTTTTAATGTAAGTTTTTATTTTGCATCAAAATTCGTCGCCAAAATCTTTACTTTTAATTTTTTTTTAATTTTTTGTATTCTAAGGTCTATTACAAAATAAAGTTGTTTTATGTGCGACCAGCGAAAAAAGATTAAAATTTAAATTGGTCCGTTGATTAAAAAGTTTGCTCTAAGGAAGACTTTTATTCCCTTATAAACAATAAATAAATTGAATTGAATTGAATTTTTTTTATCGATTTCTGCTAAAGTAAAAACTCCCCAACTTACCGACACGACTATTGGTTCCTTGATGGGCCCCGGAATTCTGATTTTCTCCAAATGGTTTTCCCTCTCGTACAAAGCTTGCGTCCCCGCGATGCTGTACTCGCCAGGAAGTGTGATGTGTCTGCAAACAAAGCGAATTCAACTTCAGGCATCAACATCCTCCTCGCATGCAACTTGTGCGAGTTTCTTCAAGAGAAAGAGAGAGAATGACCAAAAGAGTTTACATTAGAGTTGTGTCAATCGCGATTGATTCGATCACTCTGATTCAATCACTTCATAGGATCGAACGACCGAATCCAGCTTGTTCGTAACGATTCGATCACCTTGTTCGCTCTCGCTGCCGCCCGACCGGTCTGAAGTGACCGAATACGGGACGACCGATCGAGCGACCGTACCAAAACAAATCGAATTCGCCGCAATACGATTCATTTGAATGGTTTAAGATTTAAATGCACGACTGAGATAGGTCACGGAAAAGGAATGGGAGTATTGTTATAATTATTCTATATTATTGAGTTGCGACATCGATTGGTAGATTTGCTTATGTGTTGAATTGAATATTGAATGAAATATCTATTACCACACAGGTATTTAATTTATACAATTACTGGTACAACCCAATACGTAGCACCTATTTTGTTAAAAGCATGATGTCATAAAAAGCAGAACACAGGTAAATATACTAATAACTAAAACAGCAAACAGAACAATAGACAACAATAATTCAAATTCAAATGAATCTGAATCGGTCGTTCGGACTGTTCGGATTCAGTGACTATTGGCCACTTATGTAGGCAACAAAAAGTATTGAAACGATTGATTGAAATGATTGCTTTTCGAAATTGGTCAGTGATTGATTCGGTCCTCGTAAAATAAACGATTGACAAAACAATAGTTTACATGTCTTTTGTTACACTTTATAACGGACTGTCAGGGCTTCAAGACGTGAGCTACACACTAGCGCCATCTGTTTGCCTCACCGCTAAACATGATTCAAAACAATCGGGATACTCTACACACCTTTTGCCGTTCAAATAAAATTTTTTCTTGAGCGCGCTCTCTATCCCGATGTAATTCTCCGAATAACTCTTCTCCTCGACTCTGATGTTCCTCGCGCCACTGGGTATGACTACGACCTCGCCGTAGCCAGGGGTGGAGCTCTGTTTCTTGTACTCGCCCCGGACAATGTCGCACCTGGTGCCGTCTCCGTTGCATATGCCACAGTCATCTTCCGTAGCGGTCGAGTCTACCACCCAATCACATCCTACTTTCTACGTTACAGGAAAATATCAATCCCGTTTGAGAAAATGGGGGGAATTGTTTTCACCTTGCAAATCCCCGAGATGCAGATGTCGCGCGACACGATACTACAGGGCGTGCCGTCAGCGGCGTAGTCGCCCCAGGGCACTATCAAGGTTTCATTGGCATCGCTGCAATACAGCTGGCAGGGGTCGCCTAAAACACTTGCCGATTGTAACGACTCTGTCCACCGTTAAAATCCATTTATAATAAAAATGTCGGTGTTACATCGAGTGTTTAGAGAATAAGGATTTCAGTGGAAGTCATATTTACTGTGAAAATATGTAGGGGTTGTTTTTGCTTGGCATTAGCGGGTAAAGGACTTGCAAAAATAGTTGAAATATGTGCGAATATGGCCGGAGTTGGATAGTTAACGACATATACGAGGGTTACCTTTTATATTCACCCTGGTAATCAATACACTTTTGAATTTGATAAAACCAATCATCAAAGCACTTTTTCCACATTGAGTCGGGCACCTCCAAAACATGCTTTTTAAATGCATCAATCGTTTCTGCTGGTGTCAAAAATCTTTGCCCACGTAATTTATTCTTAATGTATGGAAATAAAAAGAAGTAATTAGGTGCTAAATCAGGACTATATGGTGGATGGCTCATCAAATTAACGTTTTTAATGCTCAAAATGTTCTTTGTTTGCGCTGATCGGTGAGAGCTAGCATTGCCGTCGTGGAGAGTGATTTGTTTTCGGAGGTTGGTTTTTCGAATTTCTTCGACGACTTTCGGCAAACAAATAACCATTGTGTATCATTCAGAATTGTCTGTTTTACTTTTCACCAAAGAAACAGTTGCAACGTCGCCTGAAAAAACAGGCTACCATTTGTTTCGAGGTGTTTTGCACACGAACAACTCTTGTGGGTTTTGTCTTATTCTGAAAGACCCACACAGTTCACTGCTGCTTAATTTCAGGTCACAATACAGATTAAAAACAGTCAGAAGGAACTCCTTTAAATGAAAATAATGTCAAACGTTGCATTTAAAGCAAGGCTCTGGGACTGTGTTAATGGAAGACCAAGACAAAAATGGAGCAAATAAAAATTCAGAAATAAGACCGCCATGCCAAACGAATTTAATAACATCCCTATTTTGCATAGCTCAATGTTTTTAGGTAATGTGTCTTCATCTGAACATGAAAAAACCATAAAAACAATAGAAAATAAAGGGTCTGTATTGATGCCAATTTAAGTGACGAGAGATCAGTAAAGTTTGGCGTACCCCAAGGCACTTTCCTAGGACCACTTATTTTTATTATTTAAATAAACGACATGTAAAATGTCCTGCTTACAGGGACAATAATAAGTTTTGCGGGTAAAGCAAAAATGGGGGACGATCTTAAGAAACAAATAAAGGACGATTTTATAAAGCTAAAGAAGTGGTACCAACATAACAAATTGACTTTAAACATAGAAAAAACAAAGTACACGCCTTTCTCAAGTTACAAAAATAACCTTCCAAAAATAGGAGGCTTAAAATTTGATAATTATGAAATACCAGAAGCGACATCAATAACTTATTTAGGTGTTAAAATTGGCAAGTTGCTTTGGTGGAATGTGCATATGAATTAACGAACAAATTAAGAGAGATTCTGATAAACTTTATGTATGTAAAAGATTGACTTCATATAAAACAATTAAAAATTCTTTATTTGCCTTTGGTTCAAAGTCATATGACCTGCAGCATTCTCCTAAACCTAATACAAAAATGGTTTATCAAAATTATTTATGGTAAAGACAGATGCTATCCCACAAAGGCTCCGTTTTTGTATAGCAAGCTTTTGGATATAAGTCAAGAGGACCGTAACGAAATTTTAAAAAATATTAAAAAAAGGAGATTTAATATAAACTTTACTTTAAACCACCTGACAAGCAATTCGTTAGCATATCTAACAGTTACTAACAAAACACATCATCAAAGAAGAATGAAGTTCTATTCGTTCAGTTTGTGTAACATGCTGCCGAGGGATATACAGGAAACAAAATCTTACCAAAGGTTTAATACTAAAACTAAAGATTGGATCTTATTAAGAGGAAAAGAAATGTTTAGTGCTTTAATTGACCTTAAATACCAAAAACAATATTATTAGGGCTTGTATCATTGTTTATTTCATTTTGAATATGACGTAAACTCGGTTACGACTTAATCTCTGCTATAACCAACTAATCTAACTTTGTCATTACCTCCCAATTTTAGACATTTTACACTTTACCAAGACTAAAGCTCAAACATTTTCACTTTTGTCACGCACAAACACTCTATGAGCACTTCAGTGATTTCTTTTAACGTATATTAGAGGATAAAAATTTATACTTTCATTTTTTTATGGATTTGATCAAATTCATTAATTAACGTTATTATTATTATTATTAAAAACCGGCATCCCCAGTCTACAGGGTGATTTAGAATTTTTTTTATCTTTGCTAAACGATTTGCTGTCTGCTGTTAAAAGAATGTATATCTATGAAATATAAAAAAACTTGGTAAGGTCAGAATACAGTATTTATTAAATCAATTTCTACTACAATAAGAACTCGGTACCCCAGGAATGCAACGAATAGCACTTTTCTCAAAAACATCGTGGTCGATTGCATAGATGAATCCTATATTATCCCGTAATCAATGAGAGAGCAATAAATTTGTTCTAATTATAACAGTGCACGAATTTGAGCGAGAAATCAGGAACTTGCAGTGTTTTTATAGTTAAGATTCTCATCGATGGAAATACCTAAAAATGTAACTTCTCAGATTGAACATAACATAACATAAGACTAAAACATATTTTCTGAGAATGGTGGTTTCTTAAAAACCACTTACTGGCGTTGCTCAACATGCAAGATTTATTCTGTAATCAAAGATTACACGACATGACAATGGAATTATCATCAGCATGTAGCGTGAAAGATGAATCCGGAGAAGTAGGTTTTATATCATCTTTGACATTAAAAATATTGACATACTGCTTGCAATCCTGTAACAACAATACCTGCAACTCCATATGATAACAATCTTCCCAACAGAGTGCGGCGATCAATCATATTAGCAACTAAAATATGGCCAACCCGTTAATAAATATTCATTTTTATTAGTAAAAATTTGTCGGTGATCACGGAAAGTTACACTATATTTCAAAATGATTGTAAATAATTAATAATGATTGCAAATAGAAAGTAAGGACGATAGCGCATCGTGACGTTAATGCTCGTATTTAACTAGTTTTTGTCTAATTAAAGACCCGAATTTCGTCCAAATCGAGTTTTTGTTTGGAAATAAGTTTCTTTCACAAAAATATGTAATTCCCATTTAAATCATACGCTCTAAGCAATAAAAAAGTGTAATCGTCTCAACAACTTCACTTCCGTAATAAACTTGACATTCACATTGGGTTTTCGTGTTTTATTGAAGGTTCTGTACATAGCTGTTAATTAACTTTCGCAAATAAAGTAACTTCTTGTAGAGTTGCCTTTTATTTATTTGTCTAGGCTCCAACAACGATAGTTTATATGTCGACTAAAATTAATTAATGTATTACTATTTATTATAAATAATAATAAAAACTTATTTATTCATCTAGTTTTATTTACTTGATTTTAGAATAATATTTTATTGATAAGATATTTATAACATAATTAATATCTCAATTATTTGTCCATCTATATAATTACAATCATGAATAATAATTATTATATTTTTTATTCTAATCAACTACATGTAGTAACGCCGTTACATATTTCTGAAACAAATATTCCCATACGTAAAATAAGACATTTTAAAAAGAAGGATAGTACAGATGAAACATCATTAATGCGTTTATATCCTTCATCTTCGTAAAAATAAAATATTTAACGGAATGCCCTCCGCAGGTAAATTTATAACATTGAGACTAAATATTTCTACATTTTTTTGTTATTATTCTTTCACGCAAGTACTGCCACCTATTGTAGCGAACAACCTTTTGGGCACTGCAGCGTCTAAAAGTTATGAAAAGAGATCTGCCGTAGATTTCATATTTGATTGGATTTTTCGTGTATTGCATTTTCTAAAACTATGTTTTTAGAAAATACAATTTGAACACCCGCATCATCTATTTCAAATATATCTTTTACGTTATCGTCAAATAACGCTAACGGCTTTATGATAATTTTCTTGCAAGTGTGAAAACTAGATTTTTTTTAGAAAAAATAAACTATCTAAACAAAAAAAGGAAAGTTTAAGCGGAATAAACAGTTTTAATATTTACATCGATAATAATCCTGTTATCCGAAACCTAACATTTAGCATCGCATTTAAAGTTTGACAAACACATCATTACCCAACGCTTTCAAGCTCCTTTATGTTAGCCGTATCTTTGTCAGCAAAAGAATAAATGAAATCCGTTTTGTTCACAAAGTACAACCTCTTACCTTCCGCATTTAAAAAGCTCCAATCTCTCTAAGAGACCTTTTTAAAAAATATTGATTTTTCTGACGAATGATTTTGTATGCTTATTCATTATTATCGACTTTTCCCCCATGTAGATAACTATCAATCAGTATAATTTGTCTTCTCACGTTGAATTCAATTAAGTGTAAACTTCTGCCAACCAACCAAAACTAACCCTGATCGAAATATGGCTGCCACTCGTATTTCTTTCCTTCATAAGATCGGTTGTTGTGCCATGAACACTGCACCGCCCTAAAAGTCGGCTGTCCTTCAGGGCAAGGGTCGGTGTTGCAGATTTTATATCGCTTCCTTTCCCCTACCAAATAGGCAATAAGCAAATACAAGCAATAGAGCAGCGGATTATCTACGGACTTACCTACACAGAATTTTCCACCTCCAGACGGCGACGGATGATCGCATTCCCTTTGCATAATAGAGACGCCAGAGCCGCACGTCCTAGAGCACTCAGACCATGCACTCCATTCGCCCCAACCGCCGTCGATTGCTGTTGGGGGGTCCATTATAGGGACGCATTTCTGCTCTTGGCACCACTGAGTTGCAAAACGTCATATCTGAGACAATGCGGTGCCGTAAGTACTACTTACCTTGTGCTTGCCGCAGTGGGTTCCGGGCGCTGCCGGTCTGAGCAAAGTCGTACATGTTTCGTTCACTTGACACCAGAGTCTGGCACAAATCTCGTCCATTGGCGAGCACACCACAGCATCCGAAGTGCCGAACTGTAGTCTACGATTGTGAATAAAACAATGTAAACATGAACCCTTATCTTATATTTTAACAAATTTCAATGTCCCTTTTTTACTAAATTTAAGAATAATAATAATAATATTAAACGACTTTTATTTCATATAATAGCGTAACAAACATAATACAGAGACCAATTATAGTCTGTCACAATAGAGAAGAGCCCACTGACGTCATTGTTCGATTGCTCGAGTTATTGCGTTGTTTATCATGTAGCTGAACATTTCAATTACAAGTATTTTATTGTTGAATGCCTGGTGCTTTCACCAGATTTTTAATACCCATAATGTTTATTATTCCAGTACCTCGTGCTAAGTTTTAGTTCGTTATAACTGAAAAGTTTTGGGAAAGGTGTATAGCTATAATTTACACATTGTTCTTTTCAATTTGTTAATGATCCGAAGATTACTGGAATTTCTTATGAAAACTAAAACAATTAAATGAACAATACAAATGTAAATATCCCATTTTGCTCAACAATCAACATATATACATTGTGAAAAATAAAACAAATCGTCAATATCTCCTAAACTTTCTAAAAGTCGCAAAAGGAAAATAATATTCTATAAAAATGAACGAAGTATAAGCACCCACGTAACACAGTCACGAAACGTAGAAGGGAACGATTTGATCCACGCCAATGGGGGCCCCATTTTCGAATGCGAATCTGCCCATCTGACGTCCCTGGGCTCTTCTCTATTGAGAGGGAATGTAGTTGTACCGTCAACTGGCGCAGTCTAGCTCTGAATTAGCTACTCTAACTGAACTGGTGTGCGGTAAAACAAAATTAAAGAATTGATGATTGATTAATTGATGATGACGTCCTATCCTAGCTACGAATTTTTAAAGCATGCAGTAATTATTTCTTATATTTCATTTTAAACGTATTACAATTTAAATTTACCAGGTTATCGGGTGTTGAATTATAGTACTTTACCTCGTTAAACGAAAAACTCCTCCTTACTAAAAAATTATAGAAATGTAGTCTTCTACGAGACTCCATCCTAAGCCACCCAATCTGTTTATAAAAATTAGTAATATGTTCATATTTTCTTAAGCCATACACAAAGCGCACACATTGGTTTTGAATTTTTTGAAAATTTGTCTATTACTGTATAATATTGTTAATGCAGTATAAGCACTATGACATATGTTATCTAAACAAATGCTCAAGTTCTTAGCATTATGCACTGTGCCATCAATTGAAATATGTATAGAATCTTTCATGTTATTTTTATTATCAAAAAGTAAAAATGATGGTTTTGTAGGCTTTAACTTAAGGTTATGGCTTTTGGAAGTTCGTAAATCGTAATTTCCCTATGTTTTGTTCTACCTCCAAAAAATCATCATAATCAAAACGATAATAAATTTGTGTATTGTCAAGTATACGCAATAAATAATAGAGGACCTGATCCGAAAATTTGTCATTTGAGGACATTATTTGCTTTCTATTATTCAAAAATGATGACAAAAGAGTAAAAGGTTAATTAGAAAATCCATAATATTTTAGCTTTGATATTAAAAGTTGATGACTGTATCGAAAGCCTTCGAGAAATATAACAGCACAAGAACGGTACTCATTTTCTTACCAGACTTCTTTTTAAAACAAAATAAATAAGAACCAAAAGTTCAGATTTTCACGAAATTATATATTTTTACATTACAATTGTTTCGACAACACCGTGTCTTTATCAAATGTAATATTTACAAACTACCTGCTACTATATATACCGAAAAATGACCATAAAACCTTAATTAATGTTGTTGTGAGAATTTAAGTTCAATAAAGGAGTGGTATTTAAATCTAATTGATCGTTAAGCAATACATTCTGTTAATCTCCATGGCTTCCAATTAATTTCATTTTGTAGTTTTTGAGGTTGTATGTAAAATATCAAAATTGTCGTCAAAAATGTGTTTTTCTGTGTTTGAGTGTTAATAATTAGAATCTGGACTATTGCTTTTAAAAACCGAACTGAGGTGGCTTTTACTTGAAGAAAATCCATTTATCAAAATAAATAAGAACTAACAGTTCAGATTTTCACGAAATTATATATTTTTACATGACAACACTGTGGCTTTGTCAAATGATATTGTGGTATGGTATTATTATTATGTTAGGACAAGATCCGCATTTCGACCTGTAGACACCTAATTTTTGAGATTTTGAACATTTCGTTTTATTGTTTTTTAAAAATTTTCCTATTGTGTTGTTAGTTCTGAAAGCTATTTTTAAACCACATTTTGACAAATGTTTTGAAACTTTTTCGCTGGGTTCTCCTATGTATGTAATTGTTTTAAATTGTTCGTGTTCTGTATTAGGTTTCGGATAAATAGAGTTTACTGTTGTCTGGATTTATTTTTTTATTTATTATTTTATGTATAATGGATGGATTGTAGCCGTTGTTCAGTGCCATTTGTATAATGATATTAAGTTCTTTGTTGTAATTTTCTGTTGAGAGTGGCGTATTAACAAGTCTGTGTATAAAAGAATGAAATGCAGCCATTTTGTCTGTATAAGGGTGATTTGAGCTGTTATGTATGACTGTGTCCGCGTGTGAAGGTTTATGATAAATGGAAAAATCTAATTTGTTTTGCGTTTTCGTAATAGTAAAGTCTTAATAGAGTTATCTGTTCAATTTAAATGATATTTTCCAAATAATCCATCAAAATTTCGGCTAACAAATGACTAAGTGGGTTTCCCATAATCAAGCCTTCCTTAGAGATGTAAATCTGTCCATTAAATTCAAAATAATTCAGGTCTAATAAATCCTGTTTCACCAATGGGTTAACCTGTTTCCGAGTTAGGGTGAAATCTACTAAATCTATCACATCCATAGGGGGAATACTGGGAAATAAGTTTTGTACATCAAAAGACAATTGTGTTGCGTTAGAAGGGATTTTGATATTTTTAATTTTGTGGATTAATTGAAAAGAAATTTTTATTGCAAATATTGGTTTAAAATCTGTGTGGAACTTAAAATATTAACTAATTTTGTTGAGAGTTTAACTGCTGGAGCTGTTACATAAGACACGACTGGTCTAACCACATCGCATAAGTGGAACAATATGGTTTGCAATAAAAATTGGTACATTTGATTAAATTATATTCATTCGTAAATTTTTGAAATTATTGCAAGAATATTTATCAAACGGATATATTATACGTCATTAGAAACTATCCGGAACGTAGCTTATTTCGCTACAACATTTGATTATATCCGTAATATATTTATCAATGTATAATATGTCATATAGATCAGTTGCATTTGTTTTAATACCATACCGCCTGTTGAAGGTTTTATAGAAAATTGCAAATTATTATTGTAAAGATTGTAAAAAGTGATTTTTTCATTACAATCGGAAATGTTCTCAAGAAATGTATCAAAATAGTTATTTAAATTATGTGATTTCTTTTACCATTTGAAATGTTAAAACTATTTTTTGCTGACTAATTTTTTAAAATATTATTTTCCCCACAAACCGTATCAAGATATTTCTTTTTTCCCATCTTATCATGGAAAAAAGAAAAATGTAAAGTTTCTTAAAAATTTAGAATTCTTCGAATCGTTATGATCCTTGGTTTTTTTCAATTTTTTTAACTCATAAGGGCGACATTTCAAAAACTAATTATTGATAGTTAGAGAAGAAATTTATTTACCTGCATTGGTAGTTAGCGTTGTACATTGCACCGGCTGGTAACACGGGGTATTCCTTTATCTCTTCCGGCTTATCCTGAAGACATTTGCCTAGGCCTTTGCTAAGAAAAAATTAAAAAAATGTGATAGTAAATTAGTAAAAAAAGATTTATAAACACCACAGCATGGTTTTATATTGTCTAGCGGATATTTCACCAATTTCAAACTTTTAGATTTACTTGGGTTCGTTTGGTTAGTTAGCAAATAGATTAATTTCGCAGAATGTTAGACTCTAAATATCTTTTTAATTTAGAGTGATTCCAGGCTTTGATATAGAAATACGAAGAGTGCGGCTAATGCAGCCTCTATGAAACTGAAGGTTTTAAATTGAATTCTTTCAAACTTGCTTACTTGCTTCTAGTTTCTCAGTTAAGCTTCCTTATACCTGATGTATACAGGTTGATCCATTCATAATTAGAAATGTTTTAGCTGTAGAATTCTGAGCTCAAAGTATTAAGATATACCCGACTTGCTCAGATAAAATCGTTCTTTTAAAAAGGCCCTTTTTAAGTTTTTAAGTTTTATTATTAATCATGGTTAAGGGTTAATTTGCAATTCTACGGCGCAGAAATACCGACACAAATGTTCAATTATTTCTAATTTTGAATATTTTGAAAAACAATGAGTTTAATGCTACAAAACAAGAGCATATACCGGAAATCCCATGTAAAATTTTAGGTGCTCGTTTTATAGAAAAGTTATAATATAACTTCCTGTAAGTGTTATTAACTCATGTGCGGAGTTTGAATAAATATTAATAAACCAATTTTCTGATATTGAATTAAATATAACAAACACCAGCGAATATTTTAATAATTTTAATAAAGATTGGTTTACAACAAAGACATCCACGTTTTTCTTAGGATCAAGCTCATACTCGGTTCTTAAGACCTCCTTATCCTTTAAAATATTTTTGGAATGAATTTCATTTAAAGGACGGGTTAAGCAATAAGGAAGCTTCACGGGACCACTATAAATTTGTCCCTCAAATCTTTTGTTAAAAATAATTAATAATTATAATAAAAATACGGCATTGCTAAAAAGGAACAGAAACAATATTCTAAGCGATGATAAAATTCATTTCTAACCTTAGTTGATATTGTGAAATTCTTGTACAAGAAAAGCTTTTTTAACTGGTTAAGATTTTCGAATTTAACATTTTTATTGATAACGCTTTTCAAGTGACCCCACAGAAAGAAGTCGTTTGGGAAGATGTCACGGCCAAATGATTCGGCACCTAGAGTCAATTATATTTCCGTTAAAACTATTTCCCAAATACTCTGGTACCGGATCTCCCAATCTTCGCGAACAACTTGTTTTAGTGCGGCTCCATTTTGTTTTAAAAAATGTCCAAACAGGTTTCTGCCGGGAGGCCCAATAATATTACGTCTGAAAATTCCCACCATAACAATTATTTCTTGAGGATATTGGCTTCGAGTGTGAACAAAACGATATTCATGGTCTTGGCTCCAATACCGAGAGTTTTGAACATTTGGTTCTTTGTTAAGTGTGAATGTACACCATGTGCCAAATAAAACGATCCACTATACGATCTGGAAACCCATAGGAGATACGAAAAAAAGTTTCTTAGACTCTCCTGAAGATTTAAAATGTTATAATTTTGTTCATACAGGGTGTCCCAAAAGTGTCCCCTACAACATCAACTTTGTTATTTTAAATGGAACACCCTGTATATATCGACATTTTTGGAATCCTTGGTTAAAATAAAGGACACCTTCTCAAGAAATTCCTATTCGAGTTTTGCATAGTTTTGGCATAAATTGAGGTTACGTGATTTTTTCCAATTTTGATTGCCCCATATAAAATTGTGTTGTGACCCTACTGATACAGGTATTGCAACGAAAATTTAACAACAGATTAAGGATATGATGCAATACTCAATCAGCTTGACAGATGCTCCTCAGCTTCTTCAGGGTGTCCCAAATTGGTAATGCCGTTTTGATCAATTTAATTAATAAAATCTTAAGATTTTCAAATGGAACACGCTATATTTTTATGCAGATATCAATTCTAAGACAAGAAACAAGGTATGTTTGTAATTTATCTTATATTTAAATTTTACTTACTTTTCGAGATATTCGAGGTTTAAGATAATAAATAATAGTTGTTGGCAATATTAAGTATTTTTTAAATAGCAAAGACACAATACTCCAGATACACGAATATATCCTATTGCTAACAATACAGGGTGTTCATTAATACGTGGAGATTTTGAGAAATGTCGGCTCTATACTACACACTTTAACAAATATAATAAAACTTCAGAATACATATTCAAAGAAACATTTCATACTTAATTATCTAACTTGATTAAAAAGACCTAATAACAAAAATAAATAATTAAAGTTTATAGATTAACCAAAAAACTATAACTAATTTAAAATACAAGTAAAATTTATATTAACAAAAAACTTGACAATTAAGAACTTTTTAAATAGAAATATGAAAAAAACAACACAAAACAAACAGAAACGTCAAAGTTTATTTATACCTTAAGGCGCATTATTTGTCACACGGTGTCATAAGTGAAACAAATATTTTTAAAAAATCCCTGAAATTATTTGTTTTTTGTATTTTGTATAATATTGTTAGTGTCACGAATTTTCGTGTTGTCATTGGTGTTTGATTTATTACCTAAACTATAAAAATTTTCCATATTTGCCATCATATTTAATTCAATAACTTCTTCAAAAAGTCATATTACAACTTTGCTATAAAATGTACAGGGAAGCTAATATCTGGTCATCTAAAAATATACATGGGATTTTCTAGGTTCCGTTCGGCAATATTCTACTAAACTAGCAATGCCACCAGTGTCGTGGTTTCGTCAACCAGCCCCTATCTCCCCTATAGTCCGCTTCTGGTAGCTTCTGCAGTAAATAAAGTAGGAGTTAGCGTACACAACATTTAGGCATGTCGACCTGCTGTCTAATTTGGATAACAATAGCTTCCTACCTAGCCAACAGTTTTCTGTTTCATCCCATTATTTTAGAAATTTTTTCTAGGAATTTTCTTTTATCGGGCCCTAATGACTGACGTCACCAGACGAAAGAAGGGTTCGGTTCTATAGAGATTTCCTCTGGAATAGTTTATTAGCATAGACAGTATCTACACTTATCGGCAAGTATGCAAGGCGTAAGGAAAGGATACCACAAAATATTTGTGCAAAAAAAAAATGTTGAGCCTGATCTACTTGCATTTTTCCTTGAACCATTCATGTTGTCTAGCCGACATTTGTTTTGAGACCTCTATTTTTGAGGCCTCAAGCAGTGAATTCCGAAGGACCTATAGATCTTCCGGTTTTTCTGCCAGTATTGCTGTGTTGTCATCGTACCTTATTACTTTCTATTCTTGCACCCCTAAACCCCCATGTAGCTCGTTGTAATATCAGTATCCCCTCCCAAGTACCTCTCTAGACTGCTTGTTGGAGAAGTAACTTCAATGCGGTCTCGTGTATGGATAGTAGGGGTATGTAGGGAACTGGAGGAACAGTCCAACAAACATGAGTTTCCGGAATTGTTTAACAAATTAATATGGTAACTACGCACCCAAGTAATAAAAACTGATGAAGGAGAAATCGTAAATAACGCCAATCGTACAGCAGAAGTGTGGCAGGTATATTGTGAAAAAATTGAAACAGGTATTTTAGAACTGCTGCCAACAGAAATAAATACCCCCCCCCCCTTCCGGGGCTGATTTACTAAGCTAAGAAGTTGAAAATACCATAAAACTTCTCCAAATCAAAAAATCAACTGGTGGGGATCAAATAACGGCAGACGTTTTAAAGGCTCTAGGCAAGGAGGGAATAGAAATATTTTACAAAATATGTAAACAGGGCGGTCGGAAGACTCAGGGTAGTCGCTGTTTATTCCAATATTCAAAAAACGTTCGATCTTGGGGTGCAGTAGGATTTTCTGTATTAAGTTATTCACAGGTTTCAGAGAAGCAAGCAGGTTTTGTACAAGGAAAACGAACCATTGAGCAAATTCTAAATACCAGGCAACTTATTGAAAATGTTAGGAAATTTAATATCCCACTGTATCTCTGCTTTGCAGACTATCAAAAAGAGTTTGATAAGGTAAACTGGAGCTACCTACGGATCACAATTGAGGAATTGGGAACGCCAAAACACCTGATTTAACAGGTCCGCAATCTCTTTTTCAGAACAATCGCAGGAGTTAGACACGAAACGAACGAAACTGCGTCTAGTTGGTGCTCTAATCTTCCCCATTGCAACAGATAAAACCGAATAGAGGCTTTCGAAATGTGGGCTTATAGACGACTCAAGGCAAACGCCCAAGAGACAGACTAGATGGGTAGACCAAACAAAACCCAAAACCCTTAATAAGATACGCAAGCATGGAATCGACTGCTGAATTAAATATAAGTGGTTTCACTACATCCTTGGGAAAGGATATGTAAAATCGTTTTAAAGTACTGTGCAAAAAGAATATTGAGGCTGACCTACTTCTATCCTGCATTCCTGTGTTACCTTATTACGGCTATTCTTACACTCTTAAACTTAATAACTTAAACTCTTAATAAATTAATAACACTAGTTGAGAAGTAATTTCAATGGTTTTCCGTGTATCGGCAGTTTAATAGTTTTATTTCAGCATAAGAGATCAAAGCGAAACTTTTGTAAAAAATTTAAATACGAATATACAAAGAACAAGCTGCCTCAAAATACTATCAACTCTGGTAAAACCTTGTTGGCACGATCGACTGGAGTTGCGAACAATACCGATACATATAACGTATAAAAGATATTCAGAAGTCAACTAATGAATAGTCACTGCGAACGAAAGCTCAGTTTTTTTGTAATTACGTAGTATTTGCCGAATCTTGCGATCGCGATGTATAAAAATAACATAATAGTATTTTTGGACAAAATTTGTTTTCTTGTTGCTTTATGTTTAGTTTTGAGATTATTTTTTATTTTTGGCTTAATTTTATTATTGGTTTTAAGAATAATCCGTTTTATGTGACTATTTTTGAAATTATGCTTTTGTGTTTGTCTATCCTACACAATGTATAATCA